CTATATGATTATCTTAAACTTTAAACAGAATCATGCTAGATTCTCCAAGATCTTCTTTAAAATATGGTCTAATTAATAAATAATATTTTCTTGATTATTCTTCTAATTCTTCTTATCCTTATTTTACTATAATAGATAGAGTTTACTAATTTCTGATAAGGGTTTTTCAAGGATATTAGATATCTCGCTAAGTCTCTTCTTACTAGATTTAAGATCTTTAAATAATATATTATACTCTTTATTTAATAGTTTATCTTTATTTTAAACTATACTAGGATAATTATTTCTTGAAACTGGCTTATAATTATTATTATTAACTTTTATAGTCCAAGCTAATAGTACAGACAATTATTAATCTTTTTGTTAACTAGATAGTACTGTTAACTTATCCAGGATGATCTATTATCTTAATTAATCATGATATATCCTATTCTCTAACAGTTAATTATATTAAATAATATATAATTTCTTATTATCTGGTATCTGCATCACAGATTCCGTCTAAATCTTATATTAAATAATGATAATATTATAGACTTCTCTGCCTTAATCTTGATATATAGCTCTTAATTACTTTTAAGACTATTACTATTTCTAACTGTAGTCTTTTAACTAGTGACCTGCTTTACCGCAGCTAAAGTACAAATAGTTTTTTTTATACTGTTTAAGTTTCTCTTTAGATACTCAAGTCTCTTGAATCTAATATTATACAGCATCCAGCTTCATAAATTTCAGCCTGTAAAGATCTTCATATCCTAAGTTTCTAGGTTATGCTGACCTTCCGTTATTAGCTCGGTAATCTAGCTAGTTATTATATTAAGATATAGACCCGCTAGTCCACCAACCTTCTTATTATTTTATATTAAAATTATATAATTTATTATTAATCTTTATAATTACTTTAATTATCTTAGTCAAGGTGTCCGGTTGTTCTTATTAAATAATCTTTTTTTAGATCTCTATTTTAAGTCTTTCTTTAAATCATAAGATATAGATATTATTATTCTAGTCTAAATAACTAATGATTTACTAAAACTCTGAAGTATATACAAATACTGATCTTATCTATTTAAATTATTATAACTTTTATTTAATATTTTATACTATATTAATATCTCCGAACATTTATTCAAGACACTGTTTAAATCTGGTATAACTAATAAAAAGTTATTTTATATTATTATTCTGATTATTTACTAACTTCTCTTATTACTTATAAATATATAGTTTAAACTAATTAAATACTACTCCGGTAAGATAAATAGATATAAAAAAGATCTTATTCTCTTTATTCTTAAGCTTTTTCTTATTTATGTTAAGATACAAGTCTAACTGGGTTAAGAAAGCCTTGAGCTTCGCTTATTTACTGTTAAATAATTCAGGTGGTTAGATCTTAACAGATTTAACTAATAAGTAACCTTCAAGTAACTGGTTCTTTTATTTTAAAGCCATGATGCTTTCTTGTAGCTGACTAATCATGTCTATCAGTTTCTTAATTATCAGGCCCTGCTGCTAAGGCGCTCGCAATATGTTTAATATAGTCAATATAATAACTAATTATTACTAAGTAATACTCATACTGACTAGTACTTAATATATTAAATCCTAGGATTACTTCTTCCTGTTTCTATTAACTTAGCTTCTGTTCTAATACATATCTTATAAACTAAATCAAAGATAATCAGGTTATTAACTATCTAAAGATAACTTGATCTGAATAGAAAAAGAGAAATAAGACTAGATAGTACTGTGCAGCTATCTATAAGTAAGTATAAACAAGTATTATTATTAAGCTTTACTAAAATATAGATTATTTAAAGATAAGTAGATTAAGCATAAAGAACAGAATTAGCTAAGTATATAAAGAAGTATTCTTATATATCTATTCTCTGTATACTATTCTATATATCATCGGGTCTGTTATATATCTACTTAATAATCATAAACCATGATAATATATTATATATTATATACTTATTTATATACTATGATCATGTAATCTATACTATCTAATATTTTAAGTTAAGATCTTTTTTAATAAGAGTCTCCTTTTATCTGAATATGGTCTTCTATCTAATATATCTATTTTACTAGTTGTTCAGCTAGCAGGGGTCTGTAATAATTAGAAATAGATAATAATCTAATTAAGTAATTAGCTGAAGATATGAAAAATAATAAAATATTTTAAAAAATAAGTAAGGACTTATTAGATAAGATTATTATTAATAAAGATAGATTAACATACTTTCACAGATTAATCTTTATATTAATTATAATAAGAATAGAGATTATGGTTAAACACCATGACAGACTACTTAAGGATTACTTAAAAGTGGAAAAGATAACTGAACTAATCACAAGGAATTATTATATTCTAAACTTTAAATAAAAAATATATAATTATATTAAATAATACAAGACTTATATCAGAAATAAGCTTATAAGGCATTAATTCTATGAATAAATATAAGTACAGGAAGTGCTATAATAATTATAAGAATAGATAATAATTAACTTTATTAGTCTACTACCAGAATTAAAAGAGTTTAATATTATTACAGTTATTACTAATTGTCTTATTAAATATATTTATCTTGTATTAAGCAAGATAATAATAACAGTAATATAGATGGTAGAACTGTTTTTAGAAAATATTATTATATACTATAGAATACTAAAGTATATTATATTAGATTAAGATAAGTTATTTATCTTAAAGTTCTAGAGATTACTTGTAAATCTTATAAGAATAAAAGAATAAATAATAATAGCTTACTACCCGCAAATGAATAGGCAAATAAAAAGGATTAATCAGATAATTAAATAATATTTAAGATATTATATAAACTACTAGCAGAATAATTAAATAAATCTATTATTAATAATATAGTTCTTATATAATAATACTAGTTACTTAATTATTAGAGTCTCACTGTTTTATACTAATTACAAATATTACTTGAGATTTCTGGAAATATTATTAAGAAAATAATAAGTTATTAATATAATTAAGAATATTATTATATTCACAGGAAACATATATTTATAATTATTTTAAAATATTGAGTTTATAAACTTGTATAGTAAAATATACTATAATCATAAATATAGAAAGAAACCTAATCTTAAAAAAGGAAAGAAGATGTTCTTACTCCGCAGAAATATTAAGATAAAATAATTAAGTCAGAAGTTTGACTATCACAAGCTAAGACTATTTATTATTAAAGATAAGAAGAGACTAGTCAACTATAAGTTAAGATTACTAAAATCAATGAACAAAATTCATCCAGTATTTTATATCTCATTGTTAGAACCTGTATTAAAGAATACTAAAATCATAGAAAATATGGAGATTGATAATAATATAAAGGAAAAATATAAAGTTAAAAAGATTTTAGATTATAAGAAGATTAGTAGTAAATCATAGTATCTAGTAAAATAAGAAGAATATAATATCTTAGAAAATATATGAGAATTTATCAAGAATTTAACAGGCTATTACTAGCTTATAAAGTAATATTATTAACAGACAGGTCAAAGTTTGTTTAGAAAGAAAAGAAACTAATTAACTAAGTTAGACTAGGAGTATCTGATATAGCAGCAAGTTAAGCAGTATTATATTTATTAACCAGATACTCTAGCTCTCAGAGATTCTCAGCGCTTAGAGAATCCTTATTATCTAGTTACTTCAATATATTTAAGTCGTGATTTAATATCTGATTACCATAATTCTTTAGAAACCTGCAATGTTTTCATAACTACTTTATTTTTGTAAATAATAGCTTAATCTGCTCTTCAGTCTCTTTAATCTCTTAAGCTATTCTTTCTTTATTATATTAAAGCTTATCCTACTTAAAATCACTGTGAAATTATTTTTTATATTTATAGCTACAATAACTGCAGGCCGCGTAATTTTGGTTTTTAGAATCCATGAAATAAGAAAGACTATAAAAATCATACTAAGTATAAGAAAAATTGATCTGGATACTGTTATAAATAATCTAATCAGCCTGCTGATAGTACTCCTTGTAATGATTATATAAAGATATAATAATCTATCTTAAGAGAAAAAGAAACCAAGGACTTAGCTGACCTGGATAAGAGACACGCATCTTTATGTTCTTGAGAATAAGAATCTTAAAGAAGGGAAGGTGGTATTACGGACCTCTGCTAGCTGAATAACTAGTAAGATGGGTATGTTAGATAGAAGGCCATATCCAGACAGAAGGAGGCTCTTATTGAGGAGGATCCTGACCTGAACTATCAGACAGTATAGATCATGTAACCACAGTATATAGACAGGCATGTAGTATATAATATACCATCATGATCTATGACTACCAAGTGGGTATATGACAGACCTGATGGTATAAAGTATGGTATACAGGGAACGAATATATAAGGATACTTCTTTATATATTTAACTAGTTCTGTTCTTCGTGCTTAATTCAAATTATCTTTAAGTAACCTATGTTTTGGTAGAGCTTAGTGACAACACTCATCCGCACTTACTTACGGATAGCTGCGCAGCACTATCTAGCCTTACTTCTCTTCTTCTGTTTAGATCAAGTCATCTTTAGATAGTCAACAACCTGACTATCTTTGATTCAGTTCACAAGGTACATATCGGAACGGGAGCTAAGCTAACAGGAACAGGGAGAAGCGATCCTAGGGTTTGACAACAACCTTACTACAACGGGTGCTACTAACCCCCTCGGGCCACTATGTAATTTTGGCATTACAATGGGTTCTACTATGACATGTGAATTTGATGAGAAACCCACGGCATGGGTATATATATTTAGGGGTGAACTATTTAGCTCACTTCCACACTCACGGTGATAGTATTCAAAACCTATTAAACTTTTGCTATACCGCAGCCCAAGCCCTAAGCCAACAAAACAAGCATCTCAGCATCCACAAAGAAGAAAATTAAACCCTCTCCTCCCTCCCGCCCACCACCCCTACAACCATCAATCCTAGCTCCACTCCATCATGATTCAATCCAACTCCACCACCGGCCCCGTATAAACATGCCTCGCCCTAAGTACATAATAAACAATCGCCAAAATAACCGTCCCGAGTGTCCCCACCACACTATAATTCATATTCTCCACGGAAACCGGCAACTCGGTGGGCCAATAACTAAAGAAGATCACGATCACGATATAAATAATCGCATACGTATTAATCAGAATACCCCAGATACCAGGGACCCGGAAGGGGCCCCACATGAGCTTCGCGCCGGGGACATTCACCACGGAGTCGTCGCTCTCGTTGTGGTTGGAGATGGAACCGGAGGTACGACGCCAGAGGAGGAGAACGGCGACGATCAGGTACGAGGAGTAGAGACCGGAGACGGCCATGGAGACGACGTCGTTGAGGGCCACGCTGGAGCCGATGTTGATGAGGCCTAACAGGCAGCAGATGGTCATGGTGAGGAAGATGGAGTAGGTGGGGAGGAAGGTGCGGTTGGAGACCTGGTTGGTTTATTAGTATTGGGGTTAATGGTGGGGGGAGGGGGAGGGGGGGACGAACATGGCTCCAGATGCGCCAGCCGGGAACGCCGCGGTCACGGGCAAAAGACCAGAATTGGCGAGAGGTGGCGGTTAACATGGCCAGGGCGGCGCAGATACCGACGATGACGAGGATGGAGGACAGGCCGAGTGCGCCGGAGACGGTGCCCGTGGCTTGTTTAAAGATTTCCATGAAGGGATAGCCGGTGTTGGTTTTCAATGCGTTTTCGACGCTGCCCATGCAGAAGAGGGTGGCGATTAGCATGGTGAATCCTAGGGTGCCGTTGATGGCGACACTGAGGAGGATGGCCCGGGGGATGACTATGGTGGCGTGGTTGACTTCTTCGGCCATCTGGTAGAGTAAGAGGGGGTTGGTTGGGTGGAAGGAGGATGTGGGGGCTTACGTGCACGGCGGCATCACCACCAGCAAAGGCAAAGACACAACCGGTCATGCCGACGAAGAAGGATAGACCGTCGGTGTAGAGGTTTCCGCCGTTGGTGAACTCGGTAAAAACCTCCCGGGTCGACTTGTGGTCGGCCATGTAGGTCATAGGGATGAGCACGCCAAAGTATCCCAGGATGTGGATCACGAGGATGAGGGTTTCCAGACGAGGGAGGAATTTTCCTCCGATGGTGTTGACTCCGAGGGCGACCAGTACGACGGCCCACATCAGAAGGGTGCCTTGGTATGGCAGCGCGTTGTAGGCGCTGCGTCCGAGGATGATTGCGCCCTGGATCTCCGTTCCAGCCATGTAGGACGATGATGCGAAGGCGGCTTGCCATCCGATGACCGTTAACCATCCTATCGTTCGTTAGTTACATGGTCCTGTAAAGTCGCATTCAAGTACCAACCTGTGATATAACTCAAGAACTTCATATACCGGGGAGGCGCAAGCATAGCACACCAATGGTATTGACCTCCGGAGGTCGGCGCCCTGACCGGTCAGCACATAGCCATGGAACTAGGGCATTCATCTCAACTCACATGGACGCCATCTCGGACAGCAACACAAAGCTACATGCCGTTCCCGTCCACGCAAAGATAAACGAGTACACCGCACCAGCCGATCCACCACTGTTATCCCGTCAGCTCAGCTCAAGTATAGAATCGAGGAAGGACGGACTTTTCGAGAGGGATCGTGAAGGTCCTATACCAGTCAGCTGCAATGCCATCCCAAACAACCACGAAGCATCTTACGATAAAATCCCCTCCCAAGTACCAAGAATGGTACAACTCAGACCAATAATCGAAAGAATGCCAAAGTTCCGCTGCAAACCACAACCAAAGCATTAGCCCCAAACACATGAACAGAATCATCCCAACATACCTTCAAAACCGGCTTCTTGCCCAACCGAGCCAGGGCCGCATTATCACGGGCATCACGCGAATCCATATCCAACATCTCATGATTAGCCGAGCTAGCCCGGTTCTTCATCTCGTAGGACGCCATAATGAAAAGGCAGGTTTGCAAAGTCCACGACCAGCGTGAGGCAAAAGTGCAGAGGGAGGAAGTGCGAGCGATTAATATAATATAACGCAACGGGCCAGCTAGCTAGACCGACCACTGCAACAATCCAGTCGAGATGCAGCAGAAATTAAAGCCGTTGATCGAGGTACAGCATTCTAACGCCACTACCGCGGTTAGTGTTGCTTGTTAGTTGTTAGCAGTTAGCCAGCTCGGGGATATGCATGCAGGCCCGGTCGATGGGCGCCGGATTCAGCAGCTGTATCCGGGGATGATATATGCGTGTGTCCAGGGGTAAATGAACAATGACCCTGAAGTGGACAATTGGGAACACTGAGGGGGGTGCACGAGGTAGGTAAGCTTTGGAGGCGGGTCAGGCCAGCCAGCCAGCCGTGCTGGGCTGGACAGATGGCGACTCAGTTGGAGACTATCTACTCCGTCGAAATAGTCGATAGGACCGACGGGTGGCCAGTGGAGACTGACTGGAGGCAAGGTCATCGGGGGCCCTAATCGCGCAGCTACTAGTGCTGCCACTAGAGAAACACACGGCCGGCCGGTCTCCGTCCCCATGCGGCGCAGGCTCCTTGCATTAGGACTTAGGTAGGGCCCCCGGTACATTGCATCTGACTGGTGGGTCTTGTTTCTGTCATTTCCAGTTTGTCCCCTCACTTGGGGACCCGCTGATGTTGTCTGCGACCGTGTGGTTTGGTTCCCTGATACCACGGCGAGCCAAACACCCAGACCAGCATCCAGCCCCTGCACCAGAACCACGGCCAGGATGTCGACTACTGAATTTAGAAACGCATCCAATGCAGCGAATAAACTCTAGAAATCCTACCGGGAGGTATGATTCGTCTGGCAACGTGCTGGAACGATCGAAGGATCTAGTGCTGATGGTATGTGCTATCTATCGCGCACATGGAACACGACCAGCAGGAAGGGAGATGAGAAGACAACAAAAGCGGAGACCAGCCGACGGGACCGTGGGTGAGATTAATAACACGCATGACTATTACACAGTACACAGTGGAACGGACAGGGGACGGACTGGATCGAGATAATAGTAGTAATCACCCGACGGACACCAGATACATACTACATAGATAGATAGATAGATAGATAGGACAAAGAACATCCAATGATTAATTACTTACTCCGTCGTCTCACCGTCGGCGCAGTGGCAATCCCACGACCAAGCATCCACGTCTGAACCCTTAGCCAAAGTCTAATGATGCAATTTGATCCCCCCGCCGCCGCCCAGAACGAATGACGGCCGAGACTTGACCAGGATTCGAATCCTAGCTGGGCCATGCGATTACTTGCCCTCTCCGGATTGATTGATTGCATGGCCCGGCCGGTCCCTCCCTCCTCCCTGGGCTTCCGTACCGTATCGCCCTGCATCGATCGAAATCTCCCCTTCGTCTTACGAAATACCTAGTTAGTAGAGTAGGTAGAGTATTTACTCGAGATGGTACCCGCGTCAGCCCTGCTTCCGCCCCCTAAGTAGATCCGAATCACCACCCTGCGTGACATGATTCCCGCCGAGGATCAGCGTCAGCAATTTGGTTGCCCTTCATGGGACGGTTCTCAGGAGACACAAAAGATCCGGCCGTCAATGTATCGACATGGTTTCTGCTGGTGACTTCCGCGCTGAGTGTGATTTTTCGGCTCGGGACGAAGTATGGTTCGTTTCGCACGCTCACTAATGATGATTATCTGATTGTTGCGTCGTTGGTGGGTTCAATTGCCTCTGTTCTATTTTGTTCGATTATGCAAAGTCCAAAAAGCTAATGAGTAATAGGTGTTCTGCGTCGGTCAATCCGTCGCAGTGTCAATGGCTGTCGCAAACGGCTATGGATATCATTATTCTACGTTGAGCGCAGAGCGCTTCGACGATATGATGAAGGTATGAGCCACATGGAAACATGCCTCTGCCATTGACCTTTGCTAAGATATTGCATCAGTCCCAATATGCCGCTTCTCTCCTCTACCCTATCAGTCTCTACTTCTCCAAGATATCCCTGTCATGCTTCATCCGCAACCTGACCCCAAAGGCCAAAGACCACCTGGTCGCATACGTGGTACAGATCTCTGTGACCATTCTGGCGCTGGTCTCTTTCTTGGGGACTGCTTTCCAATGCAGTCTGCCCAGGGCCTGGGATTATTATGCGGGGAAATGCATGAACCTGGTACCCACTCCCCACCACTGCGATCATACCCACAGGAAGGTTAACAAGGAAACCATCGCAGGCAGCATGGCACTATTTCATGGGCGCGACCAACATCATCACCGACGCCATGATCACCCTCCAAGCATTGTATCTGATATCGCGCATCCAAACGTCTCGAAAACGCAAGATCGTCTTTGCTAGTATTTTTCTCTCGCGAGTCCTGTCCGTCCCTTCACCCCCCTGCCCTAATACCCCACTGACCAGAAACCAGGGTAATCCTAATCAGCATCCTGGAGCTCATCCTCGTCTCTCAAACCGCCAACACCAACGACCCCTCCTACAGCACATGGGGCATCACCATCAGCATCGAAACCATCCAATGTCTCAGCATCGTGACCGCCTGCTGGGCCCAACTGAAACCATTCCTGAATATGCTTAAATCCAACGGGTTGCGGATCCAAGGCGTGGATTACCGATCGACCAACAACCAGACGAAATGGTCGACGACGCGATCGGGAAACCCGACGGAGAGCAAATACACGCGCAGCGGGGAGCACGAGTTGATGGGGATGGGGGCGGGCCAGGGGAATGTCACGACGGTGTCGGCGGCGCGGTTGTCGGATGAGGATAGCCAGTCGAGTCAGACGGGCATCATTCGGGAGATCCGGACGTGGGTGGTGAGTGAGGAGGTGGAGACGGAGGAGACGTGACTGTCATACATTCCACTCTTTTGGGTTTCCTATTTTGATTGCCTAGATGTCTTGTTAGAGGGGATGGGGGACTTAATTTCTCTGTGCATAATTTTTATTCCTATCCGGATGGATGTATAATATTGTCGGATTGTTGGAGAAGATGACACCCTGACTGAGGGGCAGCGCGATAAGCCGGCCGGCCCTAAGGAACCATCACGCGCAGCGGCAGAAGAGACGAAACGTCCGTCTGGAATAGGGGTCGCGCTTATACCAACTAGGATTAGAATGGACCAACAGTCCAAGATAGTACATATTATATAACCTGGATATTAATATTTAATTCACCACCCTGACGTGGCTCGCATGGACCTTCTGCTAGTCCCCATCCGGGCCCAGACCCGGCCAAGGCCCGAGCTGAGCTCGACTGAAAGGCCGAATGAAACAAAGCATTGTTTGGGCTTGGGACATTGAAAGGTGAAGACCCAAATGGCATTATTATGATGGGATGACCTGCTCCCCAGAACAGTGCTATGCCCGCGACCGTGAACACCAGGGTTCCTTTACCCAAGGTTGACAGCCCGCAGTAAGTGGCCTCGGGCGTGGAATCGGATTGGGCCACTGGCCACCGCCGCGCCACACTCCCCTCCCCCATCAGTCCCAATCCCCCTGGACGGCCACATTGGGAGTTGACCGGGGGTACGTATCCTCGTAGGTGCTCTGCCCCGAATTTGTGGACAGTCGGGACGATGGGGAACAGTGATTCCAAGTCGCGATTTAGATAAGATAGAAAGCAGTCGACCGATCAGTCCTCGGTGGAGAAAGTGAGACCGTGCGACCCTGCAAAACACACATCTTCCGAGATTGGGACAGCGTTCTGGAAGGCAAATTGTTCTAGAGAATCATGGCTGGTGCCTGAGAGGCAGATCCACCCCGTTTGAAGGCAAAGGAGGGCCATCGTTGCCGAGGTACAACGTGCAATGCGTTGGGGCGTCGGGAGGGGTAGAAAAAAGCAATTATGCCAACGCAGAACCAATTCAAGTCGTCACGCGTCCATTCCCTCTGACTGCGCCTCCAGTGGCTTCTTCCACCCCCCTGCCTCAGAGGAGGAGGAGGAGGAGGAGGAGGAGGAGGAGGAGGGAGGGAGGTGCCCGGGCTTGGGAGTTTACCCTCGGGGCAGTGACTCAAGCAGTGCACTCCCCAAAGCATTCAGTGATCGTGACAAGACTCGGAAGCTAATGTATGTGCATCCATTAGGTACTCCGCAAGAGCAGTCGATTATCCATTCCGCCTCCAGCACGGCGACTTTCTCTTCGTGCTAGAGCACTAGCCAGGGTCCGATCCTACTGATTAACTCCCCGGATGAAGAGCCACAGTTGCCAAATTTGACCTGGGCTGGTAGCATGACAACATGACGTAAGATACGCCTGCTTAGCCCGACCCAAAGGGGCACGCCGTGATGATATCCCCGCCATGGCTCACAGCCTTCCGGACAATACAGAGTGGTATCCTCGGTTGAAGGGGACTAAGCAGAGGGTCTGACAGCATAGTGCCGTCCGAATGTTACGCTGAAGAAGCTTTTCCTGATGGACGATTTCTCCAGCCACTGACACTGATGATTATATGAGGAACCCAGGGTAGAGGGCCACGATTGGCCAGCACCAGCCCTGATCTCTGCCCAACCATCGCCAGGCAGGCTAGCTAAATCTGGAGGGATGAGTTGCCGTCTACCCAGCACGGTGACGCTGCGAGACGGCCAGCAACGGTGGAGGTGGTCTCGAACAGCCCTTCATACCCTCATTCCTTATTCCAGTGGCCCTTACTCACCATCCTCCATGCTATTCTGCAGTTGGCAGCACTACCGTGATTGGAATCCTAGTCCATAGCCCTTCTTGGCCGGCTATCCCACCCCGGCTTGCCGTCGTCTGGAGCTCGTCTGGTTGGCACGTCATCGGAGGGAGGGAGGCGGAGCAAGACATTAAAACACCCCCTTCCATCCCACTCTCCAACATCCAAGATGGAGGCATCTCTTCATCAGGCTCTACCAAGGAGTGGTGAGTATCAGGTCATTTACCCCTGACAATAAAAGGTCGTCACGACTGAGTACTGTTCCTTTCACAGAGAGTTCGAGCGATACCGAGAAGCCCCCACGCACCCGCACCTGGCTTCGTCCCCTGAAGCGATTATTTTCCTTGTTCATCCCGCGAAAAACCATCAAGCGTCGACAGATATTTAGGAGGAGGAAGAAGCCCAACGAACGGAACAACCCCCCCGAGTTGGTTGTTCCACGGCGTCAAGTTGGGGATCCCACGAACGGCCGTCTCCCCACGGCAGACGGCCATCGAAAACCAGACGAGCCGAAGGAGGAAGACAATGAACCGGCTTCCCACCCCGCGATGGAGACCTCGAATGACCCTGAAGGCACCCTGACCCACGAACACTTTGAGCGAAACGGCGTTGATATTTCCAGCCTGGCAACTGGCGGTCGCTTCTACCGTTCCGTGTCATCGGGCACCAGCACAGTGTCTCCGGGGGTGTACAGTCCGGCCAGCCCACCACCAGATGTTATCAGCACCGAGTCGACAACCCCGCTTGACAAAATTGAAGAGATCGGGTTGCCCAGCGATGATCAAGAATCTCGAAACCCGTCGCTAGAGAACCGCTCCCAAGAGGCACTGTCCTCTGTGTCGACGAATAGCGACCAGTACTACATCGAACTAGTGTTGGTGGTGGCCAACGACAACCGTCATAAAGTACCGGCGTTGATGGCACTAGATACCCAGGCATCAGCCAATGTGATGAGTGTAGCGCTGTGGAGGAAATTGGGAATGAGACTCGAATCTTGCAGCCAGGAGCTCATTCCCTTGCAGAGCGGATCGGGGAATGTGGTCAGGATTGAAACATACGGCCGAGTTCGAGAAGTCGCATGGCACGTCGCAGGCGGCGAAAGAACCCACGTGTGTGACTTTCTGGTTGCAGATCTGAGGGACCATGATGTGATTCTTGGGAAGCGATACATCCACCGAAAGAAGATTCTGACCTGGGGCCCTGGTCATGAACGCAATGCAACCGTCCGGACCGCTGCCCTTTAATGGAGTCACTCTCGTGGAGGAAATACATGGGTCTTTATTTATACGATGATGGATCTCGTGAAAGCCAGGGACTGGCAGTTGCATTGCATTGCATCGGTACTTTGGGCAGGCGCTGCCAATCTTGGCACCCTGACCTGTCAATAGATAGATTACATTCCGATGACAGTTCACCGGGTCGTACATGCCTTGGGCTGATTTGGGTGGGCGAGGATGGGTTGTCTGTTTGGTTCGCAGTGGGATCTTATTGGTGGTACACTTTAGCCTGTGTGATATAAACGTTATGCTCTAATCCCAATGATGATGAGTTGATTGCTCTCCCAATGTGCTGGCTCATCCCCGCCGTGCTGTCTGCATTACAATCCTTTCATGCCGACGGTCGCACCGGCACCAATGATCGCGAGAGAATGCTTTTTCTAGTGGCATGAATACCCTGCGGGGTCCCTGTTCATTTATGCCCAACCAGCACCATCCACCGATGCTCGCTCGTTGAGTCGATGTAGTGGCAGACTATTTGCTGCTTGTTCAACTTAGGGTGTCCAGCCTCACGCAGCTGACGAAGGACAAGAAAACAGAGTGGGTGCCATCTATTGATTGATGATGAACGGTGCAGTCGCACATCCTCCATCGGGGAGCTGTCCGCGAACCGACGGAGATGCGGCTCTGGGGGAACCCCCTCATGTCCGGTCTATATGAACGTGGCAGATTTCTCGGGATGAAGCGATCCCCAGGCAGCTCAAGCGGCGCTCTTCTTGAGGGGCTAGGTCGAAATCACGACGAGTACGTACATACACCCCAAGCAAAGCCATGGTACGTATCTACCTGACACAGGGCTCCTAGCCTTCCCCTTCTTTTCTGTGAGATGGCGCTTAACCACATTCCTAGACGGGACCCAGAACCCTGGACTTCTACTGCCTCGGGCCAGACGAAATCACCGTCAGCCTAAAGGCGGTTGTCGCCGAGGACATGGACGTCAGCATCCTCACCCAAAGCGGGTTTCGGGCGCTGCCTGGGATCCAAGTGCAGCCCCAGGAAACCGAGAGAACATTTTACGATTCCAACGGGGTTTCATACGCGGTGCGCGATGTGGTTCAGCTCCCGATTTGGAAAAAGGGTGAAGCCAAGCTCACCACACAAGACTTTTATGTTTCAACCGACGATAGCTCCGGTTTGCGGCCCCCGTGCCATGCGATCCTGGGGAGCCAATGTCTCGTTGGCAAGGTCAGTGATGAGAAGGGCGTTCCGATTGCTGTAACCCAGCTCCCATCGCAGAGTGCAAGTGAGTCATTTTGTTCAACAAGAATCGGGGGATTCCAGCTAATGATCTGGTACCGGATAGGTGACAAGGCTATCCAGGAGCAAAAGAAGCGAGAGAAAGAAGCCGCGTTGGCCAAGAAGGAACAGGAGAGGCGCGACCGGGAGAAGCAGCAGGCTGCTCAGAGGAAATAGGAAGGAAGGAAGGAACCGGATGGCAGGCCCATCCCAGATATCTTGGCAGGACTGTACGTAGTGCTCCGTAGAGCTGATGATTATGTGCTTCCTTGCTGTCCGAATCTTGGATCTATCCAGTCGATTCTATGAGATCATAAATACAGAAGAATGGGGCGAGGCTGGCTTTTTGCGCCAGGCTGGGTGATTGGCACGCGGTTCGCGCGCAGGGCTGATCCGTCACAACCCTAGTCGCATTTGTACGATGAAATGAGGTGGCATCTGCAGGATTAGGTGCCACACGGGCTGACGGGGTTTGACCAATTGACACTGGTAGTCGTGCAGCGGGCTGATTGCCTACAGTCAGCTTGAGTCGCCGCTGATCAAAAGAAAAACGCTGGCGACAGGGGCAGAGGCTTTCACATCGTCGAGTCAGACCACTGGAATCGAAGGGTAGATCACGAGACAGGCTGAAGCGGACTCGGAGTAAGACAAAAAAAAAAACACCACAACGGGCTTTAAGGAAAACAGCCATAGCTTATCTGCCACGGAGGCTGTTGGGAAGTGGGGGTCGAAGCCTGAGCGAAGATTCCGCAACCGACCAACTCCGAAGTTGGGAGTTGGGGGTTGGGTGCTTATATGCTTATTTTCACACTTCTCTCGGGGTCGTACTCAAATGCCTGCAACCCCAGGAGCCCGACCGGGGATCATAAGCCTGATATATGGTGGATCCTTCGATAAGCCGAACGACCACTGCTTCGAGTCTAGAAGAGGGGAAAAGGCGGCCTCGGCGAGGCTGCAGTGGCCATCCAGATGATCTCACCTCTGTAACAAACAAACCCTCGTGATACAGGTAATCTAGGTAATCTTAAGGGCTTTGGTGTCAGGCGCCCGGGACAATGCAGAGTTGCACAGGCCAGTAAGAGCCCGTGTGTCGTAAGTTACTGCGCCGGCTGAAATGTTGTGGCTGCCCGCCTAGCCCCTCGCCCGTCATTCTTTCATTGATAATCACCCGGTTCCCCAGGGTTCGGTGGCGGCCTCGCCCCTCCTCCAGACCTACCTTAATGGCTTCCACCCATCTGCAAACCACTTGGAATCTTACAAGGTGCGCGCAACAGAACCCCTTATGCCTTGGAATCACTCCAGTGAGTGCTCCTCTCGCGGCAGTCTGCCTTCCCGGAAGGTATCGCAAATTTGGAATTGACCGACCTTTAGAACCTCAAACGAGCGCACCTCGCGAGCGTCGAAGATGGAGGATCCATGGAAAATCCCCCAAGAAGGATCCCAATCAGATTCCGACCCAATGCCAGGTTGAAGATATCAAAAGCCACGTAGCTTCTTCCTATTGCCCCCTCGACCGGAGGTCGGATCGGCTGACTCCGACGAAGGTGCCTCGGTTTTCCCTGAAGGATGGGAAACACATTCTCGCATTTATCGTGGATCCTCGCCTCCGTGAGCCACGAGATGCACGCCCAACACCCGCTCAAGAGGACCACGTCAACGTGCCGGAGCCTCAAACGGTCGAGGTGCCTCGGACGACACCTTTGGATGAACCGGTCGGAAATTTGAGCAAGTTTCAAGGACTCCGCAGCGGCTTCCAGCACACCGAAGAACGAGAGAGACTAACCGATGCACTTCATTCCATATTCCGTACCCGCGGGAATCTGCTTCACCCGGACGCCCAGCAGGATGTGGCACAATGTGACTTTATCTATGACGTGTGCATGTACAAGTCGGATCATACTCCGCTCCTACGGCGCATGGTAGTGGACTTTGAAACCGAGGTCTGTATCATCCACGACGAACTCTACAGGGCATTGAACATTCCTATCGAGCGATATGAGGGACCGCCAATCTCAGTGGTCGGCCGCGAGGGCAAGGCCACGCCACTAGGCAAAGTACGGGCAACATGGAATATGCCCAAAGATGAGAATTTCTACTGTGCCGAGTTTTTAGTGATGCATGGGGTCGAATTTGACGTCCTCCTGGGAACCTCCACAGTACGAGAACTGGGTCTTTACCGCAGGGATCCTGCCCTGGCGTCTCGGCTACATGCTGCAGATCAAAAGAAGGCTTTGGAACGAGATTGCTAGATTGGCTTGTTCTATGTGGTTTGTATTGTACATATTTCGACCGAAACCAAACACGAAGAGTGTATTCAAAACGCCTCTCTCCAGGCAGGCACGACAAGCAAATTGTAGAAGACCTTGCATGCCAACAAAATGCCGGATCACGCATATCATGCATATAATATACTGCTTGATAGCAAACTATGTGCTGGCTAGGCTGCAGTGCTGCCCTATGCATTGAAAAGCAGATATCCGACTGGCCTCCCAAAGGTCCCGAACCTGAGCGTCCATTATCATCCAGTAAATGACGCCCAAGTAGCATATGTGGGGTTGTATTTGCAACAGCTCCTATGCTCCTTAAACGCATCAGAATGCACGGCTCCCGGACCTTCCGAAAGATGTGTTGAGCTGGGTCGCACTAAAAGCCAGCATACTCAGCAACCGTCATTAATGTCACGAAAAGGGATCACAAGTGTCATTCACATGGATGCGCAAATCCCTGTGTCATCTAGCCAGGCTCGGATAATATATATGACCGCGTGCTTCGCCTCGAGCGAGAACCAGGGTATTGCAGGATAGAAGACAATCTGACATGTGAAAGGCAGGTAACGTGCCCCTCAGTATGTTTGAACAATCACCCGACGAGGAGATGACATGCATGTCTGTCTTGTCGGCCTGCAAGGAAGTAATCCTGAGCAAGCATCAAGGCAATCTAACATTGTGATCATGGAGGGGCATGGTTCACAGCCACAATGAGGCCTTGAGCCTCATTCGGAGACGGCCCCGAGAATGTCGAGGCTTTGTTCAGTAAACTATATAAACACGGTGCTAATATATATTCTCTACTGATAGGATTTTCATCATTGAAGCATACCAGTGTCGGCTACATACCTCAATAGAACATACGACGAGTCATGTCTACCCTGAACATCCGCCCCGTCGAAGGATACGATAAACTTGCAACGTTCATCGCGTCGGATCCAGGGCTAGCCTTCTTTCGTCGTTTCAGCAAATTGAACATCAAAAGCCTTCTTTACTATCAAGCAGAAATTTCGAATATCGAGGATGATCTGGACTTTATCATCCAGAATGACAAGGACTCGCAGGACGACGAGAAACAGGGCTACCCGTTCTCGGTACGGGACTTGAAAGATTCAATGAGACGAGCAAAAGAGGAGCATCCGACGCAGTGGCTGAAGATTCAGGAAGTGCGTGAATTGTTGGATAAGTATAGTCAGTGCCTTTTTTCTTGTCTATCTATTAGTTGCCTTCTTGGCTGGTATATATGCCTTATGACTTGCACCCCCCCTGTTTCCCTTCCCATTGACATCCAGCACAAATTCTATTTTATCCCCAAATCCCCATTTTCAGACATCATCTCACACCCAGTAGACAAGGCCCTCATCCAACAACGAGACCTCATACGTCTCAGCGCACCAGATAAATGCGACCTCGCTGTGCTACGAGACTGGCTAGACCGACCAGAATGCGGCAATATGTTTTTCGAAACAGCCGCAGAGATGAATGTGTATCATCCCAGGAACGAAGACGACATGCTTGCGTTGTTCAGTAGACATGAGGGGGTGGATACCATGACTCGGTGGATATTTAACCGAGTGATTCCATGGTTTCACGAGCGCTGGGGGGAGAAGTATCAGGTGTGTACATTGCCTAGAATGGCGTTGAACTTTCATGCTAATTCTATCAGAAACAAAGTGATGATACGGGTACCTGGCAATATAGCGATCGAAAAATCAAGGTATTCACATATCTATTTAGTGTTTTGATCGCAGCCGTTCTACCGGCATCTTCCATGATTGTTCTATACTTTATCAAGGATACCGCGATCAGAATGGTTACCATTATGGTGTATAATATTGTTTTTTCGCTGGCGTTGGGTTTGATGGTTAGGGCTCGAAGGGTTGAGATATTTGCGGCGGCGACTGCGTGAGCTCCCTCCCTTCCTCTCTCTCCTTCTCTCCTTTCCCTTTCCTTATTGGTTTGGTTTCTTTTGTCTCTCCAATCGCTTGTCTAAACACGGGCATGACTGACTCTTTTAGGTTTGCCGCTGTGAATGTGGCTCTGATTTCGAACTCAGGGGGCTGTCAATGCTGACGGACAGAATTGATTGATCAAAGCCTTATCCCCGAATGCAAGGACGGTCAACCAGGCTACGACCATATACGACAAACATGACAGATCAGGAATGAGAGATTGAATTATATTCATAAACCATAACATAAATCCTACCACAACCCAATCCATCCCCACCTCATGCAACCAGAACCCCCCGATATCTCATCTTTCCCGCCTCCAACGTCTTCATAGCATCGCTGACCCCATCCACACTCAACGGATACTTCATCGCCACCGGCTTAATCCCATGCAACGCAGCAAAGTCCAGCATATCCCGATGCACCTGCCTGGCAGCAACCACCGAGCCCTGCACACGCAGTCCCTTGCCCAGGAGAGCCATATACGGGAACTTGAAATCCTCATTATCCACCGACAAGGGAGAAATCACCGCCCCCGGCGCCAGCACATCAACGTAGAGCTTCCAATCCGGCTGACTACTCGTACTAACGATCAGATTATCCAACGGCTTCCCAATCTTAAGCTCCTTAGCCCCCTTCGTGGCATAAAACTCTCGCGCCCCCAGCTTCATCGCCTCCTCTTTCTTATTATCACTCCCCGAAAAGACCACAACATCACAACCCATCTTGGCAGCAAATTGAATCGCCAGATGACCCAGTCCACCAATTCCAACGATGCCCACCCGCGACGTAGGCGTGACCCCCGACACATGCAAGGCATTGAACACGGTCGATCCACCACACATAAGCGGCGCAGAGTCCTCGTTACTGATACCATCGGGGATCTTGAATAGGAACGGCTCGCGCCACACGGCATGCGTGGCAAACGAACCCTGGTCGAGGTTCGCACTCCCGTACATCTTGCGTTCCGGACACATGGTCTCCCACCCTGTGAGGCATTCGGCGCATCGACCGCAGCACCCGGTTTGGTAGCCCCAGCCTACGCGATCGCCTTTCTGCAGGTCCTGGACTTCCGGACCTACTTCGTCGATGATGCCGGCGCCTTCGTGGCCCAGAGCCATGTCGGCGTGTTGGTAGTGGACGTCGGTGAAACAGACGCCCGAGTGGGTGAGTCGGACGAGGACTTCGTCGCGTTGGAGGTCATCGCGGTGGGTGGTGCCCTCGGTGATGGATCCGTCTTTGGAGCCTTTGAAAACGGTGAAATCGTACCCCATGATGATGGTTTTTAATCCAATTGATTATATAAGTGAATTCAGGAATGGAAGGAATGTGTCTGGCCTGTCTGCAAGGTTCTCAAAATCGAATTCTTATAAACCAGGGGGTATTCGTGTATGATGTCACTGGCTCATCATTTGTGGTGGAGTTGGATTCGCCTCGCCGCATCGGGAAATCGTGCCTCGATGATATCAACAATTTCTGGTGAGGTCAGTGTCGGATGGATGCGGCGATGGCGGATGCGGGTGCTTTTTTCACTTTAGAGTTTGGGTGTTGATGAGCTTGAAGCATATCTTTACTTTGAATGGTGTTGGCGAGTAGTATAGAGTTTGGTGTTCCGGGGTTGCTTGGTGGCTGGACGTTAGGTTTGTATGCCGTCATGATCGATGCTCGGGATGGTTGTTAAACATATGAGCAGCCTCGGGCCTTCATCGTCGTGGCTAGAGGTATTATGTATCTATCATTATACTTGTCTTGTGGACGATGTATTTGAGAAATACTGAGAACAATGAAACCCACGGACAAAGACGGCTGGCTGGCTGCCGGCACCCAAATCCACGATCAACACTTTAACCTCCCGCTTTCCTATTCAGGATGAACCCTAACACAACCATCTTTCTATCATCCAATACCCACCAACTTTATGATTCCATCGCAGTTGAAACCTCCTTTACTCCCCTCTTCCAACCCTCCACCTCAATCCCACTTCTAATGACCCCATCCGCATCCCAGATAAGAAATTCCGCGCGGCATTTGAATAAAACCACACCCTGCCCATATACATCACGGTCGCATTCCTCCCAATTCCCATCTGAACCATCGCCCTTCTACCAGGATGTTCTTCCACGGAGTGCGAAACATCATGCACAGCTCTAGGAATAACCACCCATTCCTTTTTCACATACTCCTCCCATTCCAACACGGGCACCTCACTAACCAACACCCCCTAATCCAACCGCATCTGTTTCGCATCAATCTCATTAGCTATGAGCTACTTCAATCATTCAAATTGAGATGACCCATTTCGATGGATCATACTGATACCAGATTCGTAATGTGATGGGGTACCGGCGATGTGGACTTGTCCCTGGTTTTGGTAAGCATGTTGATGACTTCCTCTGAGAATGGAGAGTACTTGTGAGAGGGTGGGATGTGGCCTACTGCATACGTATGACTGGAATAGCCAGTTGAGTAGGAGAAATAGCATCACAATAGCTGGACACTGATCAGCTAGGATGTAAGGCATAGCGACGACACGGTTTGGGGGTGAGGAGTGAGACTGGTATGTTGAGACGAGAGAACCCAGTTCGAACTCTAAGCTGAGTTAGTCAGGTTTTTGAGTGCAAGTTGATGAACTGGAGTCAATTGCTATCTATCTATTGGGATCCAAACCGTCTCCTTTGTCGATGCTGTAGGTGATTAACATTGGTTTACTGGCTGAATGTACCAGGATTCATTCGGCTGGCTAAGATTGCTGATAGCTCTGATACATGAGAGAATGTATTATGCTCATCATGCAGGTTTACAATAGTCAACCAGATCCAGCATCCTTAAATTAGAGTTCCAATCAGCGTGTCGATAGTAAAACCTGCACACAGTGGGAGGACATTAGAGGATTGCATTGAAGCCTGAGGCAGAGGATATCTGTTTACGGTATAGTAGATATCGAGTAACCATAAGATACTAAAAATAGCCACTGCCGAGGCAGGCCGGCTCTACTGAAGCTGAAGTACATCCAGTTCATCTTCGATCAGCATCAGCCAGCGAAGCACCATACTTCTACCCCTTAACATCAAGATCCACACTGACCCCTTGACCCTCTTATCCCAACACAATCCGACCCCGCAACCACCACGCCACAATAAATCAAACCGACCACATCTCAGAGCCCCTTCATCATCATGGATATGGGAGAAGCGATCCAGGATGCTTGCTGTTGAGCATGGGCACTCAAGACCAAGCCATGGTGTCGAAGCCTATCACGATAAGTAGACAAGTAGATGCGATGGGAGAAGAGGTAGATAGAGACAGAAAGTCAAAGCAGAAAAAAGACATTCCCAGTGGGAGAGTTTGTCAACTCAGAAAGACCTAGGACTGAGAGAGATTTAGGCGGCAAACCAAATCCCATCCTATTGCAAAATCTATCACGCAGCATACCACATCCGACTTGAATGAGGTTTTGATCCCGAATGAACAAGATACCCGTATTGGTTAAAAACTCTGACCTATTCGAGATAAGGGAAGTATTGATTTAGCAGCAGTCGCTTTCCATAGTACAGGTGCAGATTGAATCCCATAGCAAGGGAAGACCAGTCCAATTCGTGCTGCGTGTGTTGGATTGTCCATGATTCTTGGTGATAGCAGATGGTTACGATGGTGACCATGGAGGATGATCACGGAGAATAAGAGTGGACGAATGGGGGTGAGAGATCACTCGATGCTTGTTCCGCGATGTATCTATGTCATAATTGTATAGGTGTCCGTTATATATGTAATGGTTTGAAAGGGCTCAATTGGAGGATAAGAAGGACGATGGCCTAGTATAAAGATAGCAACGGCCGCAGTATTTCGCCAAATCCGGTAGGGATATTTAGGTTCTCTCTTGATCCATGCCTCCCTTAGTGGAGGATTGAGAACCTGAGGATAGTGGTTGTCAAGTAACTGTGACGGGGTGGAAGTAGCTGGGAAGAGAGGAGGCAGCACCTATCACACACTGGTGACACAAGACCTTGAGTAGGGAAGTGAGTTGCTTCAGGCCCGGCTTTCAATGCTGCGTCTTGGATGTCGTGATCTGGTTCACTTTGGTTGGTTTGCGGGCTCTCTGATCCGGTAGGGCGATGTCCTGGACCAACCGGTTGGTTTCTTTTTGGTACATCTTATCGGATGTATCCTGTAGGTCATCGTTGGTGGGATAGTGTTCTGGGTTCAAGACATGCCGTGTTTCGAGGTTAGATGTATTATCTGATATGAAGAATGGATCAACAATTGCCCCGACACCGAATTAGTGATATGACGATCGACGCAGACTGGAAAGGCTGTAACAAATGAGGTCAAATTCCAGCGAGTTTGCGTGGTGGGGAATTAATTTAAGTTGCCAGCATCCTGCAATATCCTTTCACCTGAACAGCACGACATTGGGATGAACAAATGCCTCGTCCGAGTACGCGAGATAGGCGGTACATTGTGACCGGGGGTTGATAAACCCACCCCCAGGGGAAGTACTTCTTGTCCCGACCATGATGATATATCATGAAAACGGAGTAAACCCTTCTTTTGACTAGCGCAGGTAAACTTTGTTAGAGGCTTGAATGGCCTATAGCATCGGCGTGGAATCTGAATTCGCGGCTGAGGTGATGCACGTCAAAACAGAGGAATCTTAAGTGTTTAAACACGTATGCTCCAGGAATCTGATCTGCAAGTTGACCAAGTTCTCTTTGTTGTCGAGTTAGACTGTTGGTGAAATTTGTCTATTGAGTTGTCTGTGTCTATTTCTCGACGATGGTTTGGTTTGTGGACATGATGAGAATGTAAGAATCGTCGGGATGCAGCAGTGAGGTATATGTCAAAACGAGGGAGCTGAGGTGTCCTTGAGATAAAAACCTGGAAAGTCCACAAAAGAATGCAGTTTGCGGACAAGTGTCGCAACCAGGAATATCACGCAAGTGACCAAGCCCATGTGCTTTGATAAACTCAGAAGAAACACGGCAAATAAGGAAATCATGTCATTCAAAAATCGGTAAAGCGTGTTTAAGGATAGGGTGATTGGAGATGATAAGAAGAGTAAAGCGAAAGGAGGGGTCCAGTCTTATATGATAATTCTGCCATTAACCATGCTGCACAGACAGTGCGTCTATCCTCCTCTGATTGCCATGGTGAAACATGGTCAATTGAGATTTATTCTCCTGTAGATTGATGGGTGCCCTGCTCTATCGAGCGTATATATATTTGTGGACCATCAAATTCGGCCCGAATAGATCAAGATCTCAGTATTGTTGATTAGCCATGGATACTGCCAAGTTCCATGATTGTTGTCAGCCAAAGAGTTGGTGCATGGTGAGTTCACTCCAAAAACAGATGCTGAAACCCGGGGATTCGATGTCAATTTATAAGTCAATTGACAGACGGAAGGGCCCACTGAAGTGCGGAGACTGTTGGCCAGAAGGCTGAAGATTCCCTATTCTCAAACCGGGTAGACCCTAGACTGGGCAAAAGTTGGTATCTACCTGGTGAACAAGTGTGAAGATATGGGAAGTTCAGGAAAGTAAGAATGAAGAGCCCGACAGCTTGTTAGCTCGAGCTAGGATCTTGTCATTAGGGTTTCCAGGATGGAAACGCTCGTATCCCTGCCCTATATAAACCTGCACTTTTTGTCCGAAAATATTTTATTCCTTCCACTCACAAGCTCCGCTTGAATCCTGGACACCTCCTACTCCTAACATCGTTCTGGTTGCTAAACCCAATTCACGACCAACCAAGTCCAGTATTCATTTGACCATTATGCCATCCCCCCACCTCAAATGGAACGAACCCAATAATCTCCCCGATGACGACGAATCCATGCTTCGCTACCGCAACAACACAGCATTCATAATTATAAAATGTTGTGTACAGGGGTACAAATGCTTAGCCCCATTCGAAGCTGCTGCCCAGCTGCACACAATGCTTCCCGCTAAAGGGGAACCCGGCTATGACACTGGTGCTGGAAACAGAATGCTCCTTGAAGTCATCCTGAAAGTAGCTGGACAGATTCCACATGCACACACCGGTCAGGACCTGTTGGCATCGTTGTTCAAGCAGCTTTTGCGATCCGATCGCATTACTCTTCCTCCCAGAGTCGATGTGAGATTTGTATGAGCAGTGAAAAGCCCCGTGATTGCATAAAGCTGACTCTGTCATCAGCATATTCTCGAATTCTATGAAAATTCTTTACAGATATATTTTGATTTCATGGCGGGTGTTGGTATGCTTTGTTCCTTGGAGTTTCGAGTTCTACATGCTAGTCAGATACCGACACTGACCGCGAAACAGAGAGATTTAACCCATCCCATTTCGATCCAGGCCGTTTTGTCCAGCTAAGAGCCTTCATCGCGCGACTTTGTGCTAACGGATCCTACGATGGCCACGAATGGCTGATCTCAACGATGAAGACTGCTTTCGAAGATGAAGATGAGGAAGGAAAACTAGTGGAATGCTACTCCGGCGTTCTCTTGGGAGCAGCCATGTTCTTGATATATGCTGGTCAATGGGTGTATCGAGAAATTGCCCAGGGCGAGAAGAAGGATAGGGAAGAAGGGCAAAGGCAGGGAGTTGGGAAGAAATACGGCGGACCCGTGGTTGGGGAAGAGAGATGGAAGTTTTGGCGGGATGGATTTGACAATGCGCTCATGAAGATGACTGGAGTGCCTAGGATCTGTGTGAGGAACGCGCTGGTAATAATGATTTCCTTGGATTCAATCTTTGGGAAGACTCATGAATGAGGGGGGGACTAGTGCTACAGAATCAAGAGGAGATGTCAGGAGAGTGGGAAGAAGCGGGGGGTTAAAAGAAAGAAGCCCAGTCCTTGCTAATTAATTTATTACAGTTCTTTGTTGTCTCACAAAAGGCATTATATTTGTAAGATGACTGTAAAACTATGCCCTCTGTAGGAAGTCTGGCTTCTTAAACCGAGTTAGAGATTGTATACGTCACTGCGTTAATATTCTGCTTGATACACATCTCAACAGACTGATTGAGGACTCTTCTGTCGACTAGCATTACCTGCTTATATATAACATCCGATGAAACTCAATTAGACAACGACTACCCCAAGAGAAAACACGGTACAATTTAGAAACCCCACTGCCTCAGCCAATTCATCATATCATTCCTCGTAACCGCCCCAAGTGATGCCATCGTGGCGCTGGATTCTTTCGCCTTGTCAACGGCAAGCGGAACTGCTAGTAGCGTAGTATTCTCCGAGAACTCGCGATAGAAGTCGAGTAACTTGAGAGCCGGTTTCTCGGCGATATCCTGCTCGGATGGGTTGCTCACTTCTTCGAAGTGCTTAACCCAGGTCGATAGATCTACCGGCTTCATATGGGGATACATCTCCTGAGCAGCTGGAACGAGTGATTCCCAGGTTGTTTTCGAGGGGTTGACGAGGTGAAAAACTGCGCTGGGGAAAGTGGACTCGGTTGCGCGCGTGTGAATAATTTCGCTGATGATTTTGGCGAGGGTGTCCTGCCATAATATTAGTATTCCGTTACAAATATTGCTGCATGGGAGAGAAAGAAGTCTTACCACTGCAATCCAATCAACCACCCTTGAGCCTAGTGTATCCGGGACCAGACCTATCGCTTTCGAGGTCGCGATAATAGTGGGAAGCCAGTCCTGGGGATTCCACTGTCCCTTAGCGGTGGTAGGGCCTGCAATTTGCCCAACGCGGAATACGGTTGTTGGCATGCCTGACCGGTGAGCTGCTTCGTAGCAGATTCGCTCGGAAATGTACTTGGACTCGCCGTAGCCCTGGTTCGGACATGCCTCAGAATCATCAATTGGCAGTTCAGGAACTGTTTCTCCCATTTGCGAGGTCCAGGCGCCAACGGTGCCGACTGAAGAGACGAAGTAAAAATGGGCGCGGTGTTTGCTCTGCAAACTGAAGTCGATGAAGTTCCGTACGCCCCGGATGTGAGGGTCTTCGAAGGAGTCGACACTGTGGTTAAAGTCAACTTTCCAGGCGTTGTGGATGATGGTGTCAACAGAGCTGAGTAGTTCTTCGTATTTGCTAGGGTCGACGCCAAATTGGGCATCTCCGAATGAAACTGTGAGGAATTCAACCTTTCCAAGGTCTGACGGTGTATGTTTTAGGCCCTTTTCTTCGAAGCTTTTTTCTTGTTTGGTTTTGGCGTCGCTTCTGTTGAAACAGTAGACCTTGGCAACTGTCTGGTCTTGTAGGAGGACATCAAGGAGATAGGTACCGAGGGAGCCGGTGGATCCAGTAAGGATCACTGTTGACTTTTGCTTGGGGGTTAGTCCATTCTGGACTGGAGCCAAGTCCTGGAATGGCAGGTCGGCCGTGTACTTCTGCACCAGATCATTGAGTTTCTCTGGCCGAGATATCTCTTGCGTGTTGCCACCGTCCAAAATCTGTAAAACCAGCTGAGCCAGCCTTTCCACTGTGGGATTTGCGTAAACCATCTGGGTGGTCAGATTGATTGGGGCTGCATTACCGCGGTGTGACAGTAGAGCGCTTCGCAGATACTTGGAGAGCTGGATCGTCTGCAATGAATCAAGGCCAATTTTATAAAGATCTTCCTGATGGCTAAAGTCGGACCATTGGAGAATTTTGGCGACCAACTCATGAATGTATTGAGTGAGATTCGACGGATTTGGCGTTTCTGGAAGCGCAGCCACTGCCACTGTACCCTCATCGCTTCTGGAATAGATAGCCTCGATCTCCTCGGCGTAGTCTCTCAGCACCGCAGCTCTTCGTGTCGAGCCTTTCGGAGTCGTCTGAAATGACTTGTCCCTCCGCGAGAGCCCAATCTTGTCTTTGAGGACCCGTCCGTGAGCGGCAACCGCTTGGTTCGCTGTCTCTACTGCAGGCCATATTTCCTCAATGAACGACTCGGGGTCAATATCCGAGCCCGACGGATCCCAGTACGGCTCTACTAGCAAAGCAGTGTGGAACTTCGACTTCCCAACTACCAGAGCTCGTGAGATGCGAGGATGTGCTTCGATCATTGTTTCCATGATGACCGGGTTGAACTTGAACCCGTTGCTCAGGACAATAACGTCGTCTAGGCGACCGTGGTGCTTCCACAGCTGATGGTTGGTTGGATGCTGTGTGAAGAGGTCCTTGGTATGGTACTCGGTGAACGAGGGAAAGGTATGGCAGATGCCATGGTAATCGCGCGTGGGCGGACGAGGTATAACTAGCTCATAGATTCCATCTCCGACATGCTCCATGGTTGCGCCATAGTTGGGATTCCACTCGAGAAAGCCATAATCCTCGTCCTTCTCTGGGACTATGGATGGGATGATGCTCGTTTCGGTCGATCCCAGTGCCGTGATGAGCTTGGTATACTTGCGCACCTTATCTCCCGTTTCGGAGGAAAGTGGTGCACCGCCGAAGTAGACACTCTCCAGTGTACTTAATGTGAGTAGGGCTTCTTCTGACAAGGATATATCGTCGAGGATCGACGGGGGTAGAAGGGCCGTGGATGGTTGCCCTAACTTGATGAGATCGGTTAAGAAGTCAACCGAAAGCGGTTTCTCCGGTCCATACAGGAATGGCACCGCATGGAAAATAGATTCCGTAAAAGCGACGACGCCCATCATGTGAAAGAATGGGACAACGCTAAGGACGAGATTGTCCGGGCTGAGATCGGAGAAGATAGTCAGACGCCTCCCCCCGGGGCGGGGAAGGTAGGCCAGGGCATCCAGAGTGCTGAAGTAGCCATGAGTTAGGGGGATTGGCTTGGGCATTCCTGAGATGTGTGCTTAGCTTGTCGCGATACTATGTTTTGGAGGATAGACCCGTACCAGTTGATCCGGAGCTGTGAACAATAAGAAAGACCTCATCTTCGGCCTCCTCGTAAGACTGGGTGAAGGGATAGGAGCGTAAACCCTCTTCTGATTCTAAAATAGCATCCAAGGATGGCAGCTGGAAGAGATCGAGCTCGGGACGAAGCTGCTGGAGCTCTATGGCTTTGCGCTCCCGCTCCTCGCTGTAGAAGAACCGGGTACACTTGGTCTCATCTAGCAAGAAGAGCTGCGCTTCGTCGGAGTTTTTGCTTGAAGGCAGCAGGGGCTGTTATGGAGTTGCGAGGTCAGCCCGTCCGGGAGTCTGCCCACGACCAAAGAGCCTCCCACCTTGTAGCCGGTCTTATGGCAGGCGATGATAAAGATGAAGTAGCGAATGTCATTTGCCCCCATGTAAGCCACTGTGGACTGAGAAGACTGGCCTTTGCCGGCTTGCGCGTCGATCCACCAGGACATGAAATTGATGCCGCGAGCGAGGTCCTGAATCGAAACCTCCCGCAGGCCATCCGACAGCTCAGACCCCTTGGGCATGACGCAGAACCGTCTGCCAGGGTCTTGTTCGGCGATGGCATCCACCTCAGTGGTGAGAAGCCGTTTGCGAAGGACATTTCCGGTGGTTGCCATGATCGTTGACAGCTAGATCAAGGTGCAGGTGGCTGATCTGGATATGCTCGACGGACAGGGGTGGTTCTTATTGTAAGCAACCAGCCCAACCCCGCTTGGCTGCCATGCATGATGAGGGGCTCTCTGCAGAATGTTAACCCATCCATTGGCCAGAAACTCGTATATTCTATTCTTGATGGATTTATATCTGACGAAAGATTGATCCTTCAGCCCCCAAATCCTTCACTTCTTACAGTCACGTAATCGCGGGGAATCCCGCTCGGAGTGTCCCACCGATCCAGACTAGTTCGGTCCCACCTTTCCACCCCCCAGCATGAAGTTATTCACAGTCTTGCACAGGAGGGCTCCAGCCACATCATGCAGGCAGGAAACCGCCACAGCCCCCGCCTTCCTGCTTGGGAAAGGTCCCGGCATGGACGGTCGGACCATCTGTTGGCATCTAGCTTGGTCGCTCCCATGCCTCATGTTGGGGCAGCTGGAACCCCTTGAGTACTTGCAGTTATAATGAACATAATATCCTGAAGTAGAAGAACAATAAAAACCAGTGACCCCTGCAAAAAGATTTTCTTGTTGAATCATGTAACAGCCTAGAGATAACATGTTAAAAAATAACAAATGTTATTAGACGGTAAAACAAGACACTAGGCTGATTAGCCTACCATCGTCCACCAGAACCCTCCTTGTAGAATACCTCTAGAGGTTCAAAATATCCATACTGCATACATAACTTTTAGTTACCAAGTTAAAAAAATTTACATCCATTGCACACCACCCATCTCATAACTCCCGCACAAACCCCTCAATCAACCTCTCCAACTCAGCAGGAGCCTCAGTAGGCGGGAAATGCACAACTCTCTTGAGAACCTCCACACGGCAATTGGGCATAGCCTCGGCGATGGGTTTAACCAGGGACTCAACCGGCATTGCCTGGTCCAGCTCGCCCTGCACCACCAGCCCAGGGATCTTGAACGTGGCGTAAGCGTCGCTGATATCCCAGGCGAGCAAAGCCTTCGCGTTGTGGCGGCGACAGTAAGCAGGCCACTTGGCAGCTTCGAGTGCGGTGGGGGTGTCGAGTCCCATACTGGTGTAGAATGCGACGCACTCGGAGGGGTTCTCGACGCCAGCAGTGAGCATGTCGTAGGTTAGGACCTTGCGCATGCGCACACCGTCAAAGTAGGTTCCGGTCTGGATGAGGCCGGTGACGCGGTCCGGGTGCGCGAGGCAATAGGCTGCCCCGATGGAACCGCCCATGGAGTGAGTGATGAGCACGACCTGGCTAGCGGTGCACGCGGTTAGGATGGTGTGTAGGTCGGCGGCATGCCGGGGAACGCTGTAGGCCTCCTCGTCGGTGGGCTTGGAGGATCGCCCGTAGCCACGACTATCGTAGGCGATGCAGAGGCATTTGGCGCTCAAGCGGCTGATCAACGGCTGCCAGATGTTGGCAATGCCAAAATAACCCGAGATGAAAACTAGGGTTAGCTCGCCGGCGCCGTGCGTTTCATAGTAGATCTCTTGGTGATCGTCGGTGGTGGTGAAGGGCATGGTGGTGATGGTGGTAAATTAGGGGAATAAGGTTCATTCCCGCGCCAGACGATGTTCTATATAATTAGTACCTGCCGGGGATGATGCGTGATCTCTTGTATGTGGCTCGGATGTTACAGTTGGAAGAGGCCAGCCGAGACTCCGAGAGAGGGCTTGGCACTCCACGTGGTTCGGATGTTCGAGGGCGCTCTCCCGTCCCGAGCTATTTCATCCGCTTTCTCTGACTAAATGGATTGCATCTAGAACGTGGCTACTGCGTCTCATCTCAAATAAGAGGGACTGTAAATACTAGTACTCAGAGCTCTCCTGGCTGCACGTGACGATAAGATACCTGACGAAAATTGGCAGTGAGTGGAAGGTTGTCCGGTGAAACACACGGTTTAGATTGTATATAGTTAACGAGACCAAGACTAATACACACGGTTAGAGTAAACTTCTGATGGCCTTATCTAATTCCCAGAGCTTTACTTCTTCCACCGGCGAAGCTGCACGCGCACCAACCACGTCACCCCCCAAAGCAAGACAAAATTGGTCACACAGAAACCCAGGAACACGCCGGCGTCGCGCCCGCGGTCACTGTAGTAAAATTGCAGTGTGCGCGCGTACTCGTCGCCAACCGAGTAGAGGCAGAACGAGCAGGACTGCGTGGCCGCCGGATTAAGAAGATAGCCGGGGCTATTTTCGAGGTACGACGTAAGATACTCGCGACACGTGCGGCCGGCCGGCGGATCAAAGACGGCGAGATCGCCGGTGCTGCACTGCACCTCTACCCCGTGGAGGACGGTGGCGACGGTGGCCTCGAAGAAGTAGGTGAGTGGATCAGCCCACCAGAGCCAGGGGCGATAGAAGTCGTTGAGGGCGCTTTGCGGGTTCGCCGCACCGGAGAACATGAGCAGCGTCACCCAGAAGAGGGACAGGGCGTAGCCAGCCATGGTGGCATTGGGGAAGATCGCGGCCATGAGATAGATAAAACCCAGTCCAAACAGGGCAAACAACAGGTACATGGCGTACACGACGCCGGCGATGCCGGCCGTGCTAGCGAAACCAAACGTCCAGAAAGTCACGAGGAAGATCAGCGTGAACAGGCCGAGGAACCAGGGAATCTCGACTAGGACCAGCGCCGCTAGCAGCGCCTTGTAATCATACACGCCATTGCGCTCGCGCGCCTCAAAGATGGACCATTTCTCGTACCAGACTGCATGCACGTCCGCCGCTATGCTGGGGATGATCCACGTGGCCAGTAGGATACCCAGCATGTGGTTCTGCAGCCCGGAGGTGCTATTTGAAACGTGGAAGAAGGTGAATGAAACGAACATCTCGAAGAATAGCGTTTTGACCAGCCGACTGAAGTTATACTGCCCGCTGCGCCACACAGCCTTCCAGTGCCGCTGGGTTAGAATCACAATCTGCTGAGAGAGCGGCATGGCGTACCGCCCCTCAGCCCGCTTTTCAGGGGAATCCAGGGTCCCTGGGGCAAAAGGCGTTGCATTGATGGTATTGATCCTGTCCTGGAGTGCCTGACGCTCGGCTGACTCGTTCCAGATCCGTGGCCAGTCCTTGTCCTTGGTCGTAACGGTGGAGATGATGAACTCGGCCGGGTTGTCAGCGGGGCCAATGACTGCTCCATGCCGGGCAAAATAGCCGGACACCGTCGAGGCGTGTGTGCCTGTTTCCCCAAAGTAGACCGTGCGTCCGCCAGGCGCGAGCAGCATGATATGATCGAACATTTCGAAAAGCACCCCCGAGGGTTGATGGATTGTACACACGATGGGGACGTCTTCCTGCACTGCAATCTTCCGCAGAAAGGCCACAATAGAATACGCGGCTTGACTATCCAGGCCGGACGTTGGCTGTGGTATTTGTCAGTCAGCTTCGGACGGTCTCGGGTCGGATCACATACCTCGTCTAGAAAAAGAAGCGCGGACGGCTTTGCAACGAGTTCCACCCCGATGGTCACCCGCTTGCGCTCCTCTACACTTAACTGACCATCGCCAGTGCTCCCAACCAGCGCATCGGCAATTTTCTCCATTTCTAAGAGCGAGATCACTTGCTCCACATAGGCCAGCTTCTCTTCCCGGGTCACCTCAGCAGGTCGGCGAAGCAAAGCACTGAACTGCAGCGCTTCGCGGACGGTTGTGGTAGGTTCGTGCACATCCTGCTGCATGCAGAAACCACAGGAGCGTGCAAATGACATGGGATGAGGCGGCACACCCCCGAGGCGGATCTCACCCGTTGTGCGGCCCTCGAACTTGCGTTGAGCGAGGTTATCGAGCAGGGTCGTCTTGCCTGCTCCCGAAGCCCCCATCAACGCAGTCAGTTGGCCCGGCTTCACGTATCCGGACACATTGTCTAGAAGTTGCTTCTCCCTACCCCCGACGATGACTGAATAGCAAAGATTCTCAAATGTGAACGAGGCACGGCTGACCTGCTGCGGACTGGCGACTACCTCCTCCACCTCCGTCTCCGACTGCACCGAGGCGGCCTCTTTGTCGGATGCGGCGACGTAATCAATTACTTTCTCTTCCGAGCTTTCGTCGCGCCGCGGGATGACAGCACCGCGCCTGTACACCGGACCGGTCGCATTGCTACTATCACGTGTCATGACGGTCAGACCCACGGCCCCTAGGACGGTGTAGAGGAACCAGAAGACGAGAATAATGCCGAAATTCCGCCACAGATGTGCTCGTGTATAGGCGTACATATCCTGCGCATATACGGCGCCGTTCACTGAGGCTGATCCCTGCTGGGCACCCGCCATCGGACATGCCTGGTAGCGGATATCGCCATAGCCTGGACCGGAGGGGATGAGCTGCGAATCGGTGCAGTGCAGCTGCATTCTATAGAACTCGTTTCCTATCATGCCCTCCATTGCGTAAGGCGTAGGAGTAATGCGGCGGATCCACGAGCCCCAGCGATGCATGGTAGGAACGGGAGGAGCGTACCCGGAGTACAGACAGGCAACCGGAAGGGCGCAGCCCGCCAATAGATAGGCGACATTGAGACTGGGTGCCCAGGCACCCAACATGCGGAACATGGTCGAGATAGCGGAGTAGTGAACAAACACAAATAATAAGAAGATAAAGAACTGCGACGCGCTCTCGCTCAGCCCGATTATAAAGTAGTAACAGCAGGCAAACACGGTGGTTTGAATTAGGGCAGACGGGATGTCGGCGATAGTCTGAATTACAGCATAGGCCGCCGGGTGGATCAGGCCCATGTTATGCTGTTTGAGCAAGATGGCGCGGGCGTTGACAGTCTTCACAACCTCAGTCAAGGCGTTGAGACAGAAGTATGCCACGGCGAAGAAGAGCGCACCACTACGTTCGAATGAACCGGATGCAGTTTGCGGGGCTGCATAGAACCCTGAGCCGGTGATGACCGCGTTCAGAATACATAGGATCACAATGGTGAGTAAGGTCCGCCAGTCGCCCCAGAGTAATCGATAGGTTCTCTCGGTGCCGATGGCAATCTGCTTCCAGACTGTAGTCGGCTCGACTGCATGATCGAAAGCCAGTCTTGATCGTATGCCGTCAACATTACGGCGCAAGGCCGCCAGAGCACTTGGGTCATTTCGTGCCGTAACCGAGTATTCCAGCAGATCCTTCTGCAGTTGCGCGTAGTGCGTGCTTCGCTTGAAAGCCTCTGCAAGACTATCGGGGTCCAGGTAGAGAGGGCCCGAATAGTCCGGACGAATGGTTCGATCCACAGGTGATGTCACTGAGGTGAGAAAGTCAGGAGTAGTCTGCCGTTCTGGGCAGAAAAACCCCAGTTCTTCAAAATATTGCTTGGCCACATGGATGTTACCACTGAAGATCATTCGCCCTTCATACATGACGAGAGTGCGGTCAAAGCATTCTTGATACATGCTCTCCGACACCTGGTACAGAGTGGCGACGTTCGTCATTCCTGTCGCCCGAGACATGTGTTTGAGCAAACGAAGGAAGTCCAGCGCCGAAGAGCTATCAAGCCCTCGGATTGGGTTATCCCAACTAACCAGGGTGGAGTTGACCGTCATAGCTTCGGCCAGAGAGACGCGGCGGCGTTCACCCCCTGAGACGCCTCGAATGAATGCATCTCCCACGATGGTGCCCTTTGTATGGCCAATCCCGAGGGCATTCACCAACCGTTCAATATACTTCGCGGAGAACTGTGCGTTGCTACCGGGTTCGTTGGCGGGCTTCCGTAGCTTCAGGGCAAAGTCCAGTGTGTCCGCCACGGTCAGGGTGGGAAAATGCACATCGTCCTCCGAGGAGTAGACCACCTCTGACTTTAGCTTGCCGGTCATCTCTTGTGCCCTCAGCTTTCCATAGTGTACCTCCCCCTGGATGGCCTCAAATGATTCGCGGTTGTTGGCAATCACCTTGAGCACGGTGGTGCAACCCGCGCCGGGGCGGCCGAGCACTAGCATGGTTTCACCCGGGAAAAGCACCCCAGACACCTCCTGTACAACATTGCGATGAGGACCGGTGTGCCGGGTGACGGTCGATCGAAGGAGGTGCCATGGCGAGCGAAGGAGGTCGAGAAGGATTTGCGGGAGATCGGTAACAGTCCGCCAACCGGCATAGGAGGCTTGAACAGTCACATTGTCAAAAGCCACGCCCAAGGCACGTCCGTCATAGCGATAGATTGGGAGCTGGTCAGACGAGTCTGCTTGTTCGATATCCAAGGGTTCTCGGCTTGGAGGCGCCGTCAATCTATGCTGGTTGGGACCGTCTGTCGACATGGTTAGCTCTCCCAGACAACAAATTGGTTGTGGGTTCAGCCAAACAAGTGAAAGCAATGAAATTCAAAGACAGGGAGCTTTATACTTACCTTGGAGAGCGGGTTATTAAGAAACGAAAGGCTTGAAAGGGCAGTGTTGGGGAGAGCAATCTGCAGCACAGCAGGGGGGGGGGGGGGGGGCATGGCGGATTCGGATCGGATGCTCGGATATTCAGCTTGATCCGAGAGTCAGGAATTCTTCATTGTTCTTCTGCTCAACTGCGTGGGTTCTCTCGCAGCCCGAGTGCTTGCTGTGCAGGAAACCCCCGGCCTCCGAGAAAGAGGCTACTCATAGTCATAGGGTAAAGCGGGGGTGTCCGAATCGTTCAACGTGAGGAAGAAGGGAGAGATGAGAGAGATGGAGAAGGAGAAGGAGGGGTGTTTGCTTGGGGGAGGTCACGTGCAGCGGATGTCGGGTCCAGGCCGCCGAGGCACTCGCCGGCCGCCGCCGTCAGCCATCCACCATCCATCCATTCATCTCCATCCTCCGCATTTCCTACTACTACTAGTAGTAGTATATTACGGCACACCAATGATTTCACCCACAAAACATGTCCCCTCGCAACCCGTCCTCCTCCAGCCCACCCCATAGGCGACCCCCAGAGCCTCGAATCACTCGGGCCTGTGAGCGCTGCCGCTCCCGAAAGGTCCGGTGCGACGGGCAAACCCCTTGCGCGCGCTGTCGACCGCGGAGTCTTCCCTGTATTTACCGATCAGCGACGAGACCAGCTCGACAAAGGAAGAAGCAATCCCATGTGGGCGCGTCCGCGTCCGCCTCTGCCTCTGCTTCCGCCTCCACTTCCGCCCCGTCCGATCCTTGCGCCACGCCCGCCACTTCAGCTGCCCGCCGAATACTCAACGATCCCTTCCAATTCAAACGCCATCGCGAATTACGTGCCGGCATTGGGGTCTCCAATGTTGACAATGGTTCGTTTCAGTTCTACGGACCTTCGTCCCATTTCTGTTTCATCCAGCGTATGTGCCAGCGCATCGCCCGATCCACTAATGAGAGCCTTCTCACCCCCGGTAACTCGGTGCCGGATGGGGTCCGCAAATGGAACCTAGAGCGCTTCATGTTCTGTGTTAACGGGGCCTGCAATACATCTGGAGCCCAGGATGCCTACATATCGCAGGAGCTGGGCACCAGCCTGATCAAATCATTCTTCGAGATCATACACCCCCAAATCCCCGTTCTTAACCACCTAGATATTGTCGAGCAATGGGAATCTCTGTGGAAGCCTCCGGCGCAACAGAACCCCGGCAAGCGGAACGAGATCCTGTTCATGGTCCTAGCCATTGGCGCTCGGGTGACTATTGCCGCGGGCCAACAGGAGACATCGTTGCTGGAGGGGTGGGCAGAGCATTTTGCGGCGCAGACGAACCCCAGCTCGGCCGCCTTGGAGGATCCCACTCTCTGTTCCACGCAGCTGTTACTTTTGAAAGCCATGTACGCATATCAGATCATGCGGCCAAATGATGCCTATCTATACCTCGGTCACGCGGCCCGCAATGCGATGGTGCTGGGATTCAATCGCTTCCAGGTCATGGACGGGACAAACGTGACCGTCCATGGGCTTAAGCGCACCTTCTGGACAATCTACGCCTATGAACGTATGAATGCCCTCTATTCTGGCCGTCCATCTGCCTTCCGTGATGAGATGATCGATGCCCCGCATCCCGAGGACCTCTCCATGCCGGCGGCGCCCGAGAGCCTGGAAGCCAGCAGCAATCACCACGGCCCGGCCCGGCTCTGCGGCTTCATCCGCGCCATGGCTGGTGTCGGCCGCGTCGCTGATCAGGTATTCCTGAAAATCTACTCGCCCGCCAGCATCACTAGCATGGCACATCTCACTCGGCTGCCAGCGGTGACGGCTGAGATTGATGGGCTGCTGAGCGCCCTGACGCGCGACCTACCCCTCTACCTCCACTTCTTCGACGCGACGCTACCCATTGGATTGGGCTGGCAGGAAGTGCAACGACTGACGCTTGGCAGTCATTACTATCTCACGCAGATGCTGACGCATCGCCCGGCCCTGCTCTTCAGGGCCTTCTTCACCTCGCGGGACGAGGCCCAGCAGCGCGCGGGCGACAGCCTCGATCTCGAGCACTCGATCCATGAGACCCTGGCCGCAGCGACGCACATCATAAACCTGACCCACGATGTGTATTTCCGGCGGTGCCCACCCGCGCGATTCGAGGGGTCCTCGGCCACCGTCCTGGTCGCTGCCGCGGTGACCTTGTTGTACGATGTGTTGGACCCAATGACGGGTGCCGATCACGCGCGAGAGGTGTTTGCCGCCGTCGAGCGCGCCGTCGACTGTCTTGATCAGATCCAACATGTCGGTCCCACCAGCGGCAAGGCCGTGAGTCTCGACGTGATGCGCATCGCGAAGGAGGCGTTGCGGTCGACAACAGCAGATGTCGAGCTCAGTCAGGACTTGCTCGGCACCTTCCCATGGCTACAGTACGGTCTCCTTCTCCGCTTTGCATTAGTCTTCCGTCATGTTATCGGATCACTTACCATATTACTTGTGCAGATACGACCTCGTCGCCCCTCCGGACGGCGGCGCGGTGCCATATGCGCCTCATCCCTCCGACCCGGTATCCGCCCCCATGTCTAATGATAGCCACACCGGACTGCCACAAGACCATGCACTACACATTCCGGCCACCGAGCCGAATTACATGTCCTACTGGCTAGAGACCGGGTTTTCACCGGCGAACATCCCGAGTTCTCTCTTCTAGCCACTGGGTATGCATGCCTATGCTGGCCAGAATACAATTCATCGATGATCTACTCTGATTCCCGTCCTGTATATCACTGATGGAGTTCGACTGCCTGCTACAGGACAACATTGGACGCTTGACTGGACTACTCATTAAAATCGGATGCATTCATTCATTATTCATTACTTCTTTACAGTGTGGTCCTCGGGCGCTGGGATATCCACCAGCCCCTTCCTCTCCTTGGTCCGCCACTGGATGGCCTTCAGGATACCATATAACACCGTCAGGGTGGGCATCGGAACCCCCCGAGCCTTGCCTTCCTTTAATGCCTCGCCAACAATATTCTCATACTCGCAGAACCGCCCCTTGCGCACATCCACCTGCATGCTGGGTGGATTGTACATCGTGATGGGGTCCATTGTGATCATAAAGTCCACCAGCTCGGGGGGTAGATCGTGTCCGCATGCCTTGGCTCCTGCCCGGATCTCCTCCATGGCCGGTCGCACCAGATTGTCCAGTGCTCCGTCAGCCAGCTGGATGCGACCGGTGTCCAGATCCGTGATGGCACAGATCGAGTTCAAGCAGGCATTGTACAGCAGCTTGCGCCAGCGGCTGAACCCGACGTTGGGGTTGAACTCGGGCTTGCATTTGCCGCCGGCTCCGTAGATCTCACAAAACTCTTTCGCGGCCTCATCCTCTTCTTCGGGGTTCAGGCTTGGATTGCGGAAAGCTCCTACATATAGCTCGTCATCATCTTCGTGGACAATCTTTCCCGTGGCCACCTCATGGGAGCCACAGAAGCTGACGCCGGACAGGACGATGTTTGTAGGGAAGGCGGCAATGAGGGGCTTCTCGATGTTGAGGCCATTCTGGACCAGAGCGATACGCGTAAACCCCGGGGTGACGGCAGGCCGGATAATTTCTGCCACTGTCGGTGGCACATCTGGATAGTTCTTGGTGGTGACGATGATGTACTTGTATGGGGGAAGGTTCTCCTTCTCAACATCTGGAATTGTGTTGCGGACTAGCGAAATATCTGTCAGTGGGATTCTACCCTTCATGTCGGGGATGCAGCATACGAGTTGATGGACGGAAGCCTTCCACCTGTCCATGATCTACAGACTTGATGGAGAAGCCGTGGGCTTTGACATGCTCGTAATTCGAGCGCAGAACCGCCGTGACAGCAGCTTTGCCTCCTGTTTCGAGGTTCAACGCACTGATGGTGCCGATGCCACCACAGCCGATCAAGAGAATGTTTGCTTTGTCCTGCATCATGGTGGTGGTGGTGGGGAGTAGAGGGAACAAGAGGGTTGAGGGATCGAGCTGCTATGGGGCATTAATGGCGGTGATATAAATGTTGGACGATAACCCGTGGATAGAAGAGTGACTCGTTGCCCTACTTAGTTGGCCGCATTATTCACAGAGCTGCCGCTATCGGGGCTTATCGGGGAAGGCTATCAATCCGCGCCGATAAACCCCGCTTGCCTGCCTCGCCAAAAAGGCAGGCCATCCCGCCCTCGCTTTCCCCAGCCCCAATCCAACCTTCCTCGTGCCTGACCCTTCCCCTCCCCATTCAGATCCCACTACCAGATTATCTCCTTTCATATCGCGGCTTATCGACATTCAATGACATCAGTGTCTGTTCTCACGACCACCACGGCGCCGCGCACCGTCAAGCCGGTAGACGCCCCGGCCCGGTCTCGATCTCTAGGAGGATGCGAAACCTGTCGTAGGCGCCATGCAAAATGTGATGAGACCCGTCCATCATGTCTGGTGTGTGAACGTGCCGGGCTTGTTTGCGAGAGGTATGAGATCCGGCTGTTGTTCGATGCCAGCGATAGCCAAGGGTCACGATGCCGCCGTCCCCTGTTTACCGAGGACATGCGCCAACGGATGAGTGAGCAGTTGGCCGCCAGTTTGGATCCTGATGATGTTCATACCATCCTGACTCGAATGGAGGATCACTGCGAAAAGCAGGAAGAGGAAACTAGCACCAACTTTACTACCCACCTGGGTCCCTTTGGTGCCTTTCGCATCGTCCAGCCGGAGATTGACCTGGCTGAGATCCCGACGGACCCCGTCGACGAGCCGCCACAAGTGCAAGACAGTTCACCCAATATCGGATTGGACATGGCGTTAGATGATGCGTTCAGCAATGATCCCCTCATGGAGTGTCTGTTTGGGCATGTAAATGTAGATGCCTCTGGAGACTTTGAGGCACAGGACTTCTTCGCCACAACCCTACCATTCCCTGAACGGGACGAGATTTCCCCACAATCGCTGACAGGAGGCTTTCTTATGGGATCATCATCAGTCCCCTTGCAGGCGTCATTATTATCTTCTCCCGAGATCCGGTATGCTCCGTCTGTGACCAACCTGGCGCCACCAGATGCCCCCTTACTACTGGCTGCATACAAGAACAATGTGACCCAGCTCTTTTCGCCAATTCAATTGGAGAAGAGCCCCTGGGGTATGCTATATGTACCTCCAGCAATGGAGACCCTCGCTCTGTTAGCCATGGGAGAGTTGGCCAATAACACGCGAATGTCAATATTTTATGCCATCCTCGCAACCAGCGCCTTCAATCAACGACTATCCACAGCCACCCGCAGCTCAAATGAATACTGGCAGAGACAAGCCGAGACTTTCGCCGTCGAAGCCCAGAGTTACCTCAAGCGAGCGCTGCACGATGCGTCATCGAGCGTCAAGAAGACCAAATATAAGGACGTTCTCATCGCACTGCTGTGTATGAACACAGTTTCAGTAAGTCAATCCCCAACCTCACCGGCATGGTATCTGATGCTTCTAGGCCTACCAGGGAAGCCCGGAGCGGGTGCGGCGATGTCTGCTGGACTGCGAGAACTGGATCCAATTTCGTGGTCTGCCTAAGACAAGGAAATCGCGAAAAGTCCGTTTGCTGCACCATTGCTATGTTTATCTCCGTATTTTCCAGGAGAGCACCTCAGTTCTGCCCGTGCCCCATGTAGAGGCGGAAATCGACCCTGCATCTCCCGAGACTGTACGTTCCGTGGCATCAACCCGCTCGTTCCGGCTGCGACAATGGGAAGGTCGACTGGACCAACGGATGAGCGAGCTGAAGGAGCAACATCAGGGAGAGAATGACTTGCACCTGGAGATCCCGGGTCGCTGGGACTCGACCATGTATCCACAGATTTTTGGCATGCCCGAGTCGTTGTTGTTCCTACTATCCCAAGTAACCCGACTGGGAAACGAACGAGACCTCTCCGATTCAGGCACCTACACCGGTGCGCTAGACTTTAAGCAGTTTGCTGCGCGGGCACGGAGCCTGGAGCGGTGCATCTCTACCTGGCGGCCCCCACCCATATCGGATGAGGATGCTGATAGTATCGTTGGCCAGGCAAACGCTACGCTCATCCGCCTGATGCTCTCTGCACTCCATAAAGCCCTTCTGATTTTCTTCTACCGGCGGGTGTACGATGTAGACCCGATGATCCTACAAGACAAAGCGTGGCAAGTCCGAGACGCCCTTGCTCAGGTGGACAGAGACGATGTCCCAGGGACTCGCGTGGCTGCACCCTTTGCCTGGGCGGCGTTCATTGCCGCTTGCGAGGCCTTGGAGCCCACCCTCCAAGACTGGTTTGCGACCTGGTTCGAAACGTCCGCGCGACGAAGCGGGCTGGGAACCTTCAAGCTGGCCCTGCGAACGGCCAGGCAGGTTTGGGAGCGGCAACGACACCCTCTGAACAGCAGTGCCAGCACCAGTTGGCCGCAGATCATGCGGGAGAGCAACCTGAGTCTATTCTACATCTAACGACATCATGAGAAAAAATAATCCTGTCATTGTCATTATACCCAGTGCATCGTACAATCATTATCCGGCTACCAGAATGGCTCTCACTGTAGAAACCTCCCGTTGGACTGTTCCAACTCCATTTCATAATCCGGCTGAAACTCACAATATAACGCTTCCTGTTGATGTCAGCATCAGCCAGCCACTTCGAGCTGGATGCACTCACGGGGTCGCTGGTCATCTTGAATGTGAACTCAGCCGCTTCCGGCTCAATGAGCTTCTTCTCCATACCCTGAGCAGCAGCCGCATCCACCTGAAGTTGAATCTCGCAGCTCCGCTCGGCTAGGGTGAAGAGATATGCCGCCTCATCGACCGTCTCTCCGACCGTGAGGAGACCGTGGTTGCGTAATATCAACAGCTTGCCCTTGTCTCCTAAGTGCCTGCCCAGGCGCAGGCTCTCCTCCGTCTCCAGCACCACTCCCCCGAACTCTGGATAGACTGCCTGTGCGTCGCCATAAAACATGGTGACGTCCTGATTGATCATGTCCAGTGGCTTGGCGAACGTCGACCATGCTTTCCCATGCTTAGAGTGCGCATGACACGCCGCATTCACCCGAGGATACATCTTGTGTAGGACGCCGTGGATCTGGAATCCGGCAGCATTGGCCGGGCGCGACCGATTGCCACCTACCGGTTCACCAGCATGGTTGAGAAGGATAAGGTCAGACACCTTGACCAGGCCGAAATGAAGACCGAGTCTATAAAATGGTCAGCAATGGGAGACATGTGCAGGCCAGAAAGACGTACGGATTGGTCCAGAAGCAGTCCGGGTGCTCCGGGTCACGCAAGGAGATGTGGCCACTCATCCCTTCGGAGAACCCCTTGCGAGCAAAGACTCTGAAGGCCCCCGCCATGTGCTCGAGCATCCATCTTCGCTTCTTGTCGATGGATGTAAAGGACGGGACACCGGGTAAGGTGAGGCCCTGAGAGATGGCTTGAATAGCCGACTTCCCTTGGGTGTTGGACTCGGATTGCCTCGAAGCCTCCTCCTGGGTCACCAAAGTGGCGGTTGCTGAAGACATGGTGCTGTGTCTGAAAGACAAAGCGTGCAGAGACAGGGGTTACACGACAGATTGCGGTGAGGGGTAAATGAACAGACAGGTCTCATTCAGCCGCGTTTATAAAAGTCTATTCCATGGGATTCAGCCATCCGTAAACAGTTTCCCGATTCCTTTGGGCAAGTCGAGTCAGGGCAGGCCGGAGACAAGATTAGGCAGGCCACAACATCGTAGCAGGAAAGACTTTCCTATCTGGCCAGCTGATAACCTTCGGGCTAGTCGGCCAGTGGATCTGGCTGATACGCGGGATCAGGGCTAGTCAGCTGCAGCCACCAGCCAGACGAGATAGAGACAGGCTGCTGCTGCTCCGCTCTGCTGCAGACGCCGGCGTGTCTCGCCAATGCCGACGTATCAGCCACCACGACAGCCGGTCTCGTATCTCTCCTCTTTATCTGGTATCTGGATCTGCGGAGGCGAACTCTCGACGGCAGCCCCGGATTCCCACTACATATATTGCCCGCATGGATCAAACCCTAGACCCTCTGGACCTAGCCCCGAACTATTCCTCCACGTCTGCAATTCTGTCGTAGCAGCAGCCATGACCAAATCCCCAGATACCACCGACAAAGTGGTCGACACTCTCGACCGCACTCCCTCCTATGCGGAAGGCCAGATCCTCCCCAACGATGCCATCCACACCCAGCGTGGCATCAAGTCCCGCCACGCCCAGATGATGGCCATCGGCGGCACCATCGGGACAGGTCTCTTCGTGGGAGTGGGTGAAGTGCTTGCTCTGGCTGGCCCAGCCAACATCCTCCTCGCCTACATTGCCATCTGCATCATCGTCTATGCCATCATCACCGCCACCAACGAGATGAACACCTACCTTCCCTTCAGTGGCTGCTCCATGGCTGCGTACGGCACCCGCTTCGTCTCCCCTAGCCTGGGCTTTGCCATGGGCCTCCTTTATTGGTACAGCTTTGGCATCCTCGTCGCCTACGAAATCACCGCCGCCGCTTTGGTCATCGACTACTGGCCCAACAGCGTCCCTCTCGCCGTCTGGATCACCATCATGTTGATTGTCGTGGTTGGCCTCAACTTCTTTCCTGTCAAAGTCTACGGCGAGACTGAGTTCTGGTTCGCTTCCCTTAAAGTGTTCCTCATCATCGGCCTCCTCATCCTATCCTTCATCCTCTTCTGGGGCGGCGGCCCCGATCACGTCCGTCTGGGGTTCCATTACTGGAAGCATCCCGGCGCCTTCAACACGTACCTCGTCTCCGGCAACACCGGCCGCTTCTGCGCCTTTCTATACACCCTGTGCTACTCCGTCTTCTCCTTCAACTTCGCCCCTGAACTCCTCGTCCTCGCCGCCGGCGAGATGCGCAACCCTCGCAAGAACCTCCCCCGCGCCGCGAAGCAATACTTCTACCGGCTCATCATCTTCTACATCCTCGGCGTCCTCGCCATCGGCGTCATATGTCCCAGCAACGCCTCCGGCCTGACCACTGGATCCGGCGTCGCCGCCTCCCCTTGGGTCATTGCCATCAAACGCGCCGGCATCCACGGCCTCGACAGCGTCGTCAACGCCGTCATCATCACCTCCGCCTGGTCCTCCGCCAACTCCTACCTCTACATGTCCTGCCGCACCCTCTACTCCCTAGCCAAAGCCGGCAGTGCCCCCGCCATCTTCACCCGCTGCAACCGCCACGGCGTCCCCTACTACGCCGTCCTGGTTAGCTCCCTCTTCGCTCTCCTCGCCTACATGGACTGCGGTGCCGGCGCCAGCACCGCCTTCAGCTGGTTCGTTAATGTCACCAACACGGCCGGGTTTACCTCCTGGACTTGCTGCGGTGTTATTTTCCTGCGGTTCCGTGCTGCCTGCAAGGCCCAGGGTCTGGATGGTAAGAACCTGCCGTACCGCTCGTCGCTGCAACCATGGATGGGCATCATCGCCACCGCTGTGTGTCCGATTCTGTTGCTGTGCAATGGCTTCGAGGTGTTCTTCCATGGCCAGTGGAGCATCTCTGGGTTCTTGACCTCGTATGTCGGTTTGTTTGTCTTTGTGGTGGTATATGCGGCCCATCGGATTGTGAGGTGGCGCGATGGATGGGCGATTCCGCCTGAGCAGGTGGATTTGGTGTCTGGGTTGGATGAAGTGGAGGCGTTAAGCGAGGAGGAGATAGATGAGAAGAAGGGTTTTTGGAGACGACTGTGGGATTGATTTCCTCCCGTGCTAGAGCTACTGTCAAATATAGCTTTCCTTGTTCGTTTGTCATAAATAATTGGTCGGATTTCTAATCGTGTCTATATACATTTCCTTCATTCTATATTCATCTATCACAGCTTAGCCAACAGCCCATTCGTCTCCAATATCCCCAAATGACTCGGCGTGATATCCGCAATGGTCCGACATCTGCAACACATTAGTCACTCATCACCTACCTCCACATAAGGGCGATGGAGGGGACTTACCCAGTCAACTTCATCGTGCGACAAAACTCATCATAGATGATCTTAATCGCCAGATCAACGCCCTTCTCACCGTTATACTACGCCAGTCAGCTCAACCCACACCACCACATTGGAAGAAACATACAGCCAATCCCCAAATGGGGATCCGACCGACAAAGCACATCGACGCTCCCAGGGCAAGAGCCTTGAATACGTCCGCACCGCGCCGGATACCCCCGTCAATTGCAAGAGGGATTTTGCCTCTAGCCACGGGGGCACAAATACGCAGGGCGTCCAGCGTAGCAGGGACACCGTCGAGTTGACGACCGCCGTGGTTGGAAATGATGATTCCGTCGACTTTGTGGTCGATGGCGAGCTGGACGTCGTCGGGGGAGTAGACTATACTGTCAGCTTAGTTCTATTATAGAGTGGAGAGGAGAGGATACTCACCCCCCTTGAGCCAAATCTCCAACTTCGTGTTTTGTCTCAGCCAGGCAATCGTCTTATCCCAGCGGATTGTCGGATCTGTTCATTTATCAGATTCAACAACCCCAAATCATCCAAGGAAAGAGGGGGAGAACGCACCATAACCCCTCTCATACGTCGACTTCAACCCCAACTCCTCAATCCCATCCGCCAGAACTGGAAACCGCATATCACTCGGAAAATTGAAATTATTCCTCGACTCATTCAACCGGTTTCCTAGCACTGGCAGGTCCACGCTCACGAAAAGCGCTTTATATCCCGCCTCTGTATCCATCATTAGCCCCATCCCCAAACCAAATCCATCCCACCACCAGAAATATGCCGGGGGGGGGGGCTAACCCTCAGCCTTCTTAATAATCCTCCTCGTAATCTCCACGTCTCTAAAAAACGACACCTGCATGGCATACGGATTCCCACTTCCGTTGGAAATCACCTCCTCGATGCCCGTCGTCGCCCACGAGGACAAACACATCGGGATGTTGTTTTTCCCGGCGGCGCGGGAGGTCGCGCTTTCGCCATCGGCATGGGCGAGTTTGTGCGCTGCGGCGGGGGCGAAGCCGAAGGGGAATCGGATCTTTTGCCCGAAGATCGTGGTGCTGGTGTCGAGGGTGTCGACGTCGCGGAGCACTCGGGGGATGAGTTTGTAGCGGTTATAGGCGGATTCGTTGTCTTTGAGGCTGTGCAGATGTCAGTAATTTTTTGGTGGGGGGTGTGTGGGTTAGAGAACGTACGTGATGAGTTCGCCGGCGCCTTCGTTGAAGTAATCTATTTTTTGCACATGTTAGATTGAGGAACATGATGGTGATGGGGTGGGGATGCTCACCGCGGACAACCGGGGGAAGGCGTTTCTGGGCCTCCAAGGCCAGATCGGCGATGGTGAGCACCTTAGCGTCGTAATCTTGTGGACGGTTGGCCATTGTGATTGTGATGAGGGGAAAGATGGGGATGGTGATAGGCTTGTTCGGAAGGGACTCCTATATATAATTCCGCGGAAGGGCTTGTGTCTGCCCCCCAGGTGAGAAGGCAGTTCCGCGTATCCAGCATGGCAGACTTGTAGATGGATAGCGATAAGATAGTGGAGGGTAGCTGCAGTTAGGGCAAAGACAGGCAAGTGATCCCGGCCCGTGCCAAACAGGAAGGTTGTCGGCTTTCCTGCGATAAGATAGCGGTTTTGCTGCAGCGTCACCGCTGGTTTCTTATATTTACTGCATCAACTGCACACAGGCAGGAGACCAGGTTGCTCAATCACTCACCATGGCACCATCTGTTCACCAAGTCCTGCCTACCTCGGCCTACTATGCCCCCGGCGTCCTCTCGACGTCGTCCCGACTCCTTCATGTGTCGGGCCAGCCGGGCACCATCGAGGGCACTGCCCCGGCCGATTACAACTCGCAGATTCATCTGGCTCTGGTGAATCTGCATCGTGTGATGGCTGCCGTTGGTGCTACTGTTCGGGATGTCGTCAAATTGACCTACTACATCGTCAACTACGACCCTAACAACCGCCTACACACCCGGCCTCTGCAGACCTGGTTGGCTGGCCATCGGCCCGCCATGACCCTCGTTCCTGTTCCTTCGCTGGCCGTCCCCGGCTGGCTGTTTGAGATTGAAGCCACGGTCGCAGTGCCTGAATCTATACCGTCATCGTTGTCCATCGCCTCTCCCACTGAAGAAGTGGACGTGCTCGTCATCGGCGCCGGACTGTCCGGCCTCATGGCTGCCGAAACGGTCCTCCAGACCGGTCACTCGTGCCTTGTCCTCGAGGGCCGCGACCGCGTGGGCGGAAAGACGTGGTCGTGTCCGCTGCCCAGTGGCGAGGGCGTGATCGATCTGGGCGCCGCTTGGATCAACGACAGCAACCAGAGCATGATGGCCGAGCTGGCACGACGAGCTGGCGCGGATCTGATCGAGCAGAACACTACAGGCAACTGTCTGCTGCAGCGGGAGGACGGGGCTATCACGGTCTTTCCCTACGGACAGACTCCTCGCGTACGTCTCCATCGTCAATGATGCGCTACTCTACTAACATCACTAGATCACCGCCCAAATGCAATCCGAGATGGAAGCCATCCGCGACACCGCCGAGGCCGACTGCCAGGCCGTCGACTGCAGCCGACCCCGCGACGCCAGCCTCGACTCGCTCTCCTTCCTGGCCTATCTGCATTCGCGCAATGCCAGTCCCGCAGCCATCGCCAACGCGTCCGTCTGGACCCGCGCCATGCTCGGCCAGGAGCCACAGGATGTGTCAGCCCTCTACTTCCTCAACTACTGCAAGTCCGGCGGCGGACTGCTCCAGATGCGGTCGGACCGCAAACACGGCGCACAGTACCTGCGAGTGCGCCAAGGGACACAGATCTTCGCGAAGACGCTGGCCGCGGCGCTGCCAGAGGGCACGATCCGGTTCGGGGAGCGGGTCACAGCCATCACACAGAAGGAGCGCGGAGTGACCCTCGTGGAGTCCAAGGGACGGCTGATCAAGGCGCACAAGGTGATCTGCTCGGCACCGACACCAGTGTTGAAGACCATCCGCTTCGACCCGCCGCTGCCTCCCAAAAAGCAGCTCCTGGTGGACTCGTTCCGCTACGGATACTATACCAAGGTGATGTTGTCATTCCGGTCCGCGTGGTGGGTGACTCGCGGGTACTGTGGCCTGACGCAGTCGTTCTGCGGCCCGGCGTCCATCTATCGCGACACGAGCAGTCCGGCCGATGGCAAATGGGTGCTCACGGCGTTTTTGGCGGGTGATGTTGGACGCAAGTGGTCGGAGTTGGAGAGTCAGCGCGAGCGTGAGCAGGCGTTGCTACGCCAACTGGGCGAGATCTATGGCGAGGCGGATCTCCCGGCACGCGAATTCATCGAGGCCATGGGCCACGAGTGGTCGAAGGAGGAACTGTCGGGCTGGGGATGCCCGTGTCCGGCCCTGCCTCCAGGCGTGTTGAGCGCGGCGGGCGATGCGCTGCGGGAACCTTTCCGCGACGTGCATTTCGTGGGCACCGAAACAGCCGAGGAGTGGAAGGGGTACATGGAGGGGGCGGTGCGCAGTGGTCGGCGGGGGCATTGGAGGCTGTCAAGTGGCTGACGCGAAGCAATCTGTAATACCTATCTCGATGCCGTTATGCCATAATAAATTCTCTTCCTTTTACATTCCGCGTGACGGGTTGTTGTGAGGGCACGTGCCCTCAGCAAGCGTGACGTGTCCTCTCCAACCTCTTCTGGTTGAACCCTGATTAATCTCTCTGGCAACCAGCCATGCTGGTGTCTGGCTATCATCACCCCCGAGGTGCGGGTCCAGATCCTAACGCTCTGGGCCATCGGCGTGCCCACCCAGGAGATTTCCACTAAGCTGCGCGTGCCGACCCGGACCTGCCAGCAGCTCATCCAGAAGCCCAGGGCGCGGGGATACAACCCTCACCAGGACTTCGCGTCCGCAAGGAACACATCGAGGACGGCAAACGATCTGGTCGACCGAAAACCCGCGTGGCTCAGCCTGCCGACGACCCTGAAGGCGAGCAGCCCCGGATAAACGCGTCTCCGAGCGAGCGCTGATCGCATCCATCTCCATCCTCCATCCTCTCCCCGATCCATCTCCGCGTCTCCTAACCACCACCACCACCATCATCATCATCACCACCACACCAATGGCAATAACCCACCTCTCCATGCCTCCTTGACTACCAATTCCATCCTCCACACCAATCCCTCATGCCGCGCCCCCGTCGCCTCTCGCTACTCGCCTCCCTCCTCGCCCTCTCCCTCCTGTACACCCTCTACCACCACCACCGCACACCCCCCTCGCCCCCCTCCAACCCATCCCCGACGATTGTCCCTCCCACCCCGACCTCTCCGACATCCTCGTGATCCTCAAAACCGGCGTCACCGAATCCCGCGATAAAGTCCCCATCCACCTAACCACCACCCTACGCTGCATCCCCAACCACGCCCTCTTCTCCGACTACATCGAGCCTCTCTCCCCCACAATCTCCACCCACGACGTCCTCTCCTCCCTCTCGCCCTCCCTCATCGCCACAAACCCCGACTTCGACCTCTACCGCCGAGTCCGCGCCTCCGGACCCTCCGCCCTCACCCCCGCAGACCTAAACCCCGACATCAACACCCCGATCGGCAAACCCAACAACCCGGGCTGGAAACTCGACAAATGGAAATTCCTCCCCCTGCTGGACGAAGCGCTCCTCCTTAAACCCGACGCGAAATGGTACGTCTTCATGGAAGCAGACACTTACATCCTGTGGGATAATCTCCTCGTTTGGTTGAAACGGTTCGATCCACGGGAAGCGGTGTACCTGGGAAACCAGATGCAGATCGTGGATGCGATATTCGCGCACGGCGGGTCGGGGTTCATCCTATCCAAACCTGCTGTCGTGAGGGCCGTGGAACATCGCAAACGAAGCAGCGATGGGTGGGAACGCGCCGTGGGGGAACATTGGGCGGGCGATTGTATGTTAGGGATCTTGTTGGAGGATGTGGGGATTGAATTGACGTGGGCGTGGCCGATGATGCAGATTGCGCCTCCTGGGGAGATGGATTATTTTTCCCTTGGGTATGAGAGGAGGCCGTGGTGTTATCCGGCGGTGTCGTTTCATCATTTGGATGAGGGGGGGATTAAGCAGCTACATACGATGGAGAGGGAGAGGAAGGAGAAGGGAAAGAATAAGGGTCCCCTGCTTTACAGGGATGTATTCCTGGACCTCATGCGGCCGGAGTTGCGGGATATCAGGACAGACTGGGATAATCTCGTCGAAGGGGAGGCCGTGCCCGTGTCTAGCTTCGCGGCTTGTCGGGGCGTGTGTTCCCGGGAAGCTCTGTGTTTGCAATACGCCTATAACGAGACGGCGAGCGAATGTCGCACCTCCAAGGTGTTGGCTCTGGGTCAGGCACGCCCCGGGGTAGGGCTGTCGGCCGGGTGGATGACGGAGCGGATTGATGCCATGGCGGAGAGTCTGGGCGAGTGTGGTGAGATCAACTGGATTTGATCTCCTTTCTTCAATTCAGCATATTCAATCTTACACAGCGAACAGCTAGCCAGCTAGCATACACACATATATACACATCATCACCTACCCAACCACCCCCGCACCCGCAAACCCTTTAGCAGGCGTATACCCCTCAACCCTAACCACCCCCCACTCCCTCTAATCCTAAACTCCCTCGCCAACCCCCCCACCTGCAACCCACCCATCTCCGCCTCCCTAAACCGAAACTTCCCAATAACCACCTCCCTCCCGCCATCCCAATCACAATAATCAAACACATGCACCTTATACCACACCGTCACCGCCTCCCCCGTCTCATCCACCCTCACCACACCCGTCACACTATACATGAACCCCCCCAAACTGAGATACCAATCCCAGCTCTCCTCCGAAGTAGCCGTATACTCATGCCAGAAACTCGTGAACGAGATGGACGTAAGCTGCGGGTTCATGAGCAGCGATTGGAACGCAAGACGCGATTTGAATTCCGCCAGAGCGTGTACTTCGGCCCGGAAGTTCGGGAGAGAGGCCATGAGCTCGTCGGGGGAGATGGTCGCATCGCGGCCCGTGTTGGAGAGGTAGTGGGTTAGGTATGTTGCGAAGTGTGGCTGGCCTTGGGTGTGCGCGGCGCGGGCGAGTCCGTACAGGGTCGTTTTGGTGATGTGGTCGGTGTTGCTGGCGATGCGGGTGCGGTAGGGGTAGTAGGGTGCGGTGGCGGGTTTGGGGGGTCGAGGGGGGAGGGGGGAGGGTGGTGCCGTAGGAGGTTGTGGGGTGGGGGTTGTGAGGAGGATTTGGGAAAGGAGGGAGAGGATGAGGAGGAGTATTCGCATGGTGAATGTTATAGATCGTGCTTAGACAGTGGGTGGTGAGATGAGGATGAAGATGGCGACATTATAGAGAAGATTGTGCAATTGGCAATTAGCACGAGGGAAAGAATCAACCCTAAGATCAACAGCCCGTTTACTGTGACGGACAGTCGCAGATGAAACTTAATTAAGGACCCTGCTTGTTCTTCTCAAACGGATCGGCGTGGCGAGTGGAGATTCAGGCGGGTCTGGTGCCCTATCGCTGGCTTGGGGTGGTCTTGTTCGACACGGAACTGGCTTGGCGTTGATCTTTGCTACTCAAGATTAGGAGTGCGGTGTTTGGGCCGCGTCAGCTTTTGCCGGGTGATGGCTGTCAGGCAGGGTGTTTGGGTTTGTTTGCTAGAACGATGGGGGTGTTTGCTGCGGTAGTGTTTGTGTATGCTGGACTGACGTCCGATGCAACCTGTCAGACCCTTGGCCCCTTGAGGTAGCGGGACGATGCAGGGTCGAGCTCTGCCGCTAGATACCGTTGGAACTTAGCCCACCTTATCTCCCCACTAGGTAAAGCTTGAGACAAATAAACAACCCCCACACAATACAAGACATACCACTCAGCGTTTTAAGGACGTGAATGAAGAAGGGGAGATTCTATCAATGTCACTACTCAAAACAAGAGAGTCATCTCATATCCACATCCAACCGTTTTTGCAGTCACCCCCGAACCCCTATCTTATCAATCTCTCCGCTCCGCGTACACCTAATCATATTAATGCCAAGGGTCACTGTCCTGGTGGGGGTGGTATACTGGTGTCTGACGATAGGTGTAATATATCTCTTTATCTGTTCAGTTGACCGGTAAGATGGTGTCAAATAGTATCAGCTCGAGGCAGGAGGCACCTTGGAATACTACTAATATATATAATATTATTCACTACTACTATCCACAAAACATTTGACATCAAAACCATCAACCGCCAACACCCACCTATGCTATGTACAGTATATTTGCTGATGTCATTCCTGAGTCAGTTTATGTATACATCCAGGCTTTCTCCGACAGGTAATGTCAATTTGCCTCGAATCCATCAACTTCCACCTAAAATGTCGCTAAAACATAGGCGTCCACTATCCGAGGTGCGTCCTATGGGGTCATGACACCTACAAAGAGATCTGCGACGACGAGATCCTTCAATCCGGAGATTTATCAGACCGCGAAGGATTCCGAAGATATTCGACATCATCATAAAGTATACAGAAGAATATTTCAGCTTACATAGTGAGGTTGACATTACGAACAGAGCCTAGGAAGAAGAATTCATATTTTACCAACCCTCACTAGGTATCATCATCCTCTCTACTCACAACCTCACACTGGCAACCCACCCCCACAACGATTTCTCCCAAGCCGATGGTCTCCCTCGCCACCTACGGTTGATGTGTGATAATGAATACAGACTGTTTTAAAACATTACAATTTGAAGCCGAGAGCTTCCGGGGTAATTTCCTTTCCAAGCATGGTTTTCAGTTCTCCCAATAACATATATAAGTATCCCATCAGATATGGAAATGGGTAGCTAATGCAATCTCTTATCTTGTAGGCAAATGATCAGACTGACTGTCAGTCGGTCGTCAGTTCTGAGAATAATTGCTCATGCAACATCGGCCCACATGTCGCGATATTTCACTATCACTCGCTAATGTCCACCTATATATTTGCCGAATGGACTGGGGGTTGGCATAAGCGAAGATGGGTCTCGGGTGACACAATCAGGGACAGAGTGGGGAAGTTGTGCTTCTGTCATGGGATAGGAACAGGAAATCTATGATAAGATTTCAGCTGGAAAATGGAACTGGCTGGTTTTCGGGTCGAGGTGCGGCGCACGGGTTGATCCTAAGCAGATATCATGTCGGACAGTCCATTTGCATTTATCCGGACCAACCCATAAATAATGATAAATGATACATTCTTCCAGTGAGAATTCCAAGAAGAAAGCATCTGAGAACCGACTTTCTCTGTCAGTCGGTCAGTGCGGTTGCTCATCGCGAGCCCGGCTCGCGTCATCACAAAGGCCAATGGCACAATGCACCCCACCATCCCTCGATCTGGTGACAAAAGCCGAGTGATATCTCGGCAAAACAAGGAGCTAGGCACTAGCTGCAGCGGTAAGCGATGTTCAGAATGACTGCAATATGTCCATCGATGGTGTTATCGTCAATGTGCCGATGTACGGAGTTGACAGGAATGGTGTGATGGAGGGTATAAATGTAGATATTTTCAGGGTGGAATGAAGTGGTGATTGTGGAGAGCAGGAATTCAGTCGCATTGCTGCTGCTAGTATATGCATATAGTAGAATGGTCCCTCTAAGCCAGTATCTGCTGCTCGCAGCTCTGCCCTTCACCATCGCGGACGGGCAATACCGCTCGCGTCCCGATCTCGCACCCCCAAAGCTGAACATCACCGTCCCGGCCCCCGATGCTAACGGTACCGAGTATGTGTTTATCGCTCCCTACTCGGAGTCTATCCAACAGGGCGGCGCATACATCTACCGCAAGGATGGAGACCTAGTCTGGTCAGGGATCGGGTACTACGAAGGCTTTGTCGGTAACTTTCACGTGACGACATACCATGGCGAAACCGTGCTGCAGGGCTTCCATGGTACAATCGACTCGTCGCATGGCGAGGGCTTCGGTCAGCATCTGATCCTGAATCACAACTATGAGCACGTGGTATCTGCGAAGACAGGCAACCATCGCATTCCTTCTATCCACGAGTTCAACGTCATCGATGGAAAGACAGCACTGGTGGAGATTTACATCCCCACTCTAGCCAATTTATCCGCCTACGGCGGAAATGCATCGCAGAAATGGATCGGAGATGGGCTTTTCCAAGGTACATACCCCTACCCAACGCTCTCCCTAAATCTAACCCCCTCAGAATTCGACATCGAAACCGGCGAACTCATCTTCGAATGGAACTCTCTCGACCACGTCAACCCCTCCGGTCCGTCCGTCCCTCCACCCCATCCAACCCACATACTAACCCTAACCCAGACAGCCTAATCACCCTCAACTCCTCCCCCAGCGAAAGCGGCCTCTCCGCCACCCAAACATGGGACTACATCCACCTAAACAGCGTCGACAAAGACTCATCCGGAAATTACCTCCTCTCCTCCCGCCACTTCAGCACCATTTTCAAGATCAACGGTTCCGATGACTCAATCATCTGGCAACTCGGCGGTAACCACTCAACCTTCACCTACAACTTCACCTTTGGCTTCCAGCACCACGCCCGCTGGCACCACCAATCCGAAACCACCGAGATCATCTCCTTCTTCGACAACTCCGGCGACGGATCCATCACCTTCAACAACGTCTCCCGGGCTCTCATCGTCGAACTAGACCACACCACCCACACAGCCACCATCCTCCGCAAAGCAACAGCCCCGTACAACCTCCAGGCCGCATCCCAAGGCAACGCGCAGCTGCTGCCCAACGACCATATCTTCGTGAATTGGGGATCGGCGGGCGCGATCACGGAATTTGATGCCAATAATAAGGTTATTTACCATGCGTTTATTGAGAACGCGGTCAGTTATCGTGGGTTCTTGGGGAATTGGACGGGGACTCCGTATGAGGTTCCGGCGATTACGGCGTATGTGGATTCGGATGGTACTATCCGGTTGTATGGTTCGTGGAATGGGGATACGGAGACGAAAGAGTGGAGGTTTTATCGGGCGGGGGAGGGGAATAGTACGTTTCTTGGGGCGGTGGAGAGGAAGTCGTTTGAGACGAGTTTGTTGTGGGTGGATGAGAGGGGGTGAGTGGTGGGAGTGGGAGGTATTATGCTGAGGCTGTGGGGGTGGGAGGGAGGGTTTTGGCCAAGACGCATTCTGTGGTTGCTACGAAGTATATTAGTGTGTAGATTGATGAGTGGTTTGTAGATGCTTATGAGGATATGAAATGCACGTTAGTGGGCTGTCGAGGGGTATAAACCTGCTTGTTTACCCTTTCCCCAGTATAGTAACTACTCTCTCATTTGCAGATAAACCTCCCGACATTACTGCAATATTAGAGAGACATCTGAAGCAAGAAATGGAAATGATGAAACCAGGCGATATTCTGTATTGAATTCGGAAAGATCCAATCATACCTATCGAGCTGACAGCGCTGATGGACCGTGCGTCTTGGCCATCTGGGATACCCTCATAGGAAGTGAGCCGGGCCTTGCCGCATAACAACTGCCCGGTTAGCTCAATCGGTAGAGCGTGTGGCTTTTATAAAATGCACACCTCAAGGTTGCGAGTTCGAGCCTCGCATCGGGCGAGTTTCTTTTTTACCCGCTTTCCCCCTTTTTTCGGGGTTTCGGGTCCCGTCACAATTTGATGAGGCATGTTACTCTTTTCTCGATGCCCGGAATATTTTGGCTTATATGTGGGCCTACTGATGGTATCAATGATACGAAGACACCATACAGTCCTGGGGAGCGGTTGCCTGCAACGGGCAGTTGCTGTTTTGGGCGCGCGCGGAGGCGCTTGCTGTAAAGAGCCACAGACAGCAAGCCGATCCTCTTGTAATAATCATCCTACTACTATCTCACGTGATCAGAATAATCATCAATTTCATCGCATTTGAAGCCAATAAGCCCTTACGCGTAGAGACGATAACATCATAGAACTTCCCAGCTAGACCAAAAGAGATACCTCTTGGTTAGTGGACTAATTCTAAGGTGAATAGGTTCAGGAGCTGGCACATGATTGCCTAAATGTGGAATAGCTTCATAGCGAATAGGGTTGATTAACTAGCAGCTCCGATTTAGGCTTCCGCCTGGTAGCAGTGAAGGACCGGAGCCATGCCCCACCACCACGTAGTTTTAACGACATTTGCAAGAATATCAGATCTCTTCTGTTCATTTGCACGCACTACCTTCTTGAGTCTCACCAATGATACTTTCCTATCTGAACGAAGCCGGCAAGAGACGATCATTACTCTAGCTTCAAAACGGAACCCTACCGGGTCGGGCATATGTCCCGTGTTGAGCTCTTACTTCCCACAGACACAGCAGACGGATGACTCTTAACCCCCGCAACACTCCGTTCGACCAGCAAGATGGGTCTCTCCAGACAGGCGTAACGTCTGTTCGGAGAAAAGCGATCGCATTCACAACCATCACTGCGCGATCTTTTCGACTTGGTATAGAAGGTCCAGAACGATGCCAGGCAGGCAACCATGATGGCTACTCCCACAGTTAGCTAATCTGGCCACGTCTTGTTACATGCACATATGACTCACCGACACAGATCTCAATGGCATTCCACATGGCGAGCCATGCTGGGTTCAAGATGCCGGTACCTGATACGCTGAGTAACAACCGGACCAGCGCGATGATGATAATAAACGCGGTCAATAAACTGATTCCAATCAATGCCAGCTTTCTCGACAGGTTTATCTGAACCCTCCACATGACGTTTCCGGAAAGGAGGATAACTGCGATATGGCATCAGGTCAGCTCGGGTTGCATCATCAGAAAGCTGAAGCAGGGCACACGTACTGGCTGCATCCGATATAATGTCCATAGCGGTCGCGACCTTCAGACTCACACGTTCATACCAAATTGCATGAGCATTCTGGCAAACCGCTATACATCTCATGGTTAGCACCAGGGCGAGCCGGTGACGAGGGAAATTATGAAGACAGACCGATACTGTCCTTCAGCGAACTCATCAAACACGAATAGTCCAAGACGCCCATGACCCCTCCGTAGCAGGCTATGACGAATACAAGAGCCGCCCACCAGAGGATACGCTGCGCACGATAGCGATTCCCCAATTTCCGGAAGAAGAACACGAAGGATAGTTTGATCAGCCACAAGGCAAGAAAAGAAATCAGATAACCTGCGAGCTGTCCTCGAAGATATCGCTTTTCGACCCATGCAATGTTGCCTGGAATGTCTGAGATATCGAGGGTGGATTCACCCAGAGCCATCATTGGGAACATTTGCTTGTAGATGGCGGACCAGAGTATCGCATTACTCAGATACAATAGCCAAGCAGCCAGCACTAAGATGTCAGTCGCGCTCAGGCTTCGATTGAGATGATATTGGAGCGAGAGCCGGATGAAGACGAAGAAGGAGGAGATGGTCAGACAGACCCAGAGGACGGTCTGGATAGATCGTGAGCTGGGCGAGACGCTCAGAGGAGCAAAACCAGGGAAGGAAGCCTACCACAAACGTGACCTCGTTGATATGGTTATTCGCCATGGTGACCAAGTTTCAAGACAGTTGAATATGCCAACACACTTGTAGGGTCTGGGCAATGGAATAAAGGAAGAGGTTGCCAGATACCCACCTCATGGTCAACATGGCCCGTTCCGCATGTACCTTCGATTTACATGCATCTGCATCTGCACCGGCCGAGGGGGGGACGGGGGGGACGAGAGGCTGGACAAGCAGCAACAAGCACTGTCATATCGTCACACTTGTTGAGAGTTGGCGCCTGCTGCAGGTAAGCAGGCTGACTGCAGGCTTTCCGTTGCATCTCATCTCCACTGTACACCTCTATCCCGGCTTCGAAAATTACGGTTTACGACCGGCGGGACGGTATCGTTCGTACTGCGGCGATATTCGGCAGCGCCATGCTTGCCCTCAAACCATCAGTTGGCTGATCGGCGCGAGTCAGCCGGCAAGGAAGGCGCTTTTTGGGTGGTGTAGGTGATACAAAAGAGATGATTGCACTTCCTTGAAATAAAGACTCTCACCCTTCAAGAATGCTGTCTTTCGGACATTGTCTCTTGATTTCTCCTTTCATCACCCCAGACCCAGAATGCCTCTTAACCCTCTCTCGTCAATTGGGCTTCAAACCGCCGTTGTGGTGACAACGATTGGGTTTACCTCGGCTCATTCGGCCCTGAGGCCCGGTGCTCTGCTTCTCGCTGGAATTTGCACTGGCCACTGTATCTCCACGGCCATTGATTACTTCATTCGCTCGCCCTGGGCTAGCCTCGCGGGAGGTTACTCCGTGATGCTCCTCCTCCATTTTGTCGATATCGGGCTCCTCACACGATGGGAATTTCCTCCGACCAACCGCCGCGACAAGATTGCCGCCGAGTCGTCGCGTGAGCATTCGCAGGGGGTATCAATCCCGTCATGGGCGGACCGACTACGTTTTGGCATTTCGGCTTCAATAAATGCGCGATGCATCGGGACACCCGATCAAGTCCGCAACATTTATCCGTCGCACCATCAAGGTCGAGCCGCCTTCCTTTATCGAACGGCTGGGTTCGCGATCCTCAGCTACGTATTCCTCGACTTTTTCGGAATCATGGAAGATCCGGAAATAGGAAATCGCTTCCTTGTCGCATCTCGAGTACCAATATTCCGGCGCTTGTCTGAACTTACTGCGGAGGAGGTGATCATTCGAATCTTGTTCACTGCCTCAACTGCGGTTGCGCTTGTGAGTATTCAGGGAGGTATCTACAACCTTTTTGCATTTACAAGTGTACTCTCCGGATTCAGTGAGCCACAAGAGTGGCCTTCTTTCTACGGATCACTATCGGATGCTTATAGTTTGCGAAGGGTATGGAGGTAAGTTCATCTGGAACATTTTCTGCTTCTAGCCATAAGTGAAATTAAACTGACCGTGTCTATAGTCGCGTCTGGCACCAGTGCAATACCCACAAGTTTCGCGCCATTGCCCGATATCTGACCCGGGATGTCCTTGGCTTCTCCTCGGGAACCCTAAAAGGTCAATATGCACAGGTCCTGACGGTATTCGCAGTATCGTCTGTCATGCATCTTCTTATTGATCTATCGGCGGGCGTATCAATCTCGAAATCCGGGGCCTTGCAATTCTTCGGCACACAAGCATTGGGCATCGTTGTGGAGGACTTGGTCAGCCGGATGTATTCTGCACTACGAGGCCTTTCCCCCAATCGATCGGTTTCTAAGGGGGAACGGTTCCTAGGGTTCCTCTGGGTGGGCGGTTTCCTGGTCTGGTCGCTGCCCTCATATATTTATCCACTGTTGTATCGGACTAACATGGGCGAAAATGATTGTGTGGTACCGGTGAGCATCATAGGATCTTTGCTGTGATTACGCGGATTCCTCATCCATCACTGTCAGTTCAGGCGTGGGCTTACGCGCAGTCCATGGCGGGAGTCAAGAAGGTTGGAAATGCAATGGATGATGGGAGACCCTGTTAACTGCGGATCAGCACTCCAAACACATCCAGCAGACGATTCATATTACGCAGACAACGCGGTGAATACGGGCTGATAGACGGTTGGATAAACCGCATCAGGATGGGTACGAAGATGTTCAATGAGGGTGGGTGGGAAGTAGAAGCGCTTGCCTGCTCCCTTACTGTGCAATACTATTCTTAGGTCGGGTTCCGGAGGTTGACTAAATAAGCAAAAAAAAAGCCAAGAGGCTAGATATATGAGGGGTACAACATTAAAACTAGGTACACTGTTTCCCAAACAATTCAGTTAGGAACGGCCTCGAAAAGCGCATTGGAACCAACGCCCTGAAAATCCGATCGCCACACCTTGACTACCTTGAATCCGGCCTGATCTAAGAGCTGAAGCCACTGCTTTTCCGTCCGTTCCAGGGCGCCATAAATCTCCATAATGATATCCATGGAGGCGGAGAAGCCTGAAACACCTGATTCCGGTAGTACATTCTCATTGATCAAGAGCACTGAATCGGCAGCCATGGCCTCACGGACACGAGCGAGAGCCTGCAGAGCCTGTTTATCAGGCCAGTCATGCAAGACCGTGCGCAAGTAATACGCTTTGGCGCCCCGGACAGGCTGTGGGTCAAACATGTTATAACCAATGGCTTCGATGCCCTCGAGAAGAGGCTCCGTAATATCTTCAATGATCTTGGGGAGATCCTGCACAATCAGCCGCTCGTTATCTCGGGATGCTTACGCTTGAAGCCTGAAATGTCATGGCCCTTACCACCCCCGATGTCCACCAGGAGCACGCGATCTGCGTCACTGCTCGCCACAAGATTCTCCTTCCACGGGTAGTAGTCGTACCACTGTACCCCCTCCAGGGAACGATTGCCAATTTCCATCACCACGTTGAAGGCGTGCAGCTCCTCTGGGTTGTGTTGTAACCATTCAAAGTGGTGCTCCTTGGTGCCCATGGCGAACTGGAAGGGAGTATCATATGCGTCTTGTGGGTTCTGGTATCCCCTTGCTTTGAGATATTCATGCGAGTAAACGGATGCCTTCATGTCGGAATAGCTGAAATGCTTGCTCTCGTTAGCCTGCGCTCAACGATCCTTAGAAGCACCCAGGAGGGAGGGGACACGTACAAATGTTTGATAACCTCACTGGGTGGGCTGCTGGAAGCAAACATCATTGCCAGCGACAGAGGCTTGTATTTCTCAACTCCTGTCTCTTCGAACACATAATTTGCGCACAGGAGACGCACGATACGCACTATGAAGGTGAATGGTTAGTAAGGCTGGTGTAACTCTGTTCAGGGAAATGGGGAGTCGCAAAGACAAACGAAAATAAAAAAATATAAAGAAAAAGGAAAAAGGAAGAAACGTAAAAGACGAAACTCACCAAGGAGGCCCTTGTCGCCCTTTGTCTTCTCGTCCAGCTCGGCGGCAGTCATTTCAGCACCGTTCACGCCGGCGAAAGCATCGAAAATGCCCATACCCATGGCACTCGGATGGCAACCAGGCCATGGTGCTGCGAAGAGGGGAAGAACGCTCGTTCAGCATCGAAGAGGAGGAGGGCCGGGGGAAGTTTAGGGGAGGGGGGAAGACGCCTGGGTTCCAGGATAAAGAGGTAGGGAGTTACTCACCGCAACGCAGAAATTCCGGATAGTCAGAAGGGGCGGTGCCACAGCCACGCGAAGTTTGTCAATCGCGTCTAGGAGCTGGTACTGAGTTGCCTCGGGAATATCATCTGCAGGAGAAAGCTCGGCCAGAGCCGTGTTCACGGCCAAGGTCAGTTGGGATACGATTTCAGTGATTGGGGAGAAGATAGATTGGGAACTTGGATAAGATGATGGGTGGAGGGTAGGTTTAGGTGACCATGAAGGCTGGCCGACCCAACGGTCTTATATGGTGTAGTCCACGTGACCAGCCGCCGGCGGTTGTCCTGGATAGGCAGGATATCTCCGGACCATACTCACTACCTAGTAGGGACTCTCCAGTTTCTCCTGTCAGCACGAAGATATCGAAGGACCCAACATCACAAGCCCTTCACTGACACTAACGAGTTCCCAGTATACGAGGATCTATACGAAGACTTTTGAGTCTTATCGTCGGCTGGAATGATTCAGCGGCTCTCCGTCTGTATCAGGAGAGTCCCTACATGAAAGTCTTCTGGGAAGATTACGAGGTGTGACTGATAGTCCTTCTTTGTGGCAGCCCAGTCCAGCAGTCTAGAGGCTCTCTGGGTTTTATTAAAGATTTATTTGGCAAGTATGATGATATATCCCGAGCTGCTGAACCAGTACCTGCGCCGGTGGCGCTTTTCACCCATCCATGAGGCATGTGCTGCGGCACACTGGGAACTAATGCTCTGGTTGCTAGAGCAGGAATCGCGGATCATATTTTAGGCAGTCACCCAACTTACTAAGTAGAGGACGGTCGTTTCTTGTATGTTAACACATGTTTGATGTAGAATCGAAAGAATCATTGAATAGTACTATATTGGTAGCAATGTAATCTATGCCTGGCAGCTCAAATGGCCTCTTCTATTCGAGCTTCTAAGCCCCTATGCTAGCCATAATAATACGTGGACTGTCTAGCCAGCCTTAGCACGGGACCTACTGGTCAGTTCTTTGTTTGGAAAACCGAAAACTTGTATGCTGGTATTACCGCGCGTTACACCAACGCGCATAACTGCAGGCTTGTCGATGATTGGCCTCCTGCGTTCCGATGATCGACATGCCACTCAAGCCTTCCTTCCGGTTTAAGGAAGACATGCATCATCCTGCCGGGGATTTTGATAGGGAGCTGCAGCCACATTGGCTTGGTTCCTGCCACACCATTATGATCATGTGCAGCCTGGACCACCTGATTGTATAGTAAAAGCTTGTTATTTTGAATCATACTGAATCCTTGCTCTTTGAATAACTTCCTTCTAGTATGGTATAGAGTATCACGCGTTTACAAAGTAAGTTCAGCATAGTCTGCAAGGCTTGTATAGCCTGCGTGGTCTAAACAGTTTAAGACGGCTTTCTATAGCTTGCGTAATCTGTGTAGCTTGGTGTGACTTGTAGAGTCTGCGTGGTCTACATGGTTTAATATTACTTTATGTAGCTTGCGTAATCTGTCTATCTTGCGTAATCTGCGTAGCTTGGTGTGACTTATATAGTCACGTAGTGTGGTTTGGTATGTATGGTTTTGTATGATCTGTATCTGGGCGTGAATAGTCTCAGGCAATAATAATTCTACAAGCGGTGAGGTTTCTGCAGAGTAACACAAGCGGTCTAGTCTACATGTGATAGAGATGCTGTGGTAGCGGCAGGTACCATCGGTCACTGTCTGTCTTTGTGTCGGATACATCCTTGTGATCTTCCTGATTGCACTTTGCTTCCACCCCATTCTCCATGACAGTCTGCCATAGATTGTCTCCCTGATTCTTTCACAACACTAACAGTTTCTCCCATCACAAAGATGTCCAGTCAGCCAACACAGCCCTCTCCTGGTAAAGACAACACCGTTCAAACCGAGTGTCTGGCTGACCCTGTCCACATACCATCAAGCCAATGGCGACTGGCAATTATCACCGTGTCATTGTGCTGTGGAACCTTCCTTGTTGCCCTTGACACTACGATTCTCAGTGTCGCCGTGCCCAGTATTTCCACAAGCTTCCAGGCTTTTGGCGATGTTGGTTGGTATGGGTCCGCCTATCTTCTCACAGTCACGGCCTTTCAACCCGCCTTTGGTAACATCTTCTAGCTGTTCAACGCTAAAACGACATACCTGGTTGCCGCGGTGCTTCTCGAAGGTATATCAATGCAGCCAGACAAGGATCTCTTGTACCCCCATGTATACGCTGGCTGACTCTAGCAGTGGGATCGGTGATATGCGCTGCCGGCCCCAGTTCCGCGGCCTTCATCTGCGGTCGAGCGATCACCGGGGTTGGTGCTGCTGGATTATACCAAGGCGCACTCAGTATTTTCGGGCTCACTGTTTCATTGGAACAACGACCGATGTACCTGGCGATAGTGCTCAGTGTCTTTGGGATTACCGCATGTCTGGGGCCACCACTCGGCGGAATTCTCACACAACATGCCACCTGGCGTTGGTGTTTCTGGATGTAAGGAACCCCACAGAGAAGCTCAGACATTGATCGCAATATGGCTGACCAGACCTACGCGCGACAGCAACCTTCCCATTGGGGCAGTAGCATTTGTCCTTATCGTATGCTTTCTGAAGCTTCAGCCCCCGCGCGCCAGGATGACACAGCCCATTCTCATGCGCATCCGGACTTTGGATATTCCCGGCATTGTCTTGATCATCGGCTCGGTGTGTTGCTTGATTCTGGCAATGCAGTTCGGCACCAGCTCCGGTTACTAGCGCTCATCTAGGGTTATCGGTCTCTTTATTGGTGCTGCACTGCTCTTGGGTGCGTTTTTCCTCTCCCAGTGGTACCAAGGGGAGCGTAGTACGATCCCTCTTCGCGTTGCCCGTCAGCGCTCGGTCCTGATGGGGGTTTGCTTTTCGTTCTTCTTGGAGATCAGTGTTTACGTGGTAGGTATCCTTGACTCGAGTTGAGAAGAATGTCTGGATTTCTAACATCCTTGGATGCTACCAGACACTTTATTACATTCCATTCTACTTCCAGTCCGCACAACTAGTCTCGCCAACTGTCAGTGGTGTCCGCGGGATCCCACTAGGTGTTTCACAGATCGTGGCCGTTGTTCTCACTGGAGCAGTGGTCTCCATGACAGGACATTACGTGAGTTCATGTCTTACCCACTTCATTACCCTTGACTCATGTGGATATCAGGTTCCGTTCATGGTCCTGGGTCAGATTGTTTCTATTGTTGGAACGGTTTGCCTGACCAGGCTCGAGGTCGGCACACCAACCGCGCAGTGGGCGACGTTCCTCGTGATTGCCGGCGTGGGACATGGCATGGGTCTGCAGATGCCATTTACAGCTACTCAAGTTGTTCTGAGGTGAGGCTTTAATGTTATCATTCCCTTTGCGAAGGATCTATTTAACACCACTGAAACTCTTTCAGCGAAGATGATCTTTCTATTGGCAATGGTGAGTACTCCCTTCTGGACCTTTCTTTGTCGCACTGACTGACAACCTGCAGCAATAACATTATTCTTCTCCCAGCTTGGCGCGTAAGCAATACCCTACAACTAGGCAACCCCACTCATGAACTAACCCTTAGATTTTCAGGGCTGTGGCTATCGCCCCGGGGGAAAACATCTTTCACACCAGCATCGCCCACCATGTCCAAGCATCCCATCTCTCCGTCTCCGCCGCGACGGTCATCGCCGCCGGGCCAACCAAGTTACAGTCCCTCACCACAGACGCGACAACCCTCCACAAACTACAGGATGCGTATGCCTACGGAACCAGAATGATCATGTACTTTTCTCTGGCGGCGTCCTGTGCCGCAGTACCATTTGCTTTGGGCATGGAGTGGCGCAATGTGAAGAAGGAGGCAGAGAAGAGGAGCGCGAAGAAAGCAGCGGAGGAGGCAATCATCGATAAAGAAGAACCCGCAAAGAAGTGAAGAGTAACGATAGCACTCACTGTGTGTAGAATTCTCAGTTAATCTCTTTCTCTGTCCCTCTTTCTTTCCTTTGAAGTTGAAAATGGTGTGTTGCACATCGTGTCACACATTCCGTGGATCAAGCCTTCACTATCCCTTGATTCTTCCTGAAATCCGACCCCTACATGGTCACTAGCAATGTCTTTACATTCATTGTAGATCCCAAACAAGCTTCTTCCAGTTCGTTTCGTATCATGTTGCGTGCGGAACAAATGTTCCCCGCTTCCTCAGGCCGCTGTTACACATCCCCTGCAACGGCTTCCCGGGTAATTTATCCCCTCGTGGGAAATCGACCCCGTTTTGCAAATCTTACCACCCAACTGTAATGGGTATTGACCTAGATTTTGGTAATTCGGACAATTTCCCTCACCAGGCCCCTCGCTCTACTGTTATGGCATGCCTACCATACCTGTCTGACAAGCGTTACTCAACATCAGTCGCGCATTGGAGGGAGAGGGCCGAGCAATATCCACCTTGCTGCCCGTTTGACATGGCTGTAGCAGAGATGAAGACCATTTGCAAATACTAGAAAATAATTTCGAGCCTTGTTGGTGAGGTACAAAGCGCAGGTTCTGACGTGCATCCGGCTGACATGCGTAATGCTAACAGCTTGCATAGAGAATCAAACACAAGTACACTATGTTAGGGTTTGAGCATAACGATGTGCCATATTTGGCTTATGCCTCCACCCCGAATACATCGAACCTCTCCGTAAAGAGATCGAGATTAGCCGCAGCATCCTCAGTGCCGAAGACTTCATCGACCATCTACCTTTACTAGATAGTTTCCTACGCGAATCCGCTCGGCAAAATGCACTCGATGCACGTAAGTTCCCCTCTACCCACTCATCACTGAATCTAAATTCATCCCCAACAGTGACAGTCCAGCGCATGGCCCTCGTTCCTTACACATTTTCCGACGGCACACACATCCCAGCAGGAAACCTCATTGCTGTTCCGCAGGCAGCAGTCATGCAAGACCCGCGGTATTATCCCGATCCGACGGAATTCAACCCATACCGCTTCATGCGGTCGACGAGACGGACGGATCCATGAGGGCTTTCCCGAAGTATACAGATGTGCGCTGGAATCATCCGTACTGGGGATCTGCGAAACGGGCTTGGTGAGTTACATTATCTTTTGAGAATAGTTTGCTGATGGTGAATAGTCCCGGGCGATGGTATGTTTCAAGCACGTTTAAACAGATTCTTGCTCGTTTGATTATGGAGTATGATGTAAAGTTGGCGGATCCTGATGCAGCACGGAGCTTTGTGTGGACGACGGCGATTGTGCCGCGCAGGAGTGCGATGGTGATGTTTCGGGAGAGGACATCGCTTGATGAATGTTTGTATGATCTGGGAGATTAGTAGTGTTTATTGTGATATTAGTCCAGTGGGGATTTCGTGCATCAAGAAATGAACACCTGCTGGGAATTTACCGTGGAATGACCTTCCGCGTGGGTACACATAAGTCACTGGCCTCTGGTCTGTGTCAAATGTGAATGCTGATCCCAAGGGTATCTGGTTTAACTAGTTGTATCTGTTGTCTGACCACCCAACCCAGAGCCCTAACACATCTCCCCAATTCCTCTGCACCGAGTAATCACCCCATGCACTTACCATACTCACTAACATAAACTGCATCTACCCTCCGCAAATCAAATTCCACTAAATAGTAAGCTCCCCCTCTTCCCATATGATCCTCAACCAAAGACGTCATACACACCCTCCCCAAGACACTAACCAGACCCTGACCCACAACGGTGTCTCCATAGCTCAAGCCAAGAACACCCATCGCTATAAAGGCATCCACATGGCGCACGTTAAACACGATGCCAAGTAGCCAAGGCTGCAGGGCACAGCACAGCCCCTGCTGGTTTGATCCTTCGTGGGCGGGGATGGGGCTCGTGTTCAGGCCCTGAGGTGATAAATTGACGACGTCGCGTGGGAATGATTCCTTCCGACAAGTCCATGTCATCTTCCTCAACAAGATACCGTAGTGACTGCAGACTTGCCTGTATGTTTCTTTTTCTTGTTATGTATTTGGTGCTTGATTCACTAACTCCATTCTCTTGTTAGGACTATCAATATGACCTCTCCTCAACCAAACACTTACTCTATGGGTCCGGAACTCGAATCCAAACCTCCTGCAAACCAAGGGTATCAGTTACCGACCGAGTTACATTGGGTGAATTGGTCGTGGCGACGGTGTTTGGTTTATTGTGTGATTGGGATGCTTATAGGGGGGCGGTTGGGGCGGTGGTGGGGGTTATTGTGAGGTTTGCGTGATGGTGAGGCAGAGGGGTGGATTTGATGATGATGTTTCTGAAGAGATATCTGGACTTGGTTTGAGTTTGGTGGATTGTTATTATACCCTTGGTTTTTGTTAATTTTTACTATGACTGGATGATGGGGTTAAGCTGAGGAATATTCCTACGATCGCGATCTGCGTATGTGAATAGTGAGGCTTTGAGATCCTATTGGCTGTGTGATTATGATAAAGTGAACCGCAGACGGGGAATATATCCCGTGGAAATGAATGGGAGAAGTCATCACCCATAACCAATCGAATTTAATCCATTTTAAATCTCTCCAGATATTCTATAGTAGGTAATAATTACCCCACAAAGTCCTATGGCTAACATCAGTGACGCAGCATGACGTGCGCATTCCGTAGTAGCCGAATGGAAACTCAATTGCAACCCTACATGGGAGCGAGCCTCTTACGTATCCAGGTACCTAGCTAGTACCTACATATAGCATCACATTTCCACACATACCCAAACACTTTAACCATCAATATAACCCTCACCTCTACCACTCCATCAATAACATGACATGACACAACCCACCACCAACCAACCATGGCCGCAACAACCGACCTCCTCATAATCGGCGCCGGCCCCGCAGGCCTAATGGCCGCATCCTGGGCAACCCAATACCCCAACATGACGACGCGAATCATCGACAAACGGCCCGGTCGAACACCCACGGGACACGCGGACGGACTCCAAAGTCGGAGTTTGGAGATCCTGGAGAGTTTTGGGATGGTGGATGCGATTGTGCAGAAAGGTGTGCGGCATGCGGAGATGTGTTATTGGGTATTTATTTTTACTATCCAATGCTGATTAGTGGAATGTGATATGGGATGCTAATATGGGGTAGGGGAGGAATCAATACACGGGGGGATTGAGAGGGAGAAGAGGAGTCGGGCGAGGGTGGGGGATGGGGAGAGGTTTAATATGGTGTTGTTGAATCAGGGGGTGGTGGAGCAGACGGTTTTGGATTTTTTGAGGAATGGGGGAGGGGGAAAGGTGGAGGTGGAGTATGGGGTTAGGGCTGAGGGGTTGGTGGTGAGGGATGGGGATGAGTATCCGGTTGAGGTTGGGGTGAGGAGAGTTGGGGAGGATGGTATGTATGATGACGATTTTATGGTCGCGGATTGGCTTATTGTGTGGTAGGGGTCAATGGTGAGATGGAGGTCATTCGGGCACGATATATCATCGGGTGTGATGGTGCACATAGCTGGACTCGAGAGCAGCTGAAGGTGCCGGTTCGGGTCTGCTCGGGGGATTCCACTTGGGGGGTTGTTGATATTGTCCCGATTAGTGATTTTCGTGAGTTGCTTGTCGGATGAATGGAGATGACTGACTAATCATGGCATTAGCGGACATTCGTCAATCCTGTGCGATACATTCCGGAGATTATGGAAGCATCATGACTGCGCCTAGGGAGAATCGGCTCGTCCGGTTTTACACGTATCCCAAAGGTGATGGGAAACTCAATGTCGAATGGAGGGATCGGTCGGAGGTCTCTCTCGATGATTTGGTGGATTCCATACGAAACGCGATGAGGCCCTATAAGTTGACGTATAAGCACTGCAATTGGTGGTCGATTTATAAGGTGAGCATATCGAGAAATGCAATGTGGAAGACTGACATGGCGTAGATAGGGCAGCGGTTGGTTGAGACGTACAGACCACACGATAGGTCGGTGTGTCTCTCTGATTCCGGGATAGATGCTGATAGATGCAGGGTTTTCCTGGCTGGTGATGCAGCACATACTCATTCTCCCAAAGCAGGTCAGGGGATGAATGTATCCATGCAGGATACGTATAACCTGGTGTGGAAGATAGGATCAGTCATCACAGGGACAGCTGCCCCAAGGATTCTCGACACATACGATCTGGAACGACGGCCAGTTGGAGAGGAACTGCTGAGGCTGGATACCGAGCTGGTAGAGGCATATGAACAAGACACAACCACCACAGAAGGGGTGGAACGTGTTCGTGGAAAGTACGTGGATTTCATGACGGGGGTGGGAATCGCCTATGGTCCGAATGACCTGATTACTGGCGATGATGGAAATCAATCGATCGCCAGGAATATCGAGGTTGGCGTGCGCCTGGCATCATATCCAGTTGTAGCCCAAGCCGATGGAGTGTGTTTGCAGCTTGCAGGCAGATTCACGAGCAATGGTGCTTGGAGGCTGTTGGTATTCCCTGGCGACTTGCGTCAACCTCACAATCAGAGAAATCTGGATAGCTTTGCCGGCAAGTTCAGCAATCAGCCTCATCTGTCACGATGGCAGAAAGCGCGAGGGTCAGGCCGATGTTGTCCCCTAGAAAGTATCCTGGTGCATTCCAGCCCGAGGACGTCGATCAACCTCTTGGATTTGCCGGATATGTTTCACCCATTCGATGAAATATGGGGCTGGGATTACTCCAGGGTGTTTGCTGACGATGGATCAGAGGGCTGGGATTTAGGCCATGTCTATGACGGATACGGCATTGAAAGAGATACCGGATGTTTGGTTCTCTGTCGTCCTGATCAGCATGTTGCGTGGATAGGTAGCATGGAGGAGGTGGAAACATTAGAACATTTCTTTGCTCGAATATCACAATGATATTAGATTTCTTACATAACATCCCTAGGGCATCATGACTACAACCCCATCGACACTAGACCGCAGAGAGAACCAGCTGATATGGCAATAAGCATCCAGAACAACGTGCTGTACGGAGATGAATATGCGACCGATAAATGCCACTTCATAAATTCAATTGCATAGATGACCAACCTTCATCAGCGCTATGCAGAACCCTGAACCCGAGCTCAACGCTTGGTGGAGTCGGAGCAACCTATCCGCACTTCGGCAAAAAGCCCCTGCCACTCAGCAGCCGCGATCCCAGGCATGGAATGTTCGATTAGCCTTCCGGCCCCGTGAATGGCGTTGGAGCTGCCAGGATGGGCACGGACCCGGTGAGGTAATGATGATGTGTGTAGGTCTGATGTCATGATTGTGCCCATCCCAGTTTATCAAGGGATTATCTGATTGATCAATTCGCGTTTCTGCAGATCGGGTGCATACCATAGCATAGTATTTGCTAACTGCTACATTGGTGTGGTAATTATGTTATGATTGAGTGAGGCTTGTATAACGTATATTCTTTTGTCTGTCTGTATAGAGCTGGCTTTGTCGGATTGTGGGCATTGTTCCTTCTCTCGAACAGTCAAGGAGGTAACATAGATACTATCACTATTGTATCTCGTGCCATACTAGTTACAAAGAAGAGAACAAACTCCACCAGAAACAACAACCATCAGAATGGCCATCTCCCCCTTCCAGCCTCATTCCAAAGAGTCCATAAGAGAAACACCCGTCAACCCCTCCTTTCCAACCCTAGAAAGAACCAATGATCCAGAATGACTTCACCGTAATAAGCACCCCGCATACAATATCCTAAAGCAGACTGTATCCATCAATAAAACTGACATCAATCACTCGCAATGATCATGTCATCCAACCTCAAGATAACAATATAAATACCCTGCTAACACCCCGGTAACCTCACTCTCTCAACTTCTCCCAACTCCCAATCCATAACACAGTCCAACACTTCGAATTGGGGCGACCTGGCCGAAGACATATCTTGGACGAGTGTTTGTTATCAATTTATACCGATTATGTGTAATCTAATGCAGCGCAAAGGCACCCACACCTCCAGTAGCAGCTTCCAGTCTGGAGAATAACGGACCCGAGAAGCAGGTCACAAGGGGGGCAATCGTCTAGTGGCAGTTTCGAACCTGGGGATCGATCCCCAAGCCAGGGAGGCGGGTCGGAAGGGTGGTTCTCGAAGTGGAGATGAGCCAGAGGAGTGATGGATTTGATGATTAAGTGTTTACGGGGTAAATCATGGGGATGAATTTTTAGTTTACCGGATGTGGATGGAAGGGTAATATGAAGTTTGGGTTCAAATCCCGAGCGCTTTTGGTTTGATTGTACGAAGATGGAGGACCAGTGATTGTTCAGATAGTACTGTGTATTAATTAAATTTGCTTTTTGCCTCTGTACCTTCTATCGCCACCGTCAACCAGACCCCAAAGACACCAGGAACACCCCGCATATGCTAGCCACCTGCATCATCCCTGCCATGCCACTGGAAGGTGAAACTTCCCGTCGCGTCATAGATATATATATAGTCCAATAGGAATTGAAGAAGTAGAAAGACGATAAAGAAGAAATAAAAAAAAAGAGAAAAAGAAAAAAGCCCAACTCCACATTACAGACATGGTCGATCATGAAAGCCCACCGTGTACAGAGCATCAACGGATCCAGTCCAAAGAAACACTCCCGGGCAAATAATCAATCAGGGTCTATTCGCTCCTGTTCCACAGGGCCACCCCCCCCAGAGCCCTCAAGGTGCAGGACATCCTGAAACTCAAAGGGCAGTCCATGCTCCTTGTTCGGGCTCCCCGTGCGCGACAGATCGTCTGTCCTCCGATCCCCAGCCGTAGTGGATCTGTGGGAGATCTGCTTCACCATTCGTGCCAGGTGGCGCTTGATGCCATCATCTCCACACTGGGAGTGTCGTAGCAGCTCGTTCTTCAGACTCAAAATCTCTCCCTTCAAGTGATCCACCTCACTTTCCAGTAGAGTATTTTGCCTGGAAACCGTCTCGCATCGACTCTCCAGCTGCTTGGCATGTTCCTTCTTCTTCTTGCGACATTTGTTGGCGGCCACGCGGTTGCGCTCGAGGAAGCGCTCTCGTTTGCGCCGCTCGCGGTCGTCGTGTTGGAAGCCTGGCGAAGCAGGTCGCTGAGAGCTGCCTCGGCGGCTGTGACTGGGGCTGTCGGCGCTGCTGTAACTGGAGATACTGAAGCGGGATTGGGTGCTGCTGATGCTGCCGCGGGAGGTAATTTCGTGCATGGGCGTAGGGATTTGGCTGGGGGCAAAGGTGAAAGTCTGGGCCGTGGAGTACTTTCGATCGTCATCGCTGGGCCGGTGGATGGTCTGACAGGGGGCGATGAAGCTGGCCTCGGAGCTAGCAGTGGAGTCGGTTCGGGGAGCGGGGCAGGCGGGCCAGGTCACCGGTGGCGAGAATGCATTGGCACTGGCATTGCCATTGAACAGCCATGGGTTGTTGTTTTCCTGCAGCATGGGAAGGGAAAGATATTCCGGGGGAATGGTCGTGTCCATGAAGAAAGGAAGGGAGTCGGGCCAGGTCTCGTCGGGGCCAATGATGGCTGGTGGGCCTGACAAGGGACCGCACAGGTTCAGGTTGGCGGACATTTTTACGTCGGCCATGAGTGGAGTATCAATTGGCAGAGGGATCAAAGGGTGTAAAGGAAGGCTCGGACAATTAAGGGCGCAATTGGCGTTGATCCAGCCTGGTATTTATAGTCTGGGGGAACAGAATAGGGGACGCGACAGCGATTGGGGGAAAGCAGGCCGTCCGGTGAATCGCCGTAAGTAAGAGGACTGAGCGGTTGGTCGATAAGGTTAAACCAGTGGGATCCTGGATCGGCAACCTGGCGGGCGTTCGAGACAGTCAGACCGTAGGGATATTATATCCGGCTGGGGAACGAGGGCTGGGGGGGGGAGCATAGTAGGAGCGCGGAAGCGCCTGGGATCCGCTGGGGGCAAGGTGTTGACGTAGCCACCAATTGGCCCGGTAGAAGATCGCGCCTCTCAGAAGCGCCGCCGAGGGGGGAGCAACTGGGAACCGGATTGAAGTGATGGTTGGGTGGAGTCGGGCCCTTCCAGCATGACGTTTCGAGTCGATCAGATCCCGGCTCCCAACTTAATGCTGGCGGGTTCCACGGATGTCCCGGCAGGTACTGACTCGGCGCTGGTGACATCCTCGACCTCGACCGTCTCAACCGATTATTCGTCTTCCAGGTTACACAACACAATGCTTGACGACACGAGGGGAGCGCCTGTTGATGTTGTTTGTTGTTTGTTTACCTTCATCCGACAATGCCTTTTCCGACCGTGGGCGGTTCCATCGAGAACCATCTGTCCAGCCAGACAAGTTGCAATGCGACCGCGATGATGACAAATCCACCATGATGGTCTGACTTTGCCCATCAGGATAATTCGAAGCAAGCTTTGAATGACCTCACACAATCCTCCTGGTCGCCGATTCCGGACGCATCCTCACCCGGAGGGAGCATCAGCTAGGGCACAGATGTGGCCGATACCGCCGCCGTGGGGTCCCGCACATCATTCGGGGGGATAACCTCACCAACGCCACGAACCATCGCTATACAAACTTCATTGTGGTAGTTAATAGGATATCCAGTAGTGTTTCTGGGACTTGCTCCTCCGAGCGACCGTGGGGTCGTTGCCATTGCCATGAGCATCCCGTTCATGTTGAGCAAAGCCGGTCATGGAACGTGATAATGATTGATGAACGGGGCCAGTGTTTGCCTTTGATACTGTGCCGATACAGGCGAGATAATGTGGCTATACCGGCTGGGAATTGACTACTGACCTGCTGTAGACCTCTTTGCCATGACCCCCGTGAAGGATATCGATGAGATGATCAGCTGCACGATAGTATTTCCAATCTTGAGCATGGAATCTCTGCAGGGCCCTGGTAACAAAGGGGCCCTTGTCTCAGTGACGCCGGAAGAGGCAATGACAGGGCTGCCCATCCATGGCCAACGAGTACGTGGAAACATGGCACTTACTGGAAAATTTCAAATACCATGGCGGGAGCGTCTGTGGAAGAGAAGCTTGTTTCAATCTGCTTTCGTCAACTGGCACACACAGGAACACCGAGCAACAGAAAACATGCATCCTAGCATACCATCTATTGTAAATCCACTGGATCCTTCGCACCCTCCTTTTCATCATCGCCAAAGGTGTCCGCATATCGACCAACCATCCAGTCATTGACCGTGATTGGCCCATACTTGGCTTTCTGGCCAGGCCCCCGACAACTCTCCAGGCACTCGACCAGGAAATCGGCATTCCCATCGAAAAAGAACGGGATGCTGTAGCGATCTAGTCCCGACCGGTTAATGACCCGGTGAAGGTTGGAGATGTAGCGATCGTTGGTCCAGCGCATCATCAAATTGCCTGTATTGACCACCACCGCGCCGGGAACCGGCACCACATCCACCCATCCATTGGATGCGCGGTCCCAAACCTGCAATCCCCCGATGGAGTCCTGCAATAAGATGGTGATGGCACCAAAGTCACTGTGTGCCCCAATTCCTAACCCCAAACTTAACTCAGTTTCAAATAGACGAATGCGGAAGAGGGGTATACACACCTCTCTCCAACTCGGACGCATCAGGCGGTTGAGGGGGATAGTGCAGCAAGCGGAGGGTCGCAATAGGCCTATCACAGAACCTATCCAAGGCCTCCGGATCCAGGCCCACCATTTCCGCAATGACAGTCATGAGGTTGACAGCCAGATTCAAGACGGCCCCGTAGTAGCGATCCACCGTGTCTCGGAAGCGCAGCGGGTCTGTCACTTCCGCCGGGTACTTGTTGGGTCCCTGGCCGAATTTGCCTGCCTGGACGTCGGGGTCATCCAACGGGAGATGGCGGCCGAGGAAGAAGCCCTCCTTGAGGTCGCCGTGGGCGCGCTTCTCGAAGTTTTGGGCCCGTAGACGTTCGTATCCGCGGTTGAAGCCGTCATTGTCTGCCTGAAAGCTTAAGGGTGCCATGGTTGGGGAGGTTGCGCGAGGACTCACCCCTATCGTATTTCTCCTTGATCTCCACCGGCAGGGAGAAGAAGTCTCTGGACTGCTCTAGAATGTCGGTTTGGAGGTCGGGGGAGATGCCATGGTTGCGGAGTTGGAAAAAGCCGAGTTCTTCGCACGCGGAGCGGATTTCTTCCACCAGGCGCTGGCGGTCTTGGTTGCTGCCTGCGTGGAAGGCTGCGATGGTGAGTTCATGTCTCACTCGGACGGGTTGTAGTGGATCCTTACGGGTGAAATCAATAACAGGGGGAGCAAGACTCATGCTTCAGATTGATTGATTTGTAGAATAGGAGTCTGATGCTGAAGCAGGATTGAAGGCAAGGCATGGATGGATGAAATCGGTCGCGGATAAGCCTTATCGGTGCGGGGCACCTGATCCTCGAGTCGGGGAGATGAAGGAAGGATGCTTGGGCACGTCTGCAGCACACCGTCTGCTTCTAGAAGATTTCTAGTCATTTTGGCTACAGATAGATCTGATTGGGATCTACACACTCGACGTACTCTAATACGATCATTACAGTCCTCTTCAAGGAGTTCAGATTCTCTTTGACCCTTCTGCCATCTATCTCTGCCAGCTGCCACCCATGGAAGGGCAGCGGATCCAGGTAGCATCCATCAGCCCTAACCGGCCACTGGACCCAGACTTCCCCCGCCCGCCATCCGGAATCTCCGGATTGTGAGGATTTGGTCGGAGGTGAGACGAATATCACAATGGCGGGTGAATGGCCTTCTCTAGCAAATGATCGACCATTGGATACGAGATGCTTGCCATGCAATAATCCCTGTTAACCTTGGACTAATGCGAGTCACAAATCACGCAAGCTCCTGCGCAAGCTTACAGCCCTCCCTCGCAGGTCGGGATTTGAAGCCTAATTGACTTTGAGTGGTCCATGGGTACAAATCCCGCATGAGGCAATTCCGTAGGCTTCCATGCTTGTCGTTTCGAACAGCCTTTCATACGAGTCAGACGTGCCCCCCCGGGTTTTCTTACGTGGAATTACTCCGTTGGAGAGAGTAATCTTAGCGTAAAGGCATTATAATTACATTCTATATACAAAAGATCACTCTCACGGAATAGCCTCAAACACCCGATCCCCCATCTTCGGGGGTTGCAGGAAATCCGAGGGCACTGTCTCGGGCAGCTGGTTCTGCTGCGCCCACTCGCGGATCTCGTCGAAGTTGCGACACTTGTGCTCCGTGTTGAAGTCGACGAATGGCTCGGGGTGGTCGGGGTGAACCCAGACTTGGCCCAGGACTCCGACGTCGACGCTGCACATCAGCTGCTGGCGGAGGATATCGAGACAGTGTGCTGTTTGGATCAGTATCGGTGTCATCAGAGGAGATGAGGGGAAACGTACTGACGTGACGTCGCACGATGAATTCGTTGTTGGAGAAGGCGCCGGTGCCAAGATCATGATAGTAGTCGTAGTTGTAGTAAAGCGACTGGCGCAGCAGGTTCTGGGGGATGTCAGTTGCTGTACATACTTTCCGACTCAATCTGACATACCAAGCAGTGCAGATGGTGCAATCCTTCAACATTGGCAGGATAGCCACCGCCGTATTTCTCGCTGATCTTGACCTGGTCGGCGGCGAGTCCCGATTTCTCGGCTTCCTCGGCTGGGACGCGGATGGCTCGGTCTGTTAGCTGGTTAGCCATGTTGCTTCCACAAGTATAACCCTATAAAAAAGAAGAACCCACAATTAGCACCGATCGATGCCCAGGCTTCATCCACCTCCGGGCTGGCATCCTGGCGGAAGATGTTTTCTTTGAGGAGCGATCCGTTGAATCGTTCGCGGTGATAGTCGAGCCCGACGTGGGAGATGACAGGCGCTGCGATCGCATTAGTTCAATTCGCCGACTGGAGGACGGATTGCTCCCTCCGAGCAAGGTTGAGGTCAGAACATACAATGCTGGGTGACACGCCGCGTACACGCCTCGTCTAAGCCACCTTGGTTGTGGCCGATGAACACACCCACCAGGCACGACAATACGGCAATGAAGAAGACGGCGAGGATGTTCAACCATCGTCCATGACCCGATCTCCAGCTATCCTTGCCATGCGACCAGTGAGGATTTTCCTCGTCCACGAGAAGTCGCTCTCGATCGGTTGAGTCCGACCGCTCCGAGGAATGCATTTTGTCGTCAAAAGAAGTGGTGTTGCGCGAAGAATTCATGACCGCAAGGCTGGCACTTTCAAAGAAAATTGACCTTCACTGGAAATCGGAGGAAACGCGCTCCTCCCCGATGTTTATTGTGGTGTTCCTCTGGACCGGTCAGATGGTGCCATTTGCCTCCGCGAGGTCCGCTGCTAATAATAACCGGCCAAGTGACGGGTGGAACCCCAACCCAATGAGTTGGTGAGACAGGGCTCGTGCAAATGCGGAGAGGCTCATGGTGGCGGTGATGCTATTTGCTCCAACTAAGACATCCGCCGCTTAGCCGCAGCTTTGTCTCATTCAGGCGTCCAATGAAGCCCATTGCAGTGGAGGATCGCCGGCGATCCCCAACACGAGCCCGCTGCCCGCCTGACTGGAGGACTGCTGGAGACGTAGCTGGAGTCTGGACATCTTCCCCGGTCCACCCGAGGTTCCAACTGAGACATGACGGAAAGATGCCTTACTCCCGTCATTAAACCCGGCTTCACCGTCATTTATCCTCTGCACGCTATAATTATCATCCCAGTCATCCCAGTTTAGCCCTCCAGTGGCGGGTCACGATGGGTCTAGGTCAACCTCCAAGCCACTCCATCCCGGAGGGGGAAGTGGGTGCACCATCTCGGAATGGAGGATGCCTGTCCGTGAGGCAGATGAATGTAACACTGGCTACCGGAAGGCCACTGGGTCTCTCGGGGTGTCGCCGTGATTGGACTGTTCTCGTCCTCGGCCACTCAACATCTCGACCGGATGGCACAATCCAAGACTTGGCCAATCATGCCCGCACGCCATGGCTAGATGCCTTCCCAACGATGGAAGACTCTCGCTGACTGCTAATTATGGATTTTGGAGGCCAACTAGGAGGAAGAAGTTATAAATACAGCCTCATCGATCCCCGATCTCGATATGATTCCCAAGCACTTCGAGAACATCGCAGATTATTTCCTAAACTCTAATCCGACCTCTCCATTCAGTTCTTTATAATGCATTCTGTTTCCAAGGGCATTCTGCTCGTGCTGAGCAGTAACCTGCTCGCCGTCTCTGCCCGCCCTCTTGCCACAGAGACCGACTCTGCCCCGGCTACCACCACCACTGCCCCGGCCAACTACGGCAACTACGGTGATTATGGCAACTATGGCAACTATGGTAGCTACGAGGCCTATAAGCGTGACGAGGAGCCTGAGAGCTCCAGCACTGAGTCCACTGCTGCCCCTACCACCACTACCGCAGCTGGCTATGGGAACTACGGTAACTACGGAGATTACGGTAGCTATGGAAGTTACCAGGCTTACAAGCGTGGCGAGGAGCCTGAAAGCTCTAGCACCGAGTCTACCGTAGCTCCCACCACTACCGCTGCGGGCTATGGCAACTATGGCAACTACGGGGACTATGGCAGCTATGGCAGTTACCAAGCCTACAAGCGTGACGATGAGCCTGAGAGCTCCAGCACCGAGACCACTGCTGCCCCTACCACCACCACCACCGCCGCAGGTTACGGCAACTACGGCAACTATGGAGACTACGGTAGTTATGGCAGCTACCAGGCATACAAACGTGGGGAGGAACCAGAGAGCTCTAGTACGGAGTCCACCGCTGCCCCTACTACCACTGCGCCTGCCAGCTACGGAGACTATGGTGACTATGGCAACTACGGCAACTATGGCAGCTACGAGGCCTACAAGCGCGATGGTGAAGAAGATACGACGACCACCAGCTCGGCTCCTGCTACCACGACAACTGCCCCGGCCAGTTATGGCGACTACGGCGACTATGGTAGCTACGGCAACTACCAGGCCTACAAGCGTGATGAGGAGCCCGAGGTGAGCAGCACTGCTTCTGCGACCACTTCGACCGAGACCGCGACCACGACCGCTGCCAACTACGGCAATTACGGTGACTATGGCAACTATGGCAACTATGCCAGCTACGGATCGTACAAGAGGGATGCCGAACCCGAGGAGAGCGAGCCCTCAAGCACCTCTGAGCCTGCCTCGACCACTACCGCCCCTGCTGGATACGGCAACTATGGCAACTATGGAAACTACGGCAAGTACGGGTCGTACGGCAGCTACTAAGATGACGTGGAGGAAATGAGGGGGGGCAGTAGCACGATGTTACACGACCTGGAGGGGCAAAGCCTTACTGAATGGCGGATGAGAGTCTGTCAGATGTGTTGTTCATGTGTACCTATTGCATTTATCTGATTAGAGTAATACAGCGATGATGATTTTCTCAAAGGTGTTCGAAGTGTTCTAGGGCTTCTGTGTATCGGTTAGGGCATCGAGAAACTGAGCCGGTAAAGGAATGCCGTGAGTCGATCATCGGACTCGAGTCAGCGCTGCGATATGACCGGCCGCTTATTGGAAGGGGCGAATCGAAGCGAGAAATCGCTGACCCGCTTCCCCATAATACAGACTTTTGGGCCATCGCTGATCCTCCCGCGACCGATCTGGTCTCGAGTGTTGACCACAATGCCCTTGCTGGAGCTGTTCCCATCATGACCCATCGTGGATGCGTTCCGTACAACCTTATCGGTGCCTGCCATTGGACGTTCCCACCCAGGAAAAATCTGCACGGGAGAGGAAGAGAGGGGGAAACCATGAAGCTTAAGCTGCAGCTGCACGGCGACCGGGTCCGAAAGCGGAAATGATAGACATGGGGCCCCTGTTCCCTGGCGCTGCCGGAGATGCTTGACGAAAGGTTCCCACCGAGTCGCACTTGCTCTGCATGGTTTGCAGTGGAAAACGAGATGATAACGAGGGAATCTCACAAGATGGTGTGCCATTTTGGCCGACATCTGTCGGTGACTCCCAAGCCCTACTTTCGAGTCATCTTCCCCCCGGTATCGGTGCCAAGCCAGCCACTGGCAGATAGCCGAGGTGCGACCGCGGAGTCGCCGCGAGCTATTCACTGGAGGAGCTGAAAAAGAAAAAACCACCAGGGCCGTGATGACTGGATCGTCACAGACAGACCCCGTAGTCTGCGATAGCGCAGTGGCCAGCTCCAGATCGGCAGTGGATGGTTGGTTCGCCCGCCTGGATGGGCTCCACCAGCTGGTCCTGTTGGCACATTTTTTGGCAAGCAAAGGAGTCATCTTCGTTCCTGGCTCAGCTTGGCCGATCTAGCTCCCCGCCATCGCTCTCGTTTAAATACTCGCGGGCGACGCTTGCGCCCTCGCCGCCATGTCCTCTTCCTCTCCCTTTCGTCCCGTTTCTTACCGTGTCTTGCGACCTTTCCTGTGATCGCGCCCGCGAAAATGAGCGTCGACGGTGAGTACGATGTCGCTAACATCATTGTTCGCGCGATTTGACCAGCTCTCGACTGGGAACTTACTGACACGCTGCGCAGAAAAGCAGCCCGTGGGCGACAAGGAGGCTTCGCCGCCGCCGTCGCAATACGCGGTCAACGAGCGCAAGCTGATGGCCAAGATTGACTGGCATGTTGTGCCGTGTCTGTGTGTCATGTACCTCCTTGCATTCTTGGATCGGTGGGAACTGCCCCGTTCGCAATCTCCCCACAGTTGGCTAACAAGCCACAGAGTGAATGTCAGTAATGCGGCAATTCTTGGGCTCAAATCCGACCTCCATCTCGAAACTGGCACCAAGTACAACACCGCCCTCACTATTTTCTTCGTACCATACATTATCTTTGAAATTCCGTCCAATGTGTTGATGAAGAAGCTGAAACCGCATGCGTGGTGTATGTATGTCGCGGGAATTGTTTAGGGCACGCTGACGGAGATAGTGTCGCTGTGTATGTTCGGGTTCGGCCTGGTCATGGTCTGCCAGGGATTTGTTCAGAACTGGGGAGGGCTGATGGCGACGAGATGGTTTCTCGGCATGTTTGAGACGGGCTTGTTTCCTGGCTGTATGTCAAATCTCCTGGTAATTGGTGTCATACTGACCCGATAGGCTTTTACCTCCTGGGAATGTGGTACAAGCGCAGCGAAGCCCAAAAGCGCTTCAGTTTCTTCTTCAGCTCGACGACCCTCGCCGGTGCCTTTGGTGGCTTGCTTGCATATGGATTGGGAAAGATGGAGGGTATCAGGGGATACAGCGGATGGCGATGGGTGTTTATCATCGAGGGCATCCTGACCTGTATGGTTGCCATTGGCTGCTTCTTCATCGTTCCCGACTTTCCAGAGGATGCGAAGTGGCTCACCGAGGAGGAGCGAGAGTTTCTACGCGACAAGTTGGCGAAGGATACGGGCAAGGCTGCAGTTGATGCCAGCATGAACTGGCGTGATGTCATTGGCGTTTTCAAGGACTGTGGGTGCTTCTATCACGACGGTGCGATGTCATGCTAATTGGCGCAGACAAGATCTTTATCGGTGGCTTGATGTATTTCGGACAGGTGGTGACCGCTTATGGTATGCTCCTATGGCTCCTCTACAAGGCATGACTAACCAGATAGGCTACGCCTACTTTGCGCCGACGATTATCCAGACCTACGGCTACGGATGTATGTTCCTCTCCCTGGCACGCGACACGATCACTGACATCAGCAGCCATCAAAACCCAGCTGTATTCCATTCCACCATGGGCGGTCGCATTCGGCTTTTCCATGCTCATCGCCTACCTTTCGGATCGCTTCCAGCATCGCTTCCTCTTCACCATCATCCCCATGCTAGTCGCCATGGCGGGATTCGGTGTCCTGCTCAACATCCATGACACAGCTCAATACCACGTCCAATACGGTGCGCTCTTCCTGGTGACGAGTGGCTGCTACAGCGCGATGCCAGTATTAGTCTGCTGGTTCGCAATGAATCTGGGCGGACATCGACGCCGCAGTGTAGGCACAGCCTGGCAGATTGGATTCGGCAACAGTATGTCCCATCCCCTCTAACATAATTCCAGCGTTAACCCAAACTCCAGTTGGCGGTATCATCTCCACCTATTCCTTCCTTGCAAAGGACGCGCCGTTTTACCGACCCGGATACATCATCGGCGTGTCCTTCCTAGCCTTCTCGGCCGCCATGTCAATAGCATACATGGTCGCGATCTGGCACGACAATCGCAAACGCGACCGGGCTATCGCAGAGGGGCGAATTGATCCCCAGACGGTCACGGAGGAGGACGAAGCAATGATGGGCGATATGGCCCCAACATACCGTTACGCTTATTGATCAGCTTTCGGAGTATTTTGGTAGATTACTTAAATTAGACTAGATTATGTGGTCTCCGATGTCGGAGCGGATGATTTAATGAGATGGATCCTGATTCGCGGGATTTCTTTTTCCTGCATTAGCTGCTTGGCGTGAGCAATCAGGGTTGTTCTCGTACCCACGATCTAGACAATCCTCTTATTGTAGTTATGTATGCTGCATAGTGGGTCTAGACTCTTTTGTGTGAAATTGTGCAGCACTACTGGGAAATGATAAAATCAGACAGTCAATGACTCACATCGTTTCCCAGCAGGGGTCCATAGTTGACTTGACAACCTTTTGCAGTTCCTTTCTCATCGAAACACCCTCATTCAGAAATATCCCTAAGGTGTCTTAAAATCACCTATCCACCCCCCAGTCCAGTCGTCGGCTGCGTTGGGCAGCCTTCATATACTGGTAGATCCGAATTCCACAACAACTAGAATATCCTACCCTGGGAGTCTCTAATCCAGCTTACTCTGTAGAGTGAATCTTAAATTCGCTGATACATGTATATGACAATATTTGGGCTTCATCACGGACCTTTCTCTATCAACACACTTCCTCGATCTTAGATGTATTTTCTGGATATTGGTCTCTTTATTCTACGGTAGTAAACCTACTATATCTCTCCGTTCAAGGGAGGTTAGGAGCAAACATAATGGTTTGTATATCTTTGGAATCTGATATAGACTTTTAATATAATCGCAGGGTTTTATTCTCGATTTCTCTGGGAGAAGGGGCTGTGTCAAATCTCTCTGTACAGCTATTAGAATTAACCAGTAATTTTCACACGAACCGTATACACGAGTATTGATGCCTCGAGAACGGCCCCAGATGGACTGAGATATAAGATCAATAAATCAGTCCCGCATCCCACCATTCACCCCCCCAAAAAATCCAATGCCTCCATCCCCCAGATACAACCCTAAACCGGAATACTATCAACCACCCTCCCATAATCAACCCCACTCCCCCTCTCCGCCACACCCCCCTGCGCCAACGCAATACTTCCCCTCTCATCATCCGCCGCAAAAAACGCCGCCGTCGAAAACGGCGACGCAAGCAAACACCCCTCCAACTCAAAATTCAACGCACAGTACCCACTTTCCACAGTATACCCATCCCTAGCATAGTTCCTCAACGGCACCTTAACCGTCACCGACTCCCCATCCTTCTTCCCCTGGAACTCCATATCAAGCGTCACATCCCCAGGGATAGAAGCACACTCCCCCGGCCAAGCAAGATACCCCTCCGGGGTCGTGACAACTCCCGTAGCCAATTGAAACGCAGTCTGATTCCCAATGGGGAGAGAATCCATACTCGTCCCGGAGTCAATCTGGCACTGGGAGCCCAACGCCGCGGAGACATCCGAGAGGATTGTCCCGTTGACGGAGATGCTCGGCGGAGGGACGTAGTATCCCACCGAGGCGGCTGTGGGATCTGACGGGTCGGATCGTTCCGATATGACTTCGACCAACTGCCCCGAGAACTTAGAGGTATCAATGCCCCCCATTATAGCCCCGCCGGTATAAGTCCCGTTAATGGCCTCCGGGGCCTGGTCAAACCACATGCAATGCACCGGGGCAGAGATAGTCCCCTGCTGGAGGAGCTCATGACGAACGTTCGGGCCACTGGTATTCCACGAGGCAGAGTGCTGGTAGGGCGCCACGCCCAGGATTCCCAGATCGTAGGCCACGCCACCGTTACAGGTCCCGTCTGTTCCGAGACGCTGTTGCATGTAGTTTACGACTGCGACTTCGACGTTGGGGATGGTGCTGGATTGGTCCGCGACGGAGGTGAAGGTGAGGGTGTCGTTGATGGTGATGTCGCCGGAGACGAACTTGGTGAAGTCGCCGTAGGAGGCGAAGAAGGAGGCCGGGGAGGGCTTGCTGGCTGTGCTGGAGGCGGGCCAGTCGTAGTAGTCGGTTACGGTGATGTTACAGGGTCCTGGGCAGAAGAGCGACGTGCAGCCCCAGTTCTCGGTGGAGTTGGGGCCGAAGGTCCAGAAGGTATCGCTGCCGAGGTCGTAGACGACTTCGATGGTTCGGTGGTCGCTGATTAGGTTGGTGGAGATTTTGTGGTTGGGGCCGTTGTAGTAGTTTAGGGGGAAGTAGGCGATTGGAAGGGTGGAGGCCGCGTGGGCGAGGCCCGCGGTGGTGGTTAGGGAGGTCATTGGAGAGGAATTTGGTTTGGATTGTGTTTATGGATGGATGGATGAGTGTAGATTGTGGACGGGGTTTTATAGTCGAGGATGAGGCAAAAGGGGGGATTGGTAGACTCCACTGGACAGAGACAAGCAACGGCTGGGTCGTGGTTAGTAGGTGGAGATATTGCTTATTTGCTGCCATGGTGCTTAGCCATGTCGTGCATGGATGGTATCGGGGGTTTTGATTGGAAGGGGACCCTTCGGATAATCTGAAACAGTGTCTTATTACAAGCCTACGGGCCGTTGCATTTGAGACATTCTGACTGGTGTGATGTAATTTTAGCCCGATGGTTGTTTCAGGGTCCTTCATGGTGGGAATGCTTCGATGGGGGATGATTGGTGGGAGGTCAATAGATTGGAAAAGATAAACACATTCTAGAACCTATACTAGTTTGGTTTAATGAAAAGTGACCTGGTGAACCACGCTATTCCCTGGTTATGACGTCCAACTGCTATTTTTGCTTCACCGGAATGATGCGAAGCGAAACAGTCTTATCTCATGTTAAAGGCTATTCGTTATATTTTTCGTAGGTCACAATCATGCGTCTCGCTCGGATGACCGGCTTCAAATTAGGGTGCTTCTCCCTTTATGCAGTTTTCTCGGAGTTCATATTCCTTCACATAACAGGCTAAATAAGCAAGACCTTCAGGGTTTAGGGCCGTCCTTCCCCGAAGAACAATTAGAAAGCTTGAGCAATCGGTTCAACAAATCAACAAACACCACAGCGTTGTACATCATAGCATAATTCATCATGTCGCTCCAGGAATCTAATCTATCCCTTGTATCAATAAAAGCACCATTCAACTAATCCGAACACCGCTCATATCGAGAATCAAGGTGAGGGGCCGGATCCCTCAGCAATGTCCGATCCACGTTCCCTACCACATTCGTCAGAGTTATTGGTTTGCAAAGGTTTCACAGGATCAGTAGCGACGGCTGCAGCTGAGCCTTTGGCAGCATCCTTCTTCTTTTTCTGTTCCCTCTTCTCTTTCTGCTGTTTTTTGTACTCCTCATACTGTTTCTTCTCCCGAACAGCCCAATCATCCAAGAGTCCAGGATTCCGAAGACACCATATTATGACGTCTCGGGTGGCATAGGCGTCCTCAAGAGCTGTGTGTCCCTTTCGACCAGTCTGTATCTCATACCCCACGAGTTCACTCGTCAGACCCTTCAACCCAGTAAGTCGAGGGAGGGAATCCACAACAGGAAGCGTCGGGAATATAGCCTCTCCGGTCAGGATTTGCGAATCAACCACCCTCGAGTGAATCACTCCGATAGTAGCAAGATCATTCTGCAGCGCATGTCCGATAAGCACCGTGTCCTTGTCTACATGTTCCCACAGTGCCTGTCGCGCACCCTCCCACCCTCTGAGCGCCACTCCGCTGTTAACAGCCGCCATCATGCTCGCGTGGTTTATGCCACTGTAGCGGGTGTTGTAATTCACGATCCTCATTTCCGGGTAGACATGGTGATTCAGAAGCACTTCGCCGGTCAAAAAGTCTACTGCCCCAATGGAAGCGATGTGTCTGCGGCCGGACGACACCGTCACCATCTCACAGTCGATGACGACAGCTTTGCGTTTTTGATGTCGGTTTGTCGGGGACGTTGGTGTATTCTCAAACTTAGTTCGGAGGATGGTTCCTATCCGTGGATTTCCTTTGCCTTTTGAAATGGCTGACATGGTGAACCCCTGGGTGTGAAGACGAGGTATGGGGTGGCATCTTGCTTGAAGTTCTAGGTAGAGTAAGTCTTGTTCTGTTGGGCCTAACACAGCAAAACGGCCGCTGATGTATGGGTGATTGGCGACAACATTTACAGTAGCGAGATCTGGACGTGTTAGTCGCTCATGTCAAACAATGCAAGATTGTCTCTCACCCGCACTTATGACTGGAATCTGGCTCGGCAGCACATCCGGTTCCACGGCTCTGGTCTCGGTGTTAGACAACCGAGGGATGATATCTGGAAAAGGTGTTGGCTCGAATGTCGATTCTGGAGTCTCCAATTTCGGAGAATTTTCCACCTCCTTGTGGGAGGCCATGTGGTGTGACAATGCGGCTGCAGTCTTGAATTTGCGGTCGCACTTTGTGCATGGCACCTGAAGTTGCCTTGAATGGGTGCGTTTATGAGCCGCCAAGGCCTTTTCAGTAGCGAATTTGCGAGTGCACTGTGAGCAAGGCCATGGGTTTTTGGGCCCATTATGAGCAGCTTGATGTCTTTCTAAAGTCAGGGAGTCTTTGAAAGTCTTGCCACAGACAGGACAAAAAAGTCCATGCTTCACTGATCGCTGATGAGCATTCAAAGCGACCGAGTCCATAAAGCTCTTGTTGCAGTCTTTGCATATAAACACATGCTTCAGGGAAGACTGATGCGCCCGCAACGCCTTGACTGTCTTGAAAGAACCCCTCTGGCATACAGGGCAAGAGTGTGAGGCCGGAGGATTTGGTTGGGGAACGGAAACGGCGGGAACAACAACGGAAGCCATATTGAAGAAGAATATGATTACGGGGATAATAATATGAGAGCCGAGTAGAAATAGAAAGAACGTTTAATCACGAGTCATGTTGTGAAATGAAAGCGCCCCCGCGCCTTCCCCGCCCTGCTGGCGCCATTTTCATGCGCCGCCGCTATGCAATCAGCAGCCAATCAGCGGCCGTCCTAGGCCAAGACCGAATTCGCCAGTGTGCTGCGCCACTGCCAGTTGGCGTGTTGGAACTAACACATTCCCTTTCAATATCGTCCAATCATTTGGTTCGTGTTGGTTTGCCGCGAGTATATATGCATTGTTGAGCAATCCAAATGCAGGCCATATCCCATAAGGTGGCGGTGTATTAGGCAACAACAAGGTGATAATTGGCAGTCTAACGTGCCAATCTAATAAGCCCAGAGGTGCGATTCAATGGGTGAATGTCGGACAGTGAATGACCGGTATCAAGGAGCAATTAGTGATGATTTCCCAGCCCTTTCAATTACACTGGGATGCATCCTACTTCATATTCGGTAAAGACAACCACAGTATCACGTGTCGTGGATTCTGAATCGCCTAGGCTCAGATAAAAGCCTGATCAGTGGGAACTCTGTCGATCGTCGGGATCGGGAGGACTGACTTCGATCATGATCAGCAAGGTGTCCTATATATATTTCAATCAGGCAGCGTTTACTGCACTGGGTTGCACTGAGCTTTTCCCCCAGGGGACTATACATATGGTGGAAGGCCCCCATGTGTTGGAGAGTGATGACAGATACCAAGGATTGTAAATCTTGTCGATAGATGCCTCCTTGTAAGGCGAGGTATTATTGTCTCATATTAGAAGATAACCACACTCTGTAGAGAATATGAGGTGTCATGACCAGGAGAGTCAATGGATGGTGATGATGGATGGCAACTCAAACACGCTGCAAGCCCCATTATATATGCGCAGATGTCCACTGAATTACTTAATCTTAAGGGTAATCCCTACATAGACGTGGTGAACTCCTACAAATATCGGCATCCTCCCCATCTCTACTCAATAAACCACAAGCATTCTGTCCCGGTCGACACCAAGTCTGCTCACCACGCAACTCCAACAAACAATCCTGTCCAAAGGTATGCAGATGCATTGGTAGTTTCTCAAAGATGCCATGCTGACCGCGGCCAATCGGACCATCCACTGCCAGTTTCGGAATCCACCAGGCGTGGCTGGTGTTGAGCGGAGCACGAGAACTCCTTTTGGAGGATCAAGGATCTCCTCCCAACAATCAATGGTAGTCATTGCTGCCCCCGCGGCTGTGAAGCTAGGATCATGTGGGCACGCACTGTCTGAAAGAGGATGAACTAACATCTGGGCATCTCTCAACCCCTTTAGGATATCGATATCACCCACCCACTCCCCACCGTCATTGACTGCGACTGTTGTCTCCAGATAGTAGGCCTCCATGCTTCGGAAACTCGACGAGCTCAGGCTAACAGGCCCTTCCCATCCGGTAAACGACAAATGGAGAGAGGTACCGTCAAACATGCCGCCGATCGGGCTTCCATCAAATGGATGATGATTGACAAAGCGCCACCGCTCAAGGTCATGCTCCCGGAGGAGATATTAGGAGAGCAATTCCTGGCTTTCCAACATTTCCGACAACATGAGAAACAGCGCATGACGAAACCCCTCCTGGATAGGTTGGATCGTGTACGAGTTGGTCGGCGATGAAAAGAGAGTTGCCGGTTGGTATAGCAAGTACAGCGCCAAGGTCCGGCGTATCCACACTGATTGTACCCGACTCGAGCTGGAGGATTGCTGCAAACGCATGCTCCCTGGACAAAGGACTGAAATAAATGGTTTCCGGGAGGTTTCCTTCGCGAGCCTGCTGCTCGGCGAGTGGGCCAGAAAGATCAAGTTCATGAACCATTGACTGTACCCAAGTCCATGAGCTCACCGGGCTCTTGATCATACTCATTGATACAGTAGCCTGGGGTAGGTTGCACTTGTAATAGTCTACCACGCGCCCAAGGGCGAGGAGGGAATCTCCATGAAGCGGCTGAACCGATCCAAAGTGGTCTAAAAGACACTCTGCAACCTTGCCAAGTCTCAAAAGGTTCTTCTCCAAGAGGGTATGAACCATTGCGAGTGGAACTGTACTCGAGAATGTCCCATTCCGGGGTTGGGACTGACTGGTTTTCCTTCTGTAAACGGCCGCAAGGTTGTGGTCTCCAAAGACAAATTCGAATAGAATGGCCTGACCAACCTGGAGGTCCTCTTCCAATAATTCTGCAAAGATGTCGCCATATACACCGGATGTGGAAGACTGTGGACCATGGCCCCATGATGCCGCCGAGGTAGCAATGCAAATCCAGTTCTCCGCTGGTGGAATTTCAATCCGCCGAAAAGATTCCATGTCCAATAATTCATACTCATCGCGCTTTCTTTTCATACCTCCATGAACGGTCTCATTATGTTCCTCAGCGATTGCTGCATAGACCCATGAGTTATCCCTGGCTCGGAAGCGGATAACATAGTCAGACGATGTGAGCTGATACTGGCCGCATAATTTGCGGAGGATTCGAACCCGCGCACCTGGATATCTGATCGTACTAAGCAGAGCCTGGAGGTTCGCCAACCCAAAGAAGGCAGATTTTGAATTGCTTTTGTTTCCAATCCCCGATTTGCCGTAGTTGATGCCGTATCGCATAAGTTGTGTTGCGGTATTTCTCGCGTTAAAATCATCCGAGAGAAGCAGGTCTATGCCGTCCCTGAGTGGAAAGAGAAGCTGCAATAATTTCATCAAGTCCCTGAGCGACTCTGAAGTATCTTCTATAAGATCCACTACATCAAATCTGGATAGGTCTTCCGGGGGCTCTGGGATGTTGTCCGCAAGTTGGCCGAGTCTGACTTGGTATATATGGTGAAAGAGCTTCCATAGCGACCGAATAATTTTAGCAGCAGTAACTGAATCCTCAGACGAGCCCAAAGAAGCACCCAACATTAGTGCTTGCAGCTGCTCCACCGAGATTCGTGAATCATGCATTGTGGACCTTTCTCGTTGAACCGTGCCGTAGTATCGAAGGCTTGATAGTGGCAAAGACTAATATACTCCGTCTGCGCGCGGGTTCAGTTGAGGTGCGATGGAAATCGTAACAATCCCGCCCTCTTTGACCAAGTGGTCTTTCTGGCGTATCTCATTTGTAGTTGAGCCGAGCACAACAAGGTCGGGGTAGAGATGCCACGAGGTCAGGCCAAGGAGAATACCTCCATCTGTTATCCTCTGGGGCTCTCCTTTGATTAACCTTTCCAATGTAGTCAATGCGCGATTGAGATTAAAAAGCACACTGTCATAGCAATTGGGCTTTGGTGACGAGGCATGATCTGAAGCTGCTTCAGACTTTACTGCCACTGAAAGATTGTTGACAATCAACTGCACTTGAATCTGCTCTTTCTTCTGGGCCTGATCGGTGACTTGTAACCACGCGCGTGCACTGGCATCCCAGCTTCCTAGCGACGCCCCGTCAATCTCATGGGCGGCAGCCAACTGAGCCAAGTAGCTGTCAACTATCTCATGGGATTGAGTTTGACTTCTAATGACCGCTTGGCGATGAGTGACCAGTTCGGACCAGATGGCCGTGGCCTCTTGGGGAGACCAGATGCGAGCTAACATGCAGGCAAGGAGATGGATGCGAAGCACTGACTTTCCACTTTTCGCACTGGCCCAAATAGTAGTGGAGTCGATACCTAGGTGGGAACCGAAAAATCCATTGACAATATCTTTCGGGTTTTGTAGTCGTTTGCTTGTTTCCTGGACAATCTCGCTGGCACGGGTTCCGTATGCCTCCAATAATGCGGGAACATCCGGAAGTACATCATCGAATAAAACACCCAGTCGCCTGGCGAGGATATGAAATGAGCCATCTTCCGCGGATTGTCGCCGGGACTTGGACAGTTGCTTTCCCAGGGGTTGGAGCTCCACGGGCGCTTCAACTTTGACCAACGAAAAGTCAAAGTTCAGATGAGCGAGCGCGATATTGGATTCGGCAACAGCGTGCAAGGGAGTTGCTACTATGCTCTGATGAATGCTGACATATTGGTTGATGTGAGGGTGGCAGGAGCGAGGTTGAAGCGCGGGGGTCTGCTTGAGGGTCAGTGCGGCCCAACCCTCAGCCTTGCGGTTTACCTCTTTCGGAAGTCGGGGATTTAGGCAGCATCAACTCCATATCGAACCTAATCCTGGCCAAGATCATTCGGAAGTGATAGGGTGTAGGTTGAAAATAATAGTGCAGGGGATATATCACTTTCGAAAAAGTAAATTGTTCAGAAACTCCGTTCTAATTGACAACTAGAATATACTTATGATGAATTGGGCCTACCATTTAAATCCGAAATGACTATACTTTAAATACAGACTCTGTTCATAAATAATCATAATCCAAGCTCTCACTGCTCTAGCATCGGCAATCTGGAAAGCGAATCGTTGACGTTCTGTCCATCCTCAGTCGGTCCTTGTTGACTTTGTGACCTCCTCGTTTGCGTTACCTTTCCCCCAGGGAATCAGAGAAGAAGCTCACCATCTGTGAATTTTATGAATGAGAAATTCCTACCGTCGTATCCGATTACAATGGTATCACCACAAGCAGCGACACAGTTGGCTCGATAGTCAGGGGGTAACCAGAGTATTCTTTCCATATGTTTCACAATCCAATTTCCATTCACGAACAGTCCTCCGTGCTTGTTTGAGTCTGACCTGTCTTCAATAATCCAGTCGATAGGTATTTGTCCCTTGTCAGTATTGAGGAAGTGTCCCTCGTCCGAAAAGGAAAGTTTGCGGATTCCAGTGTCCACTTTGAAACCATGCCTTTGATCTGTAATCATATCCCAGAGATGGATTATGAAGCACTCAGAAGATGAGAATTGATAGGGTACGCATGCAAAGTGCTTGCCATTAGGCGAGAATGCCGTGGCCACCGTATGATACCGATCACGTTGGTATGTTTTGAGTATATTGCCCTTCTCCACATCCCACATCCGGACCGATCCCCATTGACTGGCTAGAGCTAGGTGTTTGCTATCTGGTGAAAATTCCACGCAGTCGACTGCACAATATTGGCCTTTAAATTCACAGATAATAGACCCTGGAATAAAATCCGTTAGAGAATATCCGTCCCAATCACCTGAAAATGAAACCAGTCGCTTGCTATCTGGGGAGAATATCATTCCAATCATGTCTCCTTCGGTGGACCTATGTAATAGCTTTCCTGTCTCACAGTCCCAGATACAAAGATCTCGCTTGTAAGATGCTGCAAGAAGGTTGCTGTCGGGTGAAAAGCGTAGGTGATAAATGAACTCGGAAGAAGTAAAGTCGATACCGTCCTTGTGCAACATGCGTAATAGCTGTCCAGTAACAGGATCCCATAGGCCAATATCATAGAGATTTGCAACATCTGCTATAAGCTTGCCATCTGGTGAGAACTGTATAGGCAATTTCCCATGAATGATGTCATGGTTCACGAGTATGTGCAGCAATTTACCATTGCTGGCATCCCATAGTGAAGTTCTCCTCGGGCATGCAGTTGCAAAGAGCTTTCCATCAGGTGAGAAAGAGAGCCCATAGCATCCCTTAATCACGTATTCTTGCACTTCTCGCTTATGGTCCTTGGCTGTATCAAACAATATCAGAACCCCACGGGAGCTTCCTGCTGCAATTCTATCTGCATTTGGAGACATCGCTGCGGTTTCAAACTCGCCTGTAAGGTTTATGAATTGGCGTAACAAAACTCCAGTCATGTTATCATGTTACACAAAGACGGACTTCATGTCCTGATACGGTGAAGACACGTTTACCGTCCTGCGATAATTTCAGGCGAGGGGTGCCATGCACCCTGAGTGTATGTAAAGAGGATTCTGTCGTAAGGTCCCAAAACTCAAGCTCGGTTTGTTTGAAGCTTATCGGGTATGCGGAAGCCTCTAGACCATTATGGAGTGAAAGTGTTATGGTTTTTGAGGACTCTCTAAGACGTTCGACAGTCCGTAGCAAAGATCTGGTGACAGTGTCATACACATTGATGACATGACCGGCATGTGCGCATATCAATTGTTTGTTGTTGGGTGAGAATGTGAGATGTTAGCAAGGTTTACGTGCCCGGAGTGCAAACACCACAACTGCTTCCCTCAAGTCCCATGTAAATATTCCTTTGTCGGACGCAAAAGCCCCCATCTTATCATCCGTGGAGAAAGTCACAGCTGTAATGGGGCCCTTGCGTTCGAAGGTCCGCAGCAAAGAACCTAGAGAGATATCCCATATTACTACAGCACCGTCTTGCCCCCCAGATGCTAGCAGCTTGCTTGTGGACGAGAATGCGACGCAAATTACCGGTTCCCGATATCCTTCAAACGTCTGCAATACAGCCCCTGTGGCACTATCCCATATTTTTATTGTTCTGTCGTCGGATGCAGATGCAATGAATCTGTCATTGGGGGGAAATTCTACAATTTGCACCCTCTGACGGTGACCCTCAAGAACCTGAAGCAAGGAGCTCCATTCCTTTTCCATGGTAGGGAATTGATGTATCCAAATCGGAGTTTCATACCAGAACTTTGACCGGATGATGGAGTCCTCTGGTGCAAAGTAGAGGGCAGAGCAATAGACTTGAAGGGGAGCTTCTTCGATGACAGCGCGGAAATTGAGAACAAACCGTCTAGCGTCATAGAGGAAACCGTATAGCTCTGTATGGACTCTTTTTTGTGGTACAGAAACATGTTCAAACAGCTCTATTACCAAACTGACAGCTTCTCGCATTAATCCGATCAAGCTCATCGCTTCAAGCCAATGTGTGAGATGCGCATTCAAGAACGCCTCCGTTTCATCAAAGCCAACATCGCTCTTTACTTTGAGGAGATGCCTTATCCAATAACGACAGGCATATTGAGCATGCAACGGAAGATGTTCAGTAACAAGAGACTACTTCATCCTTCTTTTGAAAATGCCAGGCTTCCTGAGGGAGCAAATATCGCGTTTCAGAGTATTGGACATAGCTTTCACACAATGCCCAAAAAGGAGGCGGTGGGCTTCAGACTCATCAATGTGGAAGCGAGTATCAGCACATCGATTATCGCCCAGGAAAAAGTTAGGGAAGGAAAGATGGACAAGCTGGATAGGCATATCCCCTGTTTTTGGCACAGTGACCACGGAGTACAGTCCCTCCAACGTCTCCTCGATATCTGACTTCTGGATACTCAGTAAGTCCCCAAGCGTTCCAGTCGAAAGTGGGTCAAAGAGGACGACAATCGATCCAACAACGCGCCTGAAACTCCCCAAAATGTCTCTCTCTTCAACCTCATCTGCGTCTCCAATCACAGAAACCTCCAGAATCCGTCGATATACGTCATCCAAGCTTTTTTGTGGAGAATTCTTCGCATACTCATCTTCCAAAATCATATCAAGACGTGTTTTGACCCGGCTTTTTGTCAAGTTATTTCCTCCCAAAAAACGACACACTGTGGCGGCGTAGATGAATAAGCCATCAGACTTTCTTACGAGCGTTGCTATTTTGTCATTCCCTGGCCAGTGTTCACCAAGGCAATGCTTTGTGCTCACTTGAGAAAGCTCATACTCTAATAAACGAGTAATATAGTCCTTGAACTTGTTCTCGGCTTCCATGGTAATGACTTTGCTGAGAATTTCATCACGAAGAGTACCCTTTGGCACCTGTTGAAATGCTCTTCGGATATCAATCTCTGGTCTGCTGGTGATAAAAACCCTGATTCGAAGTTTCTTCAACTTCGTAAACTGACTCAGAAGTTGTACAATTGTCTCCAAATCATTTCGATCCTTACATTCATCCAGTGCATCAATGACGAAAACCAGGGTTCGAGGCGATGGGAGGTTTGATTCCAGCCTGAGCAGAGGTTGTAGTATCAAATACTTCCATTGATTACTCAGTGACTCTGTGGCAATCCCGGGATTCCGAGATATCACCTCTGAGATTGCCATTCTGGTGTCCGGTACCGAGTCTTTCAAATGCCTAGCCAGGGTCGTGAAAAACATTTTGGCATTGTTGCGATCATATTCCGCATGATTGAAGAAGAAGCTTCCTCCAAGGATAATGCAACTAGCGATTGGTATACTAGAAATAAGGTGTGATCCATTATGGAAAGCAGCAGCAACTGTTCGAGAAACGGTCGATTTGCCTGTGCCAGCCATTCCTTGAAGGCAGAAGATGGGCTTTTCGGTAGGCTCATCGCACCAAGCTTGAATTTGTTCGAGGATCCTGAGCTGTGTCCCTTCCAAGCATCGGGGTTTGTGTTGGTCCTTGAAGGAATTGGAACAAGCCCTCTCAGCAGTGGTAGACTTTGTAGAATCTGTGCCTGCTTCAAGTCCTTTGACGAAATTAGTATGTGATAATAAGTAGTTTGTATGAACCTGTCCTACCTGCAAATCGTCCCTTGTTTGTTTAAGATTCACCATCATCTCTGCTACTGTCGTATCAATTCTTTTTGCGGTATCATCACCAAGCGTTTCCAGATCGGTCTTTATACTCTGCTCCAACGTCTTGACACTCGTGAGCATCTCTTTCCAATTATCAGCGACTGCAAAGTCCCTCAAAGCATGAAAACTTGCTCCGTGGGAGTACTGTTTTGCGAGGCGGATTTCGTATTGCAAGATTTCCGAATATAGCCGGATAGTTTTCCCACGGATAGATGCGCATAGCTCTTTCAGCTCGATTGCCGGCCTGACATTCATGTTAGTACAATGCCTTTTTTTTTCAATCATATTAAATATAATTGCATTCATGTAAGACCGTGGGGTATTCATGGATCAGGGCATGTTATCTCTGGCCGTTCCTGTCGTAAATGTCAATGTGGGTACATTCCATCACTCTACACCGAATAAGGAGGTCCGAGATGTACTCAACGCCCTGTGCCGCGTCATCATGCTGTGTGATGAGATTCAAAAGTATCTACATCCACTGGTCAGCGGCCATTCTGGGACAGCTTCTTATTATCAGGATACATACCGGTATAAGCACTAAAACACCAGCCCATGCTAGGGAAGCATGCGGCTCTGCACTAACGGCCGCTGAAATGAAATCTTTCACGCCCACGATCATGCGAGCAACCTTGCGTGCCTGGTCTCGCACGACTATCTGGCTACCACCCAGCGAAAGACCTACATGGGCTTCGATGGTTTTGAGCTTGCTCTGAACCAATGTCGCCAGTTGCTTCTGCCGGTCGAGGTCAACTTCTGATTGATCAGAAGCACCTGCTAACAGGTCCGTTTCGTAGAAATGTACCAATTTTGGATGTTCCTTTTCGAGTTCCGCGTAAGCTTCGTCCCATAAACCGGTCAGCCGCATCTCATGTGGTGCTATCGTGATAGCTTCGTGACTTTTCTCGTCGACTTTGCTTGACTCAGTTTTGAGGGTGTCAACGATTCGCCGGGTCTCATCGACATCATTGGATGAGTTGGGAGATTGGGCCTTGTCAGGTCTTCGCAACACGCTCTTGAAACGAAAAGACGACAACATCTTGAGGGCATGGGATGGGAAACAGTCAAGGTGAGATGAAGCGATCGAAGAATGAAGAGGTTAGTGGGAGGAGCGCGGTGCGGCTGAACAGTTGGCGGACTGCCCAACTGACAGGGATCCGGTGCGCACGTTGCCCAATGAGGAAAGGGCTGAGTTGTTCATCATATCAGTGCACGAATATCCCAAATTCATGATCCTGTCCCATTTCTTGGTGGTAGGCACTGCTAAGACCCAAGACCTTTGACTCCAGGCTTGATATGTATATCCTGTGGGGCACCATGTCATATTACTTTCCCATGTTTGATTCAATAATGGATTCGGTCAAGAAACAGATGACTTGTGGGTGGGTCGGAAATCTACGGACTTGACCAGCGGGCGGTCGGTCGGGATCAGTTGTACTGTACCCCTTTTGGGCCCTGGTCGCGTCTTATCTGCACGCGTAAATCTTACCTGCCAATGCTTCAACCATCATTTTTCATTTCTTCATGATCATGATCAGGCATAGGCCATGCCGTTCAAATTCGCCCTAATTCCCTCCTTTCGGCCTTGGTGTCATACATATCATACCTTAGCCTGGCCAATATCCTTCCGTGTAGTGCACCTCACCTTGGATACCCTGCCAGATAGTCCTCACAAGGGAGCCTCCGAAGGCGAGGGAGTAGTCCGAAGCGATGTTCCGACCTATAAATCTTGGCGTATCTATGTGGGGACGGACCAACGATCGGGTCTGCCTCTTGTCCTCCAGACGCCGTTCAATTTCACATTCGAAAATCCTTGCGCATGGATTGCAGAGATTGCAACACAACCTGGTATTCTTATTTTGGGTCCTGTCGTTCCTCATATTGGTAAGACAATGAAACCATGGAAGATCTAAGGGAGATAGGTTGACAATAAGAGTCTGGAGGAGGGTTTTTGATCTTAAATTATGCTCAGTGAGAGGAAATAGCTGTAGATCAAATCATGGAGTCAATGACTCAAGGGTTCCGTCTAATGTTATCTTTATTCCATGTAGGCCCAGGAAGTGCCCCCAATTCATGGCCTCAGGCAGCAGGAAAAGTGCTTGGCTTGTTTACATTGTTTGGCCGGTCACCCTCCTGATAAGCCTTAATACGAGGGTAAGAGATGAGAGCCAAAAAAATGCGGTGGCCCAAAGGTCGTCCAACTGCTTCTCCAACTCAATACAAGATATTAGAATGCATCACGTCCCGGAAATTTCCGGGGGGGTGCCAGAAAATCTGAACAAGTAAATCAATGTGACTTAGGTTGGAGAATGCGTCTAGCTAGGCCCCAGGAACTAAGGAGGTTTTTATATTTGCGAAGCGCGAAAGCGGTGAGCAAGTTCTGTGATAGGGTCTGCTGCAGGAGGTCGCTGGCTCTACAGCTTCTCATTGATCCATTGGTTTGGCCAAATCCTGCTTTGTGATTGGCTTTTCAATTTACTTGTTACTACATGACTTACTACATATTGCCTGTACTCACCGCTTCGGCCTCTTCAGAGAGGTGGGTTTGTGGGGGTCTTTCCCTCCCCCCCACCCCAAAGTATATATTCAGATTATGTCTCTATGTAGATTTAGGCTTTAGATTTGAATTAAGTACTGTATTTTAGGTTGCTTAGCCGAGATCTTTGCATGCGCTTGATTGCGTCCTCTATGGCTAGTATTCATATTGTCTTTAGTTACATACTTTTAAAAACGCGTTGCGTGATGCTTACTGAGGCGCTTCGCAACGCCTTGGAAGGCCGTCCACAGGCCTAGATCTAGTAGTAGTCGTCAGTGGGCAGCTAAAACAAGCTGTAGCAGAGCAGTTGACCTCCAACAATCAAAAGTCAGAAAGACTGTCGACATCGCATATATTCCACATCCAAACAGACACAAGGACTGGTCTCTCCACGGCGCTGCTTGCATGGGATGTGGATACACCGCCTATCTGCTCTGGTCGAGTTCAGGTCAGTTCAAAATCGTCTCACATGTAGCAACGAAGAGATTGTATCTATCTTAGTAAATAAAGTATCAGCTAAGTTTCGCATTAAGACTTCCAACCCATGAACATGAGCAGTTTGTACTAAATTGACAAATCAATGTTACTCTCAGTCACAACACTTCTTCCGGAAAAAAGGCTACGTAACTTGCATTCTCTAGCACCCTGGCAACAGTAATGATAATTGGATCAATGCGAAAGTAGCTTTGATAGGCACAAATAAAAGACATATCACCACTAGTATCGCAAAAACAGCAAGCTCTTTGGAAAAGACCCATCGTTGACAGTCAAAAACAGAAACATCCAACTCAGCGAAAGATCCATTTACAGCATATTACACACCAACATGCCTGCCATTACACTCTACTTACTCGAACGGTACCACAAAGTCTCTTTCTCACCCAGACAGTCGCCAACGGTAGTCACTGCCGATGTAGATTAGTTCCAAGTCACCCAGCATCCTTCAAGGAAATATTTGGATCACGTACCAGTCAAACCTCTCGACTTGGTTTCATCCAGCATTTTCTGAGCCAAGTAAACCACCGTCTGTTCTTTGGTATCATGAGCCAGCGAGATACTGCCGCCACTGTTGAGCTCATTGACAAATTTCTGGAAGCTCTGATCGATAAGATCGGGACTGTTGTGGCTATAATCCTTAGTATCGATACTGGCCGTTATGACATGGTAGTCGAGATCACGCATGGTTTGAAGGGTCAAATCGTTGACGTCGAAATAAGGAGGTCGCATGTATGCCGGAACATAGCCTAGGATATTTTGCAGCACAGATTCGAGGCTGCTCATCTCTTGAACAATCTGATCACGAGACAAGGTTGGCAGGCTAGTGTGGGTGTAGCTATAAGAGTAGGTTGGTGATAAGAGTTAGCTTGGTGCGATTGATCGGAAGTGTTGGGAGGTAATAATGTGGTACATACGTGTGGGAACCAACTTGATGTCCCTCGCTTTTGATGCGCTGAATGATTTGAGGGTTCGCCTGGCTTGCCTCGCCCAGAACGAAAAAGGTCGCACGGGCGTTGTATTTGCTGAGAAGGTCAAGCAGTTGGGGAGTGTATGAGGACGGGCCGTCATCGAAGGTTAAGGCGATGGTGTTGGGGGTGGTGCATTTAGTGATGACCTGTCCAGTTGGTACATCACTGCCAGCGACAGGTGCACCGAGTGCGCCGGGGTTGACAGCTGCAAGGAAGGCCAATCCGAGTAAGGCAAACATGGTAAAGGATTATACAGTGATGAAGGCTGGTAAATGATGGGACTATAGTGCTATCACGGTCGGATATTGGAGGTAAGTGTAGAAGCTGTGATAATGCGCTGTGTGAACGGTAGCAAGGCTTTGTGAGTACAACAGAAACCTCGACTCTGGGTCTCTTTGCTCGCGATATATAACTTCCTCAGGTACGGAAGGGTCTGAGCGCTCTACTGGAAATAGTAATGGTGCTAATGCTTCTGTTTCTGTTGTCCAGAAGCTGGCCCCGTCCTTCAATGGTCCATATTGGAATACGGATAAGTCGGGTCTTCAATCTCATCCAAAGGGGTAAGGGGTCCAAGCTCACACAGCTCAGTATGTGTTTAATCATAGGACAAACTTTATAATTGATCCGGATGTGGGATGCAAAGCCATGTGTTGGTTTCTCTAGACAGATCGCTGGATTATAAATTATAGAGCTTGCGCGTTAGTATCCCGGTCACCGAAGGATTTATTGTCGCGGTCCCTATCGAAGAGGCTAACCAGCCTGTAGACGAAATTTAAAAGGTAGCTAGGGAAGAGTTGATTCTCTGGAGAAAAAGCTACCTAGAGATAGTAAGTTCGTCGCGGATTATCTTTCTCTTGGCTATTCATCGTCCGAGAATTTCTTTGAGGATTTTTCTTCATATCAATCAACCTTGTGTGGAGAGTCCCATCGGGAGCTTTCTTCCGTAGGCTTGGTAGGCTTGTTTATGTCCAAGTTGTAATGGTAAGTTTAGAATCCCTCCGATTCAATCCCAGACCAGACAGCCGGATTATAGAATGTTCCGGTTCCGGATGGCTGATCAGGCACAGTCCCTTACACCTTGATTAGCACACGAGCCACTCATTTGAGTTGGCGGCCCCTGACATTCTTGCTGGTGCAGTTCATTGTATTCCATTGTTTTCTGAATGCATTTGTTCTTCTAGTTCACATGACAATGTCAAGGTCAGTGATGGAACAATGCCCGATCAACCCCTGCTGCCATGCTGATACTCTAAATGGCATGTGGCGGTGCAACACACACCTAAAGATGTTATCACTCTATTACAAAGAGGTATATGTCTTTGATATCATTCTAAAGACTACACTGGGCCTTTATCAGTAGTCTGGCTAGTCATCTTAACGACTTGTCAGCATCCAGTGCTAAGCGACCGTGGAAAGCAAAAAGAAAGAAGAAGAAAAAGAACAGAATTTCATGTTGTCAATGCGATATTCAAAATTTCTGTGATGTAGATGCAGTGCCGAATTAGTGGGTACGTAAGTTATCTACGATCAACATACCTGCAGCCCAGGGTGTAGCCCGGCTAGGTAGTACAACCCTACACCACATTATTGGCACATGCAATAATACGAGGTTCAAAAGAATTATCTCATAATCTCTCATAACAGCAAGAGAGCGTCCCACAGCCTAAAAGCATGCTCGCTGATAATACGAGTCAATCCTGACTCTAAAGCATCGAATCTACCACTCTTTTCTCCATGAGGGTCTGAATCGCACTTATTCCTCTAGACATGACACGTGACAAAGCCCTGTGCATGCACATTATCTTTTCATCCGGCTCAAGGCCGATCCATGGACGTAGAACGTCTGACCACCGTAACACGAATGCTATTAATGGCTCAGGTATGCCCTGGCCTATTTCTGTCGCGCCGATGCGGCCGATAGTAGGAGTTGACATGTCCTGAATCAGGTTAAGAAACTGTCCACCTGGCTGAAACAAACAAGCTGACTACCTCTGCGTCATTGTCGCTTAGATACCCCTCAGGTCTCTTTTCAATAGTCGTGCAAGTGATGGTAGGATCTACCAATGTGCACGGGCCCCCTCGTATCCGCAGGGATCGCTATTCGCTAGCCCACGCCCGATCGCGGGATGGCCCGCCCCGTGGGTTCTTGGCGGGTCCCTGCCAACCCTGCGATCCCTGCCTAGGGTCGGCTGGCCAGCTGGTGTTTTTACCAACACGACGGTGAGCAAGGCCGAATAGTGACGTACAGAGATTCATCTAGCCAGTGTCTGTAACACCAGTCCAAGTGATCACCCTAGTATTTATCGTTAATGGAATTATCGGGATTTATCATCTGACAATTAACAAGAATAAACACGTTGAATAACATCACCCCCACTCACCCTACGCCTTAACATCGCTCACTCACAAATCACCCACCTGCAAAAGTTTCAATTTCCAGCCAATATACATCTGAACCCTCGAATTCTCGATCTCGGCCCTTCTTCCACATTCCCATCCACCGGCAACTTCAAAACCCTCGGCGCATTACCACCCATAAACCCCTCCACCACACTTCCCCTCAACCCGCCGTCCTTCCCCACCAAATACTCATTGACTTTATCCACACAATCCCTAGACCCCAATTGGGGAAAGTTCGTCCGAAACATTACCTCCTCTCTTCCCGTGATATTCGCAAACGTAATAACCTCCTGCGCATAATACCTCGGCGACCAAGCACTTGTATCAATATACACATTTCTATTCTTCCACGCAACCGCAGTATGTCCCATCTGAGTGTAAAATGGAACATCCACCTCAATACACTTGACATACAGTGGCCAGTAATGCGCATCCGAGGGAGGGAGATTCCACAACCAAGGTACAACCCTCAACCCAACGAAGTTCTCTTTTCGGACGTAGTGTTTAGCTCTTTGACGGCTGCAAAGGGGTTATGTAGATCGACGGTAGCCAAACCGAAGATTTGATCCAATAGGCGCGCGTGGATTGGGCGACTTTTTCATTCGAGAAGATTGTTTTCCCGGGCGGGTCTAGGCGGATAAACGGATGTGGGACATGCCGGCTTAGTCCGTTAATGCGATGACTTCGGAGGAGGAGCGCTTTTTGTCGGCGATTGAGGGGTCCGAGTGGCTGTACCTAGGCGAAGAGAGAGGCGACTTCAGGGATGGCGGCTCCGAGCTATAGAGGGATGGGGTTAATGAGTGGACTGTTTAATGGGGGTTGGGGCAAACTTGCTCCTGGTAGATGCGCCCAGACGTCCACGATTGGGTAGGGGGCGGTTCCTGGTGCCATTATGTAGGTGTGATGAAGTTGTTAATGAGGGTGTAGGATGAGAGAACATCGGGCGTGCCAGCATTGGTTTCGAAGTATACAACTCTCCGCCTCGATGGGGTTAGCCGAGGGGAACCGGTAATTTCGGCAATTTCGGCAATTTCGGCTCGAGGTCTTGGCGTCTCCCCACCCAATCATCGTTCGCTTCCGGATCATCTCTGGCTATCCCTTGAATCGCTGGACCGAGTCGATAGCAGTGTGTATGGAAGAATAGATATATATACGTTGTGGGAAAGAGTTTCCAATGCATTCCTGTAGAATAAAAGGGTTTTCCATAATAAAATCATACCAATGTTGCTCAATCCTGGTTTACATGCCCGTCGATCCTGGATGAGGCAAGAATATGTATTCTGACGTCCTGCTCGGGAAGAGCCCCTTCACAGTACAAATAAGGAAGTCAAAAGAACTCGACTGCGGAAAAAAAGCGAGTTGACCACTGACAGAAGTCTGATAACTCGGCTAAAAGAGACCTGCAGGCACCTAGTGGACCACAACGGTAGACTATTTATTACATCTTCGACCGTAAAACGAATCGGACAAAGTGTCAAGGTAGCATCCAGCCGACACCGTCCAACATATATGAGTTGTTCCAGGGACTATCTGCTATCGGGGAAAAAAAGCAAAATAAATTCAGACGGATGCTCAAAAATGTTGGTATCCGATGAGAATGATACATCTTTTTCTCTAACCCCACCAGCCAACTTTGAATAAATTTCAATATCTAGGGCTTCAAGTATATTTTCGTGAGCACTTCACGGTTGCGATTGTTCTTGTGTCAAACATCCTCCATGGTTGAGGGTAATAACTGGAGGGTCCAGCGTTCTCGGGGACAAAATGTTACGTTCATACCAGTACGCCAAAACGGTAAACCGCTGGCCATCTGGAGAACAGACGGAACGAAAACTTTGTGTCCCAACACAAAACAAGATTGTTGGAGGGTTCTTCGATGATCGCACTTTGGTGTGTTTTGGCCAGGCTTATGAGAGGATCAAGCTTGGTGGTAAACAAGTCTCTAAGCCGCGCAGGAAAGTCTGTATCTTCGGCCAATATCCCTTTCGTAGACTTAGCTCCAGCACCGGAGTCAAACGGAGAGAAGGGTCTGCCTGGCAGACAAGGATGTCAGTCCAGTTAATGTCAGCCTGCTCAATTGTAGGCCTTGGTTCGTTGGCCAGCGAGAAGGTGATCATATGGCCCAAGGACCAGTAAAGAAATATTTTTATGCGTAGATTCCTGGTGTTGCCGGAATACAGGTTCCAGGCCTCCGGTTCATTAAGGAGTGGAAAGATTGGGTGAACATGTAAGAAGTATTGCTGGATAAACTCATCCAACGGGTCTGGCATAGGAATAGGCAGCCTTGGAGCCCCAGGATGTTGAGTTTATTTGGGTCAATATTGCAGATGCTGTTAATAATGAGAAATGGGTAGTGGCAGTAGAGTGCATCTGAGGGAGAGCTAGTTTCTCCGGCTATTCGGCCGTTGTCAGCAACAGCCATAGATGAATTGAGGCTATAAAGATTTTTATGTGATGGTACACCGTGAGCCAATTCAGCAGTATATTGCCATGGTTGAGATACGGGGCAAAACATACCATCATCGTGCCTACATTATTGTTACTTTCAGTCGGCGATGAGAACGTTCGTGGCGCAGAGCCCAGTGCATTCGATGCCCTTCACCGGTCAGCAACATCTATGGTATGTACATGCGAGATATTCAGCCGATCTTCTATATTGTAATGTTCTTGGGGCCTGTGGGATGAGTATGCGATAACGGCTTACAATTTTGGGGAGTGTCCAGTGACAACACAAGTGACACCATCCAGGTCGCAGTTCCTACATGGGCAGCCTCGGACTGAGACATCACAGCGCACCTTGCGTGCGCGACAGGACGTGCACGCCCTGTGTGCTCTTTTGCGATGTTTTCTGGATGATGCGATGGGGTTGGAATCCTGGATACATTGCATTGAATTGAGTCGAGAAGATGGCATGACTTGGGATGTGAATAGTGGAAGAGCCTTTCAGAAAGTGCGAAGCAAGCCATGATGCTGATCACGGGGACATGGTCGGATTAGTCATGCTGAGAGAAGTTTCACATCAAGCTGCCTAAGATGCAAAAATTGAATTGGAACGATTTGAAGAGAGCACAATGTGAATATTATACAAGAGATGGATGGCCAATCTCCCTAGATGATCTAGATCACCCTGGGGGGTATGGATGCGCCGTATATCGGGGTCAGTAGGCGGCCCATTGCACTCACCACTAGGGCTTGAAGTAGGAAGAGCCTCGAAACCATTTGTGGGTTCCAATGAAATCGTGAATGAAGTATAAAGGAGTGTAGAGGAAACAGTAGTATACATAAACCATTGGTCAGGATACATGTCAACAACAATATACCGCAAGGAACGAGAAGGGAAACCATTCAAAGATTCAGGAACACGGCTCGGAACATCACGAATATCCAAGCAGCGATTGCGAGAGGTCCTGCCACATATGGGCCACTTGCCGCACCGGTATACCCGACATTTTGGGAGTTGTTATTAAATCCCACAGTGCGCAGCCAAGTCGGCGTGGCAGTGTTGTTTACCAGAACATCCGAGTGATAAGCATCCAACACACCGGAGAAGCTTAATCTAAACTTTCCCACTGTGAGAAGCTCGCCAGTATTATAGGGAGAGCCGTAAAAATACCCCTGTACAGAGAGGTTGGCTGTTTTCTCATCGAATTGGAGATCAACAGTGGGATTAGGCAAGGCTAGGCGATTTGCATAGCTGCTCAAAGCGGCGGGGCTGAAAGACCATTCGATTTCGCCAGTTCCGTTGCAATCGGTGCCATTTATCAAGAAGGCCTGGTCGCCTCCAATGCCGTTATAGTTATCAATGGTACTAGAAAGGGTGTATGGTGGACCATGAGTTGGGTCAAGCGTCCAGTCAAAATTGTTGTTAGCATCTCCAACCACCCAGAAAGGAGGGCCCAGCGAGTAGGTAGGGCTGTCATGTGTCAGTCAAGATACGTGATAGTTCACCATTTGCATGACTGACTAAGATGAATACAAGGCGAATTCCAAGTATGGGGAATAGTCCACGGCATATACTTCTATCGGTGAAGTGGACAATGAGGAGAAATTGAAGCCAGAAGGCCACATGGTGAGGAAGGCGTTGACTGGGTCAAAGCCATAATTATAATTGCTGGGCTCAGTAAGGGCCAGAACGGTGTCATATTGGCGAGTCATTGTAGTGTTGGCAAGAGGCGGACACAGAGAGCTGTAATTGGCGGCCAGCCCAGCGTCGGGCCAAGCTTCCACGTGTGCTGTTCCATTATAGTACCTGTTTAATCAGCAGAAGTCCGGCGAAAAGAAGCGTAAAGATGCAACATACGAGCCAACCCAGTAGTACAAACCGTTAAGAGTCACATTATTGGGTCGGAAATTGTAAAACGGATTGAAATCCGGGTCATCCTTGGCTGCAATCTTGACCGCGAAGGCCAGACTGCATAGGACAACCTGCAAGGTGACAGGGTGAAGCATCGCATTTCTCGCACTTTGGCTGCGCGTGGGATCTCTCGGGGTCGGGTTCTTGTGTGGGCATTATGTGGGTATTATATCGACCCCTTGAAATATATGAGGGGGGGGGTCTAGGCAACAGGGTTCGATTCTCCGGCGAACGCCGCTGAGGCACGGATGAAAGCACCTACAGTGGACTAGCACTCACCCCGCGCGAGGATATATTGGACATTTGGACCATCATCTTCTGGCTGAGCCCTAGCGTCGGGCACGGAGGGGTGATTCATCGCTAAGCCTTTCCCCTGAAAAGCTTAGCTAGCCTCTACGGGGTCCCAGCGGGTCCCTGGCGCCTCCCCGGTTGTCTCTGATTTGACCCAGAAGATATCTAGATGCCGAAGCCTTCCGTGGAGACCCACGCAGTCCAGGGTTATCGAGTCAGTACTCAGTAGACGGTACTAGTACGCTGAAGATGGCTTCCGGCCCGGTGATGCGGGGGGTCGCAAGGGTCAGGCTTTTGACGCCGCCTGGCCGTTCTAGCAGACATTTTACCAAGCACCAACATACCAACATCAATGGAAACAACTTGCTTTATCCAAGTTCTTGCAATTTTGCAAAGGAGGAATAAGATCCGGGTCAAATTTGCGACTGCGGGTATTGATCCTATTCGCCAAGTCACTCCACCTTTCCCCACAGCATGTCTCTGGTCCTGGTGAAATTAGCGGTATTTTACTCGACCGGTTTGGTATGGTATAGAAATGAAAGAGTTTGCCGATGCCAGCTTCGGGACCCCCTTTCAAGAGTAAGCCTGCAAACACATTATCACGGCTGTTGGAGGTATGTGCAAGATATAGGAAGACCAGATACTCAGACCATGGAAAGTGCAAATGAAGTAGGGCTGAGAGTCAAGCCAGATCTATTCAGAAACCACAACCATAGTCCTCCTTTCTCTCTTCCTTTCATCTTTGTTTCGCAGGCACGCCATGAGAATTTTCAAGAGCCTATGCTATTGGCCGGCGATGCAACTTCGAAATACTAGTACCGTGCGATGTCCACATTGGAAGTTGGGGGCGGATTTGGTCTTAGCTATCCCCCGTGAACATTGTTCAAGTCCCAGTCCTTGCTACTCTACCACAGCAGGCAACAGCCTGTATCTAGGCGATATGAGTTGTAGGGGAGAGAGTAACGGGACTCCACTTGGCGCTCACCTTGAGAGCACACCGGCGTCTACTACCCATGTGGAGTCGTGGACCAATCGAGAATACTATCTAGCACACGGTCGTTTGAGTGTCGCCTCTAGCCAAGAGGAGGATCTCACCCATGCAGCAATCAGCCGTAATATCCGCTTGAGTCCTAGAAAGCTGTGCCGCATCGCACTGGAACATTGGAACACTTGATCTCCCGGAGATGCAGAAAAAAGCATGGGTACCCACTATCACAGTACTTTTGGCTCTTCATCTGGTGTTCACTTTTTATGGAGTTCACAATAGGAATGGGAAACAAGTTTGACAACGAAACAACCCGAGGGAGAAGGAAGTAATTGATACAGCGGCGGCAGTGTAGTCTTAGACCAACCGCGCACTTAGTCTCTATGGGATACTTCCGTGTAATCTAGCATCAAATCTATCAAACTACTATGCCTCTTCCACTGCGCGATGGTGGAGCTAACATGATAGTGTGTGGGAAGTGAACGTAACTCAACCCTCTGTTCAGCAATGCAACTCTTTCTTAATCTTCCTTGAATATAAAAGCCCTTTCCCCCCCCTTTATCACACGTCCTTTTTCTCACCCATCCAACCATCCAACATTCACTCAATTCACTCTTCCCATCACTTTCTCTAATATTCTCTTTCTCTCCTTGGTTCTCTCTCTCTCTCTCTCTCTTTCTTCCTTTCTTTTCTTTTCATTTCTTATCTTTTGTCTTTCTCTATGTTTCTTTCTTCCTTTTCTTTTCTTTTCTTTTTTCTTTTTTTTCCCTTTTGATAAGCTTTTCCAGCCCCGATCCAAACTCCTATTTTCGGTGTGGGTTTGTGAACGCAAGCAGTCATGTGGGGGAATGTTCCCATCACCCAGCTTGTTGTCCTGTGGCTGGCGGGCCAAGGAAGTGCCCTAAGCAGCTCCCTTTTGGAATCCGGATTTAACTCCCCTGCAAATGTCTCCGCTCGTGCCCGAGTTCAGAAATCTACTCGCTGTCCCTCCCAATGTAACAGCTACGACCCGACAAAGTGGTTTGCGTACCCAAGTACAGCGCGCGTGGCCAAATGCGACGAGACAATGTTATTAGACTTTATGGTCCAGAACCCATTGAATGATAGCACCGCCCATCATACCATCTTCAGCTGCACCACAACTGGATCGGGTGGTCTGGACAGCGCGAGCGATAGTACAGTCTACGCGAGTCCGGATACAACCCTTGAGGTTGACTATGAATTTGGCTTTTGGAATGCCGACACCTCCAGCACGACTTTCCCAACCATTCAGAGCAATAAGTCTATCCCCACCCTGCAAGATATGCAGAAATATCTATCAGGCAATTGTCAGAAGTCGTCGATCTTTGCCTACTCGGCACTCGAGACGGTGGCGGCTGGTATCTATGTTGGAGGCAGCCTTCAACATGCCCAAAACATTTACTCCATATTGGATAACGTCACTAAGATTCTCGAAACCGTCCCGAACAGCGACTATTGGGTGTGGCAATCTTGTGGCATGAACTCAAACTTTACTTTGGGGATCGCTGTCGATCTACGGGGTGATCTAGCCATGGTCCAACAGCATGTCCATACGTGGAGCGATGGAAAGTGCGTCTCTGGGTTTACCACCAGCCACACTGGTGGTACTGAGCTCCTGGCAACAGACACAATCAGTGTGTTGACCGCCACTACGTCCTCGTCGGAAACAGGCAACGGCACCGTGCATCGTAGATCCTTCGGCACACATGGGCATTCCATGTCCCATGGACACGCCCGGCATTACATCCACCGACGGTCCACCTGTTCGTATGTCAAGGTTGTTTCAGGTGATTCGTGTGCCTCTCTGGTCGAGGAGTGTGAAATCTCCGCGGATGACTTCTATGATTACAATCCATCCAGTGATCTTTGCTCGACCCTGGCCGCAGGGCAGTATGTCTGTTGCTCACCAGGTGACCTCCCTGATTTCGCCCCGTCTGCCGACGCGAATGGAACTTGTTATACCTATTATGTGGTCTCTGGGGATACGTGCTCTGCACTCGCAGCCACGTATAGTCTGACGGAGGATAAGATCAACAAGCTCAATTCCGATACGTGGGGTTGGTATGGCTGTGATGACCTACAAATCGGCCAGTCGATCTGTCTTTCAGAGGGCACCCCCCCTTATCCGGTTGCGCTCGCCAATGCGGTCTGCGGTCCTCAAGTTCCTGGTACCGACTTCGCGAATGCGACGGTTGGGGATTGGCCGACAATGAACCCCTGCCCACTGAACGCCTGTTGCGATACTTGGGGCCAGTGTGGTGCGACCCCCGAATATTGCAATGATACTTTGGCTGCTACTGGCGCGCCGGGAACAGCCGCCGCAGGGTCCAATGGATGTATCTCAAACTGCGGTACAACCATTGTGAATACCGCAATCACTCCGTCTTCATTCTCCAAGGTAGGGTATTTTGATGCCTCCAATGTGGAACGGCCTTGCCTGCAAATGAACGCCTTTAGTATCAGTCCTCAAAAGTTCACGCACGTCCATTTTGCGTTCGGCAACATCACTTCGTCCTTTTCAATCGATGTTTCTGGCACCGAACAACAATTTACCTACTTCCGCGAGTTGAAAGATGTGAAGCGCATCATCAGTTTTGGGGGTTGGGAGTTCTCTACAAGCCCGGATACTTATATGATCTTCCGAGAAGGAGTCACCGCCGCCAATCGCGATACTCTGGTGCAAAACGTGGTGCACTTTCTGGATGAGCATGACCTTGACGGTGTGGACTTTGACTGGGAGTATCCCGGCGAGCCTGACATTCCTGGAATCCCTGCTGGAAGCGACGACGAGGGCTCGAACTACCTGGAATTCCTCATAGCCTTGCGCGAGGCCTTGCCATCCAAGTCAATCTCCATAACTGCCTCTGCATCTTACTGGTATCTGAAGGCTTTTCCTATTGCGGAAATGGTCCAAGTGGTGGACTACATTGTCTTCATGACGTACGACCTGCATGGGATATGGGACCTTGGAGACAAGTATGCTGACTCGGGCTGTCCGGCGGGTGAATGTTTGTTCAGCCATGTCAATCTTACCGAGACCATGTGGGCACTGTCCATGATATCCAAGGCCCCGGTAGCCACCAGTTTTATCATGGTGGGTGTGGCCAGCTACGGGCGCTCATTCGAAATGGCCTCTGCTGGTTGCTATTCCTCATCCTGCACATGGACAGCTGGGGGAGCGCCAGGGCCATGCACCCAAACCACCGGCTTTATGTCCAACGCTGAAATCAACCAGATTCTGACAGACAATCCGGATGCGGAGTATATATTTGATAAAGGCAGCGATTCCAATATTTTGGTGTATAATGAAACCCAATGGGTGGGTTACATGACCAACACAACCAAGAGCACTCGGGCGGCTTACTATGAGACCTTCAACTTCGCGGGTACGAGTGAATGGGCCATTGACCTGGAGGAGTTTGAGGTATATGTTGACCCCAGCACTCCGGGTCTACTCAGTTTGAACGAGGAGATAAGCGACTTGGGTCTTCATGTCAATCAAAACCTTACCTGTATCGACCTCATTTTGGGCCAAAATACCAGGGCTGAATAGGAGAAGTATGTCATGCTGGGGGCTGCGTATATCGACGAAGTCCTTACGGAATATGCAGGTGATCCTGAAGACTGGGACGAAGGTATGGCCCATGGGTACGCTCACGCCCATTGCCAATACTTCCCAGCCGATGACTGCACATCCATCCTGGGACACTATTGTACCGATGGCGACGTTGTGGATGGAGTTTACTGGGCGCAATACATGGTGGCAACCCTATATACGATGCTGCTCCAATGGCACTCCGCATTCGAGGGTAGTGCAGCTGTTGCCAGCTTGGATATCCCTATAATTGTCGATACGTTTACACCCAAGCTCGAGAAAGGCGTGTTGAGCTTCTCCAGCTTCTAGTCTGGTCTGTCTAGCGCGATTGGGGTAGCCTCCAGTCTAGTACCTGCGGCGCAGCCTATTACCGGTGCTCTTGACACGGGGTTCAGCACGGCTGAGAGCTTCATCCACTTGCTTTCTTCCGGATCTTACACGCTCCCAGACAGTGGGCAAATCGAAACGGACCTTATCAACGCTATGACAGGATTATATAACTTGACATCTTCCAGCATCGTCGATCTCAGCAGTTCGATTTTCGAAAACCCCAACAATGCCGGTCATCTCCCTAGCAGGCTTATCGAGGGGCCCTTCACTCATGATGTCGCCAATTATTTCTACAACGTGAAGCCTTTGTTTGCTTTCGATGGGGAGGCTTGGAAAACCTTACAGGATAGTATCATCTCCACACTTAAGCAGAATCTGGTTGGCGCAGCCCTTGCCGGAGCGGACTATTACGTGTTGAAGGACGCGTCCGTGGACCCCAAGAAATGTACTGCAACGGCTCAATACCTGATCGATAATATCTGCTACACCCTGGCCTACCCTGGGGCCGGCGACTGCAGGCAGGGACATGCCCACAACACCCACGCCACCGAGTCCATACTCGACAGCATCACCAGCTACGGCATGAACATCACAGAAATGCTGGTCAATTCCGAGGCTTGTCAAAACGCAACGGGGGTCTACTACGGCTCTCAGACAGTTGACATGGCCGAGGTTGCCAGCACCGGATCCCCCCCGACCTGCTTCTACAACCTGCCGGTGTTTAATCTCCTCCCCGTGACTGGTCAGAACCCTTTCTGTGATAGTCCCTGTTGGATCAATACGGTCAACGGCAGTGTTAGCGACGTCACCGTCGGTGTATCCTATATGCCGCCAAATCTTTACAAGATTTTCGACCAGGATTACTGTACCTGTGGCTATGCCACTGTGTGCAAGCGGATGCGTGGATGTTAATCCTCGCTTGCGGCTTGGGATATCTTGGCCTCCTCTCCTGTCTTTCACTTGGCCAATTTCCTTTCTTCACTCTCAAAAAATTTCCTTTCTTGTACAGTCACTGCCAATTAATTATAGTGTGATGGTTTGGCGAGATACTCGCGCTTTTAACTTTTTATTGGATTCGTTTCTTGTGTTCGTTCATGGTCGAACGTGATCAGACAAGCCGCCGGTTTGATCAATAATCTCTACTAGTAGAATCCCCTCACTACATCAGTACTACCTATATCGAACTACTTTGGTTCATACAGTAGCATTGTACTTGATTCATCCTTCGAGATTGCTGGCGAGCTTGATGTATTCGCATTGGCATTGTACATCATCACCGATTCCGTCTAGAAATGCTAAATCTAATTGTGCTATTTGAGGACGATTGTTTAGATGTTTAGATCACAGAACTACGTATATTTCCAGACCTCAAATCAAAATTCAATAAGCTATCCCAAAGAAACTGGCTACAAACACGGTGGAGAAACATCTCGAAGATGAAGCCCCTACTCCCTGGTTCCAACAATTGCCAGCCCATCTCCAATTGCAATCTGCCTTATGGATCAAGATATGCCAACCAACTACCACAATCCATCCTCGCACCACCAACAGATCTCTCTCCCAATCATGACGATCTCATCTGTCATCCTTAACAACATAAGGACCCTGCAGGATCTGTTGATTTCTGGTGATGACCCGACGATCATTAATCCATTCGACCTTGAAAATCGCACTGATCCACCGCATCAGTCCCACACAATCAAAATCCCCATTAAGAAAACAACACCAGACTTACTGCACCTTCCCCTCATACATCTTCCCATCATCTTTTCCCAGCACGCGTCCCTTCAATCCGAACCCAAGCGTACCTCCACGTCCCTCTACGTCATCGACGTCGGGAGTCACAACAGCCTCATGGAACTCAAAGTCAAGAAAGGTGTACCGAGAGCGCCATTCTTGCACGAATTTCCTGAACTCGGCCAGGTCGATTGCTTCGGAGTTCCATCTAGTGGATATTATCAAATTAGGAAGTGAGGGATGGGAGAGGGAGGGGACTACTTACTCCAAACTCGCTTCTGGACTGTAGTTGTCCGTCACGATCTCCATGGCTTCGTCGTCGGAGGGGACCTCGTAGATGGAGCTGGGGACATGAATGGCTTAGCACAATGATTTGAATAAACGCAGAGAGGGAGAGGAAATGAGGGCAATACCGTTGAATGCGCTGGACGAAATACAGCAAGGGCATTAGGAACTCTTGCTTCGTGGTGGGTTCGTTATTCATGGTGGCGTCTTGCTTTGTGGCAGAGGCACCCATTTTGGGAGTGTAGAACATACTAGCTGAGATGATGCGATGAGGAGATTTGGTTTGGTGTGGGATGAGATTGTTCCAAGCCTGATAGTCGTGGGGTTTATATATTGTGGTTTTAGAAATCTGGGTAGGGCAGCAAGTCACCGCTATACGAGGATGACTATGATGATATCACTATATATTGTCTGAAACAAGGATCACTGGAGCAATCGGTGGTGGAGCTTTCTGAAACGTAGTCATGGAATCAGTCCGGAGTGAAATTTCTCGTATCCGAATGACAGAGAAGTCCGATGCTTCCACTAGAAGCTGCTGTCGCTGCGCAGGGTAGTCAGATGCTTGACTATGCTGAATTGTATTCTGTGTCAGACATCTGCGAAGTGTGAGAGCTGAGCAAAGCTACAGTAAATACAACGTAGTGGGATCATGGATCATGCTTAGGTGCTCGAAACGGAGGGTTATGATTGGTGAACAAACTGAGGCTTTTGATTGGTTCGTTCTATTTATCCCTCATGTGACTCAATCCAAGTAACCTACTTAGTAGTAGAAAAGGAGAGCTTAGCAGGAAATAAAAGCGGGAAAAGCTAAAAAGTGAACGAGTCAGGTGTCTCACCACATGCAGATCTTTGACGGTGTCCTCAAAAACGTTGGACAGAGCCCTCTAAGAGGTTCTTAACGGGGCCCTTTAGATGCTTACTACTTACTGTTGGAACCTATTCACCTTGGAATTGTTCCACTAACCTAAGAGGTATCTATTTTGGTCTACTTGGGAAATTCTGCCACTTAATAGGTGCCTGCGGGAGGCTCCCAGTGCAAGGCGTTTTGAAGTGTTATATTAAGCGTCATGTAACCCAAATCTTAACCTATGTATTTGAAGGGCATTCTGTATGGCTAAACTCAAGCACTGGTAAAGGGCCCCGTCAACCGCTTTTGAAGGGCTCCGTCAAGCATCTAAGCACGTGGTTGTTGATTTAGGCCTACGGTATAAATCCATGTAAAAATCGGGTTTAGAGGTAACTTCCCTTGCCGGGACCTGACTTAGAGATTCTCAGATCTAGCGCGCTTCGAAAAATAGGGCCCTTGAGGAGACCTTCAACTAGGTGTTTAAGGAATGCGTATGTAAGACGTATTGATTAGGTAGGCATTATTCATCCATCAAGTTTCCATTCAGGTTCGTCCATAAGTCCTTACATGCACCTGATCACACTGTCCAGGATATCTCTTCACTTCAGGGGTTGTGTTGCTTTGTTGAATGAGGCCCCATTGAAGCTTTCTGAATTTTGCTTCAACGGGCAATGAGAATGGTCAGTGATGAGTGTATAATATGGAATATTAACTGCTTCTTCTCTATTCATTTATTCACTGTTCGGGAATTTCGGTTAGTACTTACGCAATTGAGACGCCATATCATGACGACCTGTGGTGACGATAGCTGCTTCTACATAATCACTGACGTTGCTGGTTAGTGACTCATGCATTCCATCATAATCATTGTTTACTTCACCAGTTGAGTCAAGGGCCTGCAATATAAAGTCTCGACAACTCCGATTTTCTTTCCGCTTTCGCAGCGATCAACTTTAGATTGTCTGTTGGAACACAGTCTTCGTTCCGTCTCTTCTCCAGATGGCCAGCGGTACATCATTTTGGCGTACTGGTAAGAACGCGACATTGTCCTTCAGCCTACCTGGTTCCAACCACCCTTTTCTTCCCTTTTCTTGTTCAACGTCTCGCTTCTGTTGCCTTGAGCCCCGCTTAGTTTGAGCTTCGAAGTCGCTCGTTCAAGGTCAGACCGGACCTTGCATTCTGAAAGCCATGTCTCGCGTTTCGTCCAGGGGTTCCGACTTGGAGATGTGCCATGGAGGGGCAACGACCACCCTAAATGGATACGAGGTCAGGAAGAGACGCACTAGTGGTTCTAGCTCCGACGAAGGAAATCAGACATTCGATGGTTTTATCAATGAGGATTACCGTGTGGGAGCCATGGACTTATGTGCTCTTCCTGTGCAGACCATAGGAGTCTCAAGAGCTAATTACCTGTATTCGCGCCTTTGCTCACCTGAGAGCCCAGTTAAGAGGTCTGTTCTATTCCAATCTATTCCGGGATGTCATGCTAATACCTGTTCTGTAGGGCAATCGAATCGATTCTCAAGTCCCACAATATCGTACGAAGATGGAATGATTTTGTGAGTTGCCAGTAGAAGTGGGATCCAAATTCCCAACCCAAGACTACGGCCCTTGTATTTGCGCGAAGAGATAAGATCGACGGAATATGGTTGCAAGCCTGTAGGCATATTCGAGTCTATCTGGTACGGGAAGGACTATCAGAAGTCTTAATCGAGATTGCCGACAAGAGGGCATTTATTCCCGCCAAGATGAGCCCTATATTGAATACCGACGCGATTCACAGGAAAGGGCCATTTGCCAGAGGGGCGATCATGAAGACAATACACCCCAAAGATGTGCTGTGCTCGTTGTCGGTTGCTACCGGCAAATTGAAGACCGAAAAAGCACCCCAACGATCCTCATCCTGCTCAATGTTGCAAGTACCAGAAATTGGGAGAACACGTGGAAAATCGAGATCCAGATTCGTACGGACTTTAAGCTACCAGATGTCGCCGTTGATATTTCGAAAGACGTCATATATCGTTCTGGCCACTGGGTGGGAGATTTGGATGAACGATCATGCCAGGATCCCGTGCGGCCCAGATCAAATATGGGCATAAATTTGGAGGATCGTGTTGCAGGAACCTTTAGCGGTTACGTTGAACTAAAATCGCTCAACTGGAGACAATTTGGTCTAACCTGCTTTAACTGTGTCCTTCCAACTAGAGAGAAATCTGCTCTAGAGCTGAAGGCCAGTGAGTAAATCTGTACTGCTATGGTGAGCCTTGAACTTGAGATTACTAATATGTTTTGATAATATGCGATGTATGGCGGGACGAGGGCATTCAAATGTTTGATAAGGAAGCAGCCAAATTTCACTGTCAAGTGCTCTTCAAAGTCTGTCAAGCGCTATAAATAGCCTCATAAGACATCACTTAGAGAGCCCCTCCAAGATTTTATTGAACACCTCATTAAACATCATTTAAATCTGCTACATATACTTCCGCCTACTCCGCCTACCATGTTGGGAATGCCTACTTGATTTAGCTGGCAGAATGTTCACCGCTTGATCACTTATGCCTAAGGCCTCACATTTGTATCTAAGGCTCTAATGACCCATGCCTTAGGCTACTAGATGAGTCCATTTTTGAGATCATACTCCAGGCCGTGCAAGAGATATTTCAATCAGTACCTTGAGGACTTACTTATTGATAGGACTTCTCTGCATAGCAGGCTATTTGAATTGCAGGTTCAGGAAGCGAAAAGTGAGGTTGTAGCGCCTCCCCGAAGAAGTTCCAACTACTGCTTTAGTCACCACTTCTACTATCTCGCTAGGATCCTATATGATAAAGCGATTTTCAGTTGAATACAAAAATCCCGGGTCTAAGGTCTTATAAATAGACCTGTGTAGGGGCTTACTGAGGGCTTTCTTTGGGGTCTCAATGTTGTATCAAGTAGCCTGAGGTGCGCTGTATAGCTTTAGAATCAATGAATTAAAAGCAGTGGGTTTCTCCTTGAAATCAGGCTATTCTCATCATAGTAGATGAGGAGGGCCTAAGGTGCGTGTTTAGCCTTGTCGGTGTGTCTGTAACGCCTCCCTTGCATGATCGGGATTGCTTATCGCGCCAAGCCGGGGTTTGTAGTGCTAGTAGCATACCAGCTGACCTTTCTCGAGAAGTCAGGAGAGTGAAGAGAACAAGATCGAAGTATTCCGTATGTTGGTAGGAGAGAGGGATAGGGGAGTTTGTACGTTCACCAATCGTCTTAGGACCTCTTCCATGGTATTGCAGGATGAATATTCAATAGTCATGTCTACTTCACTCTAGGCTCATCTTAACATCATGGAATCATCCCTGACATCTCGGTGGGGTTTCCCGAACATCTTTATCTAGATACTATTCATCGCGTCACTAGGTCATATTACAAGCAAGTATGCTCGTAGCCAAGTACAAAACTCTCCTAAAGCGCTTTATAGACCATTGCTGCTAGCACCAGCGGCGCCAAAATCCACAGCACCACCTTCTTGACCACCCTCCTCATCCCGCGGTGCATCACAATCTGCACCTTCTCATCCAGCCACTTCTTCTCATTCAGATGTGGAAATGGCACCTCGGGCACCGGCTTCCCCAGAAACTCGCACAAAGGTCCCCACCCATCACTCATCTTGAACTCCAGCAGGCGATCCGGTGGCGTCAACCTCCGCACCAACGCATAGTGTTCCCGATATTTCGCCTTACTCACTCGTTTCGCATCCTCAGGGCCCTTGATCCCCAACCAGCCGTCAAAAGTGGACTTGTGTACGTGGCCCAACGGGTGGGTAAACCACCGATCAAGGGTGTAAACGACGGTGACGAAAGGGTTATAGGTGTTCTTGATCACGCTATTCATCCAACTCTCGTACCACGAGTCGATATCCCGCTCGACGAGGACCACTTTAGCATCCGGATAGGCTTGAATCAGGTCATCCGCGAAGGCAATCGCCGGGGTGTCGGAGGAAACCGCCCCGTAATCGTGCAGCAGCTGGTCGAATTCGGCCCGCCCGTACTTCGGCCCTGGGGCGTTGAAGAATTTCCGATTAACGGCTTCCTGCCACATCTCAATATCGCCGAATTTACTGGACATGAATTGGGTGGAGTGCCAGCAGGGAAGGCCGAGGGTTTCGAGGGCGTTGCACATGGCTGATTGGCGCGGGGTTGATCAGAGTGGGGGTTGGGGAACTGCAGGGACGGTCCGAGAAAGTACTTACACGCGGTGCCCGTCCGGTTGAACCCTAAACACAGGCATTCGAGCGGCACGCTTCGCTGTTTCCCCCGCGGAGACTCGCTGTTCACGGGGCGGAATAACTCCGGGTGTCGTTCTTGCGGGGTGGCCATGACAGGGGATGATGGAGTTGATGAGAATAGGGGAGGGACAGCGATCAGCTCCTGTAGGTTGACATCAACTCTGGGTTAAATAGCCCCTGATGAGTCAGAGTGTAACCACCAATCAAACAGTCGAAGGTTACACAATGAATTGCGTTACTAGTGTCCAGGATTGTCTTGACTTGTTCGGTGGCTAGTGCTTACTGCCTAGAAGTTAGGCATATTTGGCAGGTAACTGCCGCCCGGGTTGGAACACCCACTATTGCTCGTTCCCTCTCACAGCCTCCCCACGCGTTGCGAAATCACTTTCGATTATCGCTTACGTGTTGTACCCTTATTGAGATCATAGGATGTGGTACGGAGTGCAACCCTGTCGACTTGGTAGCCTAGTGATTTGGCAGTCAGGGTCCCCGCTGCAATGATAACTGCCTCATTACCGGCGTCACTGATGGTCAGCATCATGAGATCAGATTTTATCTTCAGCAGAGGCTGCTAGACAGTTAAAACTTACAGCTTTAGCGCTGACCTTATCTGACAACGACAGCCAACTAGGTCGGCAAACAGGACGGCTGAAATGCCGCCAACCCTCAGCTGAAGAAAAATGAAGAAGTGTCCGAGGGCGCTAATGCGGGCCAGGGAAAAGCCTCGCAATTGCAGCCCGCATTGGCCAGGTCGATACGAGCACCGTGCCACAAACACTTCAACCGGATTTTTGAACCGACCACACATTCCCTGCAGCAAGCAATGTTTGCTGCAAGACGAATGTTGACTGCAGTGTTAGCGCAGGGATGATCGACAGTCATCATGCCTATGACCAGGCTGACAGGTGGGACAAACATCCGTGTCACGGCGGGCGGGCATTGATATAGCATGTCATGCAATTCCAGGCCTTGAACCTTCACATCTATTCATCCAATCCCAATGACCTCCGCTCTGAGTTCCTTGCTCTCGCTGGATCCAGCCGAGCTGGCCCAGGTTCCAGCGGGCACTCCTCCGCCAGGACAGGAGTCCAACTTTATTGATCCTCCATCTGAGGGTTACTTGTTCCTGGTGGTCGGCAGTCTGGTGTTGGGCATCATGTACATCACCGTGAGCATGAGTCTCTATGTTAAACTGAAAGTCCGAAAGCGATGGGCCCCCGACGACTGGTCCCGCCTCATATCAACGGTCCGTCCAACCGTATCCTGTGCTCTTTTGAGAATACCTCACTCATCCGAGTCTTTGTCAGATTGGAGCCACGTTCTACTTTATCACGGGCGTCTTTGGTAAGCTTACCTCGTGGTGATGCAGGCCATGTCTACCATCTACTGACTTCTTGGCTACAGCGGTGGTTACGGCCAGATTCGGCACGCACATGTGGAATCTTTCCGTCGCCCATATCCTGAGTGATTCTTTCATCATTGTAAGAAGCACGGTAGATAGACAAGACGGGGAAGCAAGAGACAGAAGAACTGACCGCAGCCCCTCAGATATCATACTTCTCCAATTGGGAAACGGCCATTGTGTGGCCGGTCGTGAAGACCACCTTTTTTCTTCTCTACCTCGACATGTTCCGGACGATTAGGTGGCAGCGTTACGCCATATACTTAGGGCTTTTCGTAAACTGGGGCTTCTATCTGGCCGTTCTGATTGCCAGTCTCTACTATATCAGTCCTGCGCCAGGCCAGTCGTGGCAGGCCTCGTTCGTGTCGACGCGGTATAACCACTCACTGTACATCTCCATTCCGATCGCGGTGGGGAGTCTTGTCCTCGACCTGTATATTCTGCTACTCCCAATGGCGCCCATTTGGAATCTACAGCTGAAGATGAGCAAAAAGCTGGGTGTGATGGCTGTGTTTGCTACAGGATTGATGTAAGTTGCATGCCTGTTCCCTCGCCTCCTTCAATAACTGGACAGACCTAATGAAGGCTCGATTTTAGCGCCTGTGTCGCTTCCTCTCTTAGCATTTACTTCAAGACGGTGCTGAACTCTCACGAGACCGACTTCAGCTACTACTCGCTCAAGGTCTTCATCATGGCGATCGTGGAGATGTGCGTGGGGATCACCGCCAGCTCCATGCCATCCATGGCGCTGTTCTTCCGTCACCATGGGCCCCTGTTATCACGCTTCTTCTCACGCTTCTCCCACACCTCCCAGCATTCTTACCGCAAACGCTCGGCCAACCGAGACGGCGACCCACTCGATAACCACACTTCCGACCGATGGCCATTGAAGGATTTCACATCCCCGGGTAAGGGTCAATACAACCGCGTGGAAGAGGTAGGAGGCGACGGTGGTGGTGACAACGTCAGCGAGGGTGGCGCCAGCCAAAGTCATTCTCACGCTGGGTTGAGGATTCCTGAGGATCGGGTTTAATCGGTGGAGGGCTCATATCCAAGTACACACATGTCTAGCTCTTTTTCTCCATGGCCACCTCCAGTAGCAACGGTGGATAAAGTTCAATGATACCGGCTAGCACAGTCCTGTATCGACAAGGATGTTCCTTGCCCCCAGTCGCACGAATACCGACAACTACGGGTTCTTGGACTAGGGGACCTTTCAGCCCGAGGCTGTGCCTTGCTGAGGGCTTTCTCACTCTGAGTCAAACAGCCGCCAGTATTGGTGATACGAGCACATCTGTGGGAGTCGGGATGACTGTCACTTTCCAGCCCTAACCCTTCCAAGCACCCTTTGCGTGATGCCAAGCGCATGTCTATACATTAGTGCTGACTACTGTGACAGAGTCACACATCCCCGAGCTGTTTACGAGATAAGCCTCGTGCCAAGCCTCCCGTCCAAGTATTCGGCGCTTCGCCGATTTGGTTGGGAAAGTGCGGTGGAGAGGCTCCGTCACAATTTAGCCTTTCAATGGCTCAATACTGAAGGCTGATTTGGCTACCTTAACTTACTTGGTACATTGATGAAACTGGGCAACCCCTGCAAAACCGTATTAGAGCAGCAATAACATGGTGGCAGTGCCGGGGCAGATGAGGGGTACACACACCTGCTGGTCGGTGTATGACGGCGGCTGAATGGGCTGAGATGAGACTTGGCTTTATAATAATACCAATAAATCCGGCGAGTAGTCGGTTGATGGGTTTACATCTCTCTACCTGCGCTATCAACCATCATCATCATGGATTGGGAACCTCTCTCCTCGTGGCTCTTTTGCCTCGCTAGCCTCATACTCTGTCTCTCCGAAATATACTTCGCGATAAGGTCTTCAAAAGGATCCAGCTTCCTCTCTCTCCCCATGGTTACACTGTCCAAGTGCCACCAAATCCTCGACGACTTTGTGAGTGATGTCCCTGCATGATGCGATCAGGATTCCACATGGCTAATTCAGTAGTACAATGGCAAATTCTACCGTCCCTGGGCCCCAGAGCCCATCCTGGTCGAACCCACGAAGAAAAAGATGACAGAGCTGAGCGAGGCACCGGTGCTCTCGCAGCGTGCCGTCTACGCCGATATGTTCAGCTTCAAACACACGATCAAGGTCGCTCATCAGTATGAGATCAAAACCATGCGAACGCGATCGCGGCTCTATTCGCTGATCCTAAATGTACGCGGCCCTGCCCAGCTGGCCAAGTTGCACCCGTATATCCAAAATCGGTTGGAGCGCTTCCTGGACAACGAGCTATCGCCGGTCCGGGTAGAACCAGATGGCTCCTTGTGTTTGCCGCTCGCACAGACATGTCGTGTCATGGCTTCGCGGATGATGGGCGTGATTTTCTTTGGGGAGGAGCTGAGTATGACTCCCCTTATGTCCGACTCGTCGCATGTGGATTAACCTCATCATCAGTGTCCGATCCTGCCTTCAGCAAGGCTGTATATGATCACCCACAGCAGACCGTCAGATGTATGGCGCTCTTCCAACTGATGCCGCGTGTTATGTCCCCGTATGTTATGCTTCCCATCTTGTTACATCTCCCCGCATAAACAAGTCACTGACAGCAGGCAAACAGGCTCATCCACTCCATCGTAACCCGCCACGACGCAGCCATGAAGCTAATTCTAAGGCGCCTTATTCCCGTCATCGACAGCGAAACGAAGAATTGGTCCGAGCCGGCCGGTTTAAAAGAGCTCACCCTCTTAGACATCTTCACCAAAGAAACCCATCCCACCCGCGACTACTGGACCCCCGAGACCCTCATCCAAGCCCTAATGGGCCTTCTCTTAGCAGCCTCGCACCAGCCATGGGTCAATCTATACATATTCCTCTACCGACTCTGTGAAAACCCAGAGTGGCAGGACATCTTACGAGAGGAGATCCGCGCGGCGAAGACAACCCAGCCCCTTGACTACCACCGGTTGGACCAACTACCTCTCCTGGATAGCTTCATGCGGGAAACTGCGCGCTTGGTATCATTGGATAAACTGAATATCCGTCGCAAGGCCCTGCAGGACTACACCTTCTCTGACAGATCACCCCATGTCCCAGCCGGAGCTACCGTCTGCGTGTCCTCTTACGATGCATCTCACAATGCAGCCACGTACCCAGACCCGGAGGCTTTTGATGGTCGTCGCTTCGTGGACGGGAATCATAACGATTCTACGCATCAGTACTCCGATGTATCCGAGCACTATTTGATTTGGGGATATGGGTCACTGGCATGGTATGCCTTTCTTCTTTTATATTATGCCTTCCAGCAAGACCACGACTCACTCTTGATTTCTAGCCCCGGTCGCTTTCACGCCACCTTCGTGTTGAAACTGGCCTTGATTAACCTCCTCCTACGGTACGATATCCGGCTGGACGACCCAAAGATGCGCAGTCATTGGATGTATGAAGCGTTCAGCATGCCGTACGAGTCCACCAAAGTAGTACTCACACCACGAGGGACGGCGTAGAAGGAAGAACTGGAATTCGCTTACCTGTGCAAGTTAAGCTATATCTTTTTTTCGGGCATTCTTTTCGACTGCATTTCGGCTTCTAGCAGACAATTTTCATGATCTATTTATGTACGGGAAAACGAATAATTACGATGGTACTTCAATACATTTTATGCAGAATTATCCTAGCGTCGATGATCATATATCCCTTTGATGAATGAGCAAAATCCGTTGAACATTCAGAAATAGAGTTGATGTAGGGGTAAGAACATAGTGGACTGTGTATATGTAACTCGCCATAATCTACGAATCTATTACTTGGGACTACATTTCCTTCATATGACACTACTTACCGATCCAGCATTTCGTAAACCTTGTGGTGGGTTGATTGACTATCTGGCATCCGCGACTTGATTGAGGCGTTCTCGAATCTTTTTTAGTATGCATTTGACAATGATGGTTATGTCCAAGTCTTCGATCGCAGGATCCATATCTCTTCCCCTGGATTGCTCCATCTCTTCTAACCTAATGTTCTAATTGCGGAGGTCTTTCACCCAATCCGGGAAACCCTCTGTAAGATGCATTTCAGTGACACTCCTATGTCTACCATTCGAGATCATTCTCCGGGCTCGTTTTCGGTAATATCTAAACCAGCCGGCGGCAGTGCAACATTTGGTGCAGAGAATTTTGCTTCTCTCGAGGGGAAACTAATCGTGGTATGCAATCATACGTATGAGCAGTGCTTACATCGTCTATTATCGGGATACCCTACGCTCCGTAGAGAGGTTACTGAACGGGAATCGTCAATAACAGAACCGAACTTTGTGGCCGGGGTCTTCTTTCCCAGGCAGTGATCGTCTTTGCCAGTTATTCCAGGTTTATAATCCGTAAGTTGCTCGTCATACCATATGTCATGATTTCCACGTGACCCAAGAATATCATCACATACATGTCACTGCGCCCTCTTGCACCTTCTTGCCCCTCCCTCTCGTTCAATAAAGTCGTACAACAGCCTGAGCCCCCTCCAACATGTCGTCCAGTCTTTCCAAAGCAGACATCCTATGGTGGAACTCCAGAAACTTCGACGTCCTCTGTCCACACTGCAAAGATATCCACCGCCATGACATAAACTGGGACGGTCCTAAAACTCGAATCCAACATTGCGAGAACCAACAGGAATATGTCTGCTGCTTCCCGATCAGTGACGATGGGTCTGCTGCATATGAAATCGACAAGGAGCGAGCAAGGTTTGTCAGTACCTTTGCTCTGGGTTATACTGGAGTCGTTGGAGTGGATACCCTGGCGGATGACTTTGCAGCGAGTGTCAATATCGGAGCTCATAATGGAGGTGATCGAGCGGAGCATGGTCCGAGGATTAACGAGGATTCCCATGACATGGTGAAAATGAAGGTCGGGGATGATGGGGAGCCGTTCCAGGTAAACAGACTGTCTCTTGCTGTTGGCAACTGCGTCGATAGACCCCCTACTGATACACTTTCCAGCAATCACCCTTAAATGATCACATATTCTTTCCGGGGCCTAATGCAGATTACCCGATGACCGTACCAACAAACAACGTGGCCAGATTAGAAAGAGGCGGCAAATACCCCACTGTTGCAGCTATGAGTGGATGGACACATGGTTCGGGGCCGTCTCCAGATGCACTAATCAGTGGTCAGCAATGGACGAAGGAGGTTTTTTATATCGCCAGCGTTATCGGCCACGAACTCCCTCCCATCGAACACTATGATGGCAGTCAACCGGGAAGATACAATGCCTGCCATGCAGAGAAGCAACTGATTGCCTATTTCCTTGATCGCCATGTGTTTCTGCCCCGCGACGTGGAGCCGGATATGTAATTGGATGAGAAATACGAGGAGGTGTATGACGAGTATGATAGGATCCGTTACAGGACTTGCAACGGCATAGATCTATGCTTTTTCAGAGAAGAGGACGAACGCCTAAAGAGAGAGTTATTCGCCGCTGAACATACATACTACGGACACCACAAAAATGAAGACAAAATCAGTTCGCTATAGGCTGAGCTCAGTTCCGTGAAAACCAGATTAGAACAGCTGGAATTGAGCCCTGAAAGCCAACAGCTTCCCAGCCTGAAAGCTCGAATCAACAGTCTGGGAAAACGCTATGTGAAACAACGACGTCGCCTTGATCTAGTGAGGTTCCGACCACGGATATCCTTGACTACCGCGGTTATGTTGGTCAGCGCCGTGATTTGCGAGGGCTGCGTGAATTTCACTGAGAAAGTCAACAAACGTTTTAACTTGTCAATACGGCTCTGCTGTGACATCGAAGGTACTCGGGGTTAGTGATCTGAAGGTGTCTTATTCTAATAAGTTACTACTGTGTCGACGGCGAGAAGATTTTCAAATCGTGCCGGAAATTATCTGGCCTTCGTGTCGAATCTTTTATTATTTCTCAATGTTGCTCATCCTCCTACGACGAGCTATATGAGGAGTTGTTCTTCATCTCTTGACATGCAAGAAATGTCTAACACCTAGCTATGGTCGTTAATCAACTAAATAAGTCGTGAGATGCTTACACATTGAAGTAGCCGTAGCTGGAACTATTCTATATAGTATCAGAGGCGAACAGCATATCTTAAACCCAAACCCTCAAACCAGCACCAATTCATAGACTTATCTCCCCCATCCCTTCCTTCCAAGATTACGTCCCCGCCATAGTCGCACAAAACGGACTCCGCGCGCGCATCAACCCACCCCATTTAATGAACGCAAACGGGATCATCGCCAACGCTAGCGACACGAACCCCAGCAACGAGCTCGCCCAATGTATACCCAGATGATCGTACATGGGCGTCGCAGCTAACGGCAAGCCCACGGCAGCGGCGGATCGCATCGTACTGGCGGCGGCTTGGGCAGACGCTGAATTGCTTTTGTATGCGTCGGTGAGGTAGTTTAGCATGGCGATGAAGATAAGCAGGTAGCCGGTACCGAACCAGATTCCGGCGATCATGGCTGCGATGGGGGAGATGCCGTGTTTGGGCATCCAGGCGAGCCAGAAGAGGCCGATTGTGATTCTGTGGTGGTGATGTTGGTGAGAATGGTTGACGGAGGAGGGGGGTGTGGCTTACAGGGGAGCGCCCACGGCGGCGAGTGGTAATCGACGGTATTCTTCTTGCATTGCCCAGGACTTTTTGGCTGCTATGGCTTTGCTGTGGAAGGAGCTGTAGGCTAGGAAGATGGAGAAGGCGAGAAAGGAGCCGATTATCACTGGGTGGATATCTTAGTATAGAGGGCCTGGGCGTGTCGGGAGAAATGTCACTTACTGGGTACGAATGCCAAACCGGATAGGCCGACGGAGAGACCGTAGAATTCTGGGGGTAAAAGAAGCAGGTGAGCCATCGGATAACGAGCATTCATCGAAATCAAGACCTACGTCGGAATACAATCGGATACGCCTGGAAGAACAGGTACAGTAGGGCATAAATCAAAGCCATATACAGAGAGGAGAAAAGAAGGATAGGCTCACGAAGGAGCATCATAAACGGCCGACTGAACACACGCAGCAGCTCAGCACGCTTCGCCTTCTGTAGCGAGACTTTCTCAATTGTGGTGATGCGCGTTAGACCACGATTCTTGAGTGCTTTTTTCTGCAGAAGAACGGGGGCGTAGGTTTCGGGCATCAAGAATATGACGGGCATTCCAGCCCCAGCGACAATCAAGGCCACCCAGAAGGCCCAGCGCCAAGAGACTTCGGATACGTAGTTGGAAATGACGGGCCCCAGCTCGGGGCCTAGGACAGTCATAGCCATGAAGATGGACATGGCTTTGCCGCGTTGATCGGGATGGTTGAAGACATCGGCATAGAGACCGCCCGTGATGGCATTCGGGGCTGCGGCATTAAGTCCGCTCAGCAGGCGGAAGACAAGCAGGCCGGGGAATGTGGGTGCCAGTGCACAGCCTAGGGTGAAGGCTGTGTAACCGATGTAGGTGCCCCGAAGGACCGTTCGTCGGCCCAGATGCTCGCTAAGTGGGCCGAAAACTAGCGGTCCTACGGTGAAGCCGACCATGTATAGCGATGTCAACAGGACTAGCATCGGTTCGGAGGTGACATTGAAGTAGGCTTTTATTTCGGTCTGGGCGCCCGATGCAATTGAGGAACCGAATGTGCTGTTAAAGGTGAAGAGGATGCCGACGGCGATGACATGGAATTTGCGCCACTGTGTTTCCATCCGCGGGATCAGTCAGTACTGCACAATTCAGGCAAATTTTCAGTGTCGCGGTTGATGCGACCGATGCCAGGATGCATGTTCGTCGCGTCTCTTATTGTATGAGAATTGTACATGAAAAGAAAGTGCCATACCTACCCGTGAAAAGTTGACCGGGTTCGTCGGATCATGATCCCCAAAGACCGTGATACTGCCCGAAGAGGAAGAAACAGTTGAGCCGGCCTCATCTGCGACCTCGGGCACTGCGCCCTCCATTTTGGGGATGTTTTCGTCCTCCATATGAGCTAGTGGTCCTCTTTCTGATCCTAATGCCACCACTGGCCAAGAGGAGTGGCGGGAAAGATGAAGGAAAAAAAAGTGCAGATCTTCCAGGGCAGGTCGGAGAGAAGTCCGAGAGGGCCTGGGTTAGCTTCGGCTACACAAGGGGCAATCCACCACTCACCGATGCTCTGAGGGACTGTTGTGGGACGGGCCGAAGACACGCCCTGCGCCTGACACAGTACAAGCAACACGCCCTAATCCGTGACCCACTTTTGTGGGTTGCGCCGGTCCCGAGTCCGAATTGTGCCTCTGGGGGCCCGGGAGCAGAGTATAATCTCGGCGTTCCCAGCACGGTTGCCTTATGTTGGTTTTGCTCGTCATAACTTGCGAGGAAACTGAAACTGATATGGATATCTCTGGCTCGCAGCCTGACTCTGGTGGTGGGCAGGGCAGGGCGGAGAATCTCCTCCATTCTGAATGATCCATTGGACTCTAACTCCCAATTAGGCTAGAGGCTCTTCAGATACCCATCCATCATAGATTAAGTGACCGGGTCTTCCGGATGTTATTCCGGTGGTTGCCGTCCAACTTTCTCCGCGGACAATCTCGATCGGAGAAAGAAGTATGGACGGCGGATCTGATAAGGGCTGGGTCCCGGGGGCATTAGCCCTAATGCAACCAGCCAGGTCGTCATGTATCTCAAAGAAACTACCTCGGGGGGCCCAACAACCAAGCATGCACTATTTGATCAGAAATTGGGGAGAAAGATATATATACCAGGTATGCACATCAAAATTACTCACATGCACGCGGGAAAGGATTGTGCGTATGATCATGGCTCGTCGGCCGCTTAGACCACTCCGTCAAAAAGGCATCTCCCCAGCCAGATGAACCATTTTGTGGGTCAATCTGACAGTTCCATTTCGCGGGCCGGTCCTCGTGTACGTATTGAATCCTTCAGCTGTCACCCCTTGCTTATTCTTGCCTGCAGTTCGTGGCTCCTCATTCTTCTGCGCATTCCAGCCCACCGCCTTTTTACCGTGGCCGCATATTCTCGTATTTGTGCTTTTATGACTATGCCTGACCCAACTCATGTGTTAGGAATGGGTAGCAATAAGCGAGTGGTATTGCGGTGGGTTACCTAAGGTCCAGATAGTTGTCAATACGCTCAGCACTAATGCAGGATTGAGCCACGACTAGGCCAATTGGGGCAGCAAGGCTCTTCTATGTTTTATCTTCCCATGTTGTCTCTCTTCGCCGTTTCTTTTTCCCTCTGTTCCTATGAGACTTGCAACATGTGTTGATGGTGGCTATCAAGAAATCCATTATCAATGTCTTTTTCTTATCACCGATCTATTTAGTTAAGGCCCCTCATGCTGAGAGAACAGCAGTCATGCTCCCTACCATTCCATCCTCTTCATCTACCACGGTACCTCAGCCCCATCATACTGATTCAACCCCTCAGCCTTCTCCCACCCGGGCACCCGAATGTTAAAGAATTTACCATTATCTTCCTTTGTCGCGGGGAGGATGATATCCAAGATACCCTGCACACTCTGCTCGGTGGTCAAATCGGCTCTGTCTCCACCCAGCCCGGTCTTCACCCACTGTTGCATGGTCAGCTTCATCAAAATTATCAAGAAATTATGGGGACATACACCCGGCGAGATAGTCAGGAATGTGAACCCCTGGTCCACAAAAGACTGGGCGTATTGGACCGTGAGCATGTTGAGTGCCGCCTTGCTGACCTTGTAGGCTGGCACAGGGAAGAGGGCGAATCGGGGTGCCATGGTGATGGAGCCAAGGGTTGTTGAGCTGGTATTGTTAGCAGATTAGCAATTACCTGGGCCCAGAGAAAGACGCAGACTGACATATTAATGACTTTCTTTTGGATGCCATTCTTCAACAGAGGCAAGAATGCACTCGTTACCAAATGGGCGCTGATGACGTTGGTGTGAAAGACGGAATCCAGGTCGTCCCTGGCTTGTGTTAGCTGAATGCAATCTGCAAGAGAAGGTCTTTTTACATTGTCTCGATCCCATTGGGTGTAGCAGGCATAATCCCCACGCCATTGAGAAGCACATCGAGTCCCCTGCCCGCTAGTGCTTCCTCGACGGTCGCTGCTGCGGTCCGTACACTGGCCTTATTTTCGACATCTATCGGAACGGACTTGACGCGACCGGATGATTCTGCGACTAGCCGCTTCAATTCCTCTGTTTGTGTGCGCGCCGCTGCGAAAATGACTGATACTTCACTGGCGGGCTTGGAGGCTAGGGTGCGGGCCATGGCGAGGCCGATGCCGCGGGAGGTGCCGGTGATGAGGTAGGAGGCCATGCTGTTTAAGGGAGAGTCACAAGGTTTTACTGGAAGGAGAATGAAATAGACTGTGGGTTGCTGATGATATCCCCGGGAAGCTGAAGACCTTTATATGTCGACAACAAATGTCCTGGTAGATGTGGAAGTCTTGAGATCGGTGCCTGTCCAACAGTTCCTATCGGACGGACTTTGTTAACGCCGTGATGCTTTGAAATCAGGCTGCAGGTTCGATCATCGCAGCGTTTCTACGAGAAAAGAATAGTTGATGGGGCTCAAGAAGTTTGAATAGACGCATTGTGGTTTGATTCGTAGACGTCATTGGGGCTATTCGGTTAGTGCCGAACCCTGGATTTGTCAGGCTGCGTCTTACAAATCGAGCCATTGAGTTGACCGAGACCGAATCTAAGCTATCCCTCATACTTCTTTCTTTATTCTAAAGTCTGTAAGGTCATTTTCTATTGGAATTTAACACTTGTGGGTCTGTTTTAACTCCTGATCCACGCCTATCTCTCCCGCCTCTCACCTTGAGCATCTCAATCTCGAACAATCGAAGCTACCCAGTGCCTGGCCTTTTTCAATTGACTTGCGGCAGTCGATTCATTCTAGAAGCGAACCTACGATGGTTCCTGATATATGGACTAGGCTGTTAATGCATTGTTCAACGATAATCTGACCGCCACGGTACTTCGCGCGCGGTACGGTCAGATTATAGTCAGGAACCACTTTATTAGTAATATCTCTAATTATCGATTGTGTCTCTTTCTATCTTCGTTTCAGTTGTTAGACGCAAAGGTACTGTTATATTTCACATTATTCCATCAGTCAGGCCATCGCTGCTACTTCAAAACCGCGCTATGTGTGGCCTCGCCCTCGTCCTCGCCCTCGTCCTGGGCATCGACGTCTGGCTTCCTCTTCCTGCCTCCTTCGCTCCAGAGTTTTGTAAGCTCATCCAGGAGCTGGGTTGGGGTCTGTCCATTTGCGTTTGGCCAATCCATCGAGCCTCCTGCGTCCACCAAGACTTTCATCCACCCTCCCGTGCTCTGACTGGGGCATCTCGGGGCTGAGCTGGATCCGGAATTCCGTTCTCATCCAGCCTTCGGCTCAATGTGCCTTTCATGACCTCATGCAGGGGCGTGTTCCCTCTGCGCCGCATTGGTCTGATCCAGATGCTTGACGAGATAGTGCATTGCAAGACAACCATCTGCATCGGGGGCGTTGATATCAGTCGACTCCGGCAGGCACTCGAACAGGTCCAAATTAATGGATTCCTCCCACAGACCAGCACATAGTCTCTGCAGACAGAAACGCACATCGGCCCCATTCGCCAGCAAGGTCCGAATGTCAGGATCATCAAGAAGCGCTAAGCAATTCACTGTTCAGTCGATCGGTTATCAATAAGTACTAATGGGGCGTGACCAAGCTCAGGGCTTTGTCCATGATCAAGGCACTCGTCCAAACACTAATGATGCGGGAGCAGACGCACTTCTTCCTTGGCCAACAGAAACATGTCTAATTTCTCTCACTGAAACCCCCACTGCTTCGACGCCAACCCCGATCCGCAGATTCGTGAGGAGTGGCCTCATTGCCGGGTTAACCGATTATTCCGAGAGAGCTGTCACTTCAGGGTGAAGTAGGCGGCGTCATGGAACCGAGAGAGGATTCAGGGTTGTGGGTGTTGGCCTGAAAAGAAACAGGGGTCTTCAGTTTAGACCGACTTAGTGCTTACGTTCATTGGGAATGTATGACCTGCGGATTGGCCAGGTTTTCACTTACCCCTTCTATTAGTAAGGTCCTACAGACGGTGCTGGCACCTGACGGGAAGTCCGTCCTTGATGACCGCTGCGCGATGAGAGAGATTTGAGGCCGCTGGAAAACAGCAAGAATGGCTGGCTATAGCGGCCAGCGGGCAACTGATGCCTGCATTGGTTTCGAGGCGTCGAGCTGACGCCAGACTTTTGGTATGCTTCAATACAGGGGTTTCGTTGGTTCTGGTGTCCTTCAATTGCTTGACTACTTCATACGGGTGCAGATGATGAAGCTTTAGGTCCAAGTAATGGTAATTGCCTACTCTCTTTTCATGAATTACCTCTTATATATGTATCACGGGCTCTTCAGCCCGCATATTTGGTGACATACAAGCACAAGCTAGCACCTAGCTACTATGGTTTTTATTCGACTTGGTAAGTCATGAAATGCTTGGAATGTCTACACCGCACCAAACCTCCTATCTCGTCTTCCAAAACTCCGAAGTCATCCCTAACTCATTAAACAACCCTTCCACCTCCTCCTCCGTCTTCCTGCCATACTCATACGTATGCTTATCATGATACCACGCCTACCCAGATCAGCCAACAGCCCAACATCAACGCACCCACAGCACCTACCTTAGACAAGGCCCACAGTGTCTCCAGCGTCATGATCTCCCCAGAATAAAACCCATATTTCCGAGGCCACTCCAAAGCCTCTTCCTTAGTTGCGAATATCTGAATAGTACCACACGCGAACCGCACATCCTTCCACCACTTGCCAGGCGGGATAGAGAAGTGAGCGTGGCAATCATGCGGATTTAGTTGTTCATCTTTGTGACCGGTGCAGGTCATGTTATCGTTCTTGATAGTGAGTTGTAGTTCCTGGCCGATGGAGCCTGATCGAGTCATGATGGTGGTTTCGAGGGGTGATAGCATCGCGGCTAGTCCGAGGGCACACCAGATGCAGTTGGCCCACCAGCGTCGGGGACCTTGGGTCTGTATATGACGTTAATAGGGTTGTGAGTGGAATTTCTAAAGTACTGGGGATTGAGGAGACGTACCACTACAAAGGTCGTTGGGCTTCATCTTGTCAGCAAGGGACGTCTGTGGCGATCGGGCACTTACAGATGGGAAAATGGATGGGCCATGGCGATTGGGGTCGGAGAGCGTCCATCATGCTTGTATTGGGCAATGTGATGAAGATCCTCCAGTTGGTCGAGATTGTGTTGGATCTCTGTCGTGCTCAGACTGCAGAGGGTGGCCAATTCCATGACGGTCGGGGGCCGGCACTCTTTCAGATAGAACTGAAAGAGCTGGTGGCGAACTTGACGAGATTTTTCGTCCATGTCTTCTGCACTTTGCGATGGTTGTTTAGGATAAGATATGGTTTGTGGTATCAGGTCGATGATGGAGGGCTTATATAGATGCTTTGCATAGCTGTGGGGCTTGGGGTGGTTGGCAGGCGGAGGATCCACTCATTTGCGACGCCTTAACAACGACATGTAGCCAGGTTTTGGCCACGCCAGGTTGAATATTATCCCCAAAGGCTCGACTTCGGTCGGAAGTCGGGCCATTTTCTAGCGAACAAGTGCCATATTTGCCTTGCCATATCCTATCCTACGAAAGGGCCTCACGTGGGCCACTTTGGCCTTAGGCAGAACCTTTTTATCAAAGTCGTGAGACTAATGCCAGAGAAATGAACAAGCCCTTGTCAAAGAGGCAGGCGGTATATCTGTCAGGTGATCTGTAAGCTGTGGCTGACCCGATCTAGTGTGGCTTTAGTGGCTGTGTATGGTGCAGTCTTACGTAAAAACTTAACAATAAACTTTTGAGCGGGGAAAAGTGGGAAAAGCCAGGGGCCTTGTCGTCCTTAAGGCGTGGGCGTCTCATGTCATTCCTCTGGTCGGAATTCCAATACTGCCTGTTCCTATCCAGTGTCCCTGGTCCTTTTTACCCTCCCTTGAAGGACGCCCTTCTTTACATGAAAATCAAAGGGTTCCTTTCGGTCTCTGGTCTGATCTCCGGCTTCGGACCGGCTCCCGCCACTTCCGATATATTCCGAAGTGATTTCTATCCCGACCATTGACTAGTTTTACGCCGAGTCCAACTAATGGAGTACTTTGACTTTGACGAAGCCTCTTCCGGGCTTACCCCGCGGGGTCGTGAAAAGAAGAGGACTTCTGGCCGCGAAGTCAATGACCAATCGCATCCTGGAGATGCCACAAAAACAGCGATTGGGGGCCCATCAGACTCGGATATACCGAGTCTCGAAGCAAGGCATACAATGAGCAGTACTCGCTTTTCACGGGAGACCGTTCGCATTCTCAAAGGCTGGCTCCGTCAACACAATGAGCACCCTTATCCAACGGAGGAGGAAATGGACCACCTGAGGCTGCAGACTGGATTGAAATCGACACAAATCCGGACGTGGTTTGCTAATGCCCGGCGCCGAGCCAAGGGCCGCTCCGCTCCACCACGCAGCCCTAGTCCCAGTCCTCCAGGAGCCATCAATATCCCCGGCCAGCACAGTGTCTCGCTGATGACGCCCCTTGAGCGTTGGCAACACTCACCTCCTGAACACGAACCCGCTGCAACCATCAACATTATCCGAGCTATATCAGAACGCCCCCGAGAACCCTGTCCCATCATGCGCCGTCATGCGAGTTGGCCGAGCCTACCTTCAGAAAATGAACCTGACCATGAGTCCAGCTGTGACATGTCGGGCGTCTTTCCCGCGCCATCACTTAGCAGTTTTGACACGGAGAGATTATCTGCTTCGAATCGCTCTTCCTGTACATCTGCATTCTCCCATAATTCCTCTTCGGGCACCGGCTCAGGCCGAAGACACCAACGTCGCCAACGCCGTCGGAAACCCGCCCGTTTTGCCAACGCTTTTGTTCAACATAAAAATCGAGGGTCTCGTATGTTTCAATGCACATTCTGTACCGACACCTTTGCTACCAAGTATGATTGGCAGCGGCATGAGAAATCCTTGCACCTTCCTCTCGAAACGTGGAGTTGTTCACCATTGGGAGGGGTCGTCCCGTTTAATGGGAAGATGGTCTGCGTCTTCTGTCGAGCCCCTCATCCGGATAAGGATCATCTCGAGTCACACAATTACATGTCGTGCCAGGACAAGCATCCGCAGGAACGGACCTTTTACCGGAAAGATCATCTCAACCAGCATTTGCGATACATACATGATGTCCGGTTCGACAAGTTTATGGAAAGTTGGAAGAGCACTCTACAGGAGATCAAGTCTCGATGTGGATTTTGCAACGTCAACTTCACCACCTGGGATGAACGTATATCTCATCTCGCTGGGCATTTCAAGGGTGGCGCGGACATGCGTCAATGGCAAGGCGACTGGGGATTCGAGCCGGCCGTGGAAAGTCGAGTAGCGAACTCCATGCCTCCCTACCTGATTGGGCAGGAACGACTGACCATGAACCCTTTTACGGCTGATGCAACCAACGATCTTGAACACAGTACGGAGATTAATGAACCTGCTCTTCGAGACCAAGAGGATGCCAACTCCTGGCGTCGTCTGCAACAAGAACTCACGGCCTATATCAAGCAGCAAGCGGCAGTCGGTGTCGTCCCCACTGATTTGATGTTGCAGGACCATGCTCGCGTCGTCATTTACGGCTGCGACGACCCATGGAATCAGACTTGTGCGGATAATCCCGTTTGGCTAAGCATTCTCAAGCGAGATAATGGCATCGAGACCGTCCCCGACTCTGAATCCATCCAGCTGGACAACCTGGGCATGCAACCGCCCTTCGCTCTTAATGGAGGTCTCCAGCTGCCTCCTCTGGAGACTAACGATATGGCAAGAACGATTTATAGTCGTGAATTACGGAGACTTCACTCCCCGGGCTGGGGCTCCGATGATCCTGTGTGCCTTGACAGGCCAAGCGGGACCGAGGATATTCCTAGCAGTTATGCGGAGAGCAGTGGATATGCATCAGCTGCTTCTGTCCCCACTCTCTCCACGGACTGGGATACTAGTCTGTCGACCATGTACTCAGCGCCGTCAATATCCGGAGGCCCACGTTTCTCCGGTCGGGGGGAATCGCAAGCCTTTCTAGGCACGAGCACCATTGGTCATGACCATATTTTCGGAGGCAAGGGCTGGGACCCGGGACTGTACATGGATGGAACGGGCATTGAGTATAATTAGGCGCGGCCAATATCCGATCAAACTCCTCGCAAAAACATTAATTCATACCAAATCACCCCTCGTACCAAACCATTAGTTTGTCCCACAACCCCAATTCTTTCTCTTCATACCTCCTAGCATTGAACTCCGTCCACTCCCAAAACTTCATCACATGAGGGCCATTACTCCTGTCATTCCATTCCTCGTCCAGTGGAAACGGCGACGGATCAAAGACCAGTCGCAGGGCATATTGTGAACCATCGCGTACGTTATGCATGATGTCGAATTGATTCCTGAATCTGCCTTGCTCGAGTCTAATATTGTACGTCTTTGGCCTGAATGCCTCGTCGTTGAGCCACCCCTCATTGAATATTTTTCTATTTGTGATCTCGTGTGGGAGGCGCGTTGTCAGCGTGATTTCGATGCTGAATTCGCTGACTAGCTTGGATTTCCAGCTTTTGTTGTCTAGAGTTACCACCTGGTCGAGACAGTCGGGATTATGCGGTTTCCAGTCAATCTCTGCTTCTATCCAGAGATTGACTTCGGTAGTACAAAATAGCTGCGTGGCGGAGATTAGTGACGGTATAAGATACGGGGATAAAGGAGGTTCTCACTTTGCCTGTGCCATTCTCGTGAAAGGTGATTGAACTTGTGCCGTCATTCCAATCCCATGTCTCTGCGCAGAGGATGGAGCGGAGGGTTTCGGGGGAGGTCATTGGGTATGTCTGTGAGGGAGATTGCTTTGGTGTTTGTTCTGGGAAGGAACTTTTTAGGCTAACGATGTGTCTGTGTTATTGTTTGACTGGGTTGGGTGGATGGGTTGGCTAGAGAAAAGGCGAGGTGGAAGAAGTTGGGGCGGAGGATGGACGCGATAAGGCTGCCATTGGGGCGGTGCATCAGGGTCTACTGGTAGGCCAGCCACTGAGCCTTGTGATGTCCACGCTGTTCCGTCTTCCGCCTTCCGCCTTCCGTGGGGGCGGTGCATCCGTGTGTCCAATGGCCTTTTCCCATTCATCCAGGCAGCACCATTCGGTCATTTGGCCCCAATCCCTGCTCATTTGGCCCCATTCGTGTGTGCCGACTTGCAGGGTCTTCTGCCAAGCTCCTCGGCCCGCTTGAGGGTCCTGTCGAGGCACCCCGATCTGCCAATGCGATCTTTGTCCCCTTGCCAAGCACATGCCATCCCCTGCATGTCTCCTACCATGATGCTTACCTCTTCATTGTGACATTAGACACATGATGGATCTAAACCCGGCTCGAGAAACGCACCACACCCAGCAGGGCATCTGCCACCGGAAATCACCAACAGGCAAGACATCCTGGAAGCTTCAGAACCAACAATGTTCCTCGACCGGGCAATCTAGACCAGACCTTTCAGGAGACTAGCTTGGGGCCGGATTTGCTTCGTCCAAACAAAGCAGCCCTACGGGCTCACCGTGTCTCACTCCTGGCCCCATGGATTCGGTATCAAGGCGTATCCAGGAAGGATCATATTTCGAATACCAAGCAGCATATTCAGGCAATTTCTAGGCATATCGCTTTCAACATAAATAGCAGGAAATGGACGCATGAGCAATCTATCTCGCATCCATCTTCTCTTGCAGGTTCAACAATCAGTCTCTCGTTCCAACATACACTCTCTTTAAACAAAATCACTCCCTGTGCTTTCTTTACTTTTACTTAACAGTCACTTTATTTTATCAGACACCGTTCTCCTTTCACCATGCTTTTCTCAGCTACCAATATTCTGGCCGTGGCCCTGGCACTGGCCAACTACGTCTCTGCCGCTCCAGTTGATCTGGAGGAGCGCGGATCGAAAGTCATCATCGGCTACCGCACCATGCAGAAGGTACCGCCGATTCCCCATCAATTTCACTCGCCAATACTGACACGCGCCACAACCTTTAGCACAAATCCGAGGCATAAAACAAGCACGGCACGGTTGTCTGGTATACTGCTGGTGGCGTTCAGCTAGGCGATGCCGTCTACCTCACCCCCGGTCCTGGACAGTGGAAAGCTCCTGAAAGTTACTGGTACAAAACCCCAACGCACGTTCCCCTGATTCCCCTACTGACCTATAACCTACTAGGCACTGTGTCATCTATGCCGATCAGACCAAGTTCCTCGCGGCCAAGAAGGCCTGGATCCCCGAATACAACGGCCATACCAAGCTGTGGTTTGAACCCAAGGAGATCGATTCTTACCTCAAGACGACTCGCCACGAAACCCCCGATGAGACGCTCCGCCTTGCCGCCATGGATGGAGATACCTCCGTTCTCCAGATGGGTATCCCCAAGCACATGCTTGGTAAAACCGGCGAGTTGGATCTTGAGGCTTACTGCAAGGAGAAGGCTTCGGAGCTGCCTCAGCATGTCGTCAATTACAAGACTTTGAACAATGCTGTGGGTACCGCTCAGTGAGGGCAGACTAGGGCTTGTTGACAGTCTTGTGAAGACTTGAGCAGTGTTGGGAGATGGGGGGTTGGGGGTCTAGTGTAGCAGTGTTTCATCGTTAATGTGTGGTCGGTTTCAACCTCAATGTATTATAACTTTGACTATGCCTGATAGAGAGCAATATTCGCAGATGTAATTACATTCAGCCATTGTATCTTACATCTCATCCTGAATGAGTAATCTTATAAACGATGGTTTATGTAATCTGCACGGCTGTAGCGAATTAACGCCGACCACATTGCTGGAAAATTGGGCAACAGTCAACTGCATCTTAGTCACCATTCACAATCAACCACGGCTGCCCGGCTGACAACTCATTTCACTCTATATTGCCTTCTACTATAATCTCGCTCTGAGCAACCAGTAATCCAAATGGCTTGCGCATTAAACAACGGCCCTCTCCAACGACTGAAAAGACGCATTTTCTCCAAGTCCAAGGTTGTACCAACATGCGACGACCAGTCCCAGCATTCCAACAACTTCGATCACAAAGCACAATCTCTATGCGATACCTGCAGAGCCCTCGACTTCTCCTTTAGGAAATTCACCGTTCTCGAGCCCACTTCACCCATCCCTAGCCTTGAGTCCGACGCAGACCCGTTAAGCCTCGATTCCTTCCACCTTGGCTTTCTCGATTCGATATACGATCGCCGTTGGGATTGCCAATTCTGCCGCCTCATCTACGATGGCGCTCGTGCAGGCCCCAAAACCGATATCCGAGATGACGGATATGACAGAGACGGGTATCGCATTTCCTGCAGAATCGAGTGGCAGCTCGATACCCGGGCCTCGGCGACCGTGCCAGTGACTCGACGGCTCTGCGTGTCTACCTCGTGCAGATCGGTTCCTTTCTTCTATGTAGTTCCACTCGCCATGGAAGAACAACCGTCGTTGTCGTCTATGACGGTGGGCTGCGGAAAGAGGATCACCGCAGAGGCAAACCTTTCACTTGTCGATCAATGGTTCCAGGCTTGCAGGCACCACCATAAATGCGACCTCGAAGATTCGAGTTCTTTCTGGCCATCGAGGCTACTCGACATTAGCAATAACAATGTGAAGCTAGTAGCGACGCCATCATCTAAGGTTGAATATGCTACCCTGAGTTATGTCTGGGGCATGTCGAGCTTTCTTAAACTCACAATGGCGAACTACGAAGCCCTGAGGAGCAACCCCTTCCCAGTCATTGATGGGATTCCACTTACTGTCCAGAATGCTTTTCACGTGGTTTGCTCACTCGGGATCAACTTTATCTGGGTAGATGCATTATGCATCATTCAGGATGATGACGAAGACAAGGAGCGCGAAATCGGGATAATGGACAGTATCTACCGCAACTCCGTGCTAACGGTCTGTGCTGCCTCTGGCTCCAGCAACGATGGAATATCAGGAGTAGACGGTGTCAAACGCCATCCGGGGCAGACACGTGCTGTTATCAATCAATTCCAAGTCACCGCTCTCCATCCCGTAGCAGACCTAATCGCAGCGACGACTTGGGATTCCCGGGGCTGGACATTGCAGGAGCGACTATTATCCCGTCGGTGTGTTGTTTTCACCCCGACCGAAACCATCTGGCAATGCCAAGAGGCGACCTGGCGCGAATCTATCTCCCTACCTTTCGACCGTGGGCTCTGGACGCTGGACTTCATCCATTCGCCGTATAAGGGGATGCATGAGAACCCGTTACGACGGTATTCGTCGTGCGTTGAAATCTACAGTGGCCGAATCTTGACGTTTTCCGGGGATAGGCTACTAGCTTTCAACGGTCTTGGGCAGGATTTGGCCCTTGGGCTCAATTCGGACCTCCTTTGGGGTCTTCCCCGACGGTATTTTGACTGGGCGGTGCTGTGGGAACCCAGGGCGGCCGGTCCACGACTTCAGGATCTTAGCAACTTCCCCAGCTGGGGATGGTGTGGAAGCGAGCATGCGGTTCAATGGCGTCTGTCATCATTGAGCGGGGCTCTATTCGACTTGCACTCCTGGTTGATGACTCGCACTTGGGTCGTGTGGCGCTCTGCTGAGCGTGGCAGCTGGAAACTTGTTTGGGACAGCGAGCAACAATCATCCGACTTCGCCCATCGTGGAAGATGGGAGGGATATCTTTCCGAAAACCCTTCTCCCTATGGCAGGTCCTCCTTCCATGTCAATGGAAACATTGGCGACTTCTACGACCCCGAGAACACGGACGCACCTAACCCTATGAACGCACCGAGCCTCCCACCCTCCAAGGAGACCCAATTAGCCTTTACCACCTTCACAGGGTTCTTCCATCTATCAGAGGAAAGCCTATCCACTGCGACCTTTTCATCCCAACTCGGCCCAGGCCTTCGCCGCTTCGGAATTGTGAACCGGGTTGGCGACTGGTGCGGAACTGTGGTTCTGGGCGAGGAGGAATGGACACCCCGTGTCGGAGGACTGTTTGAGTTCGCGGCCATTTCAACGGCGAGGGACTTTTCCATGGAGGAAATGGACACGTGGAATTACTATATCCCGGATGAACGGGACCAGAGTGATTGGTATTGCTATTATGCGCTTATGATCAGGCCGGTCAAGACCGTCGAGGATGAGTTGTTTGAGAGAGTTGGGTTGGCAAAGATTTTCCGGTCGGCTTTTCTGTCGGGATCAGTTGGAGGGTTTACATGGAAGACGGTACTTTTGCAGTAGCTATTGACATGATAGGTCTACTTGGTTGATCGTGTCACTAGTACTGTATCTGCCCTACCATGGCTGGCCCGCTGACAGTCAACTCCTTTTCCAATGTACGGGCAGATTCCGATTTCATCACGACCCAGGTCATTTCTATTCGTTGTTTAATGCTAACATGATAGACTGCTGAATACTGACGCCTGCCTATATGAACGATGTGTCAGAGACCATGGTAATTCTCACCGGACTTTCTCTGGTACATCATAGTACTGACACTCTGCCCTTTATATATCTTGACCACATCGCAACGCAACAAGCGAAACCAACCATTCCAACACAATTCAAACTCTTAACCCCGCAAAACAAACATGTCACTAATCCCCAGCCCCACAAAGTAAATCCGACTATCCCAGCCTCCAATACCTAACCCACACCATCCCTAACTCCACACCAGAAACCCTTATTCTTTCCAGCAAAGTTTGACCTTGTAAAGCACATATAATACCAATTTCTCAACAATCGGCCTGCTGGCCCAATGGTAAGGCGCTTGACTACGGATCAAGAGATTGCAGGTTCGAGTCCTGCGTAGGTCATTCTTTTTTGTCAATTTCTCGGTGCTTCTTCGGGAGGATGAGTGGGTCCAGTTTTCCTCGGCCCCTTTTTTTCTTCTGTTGAACACAACACTTTTCCCCTGGTGCACCCTACTCTCAGATAAAAGAAACAAAGACACAATATAGATCCAGATTATGGCTAAGCCTATCAACTCTATGATGACTAAAAGTGCTTCCTTTAGGATATTGAAGAAGGTACTGCAAAATGCAGTGAGGATTAAAGACACTGACTTACTCTAAACCAATACCTCTTTCTGACTACAATGCGAAGTAGGAAACAAAGAGGAAAAGAAAGTAAACTATCAACAGGCTTGAATTTAATTAACTATGGACAGACTGGCCTGGATTCCCTCTCTTTATCAATATCAATATCAATCTCAATCTCAAGATTTCAACACAACAGTTAAGTGGTCAAAGAACGACACCAAAATTAGACAATTACTCATAAACGAATGACACAACATTGAAACTTTCCGCATCCCATCCTTAAGAAATATCCCAAAAGCGTTTTGAAACAAGTCGATTCCCGGGGACTCACTCGAGGTGACGTATCACTCGAGTGATGATGATGATGTGAACTCCGAAACTCCTAGCTGGGAACTGTTAGCAAGATGCATTCATGATGATGAGTTAATGGAGAGGGGAAAGAAAACACACCTTAAGCAGAGAAGCTCAGAGATGCCGAAGCCTTCGCATTAGCGCTAGCAGAGGCCGAACCGCTGCCACTAATGGAGGCCCCAGCATTAGCGTTGGCATTAGCATTTCCGCTACCGCTGGCAGAGGCATCGGCATCCGCGCTGGCATCGGCGCTCGCATCAGCGTCAGCGCTCGCATCCGCATCCGCGCTGGCATCTGCATCTGCACCGGCATCAGCACCGGAGTCGTCGCTGGAGTCGTCGTCGCCGCCCTCGGATCCTTCAGCCGTGATGCTGCCGCTGGCGCCGCCGTAAGGTCCAAGAGAGACGCTGGTGGAGGCACTGACCCAAGTCGTGGTGGCGCTAGGAACGTCCGCAGTAGTAGGGGAAACACCGACGTCAGTACCGCTAGATCCGCTGTCAGAGCCAGAGCCAGAACCGCTCACATCACCGCTGCCAGAAACATCGCCGGAGCCGGAGCCGGAGCCAGAGACGTCACCCGAGCCAGAAACATCGCCGGAGGCACCACCGGAGCCCGAAACGTCACCGGAGCCAGAGCCAGAGAGACCAGCAGCGCCGGAAGCACCAGCGCCAGCAGCACCGGTAGCACTGCCACCAAGACCAGCGGAACCACCAAGACCAGCAGAGCCAGAGCCACCGAGGCCGGCAGCACCAGAAGCACCGGCACCGAGAGAGCCAGTGGCAGATCCTCCAAGACCGGCACCGAGACCAGCACCGCCGGAGGCACCAGCACCGAGAGAGCCGGTAGCAGATCCTCCAAGGCCGGCACCAGCACCAAGACCAGCACCACCAGAAGCACCGGCGCCGAGAGAACCGGTAGCACTTCCTCCAAGACCAGCTCCAGCACCAAGGCCGGCAGCACCCGAGGCACCGGCACCGAGAGCACCAGTGGCAGATCCTCCCAGACCAGCACCGGCACCAAGGCCGGCACCGCCAGAAGCGCCAGCACCGAGAGAGCCGGTAGCACTTCCTCCAAGACCAGCGGCACCGGAGGCACCGGCACCAGCAGCACCAGTAGCGCTGCCACCGAGACCAGCACCGAGGCCAGCGGAGCCACCGAGACCAGCAGATCCACCAACATCAGCACCGAGACCAGCACCGCCAGAGGCGCCAGCACCGGCAGCACCGGTAGCACTTCCTCCAAGCCCAGCACCCAGACCAGCAGATCCACCCAGGCTGGCCGATCCACCAAGGTTAGCACCCAGACCGGCACCACCAGAGGCACCGGCACCAGCAGCACCAGTAGCACTGGCACCCAGACCAGCGCCGAGGCCAGCAGAGGCACCAAGACCGGCGGAACCGCCGAGATCAGCACCCAGGCCAGCACCGCCGGAAGCACCAGCGCCAGCGGCGCCAGTGGCAGTACCTCCCAGACCGGCACCGAGACCAGCCGATCCACCGAGGTTGGCACCCAGACCGGCAGATCCACCCAGACCGGCGGCACCCGAGGCACCAGCACCAGCGGATCCAGTAGCACTTCCTCCCAAATCAGCACCAAGGCCGGCGCTGCCACCCAGGTCAGCACCCAGGTCAGCACCCAGACCAGCGCCCAGACCAGCACCACCGGAAGCACCTGCACCTGCAGCGCCAGTGGCACTGGCACCCAGACCGGCACCCAGACCGGCGCTGCCACTCAGACCGGCGCCGAGGTCAGCACCGAGATCAGCACCAGCACTTCCACTACCGCTGCCGCTACCACCAAGGCTTGCACCCAAGTCCGCGCTGCCGCTGCCGCTGGCACTGCCACCGAGACCGAGACTGGCACCCAAGCCGGAGTTTCCGAAGAGGCTACCAGCGCCGCTGAGGAAGGGAAGAAGGCATGGGATGGGAATGGCGGAGACGGTGGCGGCCGTCATAAGGGTCGCGGCGGAAACTTTGTAGAAGCGGACCATTTTGAATGCGGTTTCGGTTTCTGGATTATGTTAGGACTGTGCTTAAGAGAAACAATCGGTGGTGGTGGTTACCTTCAAGAAACGGGAATCGATAAGAACGAGAGAACAAAAATTATCGGAGAAGCAAGAAAAACAGAGAGAGCGATACGCCACAGGCGATCTGTAAAGGAAACAAGAACGGAGAAAGAGAGGTGGATGGGATGAGGATGGGATGGAGAGAAAGTCAACTTGATGTGGTGGTGACAGAGGCTATATATGCCTTTTGCCATGGTCTCCTTTCCCGCATCTTGGAGGAGAGCCATGGCTGTCTCCCCGTGGATAGGGGGGCATGAAACCGCGGATGTTTGATAGTTGGTTGCTCTGTCAGTGTAGAAGTTCTAAGAAAAGCGTCCAGGGACTGGTTCGGGGCCTGCCAAGCACGATGGTGAACCGTGGAATGAACCCTCACCCGGCTTTTCAGACGTGCACGGACGGGCTGCAGTGGAGCCGGCCGACCAAACTGGGACTGGACCAGGTGCACTGGTCCAAAGGGGAACAGGTCGGCTCCAAACCGGGGATCAAAGCTCCGATTTGGGAAGGGAAGGTCGCTCGTCAACCGGCCGGTGTCGCTGCATCGAAACGCGCTAGAGGCCCAGTCATCGGGATGACGGATGAGGATCGGGGTGTTAATGCTGTTGGTTGAGGACTGCACAGTTTGGCAAATGGTGCGAGTGTTACTGGGATGGAATTGAGGATATCGAATCGTGAGTGACATGCCCTTCACAGTGATACGTCAATCCATCCCATAAAGGGGGCCAGGAAGCTGAGTGACACCGATTCGGGTGCTCGATCCAACCGGATAAACATAATTGCCTCTGCTGCAAACCCGGGACGGGCTAGTATAGTGGAGTGTATCACGATCGCGACCCCTGCACTAGCGATCTGCAGCCCATGTTTGGAATGTGCCCGAAGATGGGGGGATCTGCTGGTTCTTCCGGCTGTTGCGGATGATCTTCGGACCTGCCCCCGTTTAGGCTTCTTCGCCTGATCGGCAGGCACGACGACCATTCCGATTACTCATTTACTCTGATTCAATTCACATCTAGTACTATGATCCCCAGGATTTCTTGAATGCTACACAGCATTTACTGACCAACTTCTGCACTCTGGGGAACTGAAAAGCTGTCATCCCTGAGCTAAGAATAGGCCGACCAATGAGGGGCCGTTGTTTCGCGGCAAACCCTATTTTGGCGCGTCTCACCCTGAAACCCCACCGTTCATGCTCGACCTCAACTTCCCAACTTTGGGGAGTTCTTCTCCTTTCTTCTGGCTAACTCCAAGCGGAAATGGTGTCCGTCGCCAGACCAGCGAACCCGCGACCGCTGAAGCAGCCTAAATCCCCGAATCCAATCACTTCATTCTGAAAAGAGGGTCGCACACGATAGTCCAACTCCTATGGATCCACTCGGAAGCTTAGCACGCAATAATAAACATCTTAGGGGAATAGTGCAGCAGACTCGGAAGGTGGTGCCGACACGGCTGGCCTTTTTCCTTTTTCTATCCCCGACCCTCGAACTCGCTCGCTGCCCCTCGATCGTGATACACATGAGTCCACCACACAGCAACCCTGTGCGGTTTGAACGTTTCATAAGACGGGGAAAACGCGGGAAATATAATCCACCGAGGATGAAAATAGCATCAATCTCTCCGTATCGGCCGTCTGCCAGGGTGGTGGCATCGTATCGAGTATCTTTAGGCTATTCTTCGAGGGCAACCCAGCCAATGATGGCTTTCTTTGCTAAGAATAGGCATGAACCGGGGCCAGGAGGGAGAACAGACCGCACCCATCTCCAGTTGGTCTGCCCACACCGGAAAGGGTGCTTTGACTGCTCCGGCGGACAATAATCTGACTTACCAAGCATTCTACCGCTTGCAAGATTCTTCCGCGGTCGGGTTTATTTCTACAATCGGATAGAGTGCAGTTGCTCGGGTTCGGAATACGGAAGAAGCAAAAAGATGGTTCGGCAGTCTAGACTACCCGATCGACCAACTGCTGGTCCCCGCGGGAAAGCCTGTCTGAGTTTATTTTGGTGCAGGAGAAACGCACCGATCAGCGCAAGATCCTTTGGTATCGGAGATGAGCCTCCGATTAGCTAACTTGCTCAGATATCAACATCACAACTGAATAATGGTGCTCGGAAATGGGGAGAGTGCGCGATATTCCGTGCCATTTGCTACAGATAACGAGTTGCCTCTTGGAATGGGAGAGGGATTATTCGATTGCCAGTCTCCAATCGATCACGTAAGAGGAGTTCTGAATTCCGAGGTGGCGAACCTGATCTGTTCACGGAGATAGGAACTACTGTGGTCTGGGTTGGATGTGGCTTAAACTAGTCTCAGCCTGATTTATAGACCATCAGGGGAGGCCCGAGTCCAGACCTTCTGTAAGAACCAGCTGCGAGCTCGGTAATTCCGAACTCTACTATTGAGAGCTGCTGGTAAACTGTGAACTGAAGAGTCACTGGAGCATGGCTATGTGTAGACACAATGATGATTGCATTGTCCATGAACATGAAAATTTGTACTGAGTACAGAACAATGAGGTGTCTATATACTAGTGGGCATTTTGCCTTGAAAATAAATGTATAGCAATACTCAGAACGAGTACAGGGTATGGTGTAGTTCGGTATACGATGAGAGCCAAAGAATAGACATCATGAAATGCTGGTAGGCTGCCATGCACTTCTTGAGTAAATCAAGTCTTCAAACGCTCCAGATAAATAGGATGTGATAAGATTTGCATAATCAGGCATCTGCATGGTGTTTCATTGTGTATCTCTGCCATTTTCTGTTGAATGTAGCACTGCATTCCCACAATATATATTTCCAACATGTTGACAAGTAAGCCGGGTTGGGAGCTGCGCCAGGCTACACAACCATGTGTCCCATTCTCATTTACCTTTTGCCTTAAGCATATACAATAAACTACATGCAAGGCGGGTATGAGTTCTAATTCACAAGCTTCCTTATAGATCGCAACATGTCCATAGAGTGACCTGAACAGACCAATAGATGTATGCCTAAGGCACAAATGGTTTTCCGAGGGCTGCTCCCATTGGCTGGCAGGTTCTGCACCTTTAGTCACATGACTGCCCCTTCGGCACATACTCACGTGACACTCCATTCCCCGCGTTTTCCAGCCGCATCCGAATTGGGCAATTGGCAGGCAGATCCCAACAACCTCAATTCCTCCCAACTTCCTCAACTCCCTGTTCATTCGATCCAGCCTAACCAACCACTATTATCCCCTCTATCTATCCCCCATAACCCAAGCCCCATGACACCCGTCGATCCCCAATCGAACAATCTAAATTCTTCTAGAAGACTCCGATCTCCAACCATGACCCATCGACCCTGAAAATCCTGATAATCTCCACCGACCACGGATCCGATTGAGGCAACCACGGACCGCGCCCATCGTTTCTCGACGATCCTCAACAACCGAGATTTGACATCCCATTTATCAGACCTCGTTTCCCAGCCATGAGAGCCTGGCAAACAACCTCCCTGCGCGCCTGCGCACGGCGATCCTCATTAAATGCTCGCCGGGTGCAACGGCCCCCATTCAGCAGCAGAGGGAGACACTCGAATTTTTCTACCCAGGCTGGAAATGCACCTCGCAAGTCTGCCACGTTGCCCATCCTGGGCTCGATTGTCGCTACCGCGGCCGTGACCCTCCTTGCGTCCGAGGCTTGGCGCGCCAAGACTGATACTCAGCAGGTTTCTGCTGGGGCCAAGTATGCGGATGGGCCGACTATGCTCAGGGTACGTTCCATTTTGCAAAAGTGTTACACGCGCACTAACCATGAATATAGGCTGTCGAGGAGATCAAGCAAGTCATCGGAGATGAGAATGTAAGCGTGGATTCTGACGATATTGAAGCGCACGGATACTCGGAATGGTCGACGTCCAACACCACCGCGCGACCGGTCGCGGTTTTCAGTCCAGCTTCAACAGAGGAAGTCTCCCAGATCGCAAAGATATGCACCAAGTACAAGGTACCCATGGTGCCGTTTGGGGCTGGCTCCAGCGTCGAGGGCAACTTCGCCGCTCCGCACTCAGGCGTCTGTATTGATCTATCGCGGATGAACCAGGTCATCGAGCTGTACGAGCAGGACATGAACGTGACAGTGCAAGCAGGCGTGCGATGGACGGATCTAAATGAGCAGATCAAGTCCACTGGCCTCTTCCTCCCCATGGACCCCAGTCCAACGGCATACGTCGGCGGCATGGTAGCGACAAACTGCAGCGGCACAAACGCAATGCGATACGGCACGATGAAAGACTGGGTTGTCAACCTGACAGTCGTGCTAGCAGACGGGACGATCCTTAAGACGAAACGCCGACCTCGCAAGTCCTCCGCCGGGTATAACCTCAATGCCCTGTTCACCGGATCCGAGGGCACATTGGGAATCATTACCGAAGCGACACTCAAACTCGCCATTATTCCCGAAGAAAGCAGTGTTGGAATCGCCACCTTCCCTACAGTGGGCGACGCCACAGCCGCAGCATCGAAACTCATCCGGGACGGAGTCCCCCTCGCAGCGTTGGAATTCATGGACGACGTCCAGATGAAAATCATCAACCAAAATGGCGGTGCTGGCGGGAGATTCTGGTCCGAGGCACCGACCCTCTTCCTCAAGTACCATCTCATCTCAACCCCAGTAATAAATTGATAAACTAACTCCCCAGATTCACCGGCACCCGCACCGGAATCACCGACAGCATCCACCGCACGCGCACTATCCTAAGCAAGAACAAAAGTAACGAGCTCGTCTTCGCCAACTCCCGCGAAGAAGGCGACAATCTCTGGGCTGCGAGGAAACAATCCCTCTGGGCCATTCTAGCTGTCAGACCGGAAGGAACCGAGATTTGGTCTACGGACGTAGCGGTCCCTATCTCCCGACTGGCCGAAATAGTCGGTAAGTCCACCCCACTTCCTACCACTCAACCCTAGATACTCCTCGATACTGACAGAATACACGCAGAACTCTCCAAAACCGAATCCAGCAATCTCGGCCTCTTTTCCACCGTCCTCGGCCATGTCGGAGACGGCAACTTCCACCAAGCAGTCATGTATAACCCACAAAAGCCGGAAGAGTACCAAGCCGTCAAGGCGTGCGTGTCGCGGATGATGAAGAGGGCGTTGGAGATGGAGGGGACGGTTTCGGCAAGTACCACCATCATTCATATTGGCATGATCTAACGATAAATCAGGGCGAACATGGCATTGGGATTGGGAAGAAGGTTAGTAGATGTTGATCTTGTGGGGTATTAGTGTTTGTGCTAATGTGGAGTAGGCGTATCTGGAAGAGGAGCTGGGTACATCCACGATGGAGTTTATGAGGGGGGTGAAGAGGAGTGTGGATCCATAGTATGCTTTCTATTCTTCTAAATATTGACGTGGAGGTGATTGCTAACTGTGGTCTAGTTGGTTGATGAACCCGGGAAAGGTCTTTGATGAGTATTATCAGGGTAGAACATGATCGTTGAAATTGGATGGGATGGTGTATGTCTCAACGGTGGCTTCATTTTGACATCATGGAAGTATTCTAGTGACTCAGATGTTCATAGATCTAGCATCTGGAATGAAACCGGGTGGGTACCCAGAACAGGAATTATAATCATCTTAATCATCGCCATAACCGACGACCACCCCATCTCCTCTTCCTCACCCAATTCCTCTTCCTCAACGCCATCCCATCATAAGCCTCATACATGACCCCCTTCCTCAACCCCCCCATACCCCCCAAAACAATCCTCTCAACCCCATCCCCCCCCTTCCCATAACAATCACCACCAACCCACCCCGGCAACTCATCCAAAACCCCCACCTCCCCCTCATCAACCACCTCCCAAGCTTACCCCCCATCCTCAACAAACTAAACGCATCCAACGCCCCCGTCCACCTCGGAAACCAACTCGCATACGCCGCCGTCCCCACCAACCCCACCAAATCCACCCCAATCAACACACTCACCAGAACCATCCCTGTCCGCGAAGTCGCCGGCTTCTGCGAATCAGCACCCATATCGAACGCCACGGTGAGGGTATTGGAGATGGAGTTTCCTTCGGAGATCCACGCCATGTGGGATAGGTAGGCGGCGATGGTGAAGGCGTTGGATAGGTAGGCGGTTCCGGTGGTGGAGGTGGTGTCGTTTCTGAGGGTATAGATGTGGGTGGGGTCGTTGGATGCAGTGGGGGTGAGGAAATTGTAGAGCCAGGAGCTGGCGAGGAGGGTGTTGGTGAGGCCTTCGGGTTGGTTTTGGGTGGGGTTGGGTGAGGTGGGGTTTATGCAGGTGTTTATGGGGTTTATTTGGAAGAGGGAGCTGGAGGGGTTGGTGGTGGTGAGGGTGTTGAGGTTGAGGATTCGGCTGAGGGGGGCGGTGTCGATGCAGATGGTGGAGTTGGTGAGGTTGTGGTGTTCGTAGAGGTCGGAGTAGCGGTTTACGAGGTCGAGCCAGGAGTTAGGGCCGAAGAGGGCTAATGCGGTGGTGAGGAGAGGGCCTTTGTTGCGGATGAGTTCGAGGGGTTCGATCGAGGGCTTGGTGTATTTGGTGTGGCGCTTGGTGGGGAATGGGTCGGCTGGGGGGCTTGTTAATATACTTTGTTGTTTAGGGTGGATGGTGGGTTAGTGGGGGGTGGAAGGGGAGAAACAGGGGAAGTCGTACGCAATGTCATAGGAGGTCGAGGCGGAGCCCTGAGCTTCACAGGAATTGCCACACTCAGAACTAGGATCGTCCTGCAGAAGGGGCCCGGCTGTTTGCCCGCTCATGTAATTTGGTAGCTCGAAGTATCCGGCTGTGGTATCTACCGTGATGCGGAAATACTGGGACACGGGCATGAAGGTATCCCCGTCCTCGATCTCCGACCGCAGAGCCTCGGACAGGGAGACATTGAGATAGAGCTCTTCGGTAAAGTTCTGACGGGCCCTTGTGTTGGTCCTTGGCGAGACACGCAGATCGGCGGGCATGCATGCGTGCACAGCCCATGACAGGACCTCATCTGTTACGTTGATGGGCGTGTTACTCTGTCGAATGGACAGGGCTCCTGCAGTCGTGTCGCAATTGGTGGGAAAATCGGCAGCAGAGATATTTGTGTACTGAGCTGTGGAGTTGAAGCGCGGCATGAACTGTTGCACCAGTCCCGTGTTGTAGTCCTTGGGGAGCTGAGCAAGAAAGGGGTCCGCTAGTATGGACAGGTTGCCCCAGCTGGTACCGCCGATGGAGCATAACTCGGCTTTCTCAAAGCTCACCTCCTCCGTGGGGGTGCAGTTGACACTTTTCGCCCACAGCTGCGAGGGAAAGTCATTACCGGATGTAGAGGCGAGGTATGCTCGCGCCATGGCCACAGTAGCATCTTCACCCGATGACTCGATTGCTGATTCCTGGAACTTGTCGGGGATGTCTAGTAGATAACCGACCTCCATGGGATAGGTCGGAGTTTTGATGGTCACAGTGGAGAGGAAGATCTGCTGGAGGGGAGAGATAATGCCCCCGATGATATGCAGCAACACAGCCCACACCAAAAAGGAGCTGATGTAACGAGAGCCGTGGCGACTTGCCAGCCGGAAATAAGTTCCGACATCGGTCCAGCCCTTGTCCGCCAGCACCATCATCTAGCGCAGCGTGAAATTGGGGGTACGCGCATCGGCGCGGTGTTGAAGGTAGATGACTACGGCGCTGGAACACACTGCAGATGTCAACGGGATGGTCAACACACTGGCAATGGATTGGACCACTCGGGCTGCCCTATACCATCGCTCGTTGCGGCGATAGGCTTCCACGACATAATCGGTGTTGGTCCACCCCCAGCCATTGTTGGAATCCTCCCAGATCCAGGCCCCGTAATGGTTTGCAGTGATGGGACGATAGCTGAGTCGGCAGGTCACGATCCAGGCGAACAGAACAAGAGCCGCATAAAAGAGCACTAGCAGCACGACATATGGGGAACGGCGGATCTGGGTCGCCGGGACGTGCCGCCCTTGCTCGTTTGCTGAATTGTCCCTTGAGATAATGGGCGTGCAGCCCGTCTCGACGTTTTCCTGGGAGCCCATCTTTGGAGAGCAAAGACAAGGGGAGTGTGTATTGACGACATTTTGTGGGAGAATGAGGCTGAGCGGTGCAGAGGACCCCTGCTATTCCCCATCCAGAAGCTACATGCCAGATAAATTGGCAGGGGAATCGGATTGGTCGACATTGACCCGCATCGGCGTAGCTCTGCAGCTAAAACCATTAGCTTTAAAGCCAGGGTGGCCCCCACGCGGCAGGGCGCTGCGCCCTGCGCCGGACCCTGAGGCGGGGCTTCCCTTCAGTCTCAGGGAAATTGATTCCGTCTGCTTCTAGCCCCCATTGGCCGATGAGGCACTTGGGGCCCATCGATGATGATGCCAGAATACCCTGGGCATTACAGATAATGATAATCTCATAAGAAGAAAGAAGAGAAGACAAACCCCTTCAGGCTGTTCATGTTAATCAGTATTGAATTGGTTTTATTTCTCCCCGATCAGGCTGCCCAATAAGATCAGCGCCTGGTAGATTGCAGTGATGATGCAGTGGAGCCGCAGCGGCGATCCCGCGGTTTGATTGGCCGATGAGACAAGAGGATTGGCTTATCGGAAAGGCGGTCGGCTGATCTCGCTCCCTCGACACCTCGATCCCCAGGCCACCATGGCTCTCTTCACCACCAGATAGGCTAACATAGGGCTCGTGGACCTGCTTCTTCTCGTATTTAGCCGCTGCAGTCACACAACCTCTGTTCCTGCAGGTCATGCATTCCCTCATTCATGCCCTGGCAGGCTGACGTGCCGTGCTTGATGAGGCTATGAGATATACAGTCCTACAGTAGATCATGTTCTCAACTAGGCAACACCCTTATTATAGCCTGTCCAACGCCGAGAAGCCAATATCGCACAAGCAAACTCCATTGGGTCAATACTTTACAACTTGGATTAAAACAGACCAAATCAAATCAAACGACATGACTTTCGCCCCCCATACTCAATCAAACCCGCTTCTCATCCCGCGTCTGGTGTTGAGCCCACCGCTGCCCCAACCACCTCCAAACCCGCCTCGTCTTCAGCATCCCTCCCCATAAGCCAAATACCATGGCCGTAGCCGGGATGGTAAACGCCCAGTACACCCAGAACCGACGTTGAATGATACGATCCTGGTTCCACTGCAACGTCGGCAACGCGAACAAGGTGGCAAAGAAGGTGGCTGGAAGAAACGCCATCGTAAGGATCGTGATTGCTTTCATGGCTGAGCTGTCCCGTTTAGATGCTTCGGCTAGATCGGCGCTCGCTGCGGCGTCTTCGTGGGTTAGAAGAGCGAAGAGCTACGTATGTTGTGTTAGTGGGATGTAGTGGGTTGGTGGGATGGATCCTCACAATTGAGACCAGGGTTTTACTCCTCTCTTCCAGATACGTGATGTAGCCATTCAGAGTCCGGGCGATGTCTTCGATAGTGGGGAGTGCCATACACAATGGGTCTTGATGGTTTTGTATGTTCCCTTGGGCGATCGATGGGATGATTTGTCGGACAATATCGAGCTGTCGGTGCTTGTTGGCGAAATATGCCTGCAAGGCCCCGATCTCCTTCAACCAGTTGGATATGTCGTGGATGTTGAAGCGTGTGCTCGGTGAGACGGGGTTGTTGGGTCCGTATCCAGTGCGGGCCTCGACGTAGTGGATTTTCTCGAGATCTTGGGCCACTGAGCGGTCAAAGACTCGGACAATGTAGACGATGGCCAGGAAGGGAAGTATATGTGGGTTTGCGAGGTGGTTGCGGTATGTATTTGCCAGGTGGAGTAACTCGGGGAATGGGCTGTCTCGGCGGACTAGGACGAGGGCAACGGTAGATTGGGATTGTGGACGACGGTTCCAGATCAAGCTGAAGCGGGATGTGCCCAGGAAGTCAGTGGCGGTGTTGTCGGCCTCGCCGAGGTGGTGGTAGCCGTCATAATCATGGGCGATGAGGTACAGAACCTGGGGATCTAAACCCATGAGGGTGGCGAGGTGAAGGAAGCCTGCCCGGGTGATTTGAATGGATTGGGCTCTGTCCGTGCGGATTTGGAAGAAGGTGATGGATGGATGGATGTTGTTGGCATGTTTGAGGATGTTGGGGAGGTCATCTTCGCTGATGAGGGATTCGTAGAGGATGTAGTCGTGTCCGTCTGCTGATAACTGGAGGAAGTGGTAGCCTACGATGCCTTTGACTGGACTGAAGGTTCGTTGCTGGAAGGCTTGCAACGCCAGTTCTCGAAGTTCGTCCATCTTGGGTGAATGCAGTTGATGACTGACTGTTGAGGATCGATGCGGTATTGTGTCTTTAAATAACAAGAGTGCCATTCTGACTACAAATCCGGGATGTGTCCTGTAACTGTTCATCTGCTCCTACTGGATGTCTGTGACTAGTCAAATCAATTGCTGCCGTGTCAGCAGGTGGTTCTAAATGCCAGCTCCATGTTGCAGTTAGCTTATCAACTTAAGGCAGAACTATGACTGTACCTTTGATCCAGACGTCATTCTGTGTGTATAGTTCACGCATCTTGGCAATGTTGACATTACCCGATGAGGTCATTTGGAAGTCATTTTATGAGTCAGATGGGAAGTATCTTAACCAGGAACTCCGTTTCTCTTCCTCTCTCTATCGCTTTGCTATACACCGTTTTATACAATTCGGCGCGATGGAAGAATCTCTCGGCGACTTTGGAAAACTGCCAGCAGAACTACGAATCCTGATATGGGAAGACCTCCTATCCTCCGGATCACCAGCTATTCTGCGAACAAACAAAGCCATCTTCAACGACATCGCAGGTCGCCTCTACGACACACTGCAAATTCACATCTCTCCCTCCTACGCCGATAGTTGGCTTCAACTCCAGTGCAACAGACTTCGAGTGAGTCGGCATCTAAGCAAGCTAGAGCTTAAGAAGAAGTTCGACAAATTCCAGGATCTTCCCTGGGGCTCGCTCAAACTTGTGGTTTATGTATACGCTCCCGATCCCAACGACCCTGGCCAAATTATCCTGCTATGGCAGAGACTGCAAGACCTCGTCCTCATATTGAGATATGCCGGATCTCAACCATCTCAGATCACCGTTCGCCTCAAAACCCACCACAACCATCCCTGGGAACAAGAAGGCACGATAAACGAGAGCATCAAATACCCCGGAGACACTCTCCCAGACTTCCTTATAGCCTTCCTGCCCTTCTGTCGCTTGGACGGCGTTCACGATGTCCAAGTCACCACCGATTCATGCACACTGCACGAATCTCCCAGCTGGGCCCTCCTAACCCGCTGCTGCAACTACATCATAAACGACCAAGAAAAGGAAGACAACGGTCTCGAATTCACCATCCCCATTCCTGCATTCAGCAACATCAAAGCTCTGAGGATAGACACCGGTTTCTTCCTGGACACCCACTTGGACACCATCCCCGGACCCACTGCTAATATGCTCCGACGCGATCGCTTCGCTGAATGGTTCACTTCCGGGTCTTTCTATGGGGATGAATTTTCGGCTACTCTCCGCGAGCATCCATATATTATTCCCATGCATGATCCACACCTGCGGCAATGGTGGATCAGATGCGAGAGGTATCATATGATAGTTATAAACACTGTCTTGGATGACTTCCGACTTGGACATCCAGTGACTGACGGTACGTTTTGGAATCGGATCTATCCTAACGGGCTCCGTGCATTTACGGAAGATTGGGACTGAGCGATGATAAGATGGTTATAATATTTGGGGTTGAATCCATCTAGGGCGTGGTCTGTCAGGTGGTCGGAGTTATGTATTGGGTTTATGTTGCTTACAGTGTGGTTATTTTGGTCGGTTATTTACCCATTCTTGCTTTTTGCTCTATATGATACCCATCTAGAATGTCTGACTAACTGAGAGATGGTTGTGAATTGCTAGAAGGATGAAATAACAGTGAATCTGTCATCAGTCAATATAAGCATTAAAAGCATTAACTAAAGCAGTGACAGGCCTTCCCCGTGAATTGTACATGTCACTGCATAGTACCATCCTCATCTCTTTATAAGACAAACTCACCCATCCTACTTTCTCTTCCCAGCTACCTCGGCTCTCTACATATCTCCATACCAAGGCACGATAGGAAGCATCATAAGGCTTTATCCGTATATAGATATGGCTTCTGGACGCCTACGTCCCCATCCTTCTTATTCCGTCCACCATACCAATGATACCGACTAATAGCCTCATCATCTCCTATAAGCTTAAAAGAGTGGTTCAGCAGCACGAAACAGCACCAAATCACCTAAATCTACGTCAAATACATGCCGGGGCACAATCTTGGTCGATTCCAGACTGAAAACTGCGCATACCTCCAACCAATCCTTCGTTTCACCACCAAAACCTTTATCCTCCGTGGCATCATCTAACTCCATATCATCCCAACCTGATGGACATGCCGTTCGGCAGCTGTCATCAGGAAAACTAGGGACTAGATATCATCATGAGCAATACTCGAGATGCAATGGGAACTAGCACACGTCTTAGACTTGATTGGAGCGGTACATATACCATCAACAGACCTCGATGATTCCGCTGAAGGGCCAGGTAGAGGCTGGCGAAAAGCATCCAGCCGATACCAGCCACCAAATAAACACCAATATCGCCCATTTCCCTCAGCCCAAAGCGCGCGAGAAAGAGTGAAAAAGAACCGCAGAAGACGCGAAGATCCGCAGACAGAGCCCGACTACACTTTCGCGGACATCAAACAAGCTTCCATCAGGGAGAGAAACCTGTCGATCCAAGTACAGGCTTGTCAGCAGATAGAGCCATGCAGCGAGAGAATCAAAAGATTGTGAAGCTGCCGGGAGTAAAGGAAACAACCCGCCGTGACACTGAACTATATGCGGGATATACAATTCTTGGGTTGTGTCTCATCGAACCAGTGTGCGACGCGTCGCAGTTAGGGAAATCGAGAGAAGACCGGAGATAATCGCCGAGTTCAACATTGAAGAAAAGGGCGTATGGGAGAAGCTGAAGAAAAGATCTCGCGAATAATATGATACGGTGGCAGTCGTAGTTCGGAACTGGACTGATTACCTATATTCCATGAGTTATTACCACTGCAATCAATGACTCGTCGGTTGGATACAAACCAAGTACGAGGGCTTCGGAAATAACCAGCACAATGATCAATATACCGAAGTCACTGGATAGATTCCACGGACGTGTTGTCTGATTTTTGAGTTGTGTGCGGGAGAAGACATCGTCTGTCCTTGATTTTGGACCACATAACTGATGAAGTCATAGTATACCGTGCTACTGTACAAGCCAGAGATGATTGGTTCGATGAATGCCACATTTCGACCATAAAATCCGGTATACTATCTCAAATCGCACCAGGATAAGAAAGAACCGCTCGTCTGGAACCGTGCCCATGTCGACGATGAGCATCATATATATGGAGATTTGAATTCAAGAATCGGCCAGGTTCAGTCTAGATACAATATGTCTGGCTGGAATTATTTCGGCAACAATGAATTGCTTCACGGGCGCAGACTCAAGAATTATAATTCCGTCTGGACTTGCAAAGCCTGAAAAATAGAACCCACTGGGTCAGACCTTTTCAGCCTGACAACAACAATATCACAGGCTATCAGATAATAGCACGATGGATAACTCCTTAATATTACCACCTAGGACAAATACCTCCCGTTCGCGATACTGATACAAGCTTCCTCATCCGATATGGTTGTTGCCAATTATCGACGAAGAAAAACAAATGCCCTCGCGGACTCGAAAAGGGTGTTTTAGATCCTAATTATTACGGCTTACAAAGAAAGTAGTGGCACGAAAATTTGTGTTTAACCCCATGGATCTACGCTACTTCATGGACTTTGAGCTGGGGAAAAAGAAAGAACCAAATTACGATTAAACCAAAAGAATATAACCCATTATTCGAGCCCTCGAAGCAGATAGTGTCGACTGTCATTACTTTCATAGCTCCTTGATCCCCCAGGGGAAGCAAAGCTGGTAATTCTGGTCTATAGCATGCGGGACTTCTTCTGCTAAGCAAGAGATAGACACAGATATTGGACATGGAATGCTTGAAAGAACCATGCTTGTATTCGAATGATACAGAGGATCAGCTTTGCCACTACAACACATGACGCCATATTCATCCCGAAACTCTTGCTCGAATCCACTGAACTTAAGGGGAACGCAGACCGTCTCGTTAGTTTCTGTACTGGGTCAAGAGAGAATATGGAGTTCAAAGAGGGAGTATTCCGGAAACGACACCTGAGAAACGAAGACATCGATCTTGCAGTTTGGCATCGCCTGAAGAGTTATCCGCAGGAGTTACATACAAAGGGTCGTCTGAATTCAATATCGGCGGCACAGCACTCCTTGGAACTAAACGGTGAGCGTACGAAGCCTTGAGACCTATCCGAATCTACCATTATGATGATACAAACCATGGTGTGCCTTGTTAAGGTCTATGGAATGAGATGCTATGCATGGAGAGAGAAGTACTTTCTGTCGGTTAGTTATAATACCGAACAGGAAGAGGTATTGAAGTGGACTAAGTAGCAGCACACTCAATCTGATTATGTTACGGGTGTTTAGATTGATGTTCAGTCTGGATGCTGGGGTTTTTGATAACCATGATAGCTCTACAGAAATGCGTTGCGTGTGGGAGTTTCTAGGTATGGGCGTGAGCTATAACCATGCAGGAGGGTTCGCGTTGATCACTGAGAGAGAAGAGAATCCTGTGTATTCTCCATTGGGGTTTGGTGGCGGGGTCAAATCATATCTTCTGACGAAGAATAAAAATACGGGATTGTAGACAAAGATCAGCGCTGAATTATGGTGCGTGGACTTAGGGGTTATTGATATCGCCGCTGGTTTTTAGCTGGTGGGATGCTGTCTAGTTAGAAGGATATAATTGCACTGTATGGATTTCCACCAGTCCCCCTCTTTCCCTACAGCCCACTCTAGTAAGAGTCCGAGGTTCATGCTGGTTGCATGCTTGATAATCGAATCTGACAAATGCATCGATAGCTACTTCCGGATGTAGTTTAGTTTCCGCTCTAGAGGGTGGGATCCGCCCCACTCCCGATAAAATTACATTGTGTCTCAATCATATCCCATTAATTACTCTCAATCCCATCATAGATCAATCCCATCTAAGGAGTCTCGGCAACATTGTAGACCAACTTCTCACCACTGACCTTATCGGCCTTGAGAAGCTCCAAACCCTCCAAAACACCCTTCAATCCATCCGGGCGCACACTAGGACGGTGCACCTGGATCTTCCCTTCCGCAAGCAACTTCTCCGCAATGCTCCAGAACTTCTCCTGGAACGCCTTATCCTCCGGCTTAGCCGGCCAAAGATCAGGGCCAAACATAAAGTCCTCACCAACGGAGGTATACGCCAACGTCCAGCGATCATTGACATTCGCGCGCTCAATCCCCACCGCCAAAAGCGCACTGTACTCTCCACCCTCCGTCGAAATCGCCCCATCACAAAACTTAGCACTATCCTCCGTCGAAATCGTATCCAGAACCACCTTCAACTTATCACCCGTATACTTGCGAATCTCCGCCACCGAGTTCGGCGCATTGTAATCAAACACCACATCGGCACCCAGATTCTTCACGAGGTCAAAATTCCGTGGCGAGCACGTCGTCAGCACCTTGTACCCAGACAACTTGGCGAACTGAATCGCTAGAGTCCCCGTCGCCGTCGATCCACCATAGATCAGGATCTCTCCGCCCTCTTCCTTGCGCGGTTCCGTGGGCAGAGGTAACTTCAAGCTCTGGTACAGTGCCTGGCCCACAGTGCTGATGCCCACACCCAGAGTCGCGGCTTGCTGGAAGCTGAGGTTCTCAGGAATGTGCATCTGGATATCGCCCTTGGCGACGATATATTCAGCAAAGGTGCCGTCTTCGTGCTGCACGGCGTTGGCGCCGTGAACGAACCCGCAAACCCGGTCACCCTTCTTGAAGGGTTTCTTGACGGCGGGGCCGACTTCCTCGACGATACCGGCGTAGTCGCAGCCGACTAGGGCGCCGGGGGGTGCGAGGAAGGCAATGTGCTTCCAGTCGGTGGGGTTGAGGGCCACGCTGACGGTTTTGATGAGGAGGTAGTCGTCGCGGAGGGTGGGGATGGGGCGGTCGGTGACGAGTCCGCCCTGTTTGGGGGAGGTCACGATGATGGCTTTTTGGGTCATAGTTGTGGGATTGTAGGTATGAAATTGGGATGTCTGGGATGAATGCTCGGGAAGACGGGGAATTGACACCCTATAAATGGCTTTTCGGCATTGAGTCAAGAACCACCAAGAACGCAGTGGAAATGCCCCTCCCATTGACGATGACAAATTCATCAGTGAGATCATTTATTCCGTCAGTGTCCGCGTACTCCACTTTGGGCCCACAAATGCCCGAGGGAAGTTCGCTTCCTGTTGCCCGGGACCGGATTTCTCGAACTCTGAGTAAGGTTTGGGGTTGGGTTTGATTCGCCAATGCGTTGGAGTTTAGTACATTTGCGGAAGGGACCGGTCCATGAGTCTTTGTGGTTGTAGCTATGTGGCCAGTCAATTGCCACTATACCGCTACCAGTGGGTCCATAGGATTAAGTGTGAAATGTGAATGAATAAAGTGCTGAGATGGTCCGGATTCAGGGTTTAAGCTTTTCGCGTCTGACTGTAAAGGGTTTAGATCCCGCTCCGCGCAGAAATCGGATGATCGTCAGTCTTGCTGACATATCGTCTTGAGGCGTAGTTAACTAACTAGTTAACATTTGGGCTGTGTGCTGATTAATTGATCAGCTTGACTGCGCTACTTTTCTTGATGTAGCTCTTTTGAGGGATTGATAATAGCTGTAATTCTTGGAGAGAGATAGACACATTCCTCTTTGTTTTCTACTCTTTACGTACGGCAAAATGCAGGTCACTCACGTCGTCTTGCTCGAGTTCAAGGCTGATGCTGCCCCTGAGGTCAGGGCAGATGTATGTTTATCCACTCACTAATATTATAAGACTTGCAACACTAAGAAGTCCTGAATCTTAGGTTGCAAGCCAAGTCAAGACCCTTCGCGAATCCTGCATCCATCCCGAAACGGGCAAACCTTACATTCTCTCCATGAAAGCCGGCGTTGATGTCTCCATCGAGGGTCTTAACGTACGAACGCCCTTGCACCTGAGCTGAAAACTTCCAGACCATTGACTAATTGTACAATAGAATGGCATCAGCCATGCATTCGTCTCTGTGTTCGAGAATACGGCCGACCGCGACTACTTTGTGAACAAGGACCCGGCTCATATTGCCGTTGTGCAGAACGTCAAGGAGCATTTGGCCAAGGTGCAGGTGGTGGACTTTATTGATGGGAAGCTTATCTAGATCCCCTCCATGTGGCTATGTGGCTGGTTAAGTAAAAACGAGTTTGACCAAGGACTAAGCAGGTGGAAATAACAGTGTCTTTTCCCGCTACAAGCACACAGAACTGCCATCCGTGGAAGAATAATTAGTGAACATTTCTCATCGGGGCCCAATAAATTAACTTTCCAATCTTCAATACTTATCCGTGCACCAAACCCTCTACTCATTCGGCGGAATCATTTTCAAATCAACAAACTCATCCAAAACCCTCAACACCGACTCGGTACTATCCACAAACCCAAAGAACCCCAACTTCTTCCTCCTCGTAGTACTGTACCGCGTCAGCCATCTACCCCTTTTCCTCCAGGATAAAACTCACCTAAACTGCATCGGCCACGACCACACAAGCACCGCATCAACGAACCCAAAAACCCTCTCCATATCCAACAATTCCCTCTCCCTCAACCCATACCTCCGCGCCATCACCCTCCACGCCCCTTGCACCTCCTCCCTCTTCGCCCACTCCGAGAACGTAAACCTCCATTTCAACTTCCCGGGTGGCCCAAACCCCCTCGGCGGCGGATTACACGTCTCGACCTCCTTATACCCCTCACCCTCACCTACATCCACGTCCGGCCCCTTCCACTCCACACCAAACCTCTCCGCAAGACACGGCCAGAACTTCTCCCACGTAAAAGCGCAATCATTCGTCGCATTGACACTCAGGTTCACATTTCCCGTTAACACAGCCCATTCAGCGAGATATCCGTTCATTTGCGCGCTGGAGAGATCTTTGCTTGCTTCCCAGGAGGCCAAGTCGGCAGGGTACTCGAGGGGCTTGCCGAGATGTTTCTGGATCGAGGCGTAGATGGCGAGGGGAAGGCAGATGTTCATTGCGGAGTCCGGGACGGCGCCTAGGATGGCGGACGGGCGGGTGATTATCCACGAGATGTTGTGTTCTTGGGCGAAGGATTTGAGGGTGTCTTCTTGGGGGTAGTAGAAGTTGGGCTCGAGGGGAATTCGGGGGTCGGATTCTTCTTGGGGGACGGTGGTGGGGCCGAGGTGTAGGCCGTAGTATTTTGCGCCTTGTTGGAGGAGGATTGTTTTGGGGAGGGTGGTGAGGGTTAGGGCTGTGAGGAAGTTTTGGAGGAGTTGGGCTGGGTGGGTGGGTTAGTTGGGGTTGTGCTCGAGGGGGTGGTAGGGAGGGGAGTACTGTTAAGTTTGACCAATTCTTCGTTGGCGCTCCAGATGCTGCCGCCTTCTTTGGGGGTGGGTTGGACGTAGGCGAAGAAAAAGACGTAGTCGGCTTTGATGTTCTGCTCGTTCATTTGGGCGGCTAGCTGTGTGGGTGGGTTTAGGAAATCCATGGACACGTGCTCTACGTGGCTCGGCCATTGTTTGTTTGGCGGTCGTCGGGACAGGGCAAATATCTTTGTCCAGCGTTTGGGGGATTCGCAGAGCACGCGGAGCTAGGGGGTTAGCATGTGTTGAACAGAATTGCTGAGAAAGTGGACAGCAAACCATGTGATCGCCCGAGATACCATTGGCACCGCATACGATCGCTGTGGGACCGGTGAGGTCGTCGGGGAAGGTTGGCAGGCCATGGTAGATGCCTTTGGAGGTTATAGTCTGCATCGACATATTGGCGTTGTTTAGGCATCATGCAGGGGAGAGTTGGATGTGGTGTTTATATGGTGAATGTCCACTGCTTCGGATCCTGTCGCGACCAAAGTCTATCCCACATGACGATACCATCCCGGTTTGGGAGAGGTTTAATCAAAATAGGCTTTAAGCTTCTTTCTTTCTCCCGGTTCACTTGTTTTTGTAGGTGGGAGAATTGTCCATTTCGGCAACCATCTGTCTTGGAGAAACAAGGGAGGAAGCAAGAATTGCAATTCAGCACAAGGTAAAACACCACTAGCCAACCGGGTTAATCTAGACTGGTGAGATCAATTGAGGGGATTTTGGGTCTAATACGCTTTTTATCTAGACTGCCACGTGAGTCACGGATAGCTGATAACCGATAAGATAACTTTGCGATAAGCCTCGCGCCATCAGGCAGACACCCATAACACCTCCTCTTATTATCCAGTCAGGTCAAGCATTGAATCCCTGTCAGATTTAAGCACATCTGTTAGTGGGGAGTCAAAAGGTATATATACTCTTGCAATCATTCCCTCGGGTTCGGACTATCAATTGTTTGTTCAGTACTATCATTCAGCCCATCAATATATATTTTTACCGGAACCCCCGAACTTGAACCATGAAGCTCTCCAACCCCATCAAACCAACATTATCTGATGCCCCCCTCCTTGCCAAAATCCTCCAATCTTCCATCGCCGATAATGACAAAGATAGAGTAGCCCCTCAATCGGAAGAGGCTTCCGCCTCTCAGCTCACCTTCCTAACCACCATGTTCGAGCGCGATCTTACCCATCCACACCGTCGCTATTGGATCATTCGGGACCTCGATACCGGCGACGTCGCCAGCTTCATCAGCTGGACTCCACCTGTTACGGAGGAAGAGGAGGAGCGGATTCGCGACGAACGAGCCAGGACGCTACCACCGGTGCATCGTCGCCAGAGTTCGGGTGGGGGTGATTATATGGACGAGTTGATGCCAAAGATCGCGGAAATGAGGAAGGAGATTCTGGGGGTTCCGAGGCGGTTGAACTGGTGTATGTTACCTGAGCTATTCTTTACCACAAGGGAATTGATGGATGCTGATGATGCAGATTGTGGTAACCTGGCTACCGATCCAAAGTACCAGCGATTGGGGGCAGCCTCGAAGCTGATTCGGTGTCCCTTTGAGGAGGCGGATCGAGAGGGCGTGGCTTGTTATTTGGATACGGATTTAAATGTAAGTTTCGTGAGTGTTGATGGTTACTCGGTGCTGACGGGAAATAGGGCCCAGCGATCAAGATGTATGAGCGGAATGGGTTCGTGCGGGTGGGGGAGGGAGTGTCTGTCAGCTTGGAGAATTACGGAGGACAGGGTATTCATACCCATGTCGGGTTGATTAGGGAGCCAAATCCCGTGAGCACATAGTGTAGGACAGAAAAGATCGTGTAGTCATGGAAGAAATAATGTTTGGTTAGGGTTGGATAGTGATCGAGAGCGATGAACTTGTGGAATATGAAAAGAAATGTCCTTTATAAACCAAAAAGCAGTAACGGAAAAACAATAAGCCCTTGTAGCTCAGTGGTAGAGCGCTTCACTCGTATCGCGTCATGAAGAGGTCCGCGGTTCAATCCCGCGTGGGGGCACTTCTTTTTTCTTTTCTTTTTTAGCCGCGTGCTCATCTCGCGTAGGTTAACAGGGAAAAGTAGACGGTGGCAAATACATATCAGCCCTTATAGCTCAGTGGTAGAGCGCTTCACTTGTAATGAAGAGGTCCGCGGTTCGATCCCGCGTGGGGGCATCGGTTCTCTTTTTGCCGCCCAAGGCCAATACCATCATTGCATTACCATGATTAGATTTGGGTGTCCATCCATCACCCGATAACCCCTCATCCCCGCATCTTACCTTCACCCTTCATTCAACCATCACGACCATGTCTCTCAACAACTACGCCTCGAACTTTCCCTTCAACATCGGAAGTCTCGCTCTTAATGGCTTTATCTCAACCCATGGGGTAGTCAATTTGCTGAATATCCCCTACGCAACAATTCCCGCCCGATTCAAAACCGCTACCTTGCTTGACCCTTCTGTCATCCCCGGTAGACGGGATGCCTCCCATTACGGCCCGCGATGTCCCCAGCCGCCAGACCCGCTCCACGGTCTGATGAGCCATATGTTCGAAGACATGTCCCTGTCCCATCAAAGCGGTGAATTAGACTGTCTTCATCTCAATGTATATGCGCCCCCCAGCGCCTTGTCACCACAGAATCCCAAGGTTCCCGTATTGGTCTGGATTCATGGCGGATCATTCAACACCGGCACCAACGCTACCGAGTTTGGTACGCCCCCATCCCCCATCCAAAGACACCCACTTATTTACCCATCACCCTACTATAGACGGCAACCATCTAGTCAAGCGATCCATGGATCTAGGCAAACCCATAATCGTGGTAACTATTAACTATCGCCTGAACATCCTCGGCTTTCTATCCTCCCACGAACTTATCGAAGAAGCCAAAGAATCCAACGAAATTCCAATCCTCAATCAAGGGCTTAACGACCAAGCAATTGCCCTGCAATGGATCCAACAAAACATCTCACACTTCGGCGGCGACGCCTCACAAGTCACAGCCGCGGGCGAGTCCGCAGGTGCAGCATCCATCTTCTACCTACTCAAACACGGAGTCCCTCTATTCTCAAAAGCCATAATCTGCTCCAGCCCACACCTCCTATTCCGTAAACTCTCCGACGTCCAACCAATCTTCAACCACCTTATCCAAGCCATCGGCATCGACGCATCCGCATCCCACCATACTAAACTCCAAGCCCTGAGAAGCTACAAAGCCGAAGATCTCGTCGCTCTAATCCCATCATTGCCCGTATCTTTCCCCATCGAGGATCCCAACTGGTTTGTCGATTGGGATGCGGAGAAGATATCCTCGGGGCAATACTGGGCGGAGTTACCGTCCTGGTGTCCGGAGATAATCATCGGGCATTTGAAAGATGAAGCTGCGCTGTTTCTGAACCCGAAATACCCGTCTGACCTCACGAAGGAAGAGGTCTTGAATCATATACAGCATAGTATATCAAATCCCTGTCCCGCGGAGATAGCCCTATCCGTCATGAAACCAGATGTCGACACACCGTTGCGATCCCTCCTCGCTCTCGCAACGCACACATTGTTCATAGCGCCTGATATTGAATTCGCGACGCGGGTGGCGTCACATCCCAATCACAAGACATATCTCTACTCGATCGATATTGTGGACAATGTCCCCGGCCCGTTGGGCGGCTACGCGTGGCACTCGTTCGGCAATGCGGTATTTTTCTATCAGCCTGCTTGTCAAGCGAATCGGGAGTTAGGCGCAACCGCGGATAAAATGAGCGATGCGTATACTAGCTTTATGTACGGGGATAGAAACCCCGTCTGGGAAGAATTTGGGAAGAACGGGCGCATGCTGAGCTGGAACGGGAAGAGAACTGGTCTCGTTCATGTAGGCTTCGACTGGAAGGATCTGGTTCTAGAGCAGTTGATTACAGAAGGTAGACAGGATTGGATTGATGCGTATAGACGGGATGGATGGAAGCTTTCTTTCCCAGTTCCTGGTGTTTGTCGGCGGAGAATGACCTGAGGAGGGAAAGTATGTATCTTTTTGGTTAGGTAGTATATGCTTGTTGAAGGGTAGAATATTCCTGATTTTGGCACACTATGGTATCAAAGAAGCAAGGCTTGATAATCTGGGGCAGGTCCATGGGGATGAATCTATTTGTTATCTCCGGGCCACGCGTCTCCAGTGCGGCTGTGATGTCCGTGCGTGGGATCGACACCCGCCCCAATATCCCGCGTCAGTTATGGTACCCATGTTACGTTTGTTCTGACAGACGGGATGTTCCTATATTTCAAGTGTAAGCATATGTATTAAATAATTTCCATAACCTGGAGGATAAGCATAAGCCTTGCATTCACTTCAGATGAACGTCATTCCAGCATCAGTAGATCCGGAGAAATGATCAAGTATACGATAGATGGGAGAAAAGCAGGGAAATTTACAGTTACAATATGACACGTCGGAAGGAGGATAGACATATGTATAAGGCTGTAGCCTATGTGGGGTGGTAGAAAAGGGGACGTGTCATCCCTGCAGGCTCATGGCCGTGCAGATTGGTGAAGGGAGAGGGTCCGGGCTCGGGTACCCTAAGCGAAGCGGCAGGGATGCCCAACATCATGTACAAATAGTAAACTCTATTTTCCATGATATCCTATTTCAGGGGTATTAATTAGCATGGTAGAGGCTTGGGAGCTACTTGAGTACTGCTAAGAGATATCAAGAGTATTTAAATTTATTGCATGTCCTTTTGACACCGGATTTAAAAAATAACTGGATCGATGTAGAGAAAGTTCTTGTAAAAAATTATCACATGTGTATCAAAACATTATTCCCCCATATCTATCCCATAACCACAAAATCGCACGACTTGGATATACCCCATAAAACAAACAACAAAACAAAAAACGCCAACCGACACATAAAACACATTAAACAACCCAAGCTTAAACCTGCTGCACCTGCACCTGATCGTACTTCTGCTCCGCGCCCATCTGCTCGGGCGTAAGCTTCACAAAATCCTCCTCCAGCACCGCCGACATCCCCAGGAACATAGTAAGCGCCATGGCGACAATTTCCTCCAACACATCCATAACCAGATAGATGGTGGGACTGCCCGTCAGGACAGCAAACTTGTCAATGGTGGTGTAATCGCTAATCGCCGAATAAATCACCCGGATGAGAATGAAGGGGAAAGAGAGAACGATGGCCATGAAAAGCTTCTTCTGGAAGTTTCTCATACTGAAGCTAAGCTGGAAGAACAGCCACGCGGCGGCGAGGTTGTAGATCACGAATACGACGATGAAGATGGCCATGGACACTTTGACAATGGTGTCGGGGGTGTAGCCGTTGCTGTTGTCGTTTGCGCTGCTGACGCCCGCGATGCCGAGAATTAGGGCAATGAAGGAGACCAGTGTGATTAGTTTGAGGAATCGGGGTGGGAGTCTTTGCTCCGTGTCGCTGCGGGGTGAGGGTTAGTTTTGATTGTTGTGGGTGGGGGTTTATTGGGGCACTCACATTTGTCTAAGGATTCCGATGTAGGTAAGTAGTAGAGGGGCGATGCCGATTAGCTCGCATACGGCTACGGCGACTTCGACATTGTAGGAATCGTGGTTGATTGTTAATAATGAGGAAATACTGCCGGCGATGCGGATGAGAGAGAGGGTGACGGGGTATCGCCAGATCTTGCTGCCGACTCTCCAGCCTGTTCGGCTCCAGATGAAAATGGCGGCGCCGAGGATAAATGGGAATATGACGAGTTGGAGGATGGCGATGCCATCAGTGTAGGTGACTTTGCCCATGGTGGTGGTAGTAGAGGAAGAGTAAGGAGATGAGGGATGAGGATGGAAGAGACTGGTTCTGTGCTACCTTGCACAGGGACATGTTGCTTCCTTTTATGTTCCTGAATTTCTGTCCTCAGCCCTGCCTCAAAACACAGCCTTGTTGTTGATATCATAAAAGGATTGAGGGTTCGAGTGGATGCCTTTGTGACTGGCCCAGCATCTCGCATGCCTAACAAGGACTAGCGCGGACGGCAGGCAGTGGATCCCTGCGGTCCGAGGTAACCCAATCACGGCGCTTTGCGCCAAGCCCTAAGTGGCCATGGGCTCAACCGAGACTTGTCTGGGTAGTTTGCTGCAGATCGGACAGTCGATAAGATAGGCTCACCGACGATCGGCTGCAAATTTCCCCAATCCTTCGATGAAACGAGTCACGAAGTCAGCAGACGGCCGTGTGGGGGCGGTTTGGACAAGGAGGCTGAGCGGTGGGCCCCAATATCCCCACAGCTAGGAAATGATTGGCTGGCTCGGTTGTGCTTGTATCAAGCCACGTTGTTACGCGAAGGCTTGAGGTTGACAGCTAAGTTTCTCTCGGCAATCAGGCCTCAACATGCGTCGATCTTCAGCTCCTCAATTCCCAAGGCTGACCTATTGTGGACTTGGTGACACATTGTGAAGGAGTCTACCTTACCGGTGTGAAATACTCCGTTGGTGCTAGCGTTTTAAGCCCCTTAAACTCAGTGGAGCTGAAGCAGCCCCTGCTTAAGTTCACCCTTCTTTTTTCTTGTCCCTCTATCCTTACCCCAGACAACGCGATCATTGACCAGATAGCTATGTCATCAAGTAACAACATTCGCACAAGAGCTTCTCGTAGTTGTGGCAATTGCCGGGCCGTCAAGCGACGCGTAGGTGTCCTCTGTTCTCCTATCACATCGATGGGAACCGTGCTAATCTGGCCATGTCTCCATCAGTGCGACCAACAAGTTCCCCATTGCGGACAATGCACTCGCCTGCGGGAATCATGCCCCGGGTACCGCGATGAATGGGAACTAGTGTTCCGCGACCAGACCGATCGCACGATCAAGCGGTCCAAGGAAAAACGGGCCATGCAGATGACCACCAAACGCTCGACCCCACCGCCTCGTGGCCTGGAAACCAATGTGGACCAGCTAGGGGTCAACTACTTTCTGCACAACTTCATCACCAGCGCGCAGTCCCCGTCACGTGGATGGCTCAACTACATCCCCGCTGTTTTTAGCGCTGATGCCGAGCACCCCACCCTGCTGACCAGCATGGCCGCGGTGGGCCTGATGGCTTTGGCGAACGCCTCCCGGCAGCCTGGATTGGTCAAACACGCGCGCGTCAAGTACTCCGAGGCCATCACTAGTGTCAACGCCGCCCTGGCGTCCCCGGTCGAGTGCGTCAAGGACAGTATCTTGATGTCGGTGATCTCGTTGGGCGTGTTTGAGTACGTCTCTAACTTTGAATCGTGGGTTCGACATGTTCAGGGAGCTGCCACGCTGGCTATAGCCCGAGGAAGGCGCCAGTTTTCCACCAGGGTTGGAATCCTCATGTTTAATCAACTCCGCGCCGATCTCATCATTGCCTGTATCCAGGCTAATCAGCCGTTTCCGGAGGGGATTCGTGAGCTGCAGAAAGAGGCAGCTAAACATACAAATACTCAGAGTGGGTTTTGGCTCTCGGGCGTGGTAGCCACCCGGGTTCCTACTCTGATGTATAACGTCGGACGAAATAGGGGGGAGGTTCCTTGGTGTAGTCTGCTGGAGGAAGCGATGCTGCTTCAGCGGGACTGTGAATGTGTCTTGGGGATCCTGGCCATCGAAGAACCCTATACGACCATTCGAGATTTCGAGGCAGATCCGGACTTGGTTCACGACAGTCGGTTTGATCTTTACCGATCTGCTTGGGCGATCCGAGTCTGGAATAACGCGCGGTGTATTGAAATGATTGTCTGTCGGATAATCATCTACCTGTTGCAGAAAATGCTCGCCACAGATCTCGCCCCGCCAATTTTGAACGGACAGTTCCAAGAGACGCAGCAGTTGTTGTCAAAATTAGGGGACGACGTACTGGCTACGGCTCCACAGGTCCTCGAGTTCCTGTCCTCGGGACCTGAACGCACTGTCACTTTTAATTCCTCTGCCCATGCCAGCGTCTCGGGTGGGTATATCCTGGTCTGGCCTCTCACCATGGTTGGGAGATGTCCGGTCACGAAAAGTGACTCCCGGAAGTGGATTATCCGACGTCTTCGGGATATTGGTGAAAGCTCCGGCATCTCAATGGCGCTGCAACTTCTTGAAGATGTGGTCAAAATTGACGAATTGGCCAGCTGAGAGGTTTTGTGTCGGAGTAGCCGACATGTGATGTTAAGATGACCCTCTTTCTTTTCTTATCGTTTGTTAATTATAGTCACATTCTTGCACGATCGCGCTCATCTGGGTTTAATGAAAGGGGGAGGCGCTACAGACACATCGGCCGGGCTAACCAACCACATACTCTCAACCAACCGACTCAGAAAGCTGTTAGACAGGATATTAATTATCTTCATGGGTTTACATAGATCCTGAATTTAATATACAGAAATTTCAAAGGACTCTACGTAGAAACTCAATTCGAATCTTATTAAATTATCATCCAGAAACATTTATAGAGAGCTATCTAAAATTTAATTCAGACTTTTGTCTAAAGACCCGTATATAAAATTATCTAAGATCTCATTCAGAGTCTTATATACGAAGTAAGCTCCTTGTATTTATAGAATCATGTAAGTAGTAGGTAGCCTGAGGCGTAGAAGTCTTTTCTAGATATCAATATATTAACATTGGTGAGTATCTATTCAATTTAAAGATAGACTATTTCTTCAATAGTCAACGGAGAGTGGAAGCGATGTGCAGCTAGTAGAGGCTGGTATGGGCTAGCCTGGTCGGTGTGCATGTAACGCCTCCCTAATGAAGGCAGAACACCTGCGTTTAATTTGCTACACGATGCGCGCAGTTATCAGATTCTCCATGTTAGTGGGCATCTGACTGGGGATATATTGATTTGGTTGAGTGATTAGTAGTTGAGTGGGTCATAGTACAAGAGCTTTCTCCCAGCAAGAAAACATTCTCCCTTGTATCAAGGAACAAAGGGAGAGGAACGATATGCATGCTGAATAAGCCTGACGCCTGTGCCGCCCAACACAATATCACATGAACTTTGCCCGCCTTGCATTCAATCTTCTATTCTCCCCACGCTTACTACCACTATCACTGCCATTGCCATCTCCATACCACCTGCCACCAAAGGTACATCAAATGACCTCCTAGGCTTCACAATCACACTAACCCCAACCCCAGAGCTGCACCCAGCACCACACCATGGCCGCGCCCCCTTCACAAATCGTAGAGGGAATATTCCTCGAGTTCTCCATCGAAGAAATCCTCACCCGAAACACCCAAGGATTTCCCGTCGTCGAACCTTGGGCCACCGACTACGTGAACGCTGTCCGGGACAAGCGATACGGCGATGCCATTTGGGCGCGCTACCATATAGCAGGCGACGTGCATGATGGTATCTCAGAGGAGGAGAATAAGCCAGTGCTTGAGGTGATTGAGGATGAGGCATTAAACTACAAGGTATCCGACCCGGAGGCATACGCTGAGGCACTTGTGTTCTACGCGGATACGAGTAGCGCGGATGGACATCCGGAAGTGATGGAGATTATTAGACGGATTGGCAATATGGATACTACAGAGCTTCGGGCAAAGTATGAACGCGAGCAGTGGGAGGATCATATCGCTGATTTTTGAGAATGGAGATTGGGAGTCTTGGGTCCGTTCTCAGCAGCTACACGCTGAGGACCTTGACTGTTCAGAAAACTTACACGGATGGCGTCCGAACATGGGAGAGGAGAAACACGCGGCCAATTACCCTATAGTTTCGTTATTAAGGCACCTGTTTTGATGTTTGTGGTCTTGTCTTGTGTTTACTATGGCAATCCATCACAATTTTCGCGACGAAGCCAGGCCGATGCCCCTAGTGTTGTCCGACACCACACTGCCAGACCTCTGCCGCTCGAGCCCGGGACCCCCGATCTCGCTCGTGTAGAAGAATCTAACACTCTCACCCCCACCCTGACTGCATACTCACTGGATCTATATTTAGATCGGTCCAAAAGCAGGCTTTTTGGCATCAAACAGACCGGAGGTCCGGCGGTGTGTCTGCCCCTTGAACCACTAAACCTTCGAGCGGCGTTGGGGTGGCGTTGGACTAGTGCCATACGAAATAATCACAATAAGGCATCGAGGGTTCAATGCGACGTACCCTTTGAGTCCTTGGTTCACATTTTCCCCACATCCGTTTTAGTTATAACGGCTTGATACAAAGAACCCATGTGAGTACAGTCTCTTGACACTGGCATCGCCCATTGTTGATGCTCTTGGTTCAGATTTAGACATTGTGAGCGTTATGTCGGAAAATCCCGGACTTCCCCCGGTAACTTCCGATATACCCTGGCTCTGTCGCCCAGTCAGATTGAACAACGTCGCCTCCGGGCCTAATAATGCGCCACTCGCAGGGATAACTCGACCCCCGGAGGTTGCGAGAGGTCCGTAAGGTCAAAAGTCTACGCACGCCCTCCATCCAGTTTTCCCTGCTCGGGATTTTGATATACCCTTTCCCGATCGCCAATAATGAGGGTGGATTCAAAGGAACGGGTCCGCATGGTAGATAGACTGTACTAGATACCGGGAAGAATGACCGGAGTCACCTGTCATGTGGCTGGCTCATATGTCACAGACTCTAGCGTTGACTGCTGGACGCATGAAATTCCCAATTTTCAGTACTCCATATACCAACGGCGGTTGGCTGTTAGAACATCAGCGTACTACTACTAGTATGCGGGTATCCATCACCTCATCCGTTTCCGGGGAGGGCTGGAAGAACTGACCGGTACCGTACCGTGGACTAAAAAATTAGCATGGACCTTGCGAGGCTGGCCAATCACAACATTAGTCGCTGTCAGAATCCGAAGAGTTGATTGCTAGGGTCCAGTATCGGGGGCCTGGGCGTCGATCCTGATATTGTGACCTGTTGGATCCACTGATCGACCCGGGCGGGAGATGTTCTTTTCCCTGAGTGACCTGCGGATATTGTGCATTACGAATTTAGCAGGAGGCTCTAAAAGGCGCGGCGCATTTGTACGTACCGTGTGGATAGAGTATACTCTCTCGCCAACGCGTTATGATCTGTGCATGGAGAAGGAGGAGAAGCGTGGGGGGCCTTATGAGGTAGCACAAGGATGCCAAAAAAAAAAAAAGGTATCGCACAGCTTGCCTAAGCTTCGTGGGGCCTACGGGTAATCCTCGCGTATACTTACATCGATAGAGCTTTCTTCGCCAGTTTATGTGATTTGCGATACGCATTAGCTCTGGGTGACACTATGGTAAGTCCCGGGCACCCAAACCTGGAAAGCTGGATTTCTCAGGAGCAAGTTCAATGTGACGAGCGATAGTCCACATTTCTTGTGTCAGACTGGTGGAAGCATCAAGTAAAGATTATTAGATGAAACAGGATATTCCCGAGAAGATGTTTTAGCAGGCGAATTAGAAAGAATATCAGGAATCGCTCTGTAATGCATCAGACCGTGGAAACTTGCGGTCGTCTGTCAGCCATTACCTAGGTAGTACTATACTTATCTCAACAGAAGCCTGTTAGGCAGTGTATGAGTCCAAGATTCTGCAAGCTCCGTAGCCATTTCACTGTCTCTAGTCACCGATCTGCAAAATTCCCAGGAAACAAACAAATCCATAAGTGCGCTATTGAGCGCCAATGGCCCGTTTTTGAATTACTATTGCCACAGGTCTCCTATCATAATTGGCTTTATGTCTCGTGTTTGATGCTTTAGGCTGAAATATAGTCTGTAATATACAGTTTTATTTACTAGCTCTGGTTTGATTTGGAACTGGACTGTTCTTGCATGACTTTGGAAATTCTGCAAATCGGTGGTCAAAGACAGTACCTGTTAGTGCGGCATTTGATCTGTCCAATCAGAGGCTGTATCAAAGTCTACATGTTGGGAACGCCAGCTGTTGCTGATATCGGAGCACATTGGTATCGAGTATTACACCCCATTGTTTGCCATGCTACTCGCCATCTCGGTGGCAGGCCTAGGATAATAGGTATGTCTCCTTCCGTTGGGTGCAAACATCTCGGCTAAGAACATCTTCCCGACTGAATCGTCCAGTGGATCAGTCACATCATTTCTCAGGCGTTTCGTGGTTAGCTCAACAGCTTCGGGGGCCAGCAGGACAGGTTATGATGATACGGGTAGGTTAATAGAATGCCCCGGTAGGTAGAAGGGACGGGCATAAATACAGGATGTCCAGCTTGGTAATGGACCGATTTCATTTCCATGCTCACCTCGTTACCTCTCTCTACGCTCCCATCAATTTATCGTTTATATTGCTGTCAACATGCGTGTCTTCTATCTTTTTACTCTGTTTATATTGAGTGAAGGTACTATCTCAGCTCAAAACGTGAGCTATACCGAGCTCATCGAGCCACTGTTCCTAGATTTCACTCTGGATGAAATCCTCCAAAACAACACCAAAGGATGGCCGATCGTCGAACCCTGGGCCAGCGAGTATGTGAATTCGATCCTCGAGGGAAGATATGGTGATGCTGTGTGGGCGAGTTACAATATCGGCGGAGATGTGAACAGTGACACTGGTATTGTCGAAGGCACCAATTTGACCGTGCTGGAGAGTATTGAGGAGGACGCACTTGGCTATAGAACCAACGATCCGGACAATTACGCCGAGGCCCTATCCTTCTACACCCAAACCGGGAACACAGATGGACACACCGATATCGTTGACATGCTTATCCGCATTGGTCAGCAGGACGTCGTTGAAGCCAAGATGGAACTCGACAAGCGCAAGACTTGGGGTATTAGATGCAGTCCTTATGATCTGGCCTATAAATCGAGCTGTCTCAATATTCTTGAGCGCATGTCCACTGCGAAGACATACGTTGGAGGTATTCGGAGGCTTGGCGCCTACGGGTAGTGTTTTCTCGGGGTTTCAACATATCAAGGCGTATACACCGATGTCACATGGTACCAAGCTCATGCTGTTGGTCAACTAATTGAAGACAATTGTTCCTACTGTCCCGCATGTAGCAACCAGTTGAAAGTCTCGGGCTACTGGCCGCGGAATTCCGGACATCGCAAGGTCTGCCTGAGCAGCAAGAGAAAGGGCTGTTCTTGATTCTTTTGATTCTCTTGTACATGTGTGTGTTGGGCCTCTGTACAGTACTCACATGTCTTAGACATCTTTACCTCTTGTACCTAGGAACAGTTCTAGGGAAAGTCGGTCCCCTGGAACAATGGCTTTCGCCTATTGAAAGAAGCAGGAATTCATTGGTTACTTTGTGATTTGTATCTGATCTTCTAGTGACTCATTATTTAACAATTTGTCACACTCATCGGCCCTCTTAGTCAGGGCGCTTTCTGGTACCTCTCAATTGTTATCATGGTTGGTAATGCGTATAATACGGAGCTTCGCACGAAGTATGGGCATGGACAGTGGCAGGACTATATTGTCAATATTTGAATGGGAGTTGGTAGTCTAGGTTGTTCGTTGAGGTACGCGTTGATTCATTATTTATTATGGTATGTCTTTCTTTCAAAAGTATTTTCTTTTGGACCTGTACTAAATGGAATGTATTAAAGGAGAGATCGAAGCTTCACCCTCTTCTCCGAAATCCAACTCCTAAAACTCCTCTCCGACCCAGTCCACGAATACGCACCCGTATCCTGTGAATCGATCGAACGACGACGCATCGACTCAACAAACTTCGGCCACGTATTGGTTAAAACCAATATCTTGACGTGATCCTGAATCGGATCCAAAATACCCATATCGAAGCCCTCAGGGATCTTCCCCGTGTAATTAGCCCGGATATCAAGGGCACCGTTGGACGAAGACGCAAACGGGTGATCAAAAGGCGCCGTAGGATTCACGACTTTCTCGCCAAACAGAATCCGCGCCGGCTTTTCAAAAATCGCCTCCATCTGCTTGAGACTCTGCGAGGAGATGTTCAAGGGGAACTCGGCATCGTGGGCGCTGATAAAGGCCGCGTAGATCCGTAATGCCTGGTTGAATGCACCGATCATTTGCTGCTCATCGTTGGGGTTGAGGGTCTCGGGCCAGCTGGATTTCCATTTTGCGACTTCGCGGAGGAAGGCGATATTTTCGCCGGAGAATTCGCTCAATGCGGCGAATTCTTGGAGGTGGGTGGAGTTTGTTTGGAGGGTTTGTTCGAGGCCGTCCATTGTGTGGAGGCGGTTGCTGGTGGTGGAGTCATGGAGGATTTCAATTATTTGGCCTTTTTCGGCGAGGGATGATGATGATGGGGGGGGGGGGGGTTTGGTGTCTGGTGAAGGAGGGGTTTGGAATTGGATGGATGAGGGGGATGGAGAGGTGTAGTTGGTTATTGATTGGGTTGTCTTTTTGCTTAGGATCCAGAGCTTGATGACTTCGAAGATGGGGACGAATACGGTGAAGATTTCGAACATCATGATTGAGACGTGGATCCTGATATGGATCAGCAGGTGGTGGTTTGAAGATCTTAGGGGGTGGTCTTACCATTGACTCGGTGTGAAATATGCATTTACTTTTGCAAATGCGGGGACGTATGATGCGATTAGGAACATCGGGGTGGCATGAAGACTGCAGAATTATGTCAATTACGTGGTCCTTGACTACCAGAAAAGACAACATACCTCGAGATGCAGCAGGCGATGGTTTGAGTGCGCCATCCCATCGTATCACGGATTCCCCAGGCTTTCCAAATAAGCATCGGTGCTGCCTAACTGTATATGAGCAGATGCACCGCATGATGATAAAGCATAACTTACAATCCATGTCCAGATGGCTTGCCACAACACTGTCGGCCACCATTCCCATCCTCGACCTAGATACAAGACCTGCTCTGGGATGGTCGAGCCATGGAGTTCCGTCCCAGGAATACCGTATGTTGGATGATACTTTGCGCAAGCAAGCCACATGCAGACGGAGAGAATGAACTAATAGGGGTCAGCCTCCAGATACAACGCTTAAATAGGAATGAAGGCTACACACCTGCAAGACCATTCCAATTCCGATAAAAAGAAACGCCCTCTTCATATAATAGAGATTTCTGAGACGGCACAGCCATGAACTATCGGAGCCATTACAGCGTCGATCGGTTCGGGGTTCCGGATGCACAAACTGCTGTCTCTGCATCTTGGCGACATGAAGGAAACGAAGGTTGGAGGCTTGGAACAGGGCAATGCCCAAAGGAAAGTAGATTCCCATGCCGAAGTATTGAACATCGTAGGCAAGGATTATCGGCATCGTCGCACCAATCGGATATGATATCTGGCCGAGGATCCAGTAGACATGGAGAAGCGCGATGGCAGTGAATGACAGCGGCAGGCCGCGGACCCTGAGCATGGGTATGCGTCGGTTAAACCAGCAGAATGCCATGCCGGCAAGTAAAAGAGCGGTCCATGTGGCGCAAAGTGAGATGTAAAACACCCCCACGCGATCCCAGTTGGGAGGCGAGGTAGGGAGGTTGTATATCGTGAGGCCTGGCACGGCTGCCATGGCCGCCATGATTGCTGGGAAGAAGAAGATAAGGAGTGACGAGGGTAGGTGTGGAAAGCGAGGGGATATGAATCCCGAGGGACTGGGTCATATTTGAATAGACAGGTCCAGGATCGACATTTTGGCAGGTAGGCATGGATCGACGCAGGAGGCAATCTGATGGAGGATTGGCCCACGGAGTGGCAAACTGCTTCCACGGTCCAGATTAATTCCCAGGAACACAGGTAAATTTTCCGAATTGGCCATGAGCAGCTTAAGTTGTGCTGCGATGGTCTATTACTACCCCTGCCTATCATGCTATATTTAACGTGGGATGTGAATGTCAGGCAGCATTGTCTTCTTCGGTCTTTACTAGTAGCATCTATTAAGTTAACCCGGAGCGGGGCATAGCAGGGGAACAGTCAATCTAGTAGTCCTGTCGGTGGGACTGTCCCAGGTCCCCGGATACATCCTGCATGGAATGGGGCCTAGAAGCATGCTTAAAATTGAAAGCCGTCGTGTGGGGATTAAGCTACACGCACGAGTAAGCATCAAATGCCAACTGCATTGGTGGGGCTGATCTACAAGCACTCACCCACTAGTGTCCATAACGCCAAAGACTCGGTAGATAGTCAAAGTCAATCGATCCAAATTTCCCGACCAACTGCCCCCTACAGTAGGGATTGAAGGACATTTCAACCCAATTTGTAGATCCGGCTCGGGTGATGCTCCCGACCAATCCTTTTGCTTTCTGCCCATCAATGTCAAGATCTCCAACTGACAAATCCTGAACCATAGTTCAATCCTTGGAGAGCTTGCTGAGTCATGGACAGGCAGACCACAACCATTTCGTTCATAGATTGCTGTTCAACAACACCCCTGGTTCATCGCCCCACTAGCTAAATTCAATCATGGATCGGGCGTGCAAGAGGCTGATGATGTAATGATCTGCTTGCGGAACAGAGTGTGATAGGCAAGAAGAGCGATGATCCACGAACACTTTGCATTAAGTACTCCGTAGTTAAAGTAGGGAAAATCAACCACTCATCCAAAGTGTCTTATCTGATCGGCTGTAGTAGTTCTATATCAGCTGAGGGTGCTGCTTAGATCGGGTGGAGTCGTGTGGCGATGGTTTGGAGACCCTGGCTTGGTCCGTGGGTTGCAACCATCGTCGGTACTTAATTGTGGGAAACCTTTGCCGTAGCCAACTGCGTGCCTGGCTGGCTGATGTCTGAATATATTCCACCATAGTATAGCCAGACAAGTCAAGCAGCCCTTGATAAGAAATATCATCATCCCCGTCCTCTTTCCCATTGGCTGTCGGGTGTCAAGCGCGAGTCGGCCAATCAGATGGCGCTTCGCACCGGCGGGCCGCGGAAGAACCAATCTATGATCCTGATTGGTTTTACGCAGCGTTATCGATGTCCCAGAGGGTATCGATCATGTTGCTGGTCTTCCTCTTGTCCCATGGTGTCAGAGGCCATCTGTTGGTCGAAATTTCAGTTACTGCCGGTTACCTTGATGATTGTCCTTCTCAAATTTCTGAGCCAGGCATGAACTTTCAGCTGGGGTGCTGTTCTCGTTAGTTGAGTACTTCGCGAACGGTATAAAGACGGACAAAACATCGGTCTATCCATGATGCAGCTTTCGTATAAAACCAAAATAACACGCAACGGGAATAAAACATTCGGAGTATAAATACGCCAGCAATTGAAAACACCTACACCTTCACCTTCCACTTCCACTTCCAATCCAACAAAGCCCATCTTGACAACGCCAGAGAAATAGACCCAATCAGCAACACAGCCGCGTAGAACCCAATGAGGATTTGAGGAGTCGTCGACTGAAGAAGATCACCCCCAACAGGGACCGTCAACAAGACCCCAAACGCAGCAACAAAATAAATGGTGCCGTAGTATCTCCCATACTCCTCAGTGCGGCACAGTTGGCCAGCACACACAGGCGCCAGCGAAAGCCACCCACCCGAGCCAAACCCAAAGATAGCAACAACAACATAGAGCGTAATCTCATCGCGAGATCCGAACGGCAGCCACACAGCCGCCATGACGATCAGAGTAACGACCACCAGGCACAGAAGCACATTGAAACGGCCGATTTGATCGGCCGCAAACCCAGGAAGAACCCTCCCGAGAAAGCTCATGCTATTCAAGATGGTCAAGGAGAAGGATTGCACGTTGGTCGACATCCCAGCAAAGCGCACAAAGGTTGGCAATAGTGCGGCGCAGCCGAAGATGATAAACTCGAAGGAGAACACGGCCACGGTTAAAAAGCAGAGACGCAGGGATTGGAATGCGCGGAAGTCGATCGTCACTTTGCTGGCGCTACCGGTCGTAGGCAGCCGGCCGCGAACCAGAATGACTCCTAGAATGTAGCATCCCAGCGCTATGAATGCAATCACACGGATTGAGATCGTCCATCCATGTCGTGGGAATAGCGTCCGGAGGAGGAGTGGAATGATCGCTCCTCCGGCGGACGAGCCTGCCATGCAGAGGCCCGAGGCCAACGCGCGTCGGCGATGAAACCAATGGCTTAGGACAGCGATGGATACGGTTGTAATCACTGCTGAAGAAAATCCTCCGAGAATGGATAGACATAGTATGAAATGCCAGTACTTTGTGCATTGAGCGAGCAGCATATAGGAGGTAAAGCTGGCTGCCGTACCACAGACCAGCAGGATTCGAGGCCCATATCGATCGAATAGAGGTCCAACTTGGACTCCGAGGAATAGCGTCAGGAATACTAGGATGGCAGTGATCCAGCCCACATCCAGAACACTATACCCGGCGAGTTGGTGTGTGTTGATATAGTCTTGGACGGTGCCAACTGAGAGACAGGAAACAGTCAGCGGGTGGAATGCATTATTTTCTCGTGATATGAGCTGAAGTGATGTCTACCGGCAGCTTGAAATCCAAAGGATGGGGACATTAAGAGAAAGGAGCCGAGCAGACATGTCCACGCCTGTCGGCCTCCTTCAGGGAAAGCCAGACTGACTCCAGTTGTTGGACTCTCGGGCGAACGATCGCTCACCTCAGAGCCCGATTCTGCATCAGGGGTCGAGTGGGGATGTTCGACAGATCGATGCATGCTGTGCAGGTGTTAAAATCAGAAGCGTCCGAACAATCGACAATGATGCGAAGAAAGAGACTGCGAAGAAAGAGACTGCTAAGTACTTGATAGGGCCTGCTCCAGGTTATCATGACGGAAAGCCCCCCGATTGGCCGGCTCGCGTTCAGAGCACGGAAACCAATGAGAGTAATTGCAGTGGGGCCCTCGGTGGTTTTTTGCACGCCTTCGGTCTGAAACAGGAGTACGTATTTTTCGGTAAGATATATTTGGTTCATTCTATTGTTCATTCTTTTTTACGTGCTCGCCAAAGCAAATCTAACCCCCAAACACAGCATCACCATATCTAGGCAATTCAGGTGGCTCTCTTCCCCCTGGAAGCAATGGCAAATCCATCTGCTCTGTACCCTTTATGGTTGACACAAGGCCGCACCTGGCATAACAATTGTTAACTGATAGGCTGCTCATTGTCTTTCCCTGTTTTTCGCAAAGCATTTCCATAGATCCCCCCGCATTTGATGTCCTTCGAGCCACTTGGACAGGGACCTCTACCACCGTACTTTGAGGTATCCTCGTTCTACTTGAAGAACAATAGGAAACGCAGAGCTCAAGTACGTAGACTCGAGAAACATAACACGAGTGAAAAGTTGGTAAAAGGAGTCCACCCTTTCCATCTTGTTTCTTGGGAAGCGAAATGGGCACTTCGATAGCAGCGGTGTAATAATGGTCGCATTGTGGCTCGTCAGCTACAATTGGCGTGTTCTCTTCCTCATTCTGATTCCCACTGATTAAATATTTGGGTCGGTCACCAGCAGTAGCAATTGTGCGGTATCGCGTCCATTGGATATGCGTGGTGCCTCTCAAAGAAGTGAGTGGAGTAGTCTCAACATGTGAGCCTCCATAGGATAGCTGCTGCTGATCGGTCTTGGTGAGCGGAGGATTTGCTCTATGAGGCATGGTACTATAGTTGGTAGTCGTACGCAGAGTGGGAGATATTTTGCGGATGCGGGGAGGTTCCTGTGTCTTGGTTCCGGGGTCGAAGCGTAGGTAGACGGTGATTGTTGTTAAGTATGGGGTGGCATGGTGGTTTTCAGAGGCAGACAATTGTATTTCGGTGGCGGTAGCTGATCGTGATGTTGAGCTCGGGGATCCCTTTGGAAATCCCTGCTGTTTCAATGGCCATTCCACGTTCCTCTGTCGCACAAAGAGTTGAGACGGATGGCTGGAATTGGCGTAATTGAATATATCCTCAATCGAAGATGTTGCCTCTCGAGCAGCGGTAGGTATAACCGTCACATGCCTTGTCTCGGATCCCAGTGTCTCGCGTTTGTGGAGAGGTCCATCCTTTGAAGATTGCCTCGCGACTGTAAACTTTATGGCATATAGAACCTGGCACACTGCCTGCGAAACGTTGGTCACCCGCAGCGTCGGTGGTAGCTGGGTGTGTGTCTGATGGATATGGTGCTCGTTCGTTGGATGAGTGCACGAGCCAGACAACAAGCGATCGGGGACAATAAAGATGTATGGAAAGGTGTAGACCACCCCTGGCTGGAAGAGTCCGGGGGTAATACAATCTTCCTTGATTGGGTGGTATAGTTGAAGAAACTTATGGGAGGCCTCGCAATGCCGAAGGACGGTTTTTGGCTGTAAGAGTGTCACCTGCGTCGAGCCTATAGCCAGAATTAGCTGTGTTACCATCTATATTGTCATGAGATGAATGTGACCTTCAAAGATCAGATTGACATGGCTGAACTGAACTGCTTTGTCAACTGTGACGGTGACAACGCCCTGGATACGGTCTCCAGGGGCATAGTAGGGCTTGAGAACTGTGTCATCCAATCTAATTGATATGTTGATATTCGATGATTTTTTGAAGAATCTTCGGCCCAAAGTGGGAAGGGACAGTTGTTTCATGGTGAGATACATGTGCAAGATGTGAAACTCAATGTTAAATAGGAGGAAGCTATATAGCCAAGGGTCAGGGGGATCAATCGAAGCAATCCCACCGGCCAAGGGTCCCGACTGAAAATTACATATTGTAATCAACCATACCGGGTGATGGGGCCGAGTTAGTCATTCACGCCCTTCAGGTGACATCGACGATCATCCATTCGTCATTCTCCTCCCATCATTCCCTCCTTGCTAAGCCCTATATATCCTCTTCTTGACCCTTCCCGCCTCCCATTTTGGCCCCTTGGGGTTCGTTGATTTTCTATTGGTCTAAGACCCGTGCCTAATACTACCATGGATTCCGCCAATCCGATGACCACGGTCTCACGGCGCTCAAAGCCCAAGACCCGAACAGGCTGCTTAACCTGCAAGTGAGCAAGTCTCGGTGATTTGTTTCTCAAACTCCTCTACTTTACTTACCCAGCTCTTTCCCACGTGCTTGTAGATTCCGGTGCGCACTAACACACTTCCCTTGATCCATCCCCATCCCACCCATACTTCGGAAACAGGCTCCGAGGTACTAACTACACATCCAAGTCGCGTCAAATGCGATGAGCAGAAGCCATCATGCCTACGCTGCCTCTCCACCAAACGCATCTGCGAAGGCTATCCCATCATATCCCGACCCACCATCGCCATCACCAACCACCTAGCCGATGAAGAACGACGGGCCTTTTCATATTTTCGCAGCCGAACAGCCCATCGGATCTTCGGGGAACAAGACGCCAATGAATGGGTCCCTGTCATTCTTCAAATAGCACATATTGAGCCTGCAGTCCGACATGGCATCACCGCCCTAGCCTCTCTGCATGAGAGCCTAGAACCAGTCAACAACCAGCTCACCTGGCTTCGTCAAACTCCCCAGGATCGCAGTCTTTCAGCTCAAATGCTAGCCTTGAGACATTATAACCACGCCATTCAGTCCCTCCGGAGCGAGTCCATTGTTATGTCCTCCCGTCCTGATATCACCATGATCCTTTGTATTCTCTTTCTCTGCTTCGAGCAATTCCGCAGCGGCGATGCTGCTTGCTTGGTGCATATGACTGCGGGCCTCAAGCTCATTGATTGGTGGCGGTCTCGCACGGATAACTACACCAAACTTAAGGAGTACTCCCGTCCGACTCTGGAGTTTATGAATGAGAAAATCACTCCTATTATTCAACGTCTTCGGGTCCAGTTTTCTCTGTGTATGGATTCTCGACATAGGTGGGGGCGTTATGGGGTTACCTACGGTTTACCACCTACAATCCCAACATGTTATTCCTCGTTTGATGCGGCGCGAAGGGATTTCGATCGTTCAATGAGTTACATGTTCTCCGTCCTGGAAAACAACCAAGTCACATATCATCAAGAACCCGCACGGGATCCGATAACTATCCTACGCCAGTGGAAAAACTCGTTAGACGCCTCAAACCTATTCTCCCAAACCACGCACCTCCAAGGATGTAGCCGCAGACTACTAGAACTATACTACCACGTTTCTATCGTGATCACGGGCACCTATTACACCGAAATTGAGACCGCGTTCGATAAATACCTTGACCAATTCCAAGCCATTGTCGATCTCGCCGAGCAAATCGCCATCGACTGGCAGCACGCGACCAAGGAATACAGTCTCATGTTCAGCTTCGACCTTGGGCTCACTCCGCCAATGTTCCTGGTGGCGTCTCGATGTCGTCACCCGGATATTCGACGAAAGGCTGTTCGGCTCATGCTCGAGTCGCCCTTTTACCATGGTGTTTGACCGGATCGGTATACGGGTCTTTGTGCTCAACGGATCGTGGAAATCGAAGAAGCGGGTGTGGAGGGCTATTCTGAAGGTAGTAGATATGTGCCCGAAAATTCCCGGATTCGTAAAGTGTCTGCGGATCTGCAGGATTCGAAGGAGTATATTGTTATGAAGTTTGTTCGGTCGCCGTTTGTGGTGAATGCGCCTGTTTATACGACAATGGTGGCTTTGGTGTGAGAGGAAATAAGCCATTTCGTTATTCGATGATCGGTTATCCTTACGTACAACCTTTGGGTCAGTAATGCTTCTATGCAGTGTCTAAATGGCATCATTCTTATTATGGAAACATCAGAAGGTAACTTCCGCTATTTGGAGCCAAAAGTAACCACTGTGGTCTCCGAATGTTTGACTTTGAACATTAGGTAATCGCATGCCACAGGGAGAATGACTCGGTCAGGCGAGGCTCAAGGATAACATGATCTTTTTGGATGCAATTGATTCCAGTCCGGGTTTGATGCATTCCAATGAGATGAGGTACTTAGGGTGTGTGCGGAGAAAAAACAACGATGGCAGGTTCGATAGAAATGGTGGATTCGTTGGTTTTAGATGGACGGTCTACTAGTTCGCAAGACAGTAAGTAAAGCCTTAATACACATGCAACACTATTATAACATCCTGTTCAACAAAAGTATATACAGAATCGCCCATCTCAGACAACCCTAAACACTATGTACAATAGCCAGTCTAATCCTTAGATAGAAGGCCAGCCATCAGACCAGCTGATAACGTTCCAGCCGAACTGCTTATCGGAATCAGCATAGCCGATCTCCGTGTTGATGTAGTGGTAGTAGAGGATGGTTCCGTATTCCGGGTCATCGTAGACACCCTGACCACCGGGTCCGTAGACGGTACCGTGACTCTCAAGGACAGGAGAACCACCGCTCTCCGTGCAAGCGACGCCGTCCTTGTCAACCTATTCATTCATCTTGGTTAGCGGTGCAATGAAATAAACGGTGTTGGGTACTTACAAAGTTACCAGTGGCCTTGGTACTGCGGCAAACCATAATCTTGTACTCCTCGCCAGCAGCCGGGCGATCGGTATCGTAACCACAGCAAGCACCCGAAGAGAAGAATAGGTAGTAGTAGTCGCCGTACTGGTACATGTAAGAACCCTCCTCGGAGTGAGTGCTAGTGGCGTTGAAAGCGAGGTTGTAGGCGGCGCTGCCGGCGGACTTGGTGCCGGCCGAGTTCATCTCAACTTGGTAGATGTCATCGTAGAAGGAGCCGAAGTTCATGTAAAAGGTTCCGTCGGCCTTGATGAGGTTGGGGTCGATGGCGTTGTAGAGCTTGCCGCTGCTGGACTTGACGCCGATCGAGCCATGGTCCGTCCAGGAGTCGAGCTCCATGGTGGCGGAGGTGGCGAGACCGATGGCGGAGGATTGGGAGCCGAAGGTCGAGACCGCGTAGAAGCAGTAGTAGGTGCCTTCGATGTAGTGGAGATCAGGGGCCTGGGTTCGGGTTAGGGTTGTTAGTGGGTGGTGAATGGTAGGGTTGGATGATGATCATGGGATTGGATTGTAACTCACCCACAGGTCGGTGTTACCAGACAAGTCGATGCTGGATCCATCGGGGAGAACAGATCCAACGCCCGTCCAGGGACCGAAGAGAGAGTCCGAGGTAGCAAAGGTGATCTCACCACCGGTGGAAAAACGGAAGTACTTGCCATCCGACACACGGCGCATGAGACCGGGGTCGCTGACGATACATACTCCCGAGCAGGACTCGGGGTTGGAGTAGGCAAGAGCCAATCCGGGAAGAGCTGCGAGGGCTGCAAGGGCGAAACGCATGATTGCTGATGGTTGAAGATGATGCGAGCACCAAAGTCGATGAGGGCAGGGCTGGGTTAAATAGAGTTTGGATCTACCCGGTGTGAAACCGGGAGCAGGCAGGAACAAGGGGATGTTCTCCCGAACACCGCGAACTCATCTAGCTCTCATTGTCATGAATCAAGCGGTTTCATCCAAACATCTTGGGAAATAAACCGGTGGAGTTGTCCCAAGCAGCGGATCCCTTCCTGAAGGGCTTGAGATTGCACATGGTGGATGAGAAGCAACTGGATAGCGCATCTAGGCGAGATTGGGATGGAAGGCCGAGGTTTTTCCAGAGCAGTCATGCTTAATTTCACACATGGTCAGATTATGAAGGAATGGACGCCATCAAGGTCTGAGCATCCACTCTTATGCGCTGGTGGGAAAAGATTCATGACTTAGAGGGGGGTCCACTGACACACTCGGGGCTAATCTCGAATACATTAAGCCGTAGTGTAGTCATATGCACGCTTATATTATCCTGGGTAAAATAATATCCAATCATTCGTGGAAAGCCCCGTCAGAACATAATTCCGAGGATAACCGGCAGTCCGAGGAAGAATCCCGGCCCCCGATTCTTCCGCGTCCGGTGCATAAGCTACGGACTGCCGGCATTAGGGCTTACTCTTCACTCTATTCCGTTCAACTACGAATGTGCCTAATCATACCATCTCGCCCGATGCAACGTTATTGATGGGGTATTGCAGGGTGCAATATAATATCGGGATGATCCTACTCTCATAGCAGAGCGAGAAATGGCGCGGGACAGAAGGACATGCCCTTTGATGTGTATGACGAGGAGTGGCCAGAGCTGTCTGCTCTCTGTAACAGCCTAGTCATTTTCTTCCAGCCTTGTGCTCTAGTAACTTATGCTCATTGGACTACTCCGTACGGGGCCGGCAAATGTTCTGAGGCGCTGGCTATCAAATAGTAAGATGTTGTCACCAGATTGCTATTCCTTTTCCCATGAGTCCTACTTACTGTGCCGAATAAATCCTGGACAGACACTCTTAGGTTGCAAGCACTCAACCCGACTCTTTTCCCATAGAATCAGCAGTCAATCTGTTTTCTCACTTCCCTTCCTAGGAATAGATGTAAGACTTAGAGCGATAGGTACCTACTAGGCAGCAACTACCCCTCTCACTAACATGATGAAAGTAGTAATGATCTGCCCTACCGATTTAATATAAACCCGTATGTTCGTATCCGTCGGCGCTTTACAATTAGTGCCAGCTTAGTGAGGCAGTATCGTAGGAAAAAGGTGTTACTAACCCAATTTGCTCGGCGAGGGTCCCATGCTGAAACCCGCGGCGCTCTCAGACTTCCCGTCCTCCGATTTAGGAAGCGCACTCCGACATCTTGGAAGGGTTGAGGTGTCTGTGCCACGTTCTAGCCCACGAAGTTGCATGACCCAGACTCCAAGACATTGCCGAGTGGATCTGCCGGTCCAGGGCTTGTTTATTCAACAACAGGCACCTGCATTACTACCTCTCCATGTCTACGACTCTATGCAGAGCACACATATCAACCAAAATGCCACATAACATTAACAACATCAAATACAGCGAGTCATGAATGAAGCACGCTACGCAGAAACATCACTAAATAGGCAGTCTTCCAGTAAGCAGGTCCATCAAGCCACCCAGACCCTGCAATCTTATTGGGTTAGCTGAGTCAGATGCTCCACTGATAAAACCCGAGATGTTTTCAGTCACTCCCGGTGGCTTGACCATCTAGGTTTGTGATTGGCCGGGCCGTGCCAAGATCACTGAAAGGGTTTCACCAGTCACAGAAACCACTCCACACCCCGATAAGCTTTTTTTATACCCTCTATGATCTACTTATGTAATTCTCTGCTAGGGACAAAAGGGAAAAGAAAAACTCCGCAGCGGATCTGATTATACTTGCGGTTTTATACCCTGGGCTGAATAATCGGGGAAAGGGGGCCTACATAGTAGTATACGGAGGGAAAGAATGCACGAATAAAGATTCAGCCATCCTTCTACCCCTGGGAATATATAAGATGTCAGCATGAATTTCGGAAATGCCACCTGACCCTGATCGACTGCATACCTTCCGCATTCAAAATGCTATCTGTCTGTGTGCTTCGGTTTAGGCTAGTGCCCGCTTTCTAAGGAAGGCAGACGGCCCCATGGCAATCTTTGTTGGCCTTGGCGTGGGAGTTGGAGACGCAAGTTGGAGATTCTACCGACGGATTTGTGTTCCTTTATGCATATCCCTGGAAAGGGATGGTGTGGTCTATCCACCTGCCTTTGTGGGATTAGCGTGTCATAGGGGCGGTAAAATCTCACCGCTTTCTACAAAAATACTGCCTCGGCTGTTGGGAAGGTTGTGCTTAGGATATGATGTTTTTAGGGACTGTAATTGATTATCTTCTTGGTTGGTGATGGTTGTTCAATGACAGAGCGTTAACTGTGTATCTACTATGCGCAACTTTAGCTACAGACCGTGACTCGTGCTTAACCCATGTAATCCACCGCAATTCCAGCCCATGTGTTATGTAGCATCCCGGGTACCTTGGTGGTCGCCATAGCAAATATATATCTCGGCAACCACACCAGCAATATCTAACACCGCAATAGCTTCAAAAAATTCTCTCTAGATAGCCCGTAGATTGATTAAATCCTTTGGAGATGAGACCCCTGAAATCATATATACACCGTACTCGTATTCCAAAGTAAATCTCTCACATCTTCGCACCAATTGAATGTCAATGTACGCAGTGCGACCGCTACAAGATCGAGAGAATATCCAGCCGACCATAAATCATAGATCCTAAGCATATGATGTATTCCAAAGTAGGAATAAGCACATACGACCACAGGGTGTGGAAAATAGGGCTTCCCGTCCGCTCAGCCGTACTCAAGCCACACGCCGGGAGGTTAGTAGTTGGGTGGGTGACCACCAGCGAATCCCTTCTGTTGTATGTTTTTGTTCAGCTGCCACTTTATTTTTTGTCCTAGACCAGCTGCTAGTAGAAAATTTTGGTTTTGTATTTCTAGACAAATTACTCCTTACATACGGAGGACTTCCAAGACTATCTATCCCGTGTTGTCCAGTGTGCATGATCGGAATGTTTGATCATCCGCGATCTACCTACTTTTTTTTTTGCAGATCACAGCACAGTCACACAACATCGTAGTAATGGGCTACGGGTCGGGCCGGGGCAGAGGTATCGGCATAGATAGACTGAACGCCTAGTTTGCAGGTAGATGGTGTTTGCTTTTGCTACGCTTTTCACTACTTAAGGACCTGGGGTGTACTATTCGCATTCATAGAAATACAAATGAGTACATAGGCTTTAGAGATTGAAGATGGACGAAAATTGTCAATATGTCATTATTTGTGTTTAGTGCTGGCAGACTAGCAGAACAACACCGAAAGACTTAATCACTTGAAAACTGCTCCCTCAGAGCTTTGATAGACGGAGTGAAGAAGTATTCACCACCCCTCTGCTTGACCCACGGACTCACACCAAGATTAAGCTTGACAGTTCTGTCTGGGTTCTCTCCATCATACAAACTGATGTGTCCGTCGGGATGGGCGGAATGAAGTCTCTGGTTGATGAAGGGGTCCATACCCGGACCGTCGGGGTAAGTCTTGGTCTTGTATTCGGGGAAGGAGGCGTTGCTTGCCCAGCCTGTGTTTATTAGCATCGCCGTCCTGCTGGGAGGTATAAGAGCACTCACGAGTCATGAGGAAGTTGAATCCATCTCGGATCAAACTCTGGTAGCAAGTAAAGTAGATACCACGCTCCTCGATCGTCCTGTTCTGCTCCCTTTCTTCGTCTGTGAGTTCGGGTCCGAAGGTGATTCCACGACGCAATATGACACTGGCGTCCTCGTGTTGTCCCTCGGCAACAATGGCATTAGCTTCTAGAGCTAGATCGGGGATGGGTTCGTTGTCTGCATCGTCTTCGCCCCCGATGTCCTGCTTTTTGTCGGCTCTGGGACGCATCTTGCGGATGTGTGCCGCGAACGGACAACCCTTGATGCTCTTCTTGGGTCGGAAGTCGAATTTGTTGGAGAAGGCCAGTTCTGGCACGTCGCGATCGATGGCCTCGGGGTGTTCGGCACTCGCGATGGGGCATCCTGTATGGTTGATTAGTTTGTCTTGTGGGTATTATGAAATGTCATGTAGACGCACCGCTCTTCCATCGTCCCATCAGATGGGCACCCAGCTTCTCAGGGCCATCCTCTCCCCTGTAATTGCTACCCGGGATTGATGGTGCCGCTTCCTGAAGGAAAGTGTTGAACTCTGGAACCTTTTGGTCGAGCTGACGGAAAACAAGAAAACTGCCCTCCTTGGCCCATGCAGGGCCTCTCCTCTTGTTGGGATCACCCTCGTGTCCGAGGAAGATGTATCTGATTTCTGTTAGTAATTGCCCCGTTCATTCCAATTGAAGAAACAGAAAGGAAAGGTGACAAACCCTGGAGGACAGGCATGGGGCTCACCCTGGGCCGGGGGATCATCCAAGCCCTTGATCTTAGGCTGAGAGATGTGATCTTCGTATCCGAAGCTAGATTTGAATTAGCACCATTTACTCATAACCAAAAGTAGGAAAGGTAAGAGAACATACTGTTCCTTTCCACGGTCCGCACCCGGACGAAGCTGACCATCCTTTCTGAAAGCAATCTTCATACTGGTCGAGTTCGCATCACCGACATGGAAATAATCCTCCACATCCGCAATCTTGTTGCGCAGAGCTCTAGCAGTGTGGGCAGCGACAATGAACACACCATCCACTCTCCATTCCCAACGTTCAAGCCCGTCTTTCTTTTCGTTTCCAGGGGGAGCTCTGAAATCGGGATGCAACGCCGGAGGATTATCAGCACCTTCATAGACGAGGTCATCGAACATGCCCTTCTCGAAAAGTCCCTCATTGATGCGATCTTTGCAATAAGCGTCTGGATCATCATCTAGGATCCTGGCAAAATTCGGTCCGATGTTGGGGTCCTCAACCTAAGACAGAAGAACAGGTAAGAACATGCGTCAATTGAACGTTGATATACGGAAGAAGAGATGGGTGGGAAGACAAACCTTGAGCAGGCCCATGTGGGTGAAGGCGACATTCACAGCTGTAAAGGCCTCTCGCTGGGATTCAGGCACATCTCGTCGAGAATACGCACAGGCTTCTTCGAACTCTTTGACTGCATTCAAGTGGTCCTCACATTCAGTGCCAGTGGTAATTTCCCTCTTGTCGACCAGGACTCGGAGATATTTCCTGAACCTTTCTTTCTTTGTGATCTTGAAAAAGAGGTAGGATTCATAGTATTTGGGCAGACGGGGCCAGATGCTGCCCTGAATGTTGTCTGTGTCGACCACCCGGTTTTCCTTATCGACAGGCATGGTGATGTGTAGCTGCTCTAAAAAAAACTGAAGCAAACAGATGCCGGGTCGTATCCGGGGGAGGAAAGAAGACCTTTTATGTCAGTTCCACAACAGAGAGACAGCTGCGCCTGCGACCATCGGATATGCGTATCCAAGCTGGAGGAAGGTATGCCGCGATAGGCAGAATAAACTCTCGCCTCCTTGTCCTCTCACTGCCCCTCCATTCCGAGGGAAACCGTCGTCATCCATCGCCGCCACCGGAAATTTCGTAATGAACGGGCGGTGATTTGTGGATACCTGGTCCAGATAATGGAGGGTCTCATCCAGTCACGGTGACGAGAATGGGTGATTTCGCAGCTAATCGATCATCTCCAATCGCCTAGATAGTGGGATATTCATCTGCACAGACTGCGTCATTTTGTTCAGCTGAACTGTGGGGATAGTGGATCCCCCGTCCAGGCCCCTAGCAGATGCTAGTACGATTGGTGGTGAGCAACCCCCTAATGCTGGATCGAAGTTAGGGAGAACCAGTGCCATGTCTTTGAGTATATCCGCGGTGATGAGAACGTTGCAACGATATACAATTCAATATGTTGATAAGCAATGGCTCTTCCCATGGAACCGCCGCACGGCAGGCAACCGCAACATGGCGCAGATCGAGCCGTCCTCAGGACGATCGATGGGGTTTGCTGATCCACAGTGGGCACCCAAGACACAATAGTAGCTCCGTAACAGGGAAAGATTCACTACATTGTCCATCCGATTCAGGAAGGGATGAGACTCGAACACCCGATCGGATCTTGACGACTCAGTTGATATCCACCGACGATCCGAGCAGCAAGAATAGGCGAACGGGTGGCGGCTCTTGACGTCCTTGTTCCGTAGCAGCTCGGCTGTTTTTCCTCGGGTTGGGCCCTATATAAGCTGACTGCTTTCTGGTCATTCCTGCACTCGAAGGACAACCATCGCGGACTTCCATCTCCAAAATGAAGTTCCAGTGGGCCTCTGGCCTCCTTCTGGGGGCGGTCGCTGTCGACGCCTTCATGCCCGCTGAATATTCTTACGAATCCTCCGAAGCTGATCGTGTTGACGCAGCCAAAGAGGTCTCGGGCAGAGTTAGATACCAGTCTCCTCCCGCGGATTCCGAGTTGATCCCCAAAACCAACCCGAAAGATTCTAGTGAGAATTGGGTGGTCGAGTGCTCCAGCCGGTATCAAGGCTACGAGTGCCAATATGCCATCGACGACCGGGCCGACAGATACTGGCAGAGCAACCCGGACGAGCACGCGCCTTCTTGGATCGTGGTTGATCTGCGCAAGGAGTACTATGTCTCCGGTCTGACCATGCTGCCCCGATTGAACGAGAAATTCGGCCAGATCGGTGAACATCGGATTTCGATCTCTCAGAACAAGGACTCATGGACCGAGGTCGCATACGGCACCTGGGGTTCCAACAAGAGTCCCAAGATGTCTGCTTTCGACCCCAAGCCGGCTCGCTATGTCAAGCTTCTGGCCGAGTCTGCCTCCCTTCCCGATCGGTCGCAGAACAGGACGGGACAGATCTCCATCGTCAACCTGGCCGTTTACGCCTACAACGAGGGCGAGTTCCCCCCGGAGCAACCCAGCAAGGGTGTCTGGGGTCCCACCGTCGACCTTCCCATTGTCCCGGTGTCATCGGCAGTCGATCAGCACGGTGACATCATTCTGTGGTCGGCCTGGGCGGACGACCAGTTCTTCGCTTCCCCCGGTGGTAAGACTTTGACGACCACCATGAACCGGGATGGCATCCTCACTCAGAGCGAGATCTTCGAAACCAAGCACGACATGTTCTGCCCCGGTACTTCCATGGACATCGATGGCAACATCGTCGTCAGTGGAGGAGCCGACTCCGGTCGCACCAGTGTGTACAATGGAACCGCGTGGGTGAAAGGCCCCAGCATGCAGATTCCTCGTGGGTACCACGCCTCGACCACCCTCTCCGACGGTCGGATCTTCGTGATCGGAGGCTCCTGGAGCGGTGGAGACAAGGTGGAAAAGAACGCCGAGGTCTACTACCCTGGCGAGAAAGCCCGCTGGGCAACCCGTCCAGGCGCCAAGGTCGAACCCATGATGACCGATGACCGGTTGGGCGCATGGCGCGCCGATAACCACGGCTGGCTGTTTGGCTGGAAGAAGGCCAGTGTCTTCCAGGCGGGCCCTAGTGTCGAGATGCATTGGTTTAATGTGGATCAGGATGATGGCAGGGGTAGGCCCATCGGTTCCATCATAAAGGCCGGACCCCGTGGCAACGACAAGGACTCCATGTCTGGTAGTGCCGTCATGTTCGATGCCACCCAAGGCAAGATCCTCACCTTCGGTGGCCAGCGTCACTACGACGGCTCGTACGGCTCCAAGAACGCCTATCTCATCACCCTGGGAGCTGAGTACGAAGAGCCCGTCGTGGAGGTGGCCGGCAAGGGCACCGATGGTACTGGCAAGGGCGGCATGAACTTCCCCCGTGTGTTCCACACGTCGGCCATCCTGCCTGATGGCAAGGTCTTCATTGCCGGAGGCCAGTCATGGGGCAAGCCCTTCCACGAGGGCGAGATCCAGTTCACCCCCGAGATGTACGACCCCAAGACCGACACGTTCACCCCCCTGAGCGCCAACAACATCAAGCGTGTCTACCACAGTATCTCCATGCTGTTGCCCGACGCCACTGTTCTCAACGGCGGCGGTGGCCTCTGTGGTAACTGCACCGCCAACCATTATGATGCCCAGATCTTCTCTCCTCCGTACCTCTTCACTTCGGACGGCAAGAAGGCCACTCGCCCCAAGATCGTTCGCGGAGACGCAAAGGTTACCGTCGGCAAGACGATCAAATTCACGACCAACTACGACGTCAAGGATGCTGCGTTGGTCCGTGTCGGATCAACCACCCACACCGTCAACACCGATCAGCGTCGCATTCCCCTCGTCATCAACCCCACCGGTAGCCACAGCTACTCTGCCGACCTCCCTAGCGATGCTGGTATCCTCCTTCCTGGATGGTACATGTTGTTCGCCATGGATGCCCAGGGCGTTCCCAGTGAGGCCAGCATGGTCAAGGTTGAATTGGCCTCTCGTCCTTCGTACATGCTGGACGCATACGAAGAGGATCAGGAATCGAAGCATCCTACCTTCGAATCTATCACTGAGGACAATGACTGCGATGATGACGACTTCAAGGGCATCATTTCCGTGATCGTCACTTCGTCGACCAAGTTCTGGAAGGCTTGGAAGTCTGTTCTGATCAGTCAGGCTTGATTGTCTAATGTATTAGATTGGATGTAGATGGATTTGTTACCATCTGTACTATATCAATGAATGTATCATGATTGTTCTTTAATTTGCGTGCATAGCATCGTGTCTTTACTGTAACATGGTCCAGGTTATTTCCGGTGGCTCTGGCAGAGCCACCTGCCATTTTCATCTCACTCCGAGAGTGTCGGTTTATGGCGACTTGCGCGCGTGAAAGGTAGGGCCATTTGAACGTCGTTAGAGTTGCAAGAGGGATTATATAAATGCGAGTTGCTTCATATGTGTTGCGGAGTAAGACATGAATATTAAGCACGATCCTTCCTTCCTGTTCTGCGCAATCCTTGAATATTGACGTGCATTTGATCAGACGGTTGGTAGTGGAACTGAGCGAAGTTCCGACCGGAGCCAAAACATGTGTTGCATTAACGTAATCGGTAAGCGAGTGGCCACCCGCGTTCCGAAAACACGCGTTTTTTCAACCACAAAGCATTGAATCCGCGATATCACCACCAAAAAATGTCCAAATCGTTAAAAAACGATGTTGAACAAGAGGGCCGGATCGTCCTCACAATTAAAGCTTTAAAAAATGGCGATACTCCTAACGTGGCCCAAGCAGCCCGCGATTTTGAAGTTCCTTAATCAACTCTCCGGCATTATCTGCAGAGAATCAAATTATATACAGAAATATACATAAATTCATTAAAATTGACTTCTGCAGAGGAGGAAGCCTTAAAGAAATGGATAATTTCTTTAAATCAGTAAGGCCTTCCATCCAGACCTTCATATGTTCGTATAATGGCTACTCTCTTAATCCAAAAACATGATCTAAACTACCGTACAGATATAAGAGAGAAATAGATATATAACTTTATCAAAAGATATGATACTTTGAAATCTTGCTTTTTCTGTTATTATAACTATCAGTGTACTTGCTGTAAGGATCTAAAGATGATCAGTAAGTGGTTCTCTTATATTTAAGCTGCTATATCAGAGTACAGCATTACAGATAAAGATATCTATAACTTTAATAAAACTGGATTTACTATAGAAATAGTGGCTACTGCACGTGTTATTACCAGATCTGACTATATTAAAAGACCGTTCCTTATACAGCCTGGAAATCATGAATAGATAATATCAATCAAATATATTAATACAGCTGGCTAGGCCTTGCCTCTGTTTGTGATTCTTAAAAACAAGGTTCATATACAGTTATAATATCAAGATAGAAAATTACTTCCTGATTAGAGACTTTATATATCATCGGATAGATAGATTACTAATAGAATAGATCTTTTTTAGCTGCGTGAACACTTTATTCTATTTATTTAAAGTTAAAAAACTGGAAAATATGGTCTTCTAATACTCGACAGCCATAACTCCTATTTAACGCCTGAATTTAACAAAATCTATAATTAAAATAATATTATTTCTGTTTATATACTTCCGCACTTCTCATACCTGTATTAATTATTGGATATTACATATTTTTTATTATTAAAACAGGTATATAACAAGCTGATTAAGAAGTTGATCTGCGCAGAAATCTATAAAGTTAATAAGAAAGATTTCTTGGATATATATTCAGATACTTGATTATTTACTTTTAAAAAAGTAATTATACAGAGTGCTTTTCACGCCGCAGGAATAGTGTCTTTCTCACTTATCAAGATAATTAACCAGCTTGTTTACTGCCTTCATGATACTACCCCCCCCAGCCGGCCAAGTACAGCTTCAACGATACAAAAGACTCCTAATAACGTGAGGCAATTAAAGAAGCATGAATATACTATCAAAAAAATGCTTCGCAAGCTCTCGAAAAGCCCGTCTACACCGATAAAGACTACTTTATCATATATAATAAAAGGCTGTAAGATTGCAATCAATCAGACAACCCTTCTTAAAGCCGAAAATCGCCAACTCCGAGAGGGAAAAGAGCGCCAAGAAAGAAAAAAGAAAAGGAGTCATCGCTAAATGACTGGTCTTGACGGTCTCACCGTACAGGAAGCAATTGAGGCTTTTCAACAGCCTTGTCAAGCCGGCGAAGCACCTGGAGGCGAGGTGATCCAGCCGGCTGACTATGAGGAACAACCTCGCCGCCGCACGCCACCCCGGTGCAGTGATTGTAATCAATTAGGCCATAAACGTACACACTGCCCTACAAGAGAAATCAACTAAAAAGAAAACATTTTTAATGACTTCAATATGTTGAAAAACGGCTTCAAAAATGTATGTTGATCGGAATACGCGGGAAGGGTGGTCACTCGCTTACCGATTACGTTAGTTAACGTAATCCACAAGCGAACCGGCCACACAAGCAAACCGGCCACCTCCCCTACATACGTCCGAATCAAGCACTTTTATAGACCCGAAAATTGTATTTTTATATAAAAATCAATTACGTACAGGATTAGGACATTGTAATCGCTTATGTCCTAGATTATGACAATCACTGTAGCGTGGTGGCGCCCGTACGAGCCTTGAAGAGGTTGCTAGCCTGGTTTCGTCTGGTATAGATTCTGGTACTTGACGCGTGGATTCTTCTTGTTGGACGCGTTGTATCTCTTCCTGAGCTTCCTGGATGGTAAATCCATTTGTATGCTCAATTTGACGTTGAGAACGGGTCTGCTTTTGATAAGATTTCTCATTGGTAGTGCGTAATTCATGATTCTCTTAAGCCAGGATTATACTGCTATTTAAGGCTATTTCAAAGTCTTTAAATACCTGTTCCAGTGCCTTGTTTGTTGGACTTGGTGGACTTTGCGTATGCTGCCGAAGAAGATGTTTGATTGTGGATACTGACTTTTGTAACTGACGGGTGTTATAAGGTGTTTTAGGATTAGATGTAGATGAGTGTGTGGGAGGTGGTGTCGGCGTATGAAGCTTAATATTAAGCTTACTGAGCACTCGTTCTGGATCTAAAGGGACTAATCCAGCTGCTGCAAAGCCGCTTTGAATGTTTTCAGGTGTATATATCTCCGTACGAGTAAGCGGGAAATGCTCAAGGAAGTCAAGCTTGTTAATATAATTATACCCGAGCCGGGCCTTGCTGTTACAGACCCCTGCTAGCCAGGTTACTAGCAGAAGCGGACTCGTCAGGCAGAAAGGTAACGACCAGGAAGGACTCGGGCAGCCAGCAACTCTTATTGAGTAAGATCCCGGTTGGGGTAACACCCGAGGCAACGCTGTGTCACGTGACCAGCTACCATCAGATCTACCATCGAGGGTATACGATATGGTATACGGAATCCAGGAACGTGATTGGATCGACCCTCGATCTACCCTGAATGGTATACGAAATGGTATACGAAGGATAGGATATAAGGACACTCTTTCATGTACTTAGCTAGTTCTGTTCTTCGTGCTCAATAACACTGTCTTTAAGTAACCATACGTTTTGGTAAAGCTTAGCGACAACACTCGTCCGCACTTACTTACGGATAGCTGCGCGGCACTATCTGGCCTTACTTCTCTTCTTCTGTTCAGATCAAGTCACCTTTAGATAGTCAACGACCTGACTACCTTGATTCAGTTCACAGGTACGTATCGGAACGGGAGCTAAGCTAACAGGAACAGGGAGAAGCGATCCTAGGGTTTGACACTTGCCCTCAATCAGGCGCCCGTACGCTTGTTTTAAGGGTGAGAAGCATCCAACATCCAGTGGTTGTAAGAGATGAGATGAATACAGAGGCATATAAATAGGAATAATATTATTCTTATTATAAAGCTCATTAAAATAAGGCGTCAAATGGCTGTTATGTCTATCCAAGATTAGTAGACAATATCTGCCAGTCGTACGGCCATTTATAGCTGGAATAAAGAGCTTCTCTAGCCATTGAAATATGATTTCATCTATTATTTACCCATTATCACTGACTTCAATCCGCTAATCAGGTGGTAATGATGTGCCCTTGTACTATTCTTATATATAAATCTTTTCTTTAAAGATAATATAGGACGGGAGTGCCCAGCCTATATAATTAACATATTTAATTAATATTATTTATTCTTGATTTCCTGATTGTACGAGCAAGGGATTGTCAGTCATTTCTATTCTAGTAACTACTTTAGTAGTAGATATTAGACTTATTGCAAAGCCTATCTTATCGAAATTATAGATATCTTTTATTTGGATTCTATGCTGTATAATCATCACTCATACACATGTAAACCATTTATTTATAGTCTTTAGATCTTCATATTTTGCTTATTGATGATTATAGTATCAAGCATATCTGGTTTTGAGCTCTGTACATCGCTTGACAAAGTTATATACCCAGTTTTCACTAATAACTGGGGCTGGAATCTCTCCGCGTTTGGACAAGATAAGATCAGCAATTTCTTGTATATGTTGGGGCCGGGGTGCTTCTCCGCGTGAATCTAGAGATAGGATCTACTGGATAATTAATTCTTCTTTGAATGTAGTCAATTTCTGGGAATTAGATTGGGTTTTAATACGAGATTTAATCCCGTGTAGTGGTTCTTGCAGGGTAGTCCTCGGGATATTATAAACACGAGCAGCTTCACGAATTGAATGTATTTGATCATTTTGAATAGCAGATATTGTAAGCAGGATTTGACCTTCAGAATAAGTAGATTTTGAGCGTTTTTGAAGCTTTTTTGGAGGCATGGTGATGGTTTAAAGATAAGTTAAAAAAGCAGACGCGTACAAAACGTGTGGGTGGCCGGTCCGCTTGTGTGGCCGGTTCGCTTGTGGATTACGTTAACTAGTTGCCTAGCAGTGACTAATCACATTTATGCTCCGTTTATGCAATACATGCCATTAGAAATCCTTCCCGCGCCGGAGCATCCGTTCCACCCGTTGAGGCCGGGCCGGATATTACAACATAATCCACACGAAACATACCAGCCAAATCAATTGAACACCGTAAAATTACTCAACAAAGCATCCCACTGAATATCATCAACCGGAAACATATCGCCCAAATCGCCATACATCGATGGTGCCATAGTAACCTCATTAGCGTCAACCGCCATCATGGTGGTATCCTGTCTTGCGTCGTGGGACGGCATAGTCGCCCTAATCTGATAGGGATAGCAACGTGCCAGCAGCCGCATTTTAGAACACAGACTGCCCACGATATCCATCTCTTTGTCTGCAGCTGACATGCCTTCGACTCTTGTTTCTAGCGCGGTGGCGAGGTCTATGACAAGTCTGGGGTATTCTGTTGTGTCGATGGCGGGGATCTGGGACTCTATGATAGAATCGGTGAGGTTAGGGACGAGATTGAGAAGGGCTAATGTTGCAGTGGGCATGTAGCCTACTGCGGCACAGATCCGAGCGCTTGTCATTATTGTTATTTGGGCGATCTCTGATGCGGGTAGACTTCGGACCATGTGGATGAGTTCCTTGCTGCGTTGGATTATGCCCATTAGCATGGTGGTTCGGACGGGGCTAGATGGCTCTGTGATCCAGAGATCTTCCCGGAGAGAGAGTTCCTCGAGTCGTATTTCTGCATATTTGATTTCGGTCCATAGTGCATTTGCTATTGGTTGGTTAATGTCTATCAATAATTCTGGGTATAAGACCTACCAATGGATAAAGGGCAGTTTGTGAGATCTTTTTCTACACGTGCCTTCACGCCATCAAATTCCCGCTGTAGAGAGCCACGCGTCACCTGAACCAGCACTCTTCCACCGCTTGCTTGTATCGAAGCATAAGCTTCATCAATGGTTGCCAAGAACAACTGCAGGTAAATGAATGGCGCAATCCACCGATCTGACAGATACTGAGTAGATGCCAGACTAGCAACACACTCATTAATCCGACCATCATGCTTCATGACATTCGGGCGGCCAAGTGTGCCATTGAGCCTAATACATGTTAGCCAAAGCTACAGCCTCATCAATCACGCAGACAACTCACCCAACCGACAACCAATAAGCACCGAGCAGCGCCCGCTGCTCATCAGAACCAAGACCAGTCTTCCTATGAAGCCCCAAATCATACATAATGGAAACACAAAACTGAATCAGCAGCAAAAGTCGCGGATGACATCTCTCGGCGGGATATGAGTACCATGCACTGTAAACCAACAGACCCCGAAGCAGCTCGAGATTCCTCTCAGACCGTTCCACGACTCTCAATGTAACGTGCTTCATAATCTCCTCGCTGACAGTTCTGCGCAGAGGATGCGAACTCTCCATGGTCGCAGCCACGATGCACAAAAAGAGAAATGGTTCTCGGTCCTTAAGGCGAGCGGCTGTCTCGCCGTGCGCAAGCAATACGAACGGGAACTTGGGCAGGAAATGAAGCTGGAAGGTCGTAAGTAAACGTTCGGCCTCGGCTTCGCTCAAAAGACCCCGATCTACGATGGACGGATGGCCTTCTAGGCCAGAACTGGTTGGTGGGTTGATTCCATGGGACGGATCTTTGGCTGCGTCTAGCATCGCGGCAATGTCTGTCGGTTCTGGTTCGGGGGTGCGAGATAAGCCCGAGTTGGTGGTGGTGGGAGGATAAGAAGTATCAGGTGATGTTTGTCCGTTCTGTTGGGCCAAGGCAGCCAGCTGCGACATCAGCTGGTCGACCTTTTTCTCTAAGACCTCCACACGGCTGCTTTCTTGGTTAGTATTATAGATGTCATGTGTGTTGGGAGGATTACCTCGAGTCGGTCTTTTGTTTGTGCTTACGCTTCGTCTGGGGAAGATCAAGGTACGTGCATGACTTGCCTAAACGAGCGCATCGCTGGCATAGGTTGACACCGTGTGGAGTGCATTTTGCCTTGGCATTCGTGCAAGCCACACAGGCCCTTCTCTTGACTGCAGATGTTGTGGCGTTCATGATGTTGCATAAGGAGGTGGAGACGTGGGGAGGGAACGGAGGGAACGGGTGAAGTGGTCAACCCGCGCCCGATTGCTGAGCAGTTAGACCGGAGAACCGGATCATCCGGTCGGACCGGTTTGTAATCCACGCAATGTATATAAGGAAGTAAATAGAACGAATATCACAACAGCATCAACAGTCAATCAATTCATTCATCATTGAGATCTATATCTTTTACCTCGAATCTTGACCGAAACAATAAAGCAAAAAATGTCATCCTATGCCATCACCGGAGCCTCCAAAGGCATTGGCCGCGAATTCGTGCGCCAACTCGCCGCCAATCCCAGCAACACCATCCTGGCTATTGTCCGAAACCCTGAATCAGCCGAAATATCTTCTCTCGCCTCCAAGTATTCCAACGTGCACGCTATCAAAGGCGATGTGACGGACCCGACCTCCATCCTCGAGGCTGCTTCAGCCGCCGCTGCCATCACAGGTGGTACGCTCGACGTGCTCATCCACAACTCCAACGCCGTTGATATGGCCTCCATGTCCCTTAACCCGACACAGTTGCCCTATGATGCTCAAGCCATTCGAGACATTTTCGACGCGTCGTTCAGCACGGCTATCTATGGCGGTATCTGGACGACAAACGCTTTCCTACCCCTGATTGAAAAGGGCAACCAGAAAAAGATCGTCCACATTTCCACTGGCATGGCGGATTTGGATTTGATCAAAAAGAGTGGTGTCAGCTATGCTGTTGCGTATTCTGTTGCCAAATCTGGGATGAATGTCCAGGTTGCCAAGTATGCAGCGGAGCTTGCGCCGAAGGGTATTAAGGTGGTGGCGCTGAGCCCTGGATGGGTGGATACGTGGGAGGGTAAGTGGATGTTTGCCGTGCTGGTAGTTATGCATACTAATGTTAATATAGGAGAGAAACCCCCTATGGTAGTAGAAGGGATGAAGCTCATGCTGAAGCAGTTTCAGGAAGTCAAGCCTGACCTCGAGGGGCAGATTCAGCCCGAGGAGAGTGTGAGGAAGGTTCTCCAGGTGATTGACGGGCTGAATGCTGAGAGTAGTGGGTTGCTTCTGAGCCATAATGGCGATAGGGAGAGCTGGTTCTGATTAGTCTGCGCGCAATTTTCTGATCGATTACTATGTACTACCTTGTTAGAAGCGCGTGATGTGTCTGTAGTGGTTCCCTAATTTGGGAGACTACTTGACGAATACTATTGTTGTCCATATCGAAATATAACCTAAACGCACACGCACTGAGACAAGAGCAGAAGTTTAATGAAGACAGCGAGAGGGGGAAAACAAATTCTTCTGAACTGAGAAAAGTAACGCCCATGAGAAGAAACCAATATGTCGAATGAGCCAGATACTAATAAATACAGACAGACATAGAATACTACATGAGAGCGTCCAGCGCTCCGTGGTAAGTGGAGCCATCTATAGTTGCTAAATACCGTCATGACGATTCGTCTTCTTCTTGTAGCACAGCAACACATATGTCCTGTTTAGATTTAGCATTACTCTCACGCAAATGTATCAAAGGAGCGAACTGGACATACCTGCCGTCTAGTCATAAAGTCCTTATAGATCCCCAACCAAATATCCCGAACATGGCAATCATCCTGCTGACCTGTCTTCGGATTGAATTCACATGAAGGCTGTTTCTCTGTGATGACATGCTGAGTGGCTGCAACCCATGGCTATCACAATAAAAGAGATTAGCATACCCAAAACAGAAAAATTATCTGCAAAGGCAACATACCTTAGGAACCGGCCAGTCGGAGAAGTGCAGGTATTTGGCGGTTTTCATGATTTTATCAGCATCCCACGGTTCATCTGCATTTGCCAGATACTTTTCATGTTTCTGGGAACGAAACTCGCCCGTCAAAAGAATGTAGGGACGGTGCGGTATCACGAGCGCACTTTTTCCATAGAGCTTGTCCATGATCTCCATGTCATATTCAGTTGGAGGACTATTCTCGATTGCATCCATGACGCGGTTCAACTCGGTCGTGGACGGTTCAATGAGCATGAGTCCGGAGGTGAGGGTTCGCTCATTGGGAGGCACCCAGTAGGCCAGTGGCATGGCAACCGGGGCAGGTGGGAGCAGGAAGAGCTCGTCCATTGTCTTTACACCGTTAGTGTGTGATGAGGGAAGCTCGAGGGGTATACTAACCTGCAAAAGGGTTGCGTCCGAGTCTAGATTGAGAACGCGGTCGTATTCTGTGTGATTGAAGGCGAGGAGCTTTGTGTAGCTCTTGGACCACGGTGCTGGGGCACTCTTAGTTGGCAACTCAGTGATGAGGAAGTTGGATGACTTACCTCCTCCCCCACCCTTCTGAATGACTTGAATTGGCTTAAGCTTGACTGCATATTGATCCCTTGCAAACCGGAGTAGACGCGCTTCCGGGGAAAGATCGGTCTCCGACGTGAGAAAACTGGAAGGATACACCAACACGCGATCGGCTTTGCTTCCCAGACGATGGAGAGCCTCGAAAATCATCACAGAGTTGCACAGATAAGACCGATCGGTGGCATATTGGGTGTATGCAAATCGCGACCAGTCGATTTGCTGCGGAGAGTGGCCCCGCAGCGTCGAAGTGCTTGGAAGTTGCCACAACGTCACGAAACCGAGTAGAGAAGACGCAACCATGAAAATGGCACGAAGGATTCTTGGTGACATGGTGATCATACGCAGCATGGTGAATAAGAAAATGATGGATGTCTACAAGTTCATGAGAGAGGAAAAGGGCGATTGAAAAGGAGGGGATGCCCTCAGGCCGGCGGTTCGCAGCCCTAAGGCTGAGCGCCAAGAGATGCCCGCTGAGGACCGTGAATGGCCCTGAATGGGCGGTTAAGCGCTGGCCATGCAGCATCTGACACACGCTAGCATCCATGGCAGGCTGACACCGGCTGATTGGCAGGGCATTGGATTGATCATCGGTTCCTGGTGCCCCCCTCGGCGCCAACAGGCGTTGGGTAGGACAAACTATTCTTAGATTTCTAATCCCGGAAAACCTTGTTATTTTCTCCGAGTACTGCTATTTGTTGAGAGTCTGTCCCTTATGCGAGGATAGCGGTGGATCGTGCAGTAGACCTTCGTGGTCTACAACAGATGGTCCCTTGTATCTAGTATGGGCCCATTCCTTCGTCGCTCTGTCCCTTGGTGCGATCCTGCGCAACCTCACCATGAGGGGTCGGCGGCTAACAACCACCACCGAGATATGAGGGGTGCGTTGTTGTCTTGATACTAGTGTCTTTGTTCGATTCAAGTTGGTGGTCTTTTAGAAAACTTTCGAAGTCGGGCGTCTACCAGATGTTCGAAGAGAATCACCCGACATCACGTTCAGGATCTGAGTCAGTTCCTTCTCGTGGTTCCTGTCATTACATCTTCTATCAGGGCTCACTAGCAAGTCTATCTTGGTGGGACAATGCGGCGACTACAATTTCTCCTCCTCCTTTGGATCCTCAGTGTCAATCCTGTCCTCTGTTCGGTTCCTCGCCAGGTGACCTGGTCGGATAAACACTTCGGACCCGACGGCCCTTGGCAAGCAGTCACTGTTTCCATGGGAAGCAACTACTCCGAACTCGTCGTGTCTTCATCTACTTTGGCATTATACCCGGGAGGGAGTTGGGAAAGCAAAATCCTACTCTCTTCCATCTGCGACAACAAGATGCTCTCGTCGGTGTGTTACGGGGACACGGCCGGCCTGTTTGACAGCGACATATCCGTCACCTTTGATAATCATTCCATTGGAATGCCGCCATATGGAACCTGGGGCGATGTGGACTGGGGATTTTCAGATGCAGTTCCTGTTCATGCAAAAGCAACACGAGCGACAGACTGGATAACCATCGAGGGGGCTTCTGTACCGGATGTCGACCTGATCACCATATCTGCGGGGTGGCAGACTTACCCCGGTGGACAAGCTTATCCATTGGAAGTTGGAATCCTTTCTCTTGGAAGTCCTGATATCAATCAGACATTCGGAGCGGTGATCAAAATCAACACGACCTTTGTCACCAGCTATTTCTACGAGCAGGAGGGGTCTCTGAACATCCCATCCTATTCCTATGGACTGCATATTGGCTCTGCATCTCTGGGGATTCCTGGCTCAGGGAAATTCGTCCCTTGCCTCTGGTCTCAGTGTGATTATCGATCCAACCAATCCCTACCTATATCTACCCCAAAGCGCCTGTGACGCCATCGCCGCAGAGTTACCCGTCACATACCAACCCGACTATGACCTCTACTTCTGGAACACCTCCGACTCGCAATACAACAAGATTACAACATCCCCAAGTTACTTAGCCTTCAGCTTCAGCAAAAACAACCTCAACAACGAGAACATCACAATCAATGTCTCCTTCGCTCTTCTAAACCTCACCCTAGAAGCCCCTTTGGTGAAGACACCAACGCAATACTTCCCATGCATGGCCACCAACAGCACCCCTGTTCTCGGCCGCGCGTTTCTCCAAGCAGCCTTCATCGGCGTGAATTGGCTCGGTGGAAAGTGGTTCCTGGCTCAAGCCCCAGGACCCGATGGGTCGTTTATTGTCGACACCGAGACAATCGGCGACAATGATTCCACAATCCCCGGGACATCAAATAGTTGGGAAGATACATGGAAGAATAGCTGGACGTTGATAGCAACCAAGTCCCCCACGAATTTCACCTCGACTGCGAACACGACAGTTCCTGAACCCAGCAGCTCGGCTACTGACAGCAAGGGTCTTCCTGCAGCGGTCAGGACTGGGATCATTGTTGGCAGTGTTGTCGGTGGCGTGTCAATCACTGTCCTCTTCTGTGGGCTTTGTATTCATCGCCGGAAGAAGAAGATTCGAGTTGAAGCTCGTGCCGCAGATGGACTGGTAGATCAAGGGTCTTCAATGCAGCACCTGCAGCCTGTAGAGGCCCCAAATAGTGTCTGGGACCAGTTCACCGAGTTGAACAGCCAGCCGAGATATGAGATAGGATCGGATAGAGGCCCCTTCTATGAACTGGGGCCGGAGAAACATACTATGACGGACGTAGAGCATAGAACGGAAGTTCAGCAAGGCGATTTGTTTGAGCTCCCCGAGCGGACATCCATCTCGAGGTCTTTGAATGTTATATAACCACTTGACCGCTTTTCGTACTGCACTGTATATATTAATAATACTCAAATACCTAGACTAATGAGAGTCTGTAACCTGCACAATATGTACTGAACAATAAATACCCTCCTAATAACCCATACCCTCTTGACTCCCCAGCCAGCTTTTACATTCCACCAACAAACAAACGCACCAAAAATATATGTGATTGAAATACTAGCTATTACTTCTCTTATGCCCCGTCCTTCCCTCTCCCCTCCCTTCAAGAAAATAAAAATGAATGGCGCGCTAGTAACCTGAGTACATCTCCGCGAACGGATCTATAGCTTGAGTGGGGAAAAAAAAAGCAAAAAAGAAAGCCCAACGCGGGGCTCGAACCCGCAGCCTTGAGATTAAGAGTCTCACGCTCTACCGATTGAGCTAGCCGGGCTAGTTCGGTGATAGCTGCTCCGTAGTATTGCTTTATAATGGGTGTGTGTACAGATCAAGCCGAACATATCCAATAATAGCAGTGAGGTAGTCCAGCCGGAAAGGTCCACCAGGTTATTGTTCCTGTAATCGTCAGGAACATCTAGCGTGCCGAAAAAGCACGGGCCGAGCAAGCAATGTGCGTGGCAGTTGTGGCATTATGACAACAGGCAACACGATGCCAGAGATAGCATTGTCAGCCTCACTGGGTTGACAGGAGGGGCTGACCGGGGTCATGCTTGATGCCAATGGCTACCCACGCTCGAGGGCTTCGTCCCCAGTGCCTCCCAGATAACCCTGTTGCCCTCAGCCTTGCCTCCATATAAAGTTCATGCTGCCCAGTCCTTTCTTCCTACCCCTCAGCAACTTTGACCACATTCTCTTTCCATTACAAAATGACGTCTTCTCCATCCTTCAATGACATGGACTTGGTAGAGCCAATTGCCATTGTCGGCCTATCCCTTCGCTTCCCTGACGGGGCCAATGATCTCGACCGGTTCTGGGAATTGATCACAGATGCTCGAACTGTGGCGCGGGACTTTCCTTCGGACCGCATCAATGTCAATGGCGCCTACTGGCCCAAGACAACGGTAAGGCTGCCTGCAGTGCTAGCGCTTGAATGGGATAGCTGATCATGTATAGTCTCCGGTGAAAGGAGGGCATTTCTTGGCCGAGGATATCACAGCATTCGATGCGCCGTTCTTCTCTGTGTCGGCGGTGGAAGCTGCCTCCATGGATCCCCAGCAACAGCTCCTGCTAGAAACGAGCTATGTGGCGCTGGAAAATGGTCCGTGACGATCGACTTTTCTGACTCAATGGAGGCGTCTACTAACCCCGTTGGCACAGCTGGAATTCCCATGCAACAGGTGGCCGGGTCCAAAACCTCCGTTTACATCGGATGCTTCACCAACGATTACAGAACCCTCTATCACAAAGACCTGCGCGACAGCGCTCCGTATGCAGCCACCGGAACTACAACCACCATCAATGCGAATCGAGTGAGTTGGTTCTACAACATGACAGGTGCGAGTGTAAACATCGACACCGCCTGCTCCAGTAGTTTGGTGGCCCTGGACCTAGCCTGCCGGGGGCTGCGGGCCGGTCAGGCAGAGATGGTAAGTGAAGTACCCTAATTGATGACGAAATTGAAGGGAATGAATACTGACCCCCAGCATAGAGTCTTGTCGGCGGCACTAACCTCCTGCTGGCTCCCGATCTTTTTCATATTCTATCCGGCATGAACATGCTCTCCCCCGATAGCCGATGCCACAGCTTCGATGCCCGCGCAAATGGTTATGGCCGAGGCGAAGGAGTGGGCATGCTGGTTCTCAAGCGTCTGAGTAAAGCCGTGCAAGACGGCGATACGATTCGCGCCGTCATTCGCGCCACTGCAACCAACCAGAACGGCTACACCGCCGGTATCACACAGCCCAGCAAGGGTCTACAGGAAGCCCTGGTCAATGACTGCTACTCCGAGGCCGGCCTGGACAAGGCCCGAACACTCTATATCGAGGCGCATGGCACCGGCACTCCGGCCGGTGATCCCATCGAGGCCGAGGCCCTGGGTGCAAGCTTCAGAGCAAGTCGTTTGCCCGGCGAGCGGCTCTACGTGTATGTTACAATTGCTCTTAGGGCCGGTATAATCGCACTGACATCAAAGCAGGGGCTCAGTGAAAGCCAATATTGGCCATCTGGAGGGATCCAGTGGCATTGCCGGGGTGATCAAGTCCATTGGCATCCTCGAGCGAGGACTCATCCCTGCCGTTGCCGATCTCCAGACTGTAAATCCAATGATCGACGAGGAGCAGCTAAGAATCCAGGTTTGGGCTGAGCTATCTTCATTCTACTGGGATCAGAAAACTGACTGGGTGCAATAGTTTCCACGATCAGCCATTTCCTGGCCCCGGCCAGGCCTGCGACGCATCTCCGTCAACTCGTTCGGGTTTGGTGGCTCCAACGCCCATACCGTCCTGGATGACGCCTATCATTTCCTGCAGGAACATGGATTGGACGGAGTTGCCTACGTTCCGCGCACTGAGACACCTGGAGAGAGCTCCAGAACTCCTGGGCTGGTCCCAGTGCGTGTTCTATCGCAGGACTCATCCACATCTTCCAGCCCGTCGGTACCACGAGTCCGACTGCTGCTCCTTTAATCAGCCGACAAAGCCGGAATCAGCAGGACGATCGCCTCCTTGACCGAGTACTTCGATTCCCTCGAGACTCCCCCATCAACGGAGTTCTGCGACTCCCTGGCATACACGCTGGCCCAACGCCGGAGTTGGCTGCCATGGTGAGCATGCGCTGTTGTGCCTCCCGATGCTCCGCTGCGAGAGCTCAAGGCGCTAGTCTCATCGCCAGTACAATCGGGTCAAGCGCCCGAGCTTGCATTCATCTTCACCGGACAAGGTGCGCAATGGTCACAGATAGGCGTGGAGCTATGTGCCTATGCCAATTTCCGACACAGTCTGGGGGAAGCAGATTCCTACTTGCAATCATTGGGCTGCGAGTGGCGACTGTTAGGTGAGTCGTACATTCCCTCCCCCATTAGAGTAGCCCTAATTGGCATCACTTTTAGAGGAGCTGTCGCGCCCAGCTGAAAGCAGCCGGATCGATGAACCTCGAATCAGCCAGGTTCTGTGCACCGCCATCCAGGTCGCCCTGGTGAACCTGCTGCTCAGCTTCAATATCCGTCCCAAGGTGGTGATCGGCCACTCGTCTGGAGAGATCGCTGCAGCGTGAGACCACTTACCTCGCCTCTTTTGTAGCCCCACTGACAAGGAACACAGGTATTGCTGTGGTGCCATCTCGGCGCGCAGTGCGTGGAAAATTGCCTTCTTGCGAGGCTCTTTGGTGTCGACGCTGCGCGAAGAGACCGCGGTTCCCGGTGCCATGTTGGCAGCAGGGCTCTCTCCAAGCGACGCTGCATCCTATCTGGCTCAATCCGACCCGTTCTTGCAGAGCCTAAGCATTGCCTGCTTCAACAGCCCCGACAATGTCACTATATCCGGAGACGAGGTGGCCATCGATGCCCTGAAGACCAAGCTTGATGCGGTAGGAATCTTCGCACGCAAGCTTCGCACCGGAGTCGCATATCACTCGAGCCATATGTATCCCGTGGCTGAGGCATACACAGATGCCATCGGAGACATCGAACCGGGCATCGACTCCCTCGCTGCGGTGGTCATGATTTCCACCGTTTCCGGCCAGCGGGCATCCCCTGACATATTGCGCCAGGGCAGTTACTGGGCCAGCAACCTGGTCTCCCCGGTTCGGTTTCTTCAAGGATTCCAGAGCATCTTGAACAAGCGGGTGGCCAAGAAGATGGATGGCAGCCACCGATCGTTGATGGACATCGATACATGCCTGGAAATTGGCCCCCACAGCGCTCTCCGGGGTCCGATCAAGGGCATTCTGGCGGCAAAAGAGCGGACCATGACCTACCTATCTCCCTTGCAGAGGAAGCGGTCAGGCCTGGAAACTATGCTCGAATCAGTGGGACAACTCTGGTGCCTGGGTCCTCGGTGGATTTGATGCGCGTGAACCACGAAGACCAGGACACCACCACGCTCGTCTCGCTGGCGGATCTTCCCCCCTACGCATGGGACCATTCTCGCAGCTACTTTCACGAGAGCCGGGTGACCAAGAACTACCGTCTGCGAGAGAAACCCCGATCGGATTTGCTCGGCGAACCGGCTGTGGACTGGAATCCGCTGGAAGCCCGTTGGGGCAACTTTATCAAGCTGTCGGAGCACCCCTGGATCGAGGACCACCGGGTAAGTCCCCCCATTTCCTTCCCTTCTCACTAGTTGATGAGAATCCCACTAACCCTTCAATCCTCTCCCCGCGCAGATCAATGGCACCATTCTCTTCCCCGCCGCCGGCATGATGGCCATGGCCGTCGAAGCCGTCAAGCTAACCACAGCCGGCGAACGATCGATTGCTGGCTACGAGCTACGTGACATCAGTCTGACGGCTGCCTTATCCGTACCAGACCGCGAACGAGGCATTGAAACCCAATTCTTTCTTCGTCGACAGCCAGGCGGCGCTGGGCGTGACGCCACCTGGTCGGACTTCCAGCTCTGTGCCCTCGTCGAGGATGAATGGGAAGAAGTCTGCAGCGGCAGTATTCGCGTCGATTATGGCGTCTCCGAGACTGGCGTAGGCAGTGCTCGCGTAGCGAGTGACCGGGTGCATGCAATGCAAGAGCAGTACTCCCGCATCCACAACAAGGCTGACAGCTCGCTGGATATTGAAACATTCTACAAGCAGCTGCGTCAGTGCGGTCTGGACTTTGGTCCCACCTTCCGGACCCTGATAGAGGCCCAATGGCTCGACAAGGAGTGCAGCGCCACGGTTGCGGTGCATCAGGACTCCGACTAAGTCGTGCATCCATGCACTCTCGATGCGCTGCTACACATGCTCATGGTCTCCCTTACGCAGGATCCGGCTCGAGCCAAGTCAACGGCCATCCCGGCCAAGATTCGTCGAGTCTGGTTGGCATCTTCCGGGCTCGGATGGCAAGCTACTGACGTCTTGCATGCAGTGTCCACCGTGGTCGCCGAAGATCGTCGGGGATGTGAAGTCCGTTCTCACGCGCTGAGTACAGATGGGGCCCATGTGCTGGCCGAGCTGAAAGGGATCCGCTTGACGGTGGTCAACGACGCATTGGATATGGCGGATCGGGATGTGGCCGAGCGAGATCGCATGTGGAATCTCGTCTGGAGGCCAGATATTGACCTTCTAACACGACCCGAGGTGGATCAGTGGTGCGCGGAAACACTACGACCGGACGGGGAACCGACTGATTTCTATCGAGATCTGTCCTTCTTGCATTACGCCTCGTTGAAACAGACTGTGATTGACGTGGCTATCGGTAATCTGTCGCCTCAGCCACCCCATCTGCAGGAGTATGTGCGCTGGGCCCAGGGACAAGTCGAGCACATTGAATCGGGCCAGTTACCGCACTGGCAGTCTACGTGGGAATCACTGGCTCGAGATGTTGAGTACCGTCGAGCGGTCGAAGACAGACTGGAGCAGACCAATGCCGAAGGCAAAGCCCATGTTGTCGTTGCTCGTCATCTGGAGCAGATTCTGCGCGGCGATATGGACCCGCTGGAGCTGCTTTTCGGATCTCCCATCTTGGATGACCTGTATGCGGAGCTCAGCAACGACAACAACAGTTTCGACCAGCTAGACCGCTACCTCCGACTGTACTCGCACAAGTACCCCAATTCCCGCTACTTGGAGATTGGAGCCGGAACTGGCGGCACCACCGCGCCAGTGTTGCGCTCTCTTGTTGGGGAGGGCGACCCTGAGATCACGGGGGCGTTGTATCAGGACTTCACCTACACGGACATCTCCGAGGCCTTTTTCGATTCAGCGAAAGCCCGCTTCGCCAAGTATCCCGATCTCGCGTTCCAGCGATTGGACGTGGAGCAGCCCCTGGCAGATCAGGGCTACACCCTTGGCTCGTACGACGTGATCGTGGCGGCCAATGTCCTGCATGCCACCAGCGACTTGATGGCCACACTTCAGAATGTAGAAAGGTTGCTAAAACCGGGGGGCAAGTTGATACTGTTCGAATTTACCAACCCGGACCTGGGACGGAGTGGATTCATCATGGGCCTGCTGCCCGGCTGGTGGCTCAGCACTGAATCTTACCGCACGCGGGGGCCCTGCGTGTCGCCTTCCACCTGGAGCACGGTTCTGGAGGAGGCTGGGTTTACGGGAATTGAGCATGAGTTCCGCGACTACAATAGCGACGGGTGTCATGAACTAAGTATGCTCATCAGCATAAAGAAGCCCAGCACCAGCCCCCTGCAGCAGCTTCTCCCCTCGACTGTGAATATTGTAACGGGCACTTCAACCAGCGAGGCTGGATATGCCAACGCCCTCGAGCGTCAGCTGCGGGAGAAAGGAATTGCCAGTCGACTCGTCTCCATGGACCAGATCCAAAGCGCGAGCCTGGGTGCAGATGCTCTGACGATCGTAACGTCTGACTGGGACCTCAACCGACCATTTCTTCAGGATTTGAGCGCCAAGGACTTTGGTGCACTGCAGCACCTCGTCGGACAGAGTCGGAACTTGGTCTGGCTGACCCCCACGGTGGATGACGGCTCCGCTGCCCCCGAATATAACATGATCACGGGCCTAGCGCGCGTGTGCCATGCTGAAGTGGAAGGACAGAGGTTCATGCGTGTCGGGACTGAGCCCGGTGCAGAGCCCACCCCTAGCCAGGTCCACGGCCTTTTGGGAGCGATCCAGCAGATGCTGGCCGGGACTCCAGATACATATGAGATGGAATTCGAGCAACGGGGCGGGCTGTTTCACATCAACCGGCTGCAACTCGACGCGATCTGTCAGGAAGAGGTGCATCAGATCCAGAACCCACGCACACCGCGGGACCTCGCATGGCAGGATGCTCCTCCGTTGAAACTGGTCACCGATACGCCCGGTCTCCTGGAGTCGCTGACTTTCGTCGAAGACGAGGAGCACAGCTCGCCTCTGGCAGAGGATGAAGTTGAGATCGAATTTCGGGCTGTAGGTTTGAATTTCAAAGACTGTTTGATTGCCCTGGGTCGTGTGCCCGCAGACACCCTCGGAAACGAATGCTCCGGGGTTGTCGTTCGTGTCGGCAGCGCCTGCCAGGACCGCTTCCAGATCGGAGACCGAGTGTGTATGTCAACAGTAGAAGCATTCAAAACCTATGCACGCAGCAAAGCCCAATGCGTCTGTCCGCTGCCGGACAGCATCAGCTTCACCGAGGGGGCCGCCATTCCCACGCAGTTCGTCACGGCTTGGACGAGTCTCGTAGAGATCGGGCGTCTGGCCCGAAGAGAGAGGGTTCTCATTCACGCGGGCACCGGTGGCACTGGGCAAGCAGCAGTCCAGATCAGTCAGTACTTGGGAGCGGAGGTCTTCGTGACGGTGGGTTCGGAAGCCAAGAAGCAAGTGCTTATGACAATGTACAACATCCCAGAGGACCACATCTTCTACAGTCGTGACACGTCCTTCGCCACGGGCATCAAGAACATTACCCAGGGGCGTGGAGTCCATGTCGTGCTGAACTCGTTGTCCGGGGACAGTTTGCTCGCGTCCTGGGACTGTCTGACGCCCTATGGTCGGTTCGTGGAGATTGGCAAGAAGGACATTCTGGACAATGCACGCTTGCCCATGTTGCATTTTAACATGGGCGTCAGTTTCTCGGCTTTCGACGGCTCTATCTGGATGGTCGAACGTCCAGATCAAGCCGAGCGTGGGATCCGGACCATCATGGAGCTGTTCCAGAAGGGTATCTTCCATGTCGCTCGTCTGTTGCAAGTTTGCCCTGTCTCAGATGTGCATTGCGCGTTTGCGACCTTGGCAGATGGAAAGACGAGTGGCAAGACTGTGGTTGAGATCACCCCTACCGCTGTTGTTCCAGTGAGTATACTAACCACATACACTCAATCTCACTAACACGACGACCAGACCATCATCACTCGCAAGCCGACATACGTCTTCCCCACCGACGCAACCTACGTGCTCGCCGGCGGATTCGGCGGTATCGGACGCAGCATCGCCCGCTGGATGGCCGATCGAGGGGCTCGCAATCTGCTGATCCTGTCCCGGTCAGGCCCTAAGACCCCCGAGGCAACCAGCCTGGTAGACGAGCTCCGGAGCACCGGCATCAACATCCAAGCACCCGCATGCGACATTACCAACGCCGATGCCCTGCAGCTCGTCCTCGACGAATGCCTCCAAACCATGCCCCCAATCCGGGGATGTATCCAAGCCTCAATGGTCCTCCAAGATACCCTCCACAGCACCATGACCCACACCCAATGGACCGCAGCCGTAAACCCCAAAGTCACCGGCTCACGCAACCTTGACGCCCTCCTCCCCGGCGGAATGGACTTCTTCATCCTTCTCGCCTCCGTCTCCGGCATCGCCGGCCAACGCGGCCAATCCAACTACGCCGCCGGCAACACCTACCAAGACAGTCTCGCGCGCCACCGCATCACACGCGGCGAACCCGCCACCAGCATAGACCTCGGCGCCATGGTCGACAACGGCTTCCTCGCCCAGAACCAATCCATCCGAGACCGTCTCCTAGGCGGCGGCTCCATGGTCCCCATCACCCGAGCCCAGTTCCTCTCCCTCCTCGACTACCACTGCGACCCGGCAAACAAACCCACCCTGACCACCTGCCAAACCATCTTCGGAATCAATTCCCCGCAGGCCATGCATGCCCGAGGCCTCGACGAACCCAGCTGGATGCAACGACCCATGTTTGGTTTCTTGCACCGCGTACCCGCCACCACCGGACATCAGACATCCGCTGACGCGGCTGGGGGGAATAGGGCACGGGACTTCCGGGCCGAGTTCGCGCAGGCAAAGACACTCGACGAGGGAGCGTTGATTGTTGCCACTGGACTGATTGCCAAGTTAGTGCGGAGTTTGTCCGGGTTAGAGGAGGAGGATGTAGAGGTGAGTAAGCCGGTCGTGAGTTGTGGGGTGGATTCGTTGCTGGCGGTGGAAATTAGGAGTTGGTTTGCGAAGGTGTTTCAGGCGGATATACCTACTTTTGAGATTCTGGGTGGGTTGAGTTTTGAGAGGTTGGGGAGGTTGGTTGCTACGAGGAGTGGGTTGGGGAGGGGGTGGGTTGGTTGATTTAGTCAGTTAGGGTTTTTGGTTACGGCAATACATAAAGTGTATTGCTTATTTGGTGTTTGTGTAGTGGTGCAAATGGGGGCTTATATGGTACAGAGAGTAAGCGTAAACACCCATTCCTGCAAAGACGAGTTCAAGCAATTCACATCTAATATAGTGGTTCGTGGGATGGATACTTGGAGTGATTGGTGATTTCTGTCCCTAATACTATTTTTTGTATGGTACGGCATAAGGTTGCAATTATCGCAGAATACTGGTATTCTATACCCGCAGACTACTTCTTACAGTATAGTATTAGGGCTTTCTCCGTCACTATTTTGAATACAGTAAATATCAGATTTCTGAGCAGTGGACCAAAACTGATACATCGCATCTATCAGGAGAAATGGCAGAGAGATATGTTCAACTGAAAGCCTTTTATTTATTGGTTCTACTCTATATCATCCTTCTCTATGGTGTGTCTGGTACATACGACCACAGGGTGTGGAGAACAGGGCTTCCCGTCCGCTCAGCCGTACTTAAGCCACACGCCGGGAGGTTAGTAGTTGGGTGGGTGACCACCAGCGAATCCCTTCTGTTGTATGTCTTTTTTGTTTTCCCTTTTTAGGCAATCAATCCTGATTAATGAATGGTTTGATGAAATGGAGTGTTTGAATTGCTTGACTACAGGAACATCAACTCTTCTTCTTGGTTGAATCACATTCTCAAACGACGTTCCCTGCACCTACATCCCTGCTTGACTATGTTCTGGTCGTTTTTCATGGACACATCCCAGAGCGCTAAGACCATCTCATCGTCCTTTCATCTAATACCCTCTTTCTAGGACATCTTTGCAACGCCTGATGCACCTTACATTATTCGTGCCTTCTCCTTCATGTGCTGAAGATGCATCATGTCCTTTTCTGTACATCTAAAACCGAGGGCCCATGATTCTGTCCACTCATTCGCAGGATCCTCTCAACTCTCAAGGTCCTCGCACCAGGTGATACGTGGTAGAGTCAGCCGGAATTCCTTATCGTATTTATACATCTATCTATGGATTACCCAAACAAGTGCTATCTCAATAATGAACAGGGCGACTTTACATGACGGTTACATATCTGACGCTGTTTCAGTATGGCCCGGCGGCGAAACCAAGTACCGGCTACACCCAATCCTGAAATGAACCTGAATACGTGGTCTTTATAAATTACATCCTAGTGATCCGGTCTTCCTGCAAGGGCTTCTCAGCTTCTCCACTTGCTTTGTATAGTATGGCATATGTGAAGAGTTGCATAAAGTAGACCCTTTACAGTTTAAGAGTATTTGGATACATCCAGTGCTTGTCAGGGTGCAGGCTGGCAGGCAGAGGGCATCACTGATATCTTGATTCCGGGCTGGCTACTGGCCAAGCTATGTACAGGCAGATATACATGAAGAGATATCAAAATCTAACCGGTTGTCGTGTTGTGGCCTCATGTGATCTAGGAAGACCGGGTTGTCGATCGTCACGGCCCGACAGCCCTTGAGGTATTCAGAACCATCAGAGTAAGCGATCCTGATTTTCGATTCATCACGGTGATTATGTGTTTGGAAGATAAAAAAGATTTTATACGGTGTATGCAGCCACGCCGGCTGGGTTATAACTGTCACGATTCAATCCTAGTGCGCTTCAAGAGTAAGGTCCGGTATGAATGGGATGAGAAACCGCATGCCCGGGTAACTCCTGGATAGGCGATCCGCTCGATTCAAACAAACCTGCCGAGGCTAATTCTGCAGGTTGCATGTCTGCTGGAGACTTTTTCATCAGATCAGCTGGTGCCGGTGGTATCATGGACATATCGGCAGTGCGCTTGCGACGACGCAGGAACAGAAATGCAAGGGCGCAGATAATCAAGATACCCGCAATCGAAACACTAACTCCAATGCCTGCCTTTGCGCCAGATGACAGGGTTGCGTGTGTTTCTGATGGTTGCTCAGTGGCTGTTTGTGTCGTGGCTGAACTCGTAGACACGGTGGTCGCAGAAGGGACTGCATCACTCGATTGCCAGCGAATCACGATACCGTACGCATTCCAGACCCCCCCAGCTGTCATAGCAGACAGCTCACTAGTCGTGCCAGTTGTGCTGCCGTTTTCCGTTGTATATGTGAAGTAATATTCGATTTTGGACTGTGGTGACCACTGGCAAATCTCGGTGTAGTACCACGGCCAGGAGAATGAGGTATGCGGTCGCGTCGAAAACGTCCACGTTTCGGGTCTAGAGGAGAATAGAATCATCAGATGGGGCATTTGAATCAAATTGCAAACCATTAGCCTTACCCTGAAATCAATTGCGGACAACATGTTCCGACAGTTTGGGTCACCTCATCGGCAATGATTGTGGAGCTGGCCGCAACCAGCCAGCCGCTGGGGCAGATTCCCGGGGAGAAATACGTGAACGCGGCCGGGGACCAACCCGACGGCAAACACTCGGTGGTGTTGATAGGGCCAAGGTTCATCCAAATGCTGCTGCTGCTTTCGGCTCGCCAGAGCTCGTTGAGACATGCGCTGGGAGGTGTGAAGGTCGTGGTCAAGGGAAGGGGTGATGCGTATGTAGATGTGCCTAGGGCTGTGGTGGTGGTGGCGGCCGCGGTCTCCAAAATCGCCATGGTGAAAGGCGCAATGGACCTGCTGTAGCGAATCTAGAGAAAACTTGCCGAGTGAAGGAGGACGATATGAGGTGGAAGAATCAAAGATCAACTCTGGTAAAAAAGTGGCCCAACTTACTGGGCTTTGGCTCCTACCCATATAGGAAAATGATTTCGGGTCTCAGGAACCCCCAAAACCCAAACGGGAAATAAGTGCGAGAAAACAACGGGGAGCAATCGGATATTTGATTTGATTGGGTCGATAAGAGACACTAAAAGCTTACATGCGGGAGTGAATACTACTGGCTGCCAGGAGATAAGTTTCTCAGCCTCGTCAAACAGAGCTGCCCTTCACCCTTGAGGCGCATCCTGAATTATTCCGAATTCGATATGATCTTGTCGAACATGAGATCAACCATCTTTCCGGACTTCTGCAAGATTCTCTTGTCAGATGTGCAGATCACGGCTAACGACACTGCGAGCCTCTGTGAAGGGCCCGCTCAGTAGGTCTGTGCGCATCTTTAACCCCCTCAACATGTACAGTACACAGCCTTGCATGGTTCTTCCGACCTGTTCGCTGACAAATATGGGTTTCGGAAGGCATTCATTACCCGCATCCTGGTGGAGAAATCTGGGGCGCATCATGAACCGAGCATGGTAATTGAGGGTAACCACTCATCCCCGGTCGTAAGCGTTGACCAGCAGCAAGGCCTTGATGTCATGCACAGGGGATGATACAAATATCTGCCTCGCCCTGGGGAAACGTTCACCATTCTCATTCCTTTGGTCTTTTCTCACACATCAGTGTACGACAATCAACTAACGGAAAATCGATCAACTGCTTGGTGGGGTTCTACAGTACGCCATTAATACTCCCCGAGATTGGATACAAGAGCTTTCAAGGGTGGTGGACACTGGAATCCGAACCCAGTATTCCTATTATCCATTCCATAACTCATTTTCGCTAAATAAGCAAATACAAACCTGAAAGCGAAATAACAGACGCTCTCAAGGCTACTAGTGAACCATATATCTTCTACGACAATATCCCAAGTGCAATCCGACAGCCCTCTTCTGCCTTTGGTATGCCAGCGGCTGTGCATGTATAGTACCTTTAGTAAGGTTTAACTCCCTTCATACTGTTATATCCACACCGAACCGCCCAGTCTTCAATCTCATAGCATCAACATTCTCATCCGCCGTCGCTTTATCTCGGCGCAAGCCACCCAGGGAATCCGGGGATTAAATCCAAAACAGCCCGGCAGAATCTTGAAGAATTAACAAAACACCAAAAGAAATCGAGAAGTATCATTCTATGGGCAAGAGCACACTCACCTAATTCCACTCTCTCTTCGCATCGGGATATGATTCAGTACACATGTCTTTTGTTGTTCTGCATGACAAAAACAGCAACCGGTACCACTTTACAATTAAACTCGCTAGCAATCCATCTACCCAAAGAATAGGTAAACTGATAACCGAAAACAGACTCATACACTATTTGCCGTTTCCACCGCCACTTTGGCCGCCCTGCCAAAATCTGATTCGGCAATGAGATTCAAACCCGATTCTGAAATCTATTCTGCGCATCAGAATCATCCCAAAAGCATAGTAGAAGCAAAATAACATACCATCCGCTGACCCTCCTCGGAGTTAGTCCCCTGCAATCGAACAACAATGGGACAGCGTAACAGGCCCAGCCGATCAGCCGCCTGGATGATAGAAGTCGCCACCATATCACAACGAATAATACCTACTCATGCGTTAGTAATGCCTCAATTGATACTCAATCAAGCGCCATGACCCACCTCCATAGATATTCACAAAGATAACCTTCACCCAATGATCCGCCAGAACAATCTGAAAGGCTTTGACCATGGTTTCTGTTGTTGCCTGACCACCCGCATCGAGAAAGTTGGCGCTCTTACCACCATAGTAACTGATAACGTCATTGGTAGCCATGGCAAGACCTGCGCCGTTTACTATCGTACCGATGTTGCCATCCAAGTGCACGTAAACAAGGCCGTGCTTTTTGGCTTCTGTTTCTGTAGGGTGCTCCTGTTCATCTGCCTTTATGGAGAAGATATCCGGCTGACGCGGAGCTGAAGCATCGTCAATGGTGAAGTTTGGGTCTGAACAGACAAAGGTATTCTGATCAGTCTTTACCACGTGATTGATCTCCAGTAAGGTGGCATCTTTGCTGATGAAGGTGTCGTATAGTCCTTCCAGAAGAGAATGCAGGTTCTTGGTCAGGCCTTGCTCGAGAGCCAGGGTCTTGATAATACTTCTTACAGTGTCGTCTGTGATGCCCTTGCTGTAGTCGATATGAACCCTCCTGGCATTGTGTCGGCCTAGCTCTCCGATTCTTACGTCGTCTTTACGCGAGACGATAATGACTGGGCAGTAATGTTCCCGATCGACTGTGATGGCGAGATAGAATTCGGTTTTGAGTGTGGTGCCTTCTGTGGTTTGTGGCTTGTCAACTGGCAACTCGCTTGCTTTGTTTTGGCGGGCATTTGGCCTGTGGCTAAGCTTGCGAGACGCGATGGTGCGTGCCTCACCAGGGCTGAGTCGAATATTAGACAGTTGAGATTTCCTTCAGAGTCGATGTATTGGTACGGTACCTCTCGGCGGAACGTCTACAATCCCCTGCAACCCCAGTAGAACGCGCAATCTCTCCAGTTGCCACTGGAATTCCGGCCTCAATAGTGTTAGATAGAATGAATCATCTGGAATTTTCACAAACCTGTTGCAGAATATTCTGTGCTTGGTAGCCTTGAATGCTGAGCCAGCGTCGCTGAGTCGGCCGAGAGAATCGTAGCTGCTGAGAATCAGACGAGTTAAATAGACCAAGGATCTAAACCACCACATACTAAAGACAAGATCTGTTGACTCGCTCTTGGTCCGAACGTTTGTACAAAAGACATACTTGCAATAGTCCAAACCGACGCATGTAGACACACTTCTACAATATGAATGAAACTGGGGGATGGCCCCAAAGGGGTGCAGCTGGGTTTTGACAAGCGCTCATTCTGCCCACGCGGCTAACCGACGATCTCTACCTTATTTGAGCCCTCGGGTGTAGCATAAAGGCTATCCGATAATCCGAGGCTCTTCCGCCACCAGGGAGTCTCGGAGTTCCGGAGTAAGCCCCTCGGGTAATTCTAGTTCAATAATATATTCCAGATTTCACTCACGCTTCCATATCGCTCAAATCTGACTTCTCGATAGTAATTTAACATGACACCATCGTCATTTCTTCGATCAAGCCGGCGGTCATTCTGCCCGTATGCCTTTGGCCCTCGCCAACGGGCAACATTTACGACAGTATCGACATATTTGCAGACGCTTTCAAACCTCCGAATTGGAAAGAATACTCGGGTGATTTATCAGGGATTTACAGGGAAAACCGTCAGTCTCAGGGTTGATTTTTCTACCCTCGGAAGGACATAACTGATACTCCCCCAGGCGACCAAAAACGCGCAAGACACGATCGCCTACGGTACTAATGTTGTCGGAGGCGTTTCTCCAAAGAAAGGTGGCTCACAACACCTTGGATTACCCGTTTACAACACCGTCAAAGAGGTGAAGATACTCAACGCATGCCATCCAGCCACATGCTGATTCACCAAGCACAGGCCCAAACCCACCTCCAACCAGACGCAAGTGTAGTCTTCGTGCCTGCACTTCTGGCCGCCAACGCAATTATTGAAGCCATCGAGGCTGAGATCCCACTCATTGTGTCCGTCGCCGAACACATCCCCGTCCACGACATGCTCCGAGTGCATCAAATCCTCCGCACCCAATCCCGATCTCGTCTAGTGGGCCCCAATTGCCCGGGAATCATTTCTCCCGGGGAATGTAGACTCGGGATCATGCCTTTCCAACAATACACGCCGGGCAAGATCGGGATTGTTAGTAAGAGCGGCACATTGAGCTATGAGGCTGTTGGGGCCACCACCAGAGCTGGGTTGGGCCAGAGCCTGGTGGTCGGAATGGGAGGGGATATGTTGCCCGGGACGACGTTGGTGGATGGGTTGGAGCTGTTCTATGAAGATAATCGTACTGAAGGGATTGTGGTGATTGGGGAGATTGGTGGAATGGCTGAGTTTGATGCCGCCGAGAGTATCCGAGAGTATCGCGCCCGGACGGATAACCCTAAGCCGATTGTTGCGATGGTGGCTGGGAGAACGGCCCCGCCTGGAAAGGTCATGGGTCATGCAGGCGCGCTATTGATTCCCGGAGGCAAGGGGGCGGTAGAGAAAGCAGTGGCTCTGGAACGGGCTGGGGCGACGGTGGTTCCCCATCCTGGGTTGATTGGGGTGGAAATGGAATGGTTGATGGGGGTTATTGGGTAGATGCCGCCTCCTTCTTGATTGCAGCTAGATGAATTTCATGTTATAGATCTTGTATGGGCGCTCTCTCCCCGACTCTTCGGCAATTCAGCTATTGATTGGCGACGATCTCTCGAAAATCGCCAAACCTTGTTCCGGCTGCGGGTCTCTCGGAAACCAGGATAAATGCCTCACCCGTTAGTAACCCCGCATCGCACAGAACCCCGACCTCGCTGACGCCATCTCGGAAGAGTGGAAGAGTAGGCGGCCATGTTTCCGAGACTCTCCACATCCCCCAATTTTTCCGGACTCCAGGAATTCCCGCATTCCTTCGTCCCAACCCCAGGCACATTCATTTTGACTCCCCCCTCTCACTATCCATTGACAGTTTTCTTATCCCTCTTGCCCGTCCCAATGACCGTTTCAACCATTAGTAAAAAGCTTACTAAAACGTGGCCATTGTCACAGGTAAATACTCTACTTATCCAGCTCCAAACAAATCCAGCCCCCCCCCCCCCCCCCCAACCTAACCACCTCAGGCGGCTCATCCGGTTACGGTGCCGGCATCGCAACACGGTTCCTCCACGAGGGCGCCAAAGTCCTCATCGCAGACCGCAATATAGAAGAAGCCGAAGCACTAGCCCGCCAACACAGCTGGTGCGTATTCAAAGCTTTCGAACTTAGAAACCTAGTCTTTTGCCAGATGGCTGAGTTAGTAACTCGATTGCGGGCTGGTAGGATCCCGTGACTTGAAGCGCACTAAGTCGGATCGTGATATTACATGCATTGTTGAATACTAGATCATTATATAAAAACCATATATTTTAATTCCTGATTCAATGACACATGCTGACTCTCAGACAGCACCAGCTGCAGTCCTCTGCAGTACCCACCGTATTTCCTCAGCGACTCGCTCCGGCTCCGTAATCTGAATATTATGCCCACTCCGTCTTGTCACGGAGTATCGGGCATTACTCGACAAATTCAACAACTCCCGCTGGAACTCCTCTTCACCACTATCCCAAATCTCCAGATACTTGCGAAAAGTCTCTCTCTGTTCCTCCGTCCCCAGCCCCAATGCCACAGCCCGATCATACATGCGCTGCTGATCACGTTGAGAATTCCCACGGAGCACACTAAGCGGCTTTCCCTGCAGCAGATCCAATCCAGGACGTAGCTGCTGCTTCTCGGCTAGAACCGCACGACTAATCTGCAAATAAGGAAGTTCGCGAACCGCCTGCTGCGAATGATGAGTACTATCTTCCTCATCCATCAACTCCGCCCACTCATCCTCAGTCAACCGATAATCACTCTTCAACCCCACAACTTCCATATAATCCATCTCCGCCGTAACCGCAGCGATACTGGGATCAGGCCACGTCTTGAATAACATCCGTTCTTGCACCGCATCTACTAGTACCATTCCGCAGATCTTGTCCGGGCCGTGGGCGGCGAGGAATTCGCGTGCGAGCATCCCGCCCCAGGAATGTCCGACTACTAGGTACGGCGGTGGCAGGGATGCAGTGATGAGTAGGCGGGATAGTTCATCGACGATGGTTACGGAGTCGGGTTCCGCGGTGGTGGTCTCGCTTTTTCCGTAGCCGGAGCGTTCGTAGAGGAGGATGGAGGCTTCGTGTTCGAGATGCCGGCAGACTGCGCTCCATTCTAAGGCGCTGCTGGTGATTCCGGTGAGGATTATCACGAGGGGGGTGCCCGGTTGTCGGGGGATGCCTCGTAAAGCGTAGCTTAGGGTGTGGGTGCCGATGTTGGCGGTGTGGCGGAAGTGGTCCATTGGTGAGGGGAGGGTGGGTTATGTGAAGGAGCTGGATGTGGTTTGTTATAGGTTGAGGGAGTGGTGGGTTCAGGTTGAGAGAGCATGGGGAGTGGAGTGTGGGGAGAGGGGTTTATATGTTTTGGTTATTTGGTCAGTTGATAATCCCTAAAGGATGACTCACGCATGAGCTAGTGCGGAGCCATCGAGCACAGAAGTAAGATTTTGAGGAATCCGTTGATGTCCCCGCGTTTATGCTATTTATGAAAGGGCGATTATTCCATTCTTTTCCATATATCGTCATTTTTGACCCTTGAAATCTTTCTCAATTTGACACAGGTCCATGTACCAGATATGCCTCTCCGAATGCACTACTGCAAACATAAGGATCTAAAGAGGATGGTTTTGGTGAAACAACTCGTCACAATCCCTAGCATGGAGATTCAGAAGTATTTGAATAAACATTGCATGTCTAATAGCACATAAACCGTATATCATAGCAAACATAAATCCGAGCCATCCACAGAGCCCATCATCAAGCCAGTACCCATCCATCAATCATCCAAGAACATCAATCAACAAAATCAGCAACACCACATAGATATTTTAATCCTCATCACATTTCACCTTCAACGCATCATCCCCACCCTTCTCAAGATCCCGTCCTTCTCCCCTCCCATCCCAAATCGTACTCGCCAACGATAACCTCTTAACACCCTCCCCAACGATCTTCTCTTCATCAATTTCACCATGTTGCTCCTCCCCAGCACCCTCACCACCCCGTCCCTCCCCATTACCATCCCTCTTCTTCGTTCTCCCACCCCTCACACACCCCATAACCCCAACCCCACAGTCCCCCCACAACACCATCCCAATAATATCCACCCAAACCGCAACCTTCATCCTCGTAACCGACGACGTAAAATCCACATCCTCCACCCCAGCACGAACAGGAAGATACAACGATCCAAACGCCCCCACCAGAGCCACCCACAGCACCAGTATAGCTCCATCGAACGTTGCCCAGGCAGGGTGACCACCCGGAAGAAAAAGATGCACGATGCAGGTGAGGGCGGACACCACAGCGACAAATTCAGCGTAGATCCAACTTGCTTCCGCGTGGGTGTTGGAGTTGGATGCGTGGGCGAGATCAATGCCGTAGAGGATGGCGGTGATGGTTGAGAGGAGGAGTTGAGCGGTGCGGAGGATTGTATGTGTGTTGAGAATGGGAAGCATGATTTTGGGGTTGGGGTTGGGTTTGGGGTGTGGTGGTGTGGATTTGGTCATTGTGTAGTGGTGGGTTTGAAGAGGATTGATGTGAAACTTCGGATGCTGACGCTGATGATGAGGGAGGGGTTTGGTTGAAGACATCTAATATATGGGACTAAATTGTGAGATCATGTGGTCTAGGCTTCTACTTAAACCCAAGAAAATGGATATTTTTAGCCAGCCGAGTGCCGATAACGATTCCCCGGCGCTTATCCGAATACGGTAATTCTTTAGTATTCGTATTGCCGCCTGGGTTTGATTGGCGGGACCCTGCCGATCAGTAACCATGGTACGGCACAACATGTTTGGACTTGTCTAGCCAGCCCACTTAGAACTTAATGTTGTTCATCGGACAAGTTCCCCTCAGCCAACACAAATCTACAAAGTAGGACGTTGACCGAGAAAGCAAAGAGTTTGTGGCTGAGTGGGGGAGCCGCGTGTCATTCAACCTCTGTCACAACCCCAAGCCGAGAATATCCCAATTGGCCAATTCTAGGCTGGATTCTGCATATACCTCTAGATTTATTCGTCGAAAGTGGCGTTGCTAAGCATTTTTTCCTGAATTGACTTTTCTTGAGAGAAATCAACGGTCCACTAACTGATTTTTCATACTTTTTCTGGCGTTTGTTGATACTATTCTAGTCGTGGTGGGAGCCGTTGAAGGATGAACTGACTGTCGCAAAAGTAGTGTGACCCACAATCGTGGATTCTAACCGTTACATTAGTTGGCAGGTGACAATTGCTTAGTCTAGTGTTTTAGGATTTCAGTCTCTGGCTTGATCACCACTACGTGAGGTTCACCTAGGTAGTTTCGCGAGAGTCAAATATTTGGATTTCCGTAATAAACAGTTTGAAGTTATAACATACCAAAGAGAGGCAGAGCACATGGAATTATTCTATGCTGATGGATCTATCTATTTTCCCAGTCACCGCTCGGGAGATAACACGTCTAGTCTAGTTAGGAGATTCTGCCATACACTCTCCCCGAGGAGAAATTGTCCTCCTTCAGCCGTTGACCCGCATTGAATCAAATTCCGGAGAAAGAAAAATATGATCAAGGTGTACCATGGTGCAGGGAAAAACGTGGTCACGAGCCAAGGATTGCTGCCCCTGTATCTTTAAAGTTCGATGCATCCCAGAATAGTAACAGTTAAGCATTCCGGGGTGACGGGTGTTGCCACCCAGTAGGTCGATTCTATTGAGCTCGGACAAAGACGCTCCAGAAGAGACCCGGAAAGCGGGTCATAGATGCAAGTCGACTGGTGGGGAATGGCAACCGATGATTGAAGGCTTGTTCGAGGGTCTCACTCCCCAATTGTGCTACTCTGATCTGTGCGCGGCCGATTGCAATAAGAATTGGAAATCGAGAAACAGTTATTCTAAAAGACAGATTCATCAAGACATAAGAAAATAGAAATCAATGAGCGACATCAGATGGATATCTCCCCAACGAAACCCCGACTCCGAAGCCAGAGGCCCACAGAACTGCTCAGCGGTGGCCCTCTTGCGAGCTTTCTTAATGAGTCGTCCCGGATGATACACAATGAGAACCGCAAAGACCACAAACATCATAAAGGCATCGAAGATATAGATAATCGCCTCGCTGGTATTCAGTACCGAGGTCCGACTCGACCCGAATTGAATCGTCCGGACCAAGTTACGAATCATCAGGGCCGCACACGCCACATACAACACCCACATATACCGTTCCCACGCGAGCGACGGGTTTTGAATCACGAATGGCGTGGGCTCGCGACCCAGTCGTTGATGGAACTTGACTGCAATCCAGATGAAGAAGCAGAAGACGATCAGCGAGAAGATCAAACCAGCCAGCACCACCTTCTTGCCGATGTCCATGATGTGCGCGTCACCTGTCACTTGCACTCCGGCACCTCCCAGTTGGGTACAGAAACATAGCACGTCGTTCAGGACGAAAACCCAGGTCAGGCGTTTTGTGCGCATGCTGGAATGGTGCTCTGCCTGCAGAGAACGCATCATTCGACCGAGGACCATGTATACGGTGGCGGCGATGAGTGGGGGTGCGCAGAGAATAAGCATTTCCTGCAGCGCCCATGATCGGATGTCGGTTCGTGATTGATGTGACCACGCTCGGCCATAATACCCGAATGTTTCGCCTGGTTCATGTTAGGGACGGAGACAAGGGGGAGACAGAAGTAAGGGCACGTACAGACGCCCCCAATAATTAAGGGAAGGAAGTAGGCGGCGCGAAAGGGAAACGTCAGGACGAGGTGGACGACCGTCGCGACTCCGAATAGTCCCATGAATGCATATCCAGCCGAGGCGGACGGGGTGTAAGGATAGAACTCCACCCAGGGAGTAGAGCCATTGACGCCCGGATGAAAGACGATATCCATGATGTATTTTGGGGAGTGATGGTCTTAGATTCGAGAATGTGAAGAAAAGCAATCACCAAAAGGATGATGGTCTCGGCGCTGTGGGTGGAAACGACCGGGTCTCGGCTTTATAAGGTGGGCGTTGCTTGTTGCCTGTTGTCCTTAGGGTCTTTAACCCTCTTTTCTGGCCTCCAGGATTCAGGCATCCTTATATTTCTTTCCAGAGCGCCACGCGGTTGGAATTGAATTTTGACTGGAAAGGAGGGAAGGGCAAATCAACGGTGCAGATGAAATGCGAAACCGAACAAAAATAGAAAAGAGCCTGAATCCGGTGGGCACGAGTACGAGGGAATTGCCTCTTTGGGATGGGATAGCCCTGGCAGCGGAACCAACCATGCGCAACCCGTGGGTCGCCCCTGGAGTTTTCAAGATCTCCCCTGGCTTTTCTTCTTTTAGTAAACTCTTCGTATTCGTTCGGCCCTAGTGGGCTCGGTTTCTGGCCGGCAATTATGCCTCCACTACCCACCTCCACTCTATACTGCCCCGTTCTGCAATCGCTGGGGCCTGATGAGATCAGCACTTTAATTTTTATGCAACGGGTGACGCCATGCACGTGGTCCCTGCCTGGATATTCGGGAGACATGCCTGCGTTCTCGCAGATAAAAAGCCACCCCTGCACCGCTATTTCCCATCATCTAACTGCATCGCATCCTTCAGCCCATCCATCCATCATGTTTCCGACCATTGTTTCGGCCCTCTTCCTTGCCGTCACGGCATCTGCGTCTTCCGCCTGCAAAGTCACCCCTTACGACCCAGCATGGCCTTCCAATGCCGACTGGGCAGCTCTCAATGCCTCTATTGACCACCGGCTCCTCAGCACCGTGCCAGTTGCATCATCCTGTTGGACCGGAAACCCCTTTGGATCTTCCGTCTCTTGCAGCGCCGTTGAGGAGGATTGGGCCAATGCTTCGTGGCAATCCCGGTTCCCCGAGTCGATCGATTACCCTGTCTATGCGAACAACTCCTGCTTGCCACCAACTGCCGATGGCTATCTCGCAGAACGCGGCTGCACAACCGGCGGCATGCCACAATACATCGTGAATGCCACCAGTGAAGAACAGATTGCGACGGCGATGAAATGGGCTGCTGATCGCAACATTCGCATTGTCGTCAAAGGCACCGGTCATGATCTCAATGGACGGTATGTGGTATTTTTATGCTGTCTAATCTCTGCTGACTCCCCATAGATCTAGTGGCGCCTTTGCATTGTCCATTTGGACCTACAACCTGCGAAAGCTAGTGCGCAACACTTCTTGGCGGAACCCATCCACCAACGCATCCCAGGACGTGTACATTGTCGGCAGTGGCCAGCAGTGGGGAAATGTGCTCGACCTAGCTCTTGAACAAGGCAGAGTAGTTACCACCGGCCAAGACCCCAGCGTCGGACTGGGTGGCTACATCCAAGGCGGCGGCCACGGTCCCATTTCACGGACATATGGACTCGCCGCTAGCCACGTTCTCCAAATGAGAGTGGTGACCACAGAAGGCCAGATCCTAGTTGCCAACGATGCCGAGAACCAGGACCTGTTCTGGGCCCTCCGTGGTGGTGGCCCCGGTCTGTACGGAGTCGTCACCGAGTATGTCATCCGGCATCACCCAGTCCCCCACAACGTAATCATGGGCAATGTCCTGATTGGCCCCAAGGACGGTAGCAACGCCAGCGCCGAGAAGTCCTGGGACGCCGCGGTACGCCATCTCTCTGCACTTCCAGACCTCATGGACGCCGGAGTAGCCGGGGCCTGCATGGTGGCCACCGGCGAGATGGCCATGTCCTTCGCATCACTCAAAGAGTCCACAACCGGGGTAGTGATCAAACAGGTCTTCTGGTCCTTCAACTCCACTCCCGCCGCAATGGAAGCCCTCGTCAACCCCGTTCTCGCCAACATCACCCAGGCAGCCGGCAACAACTCTCTCACTGTTTCCTTCTCTGCATCCAACTCCGGGAATTACTCCTCTTTCTACAGCGCCATCTCCGGCAGTGAAGTAGCCGGTGGACAGAGTCTCGTGTCCAGCCGTCTCCTCGGACGGGCTGAGCTGGTCGATACCCCGTTCCAGAAGCAAAAGGGGTACCTCAAGATCGCCATGCGCTCGCAAAACTCCACAGCCGGAACCTACGCCACGGTGGGACTACAGGGTGGACCTGGTGTCAGAGACACGCCCCTGACGGCATGGGGCGCCATCCTTCCCGCGTGGCGTTCCGCATATCTCCATTTCATTTCGAACGGGGCCACGGTGGACCCGGTTGCCGCTGGGTCGCCGAAGCTGGCGTTGGAGAGCGCGGCGCGCTATAACGAGGCTAAGGAGGAGATGTGGAGAGAGTGGTCGCCAAATTCAGGGGCTTACATGAATGAGGCCAATCCCTACGATAGCAACTTTAAGCATGATTTCTATGGTTCCAACTATGATGGTCTGGTTCAAATCAAAGCGAAATATGATCCCAGTGAGAGTCTATTTGTGCTTTCGAGTGTTGGGAGTGACAAGTGGCAGTATGATTTGGACTCTGGCCGACTCTGCAAAGGGAATTGAGGGGATCAGTACGAGATGGAGATGACTAGCTAGACTTGTTCCTTACTTGTACATACTTATTAAGTTTTCTAGCATAACCCCGTTACACCTATAAATATAAATTTACCATTCAAGAACGTTGACGCCCCATGACTCATCCACCACCCGGGTTCATTCTCTACATTCCTATAACAAGCCCATTATCTTCGATGTATCACAACTAAACATCTTGCTCAACATTAATCCTGTCGTGATGCACTCCCTAGCCAATCCGTTGAACCCCCACGTGACATCCCAACAACCCCCAATTACAAGGTAGTCCCCACAACTCTCAAAACGACAAAAACAACTATTAAAATCACACACCTGCTTGTTAGGCAATAAATCTCGCCGTCCCCACAGATCAAGGTGCTGTAGTGTAGTGGTCATCATGAAACGTTGTGGTTCTCCCGCAGCGCCGTTTCGACCTGGGTTCGATTCCCAGCAGCGCCAGAATTTGGCGTTTGTGCTTGATCCTTTTTTCTTTATACTAATAATCTACTTTTTTGTTTTTTGGATGGAAGGAATATATATATATATGATTTGTGAGTGAAATGTGATGCATGGTACTTTTGGAATTATATGGGGTTGTGTATAGGGTTGTGGCATGGAACCAACCTTAAGTACTGATTTCCCGGGGGTTTCATAGCATAGGAAATATAATTATAGCGCAGAACAGTGCTTGGGACAGATAATGATCGCTAAGTTGGGCAGAGGGAAGGAATCAAGGGACGGACACCATACGAATATGCACCCCCCTACGCAATAAACTAAGACAACTTAATAGGATAATACCACAATCATATACACCCTGAAAAACTAACATACACCCCGACACAACAACTTAGTCATCTCTGCGTAATCGGTAAAATACTCATCACCCCACTCATATTTAAGTTCTGCGCCGCTAACATATACGGGAACCCGACTTTCTTGGCCCTGCCCACCCACTCCACCCCATGTTCCGTCTCCACCATATCATGGGCCAACTCAATACGAGATACGGAAGGAACAAGTGGGCCAGCAAGCCCTGCCAGGAAAGGAAATTAAAGCCCACCTCTCCACCACTTCAAAGAGATTAGATAAACTGGATCAGATTATTTTAGTCGGGGAAGCCGGATCAACCCGTCGAACCCTAAAGACCAGCCTCGCTCTAACCTGCCAGGGTATTCTGTGCGAGTATGACCAGTGCAGCCGCCAGGACATGACATATCCAGTCCAGACAGGACTTTGAAACACTTTCAATTCGTGTCCACCAAACAGGATGCCGTCTGAGGAGAAAATATCTGCGCGTCTAAACAGAAGCTCGTAATTATTGCAGGATCGTTGCCATCCCTGCAGCCTTGATGCTCAGCCTCTGTGGTGCTTCTCTTCACTGCTAGGAGTCGTTACAATCAGGGCGCCAAGATGCCCTGAATGTGCATATATTAAACTGCTATCCCCCAGACCGAGCACAGTAGTGAAATGAACTTGAGAGATGCCCATTCAAGTCCACTGCTCCTGTGATCCGCTATGTCTGATACTTTTTTCTCCAGCATTCCGGCATGTGCAGCCTGGGATCCCGCCATTAGTCCTGGTGACTATGGCTACCGACCCAGCCTAGCATGGAGAATTGTATTCACGATCCTATTCACTCTCATCGCCATTGCTCCGCTGATCCACCTAATCCGCACTCGCGCCTTTTGGACATTCTTCTTCATCATGGGCGCTGTTCTCGAGGTTTTCGGTTAGGTTTGCAAGAGCCATTAGCTACCACTGCGTGTATTCCAGGGCCGGGTAAGTTCCAGACCACATTCCCCGTGCCAAAGGCATACAAATCACTCTGTCCCAATCCGGCCCCTCCTGGGCCCGAGCAGACATCTACGTCACCTTCTGGGTCCCAATCCAACACATCGGTCAAATGTCGCTCGAACCGGGATCGAACCAGGGATTTCTCAAAAAAAAAAAAAAATAGAATCTCCCCGACTGGGAGTCGAACCCAGGTCTCCCGCGCTTGTTCCTGTTAAGGATTGACAAGCGGAAATCATGACCGTTAGACCATCGAGGATTGGATAAAGTTAACTGTGCGGATAATGTCATCATATACTCAGGGCTAGCCAAGGTGTGCGTGGCAAAGTATCGACTCGATTTGGGGTGTGGAAAAAGGGTATTGTTTTTCTTTACTTACCAAATACCCAGCACTGCATTGTTAACCTACGGGCTTTTTATTACGCTGGACCGAAGGAAGGGAATCAGGGCAGCGTGAAATAAGTGCCTCAGGCCAGGGCATCGTTTGTATGTTGTCAAGCTACACCAGAATATCCTCTGGTCTATCTCTATTTCATCAATAGAGGAACTATACAACAAGGAAGTGTACATCTGCCACCCCCACCGCCACATCCAACTGCTGCTTGATAATCCTCGCCTCTGCATGTCTTCCCAACCTCTCCAAACACTCATAATACCCATGCAACGCCCACACGGTACCGGGATGTTGATGCGCACGAGTCAACCGATCCTCAATCCCCAAGTCCTCCGCATATGCTCTCGCCGCCTCCTCCACATGTCCCTGCTCAAGCAACAGCGCCCCATAGGCATGTCTCGTGGGGACCATCCAACCCCATGGCTCAGTGTACAGCAATGCATCGTCCTCCCGGACCGCCTGGCGTAGATGCTCAAATGCAACATCGAAATTATCCCGTCGGTACTCAATCTCCCCGTTCAACATAGCCGTAGCCACCTTCATGACATCCACGATTCGGTTCGGGTAATCTCTTCTCGACTCAGGGACCCGGTTTGCGGCAGCGAGGTATAGTTCGCGTTGGATGTCCGCGTCGGTAAGGTTTCGTGTTGCCGCGTAGGCGATTCCCTTTCCGTAGTACGTCATTGCCGTGGTCACGCAGTACAGGTCTTGTTTCTCGGCCGGGGGAAGTGGAAGGGCGATGATCTCATCCCACATCCCGAAGCGGATGTAGACGTGGACGCGAACGGATTTGAAGAACTCGAGCCAATCGGCTAGAGGGGGCGATTGGGTGGTGAGGATGTCCTCGGTCAGGGTGGATTCCATGGGGTCGAGGGCTTGCAGGGCAATTTGGCGTTGGCCGGAGAGCATGGCGGCGTAGATGAGCGAGTGGTAGTCGTGGAGGCGGTAGAAGCTGTACATGTTTTTGGCGCCGTGAAGGGCCAGGTATTTGTTATCGGCGTGCACGGCGGCTGTGTTGGAGGCGATTGCGCGACGGTAGTCCCCGACGAGGATGTCGAGGTGGGTGGGCATGTGGTGCAGGTGGCCAGCGTCGGGGACGAGGTCACGGAGGAGGTCGGCGGCGCGGAGGGCCGTGGAAGGGGTGGAGGCCGGGGTGGGAGGAGCCCTGGGGGTGGTTAAGGAGTGTGGTGGTGAAGAGGTGTTGGAGGGTGTGGACGGGGGAGGAGGCAATGGGAAGGCCGGATTTGATGTCGAACATTTTGCGTTGGGCTGTGTGCATTTGGGCGTCGATGTATAGGGTGATGGCGTCGATATCGTTGGGGAAGCGGGCATGGACAGCCTGCATGGCGTGGCAGTAGGCGTCGTTGATGGGGGTGTAATCAGGGCTGGGATGAGGGGTGGGGAAGCGTGTCTGCATGGCTTCGATGAGGGATTGCTCAAGTGGGGTAGCTGAGGTGGTTTCGAGGAGGGCATGGGCATGGTGAATGGCCTTGTGGCAGAGCTTCATGGTATGTTCGAGGTCGATGGGGTCAAAGAGGCGGCATGCTTTGTTGTAGTTGGGCCCGGCGGCATAGGCCAGTCCCCAGTAGGCCATGGCACAGGTGCGGTCGTGGACAATGGCCTGCTCGAAACATCGATACGCCTCGGCGTGGTTGAAGGCATAGCTCCAGATGAGCCCACGGTTGAACCAGATCTGCGCGGATTCGTTGGCGGTGCTGATCTTGCGGGTGTAGGCGCCCAGATTGAAGTAATCATCGGTTGGGGGGAGGGGAAGCACGGAATCGGGGACAACAGACATGGTTGATCTTGGGGATGGGATCTGTGAACGTAGAGACTATGAGGGGAATCAGGCAAAGTGAAGCCGGTGGGCTTTCTTGAAGCAAGGTTCTAATGTAAGAACGATGGCGGTTTAAATAGATGAGCTGCTCATGCCATGACTAAGGACGACCCAGATCAATGCCAGATCCTATCATGGACTGCGCTGCGTAGGTTAGTCCTCTGCTGATTGGGGATATGATATACCAGACAAGTGGAGCCGTTTCTATCACGAATGGCCGAGATCAATCCCAGAGGTGGTCTTATAATTTTGGTGATACCCTTTATGCCCCCCAATACCTCGTTACTCTTCGCCTCTAGGAGATATTCCGCATTCTCATTCTTTGTAGAAATCGCACTCCTATCAGGATTTAGGATTATCATGACATGTAGAATCACTTTAAAAATAAAAAAAATTTATGGTTTCACTTCATCAACGTTAAGGGGGGTGGCACTACTTCATATTTTGATGCAACTATAGGTTTGGAAATAGTATGCGGGTTTAAGAGCCGCTATACCGAAATTGGACTAAATGAGGGGTAACAATAATTGTTTCCTTATGATTCTGGCATCAAACACCGGGTCACCGAGGGATTGCCACCCAAATGCCGACTTGGCGCAGTCTAAATGTGGTACATTGCCACTGACATAATTTCACTAAATATAACTGTAACTATTCAGCTTCCTGGAAGGGAATCATAAAAGAAAATAAAGAAGTATTTTTTCCTCCTTTCACCTTATTAGTGGCAACATATTTCAGTCATCAAATGCCGCTTCTAAAGGAAAATAGTTTATAAAACAACCGACTTTTTTAACCCCTCGAAAAAGGAAACAAGAAGAACAGGGAGGTTGAAAACAGTTAGTTTGAATTTTTCATATATTCGATAACCTCTTTCGATACCCTTATCTGAGATATTCGGAATTCAAATTCAAATTATACATGTGTGGACTCCACCTCTAATCCAGCACATAAGTGAGAAGGTGATAGGGGTAGCCGCGCTAAGCAAAGTAGGCTAGGATTGGCAACATCCCTCCTGATACTACGACTGTTCTTAAGCATCCATCGTCGTCGCTTCGTATACCGCATCACACTCCTTGGCCATCAGCCCCACTCCCTCAAAGACGAAATCTGCCCGAATCGACGCCCGCAACGCCTCCATGCCCGACTGCAACTCTTCCATCAACCGCTCCGCGTCTTGCACCTCGGTTTGAGCACTGGCCCGATCAAGCAGGTAGTAGACGCTGTTCAGGTTCCCAGCGTAGAAAGCCGCGCGGACACGCCATAGTACCATGGCCAACCCATAGAAACTTTGCAACTCAGCGCAGGCCATGTAAGGAATGGACCGGGGTGTGCCTAATCGTCGGAACGCCCAAGACACAGAGGTCTCAGTGTCAGCTGCATCGGAGTATGTCGGGTTCGGAGATGCCAAACGGCGAAAAACGCGCGAGACGACAAGAGAGGACTGAAGGCATATACGGATGGACTCTTGCTCGGTGAAGGGGAAGAGGGTGTTTATTTCGCTGATTCGACCCGGAGACAGCTGAATATGGTGGGAGAAGAACGGAACTGCGCTATTTGGAAGGAAATCGCACTGTTTGCTGAATATCATTGGGGGGTCCGGGAAGGCGCGGACACGGTGCAGGGTGAGTCGGGCTGAATGAAGGAGGGCGTTGGATATGGCCCATAGATTGCGCTCGGCGTCGGCTTCGGTGCCCTGACAGTTGGCTACACAGCGGTATCGGGCTGCCTCAGCTGCTAATTCGAGGATTGATGAATCTAGATGTTTGACCTCGTATTCTAGGGAACTGAGGAGCCCCTGATTGTTGCCATTGTCCTCTCGGATGAGTTGACGTCCAATGAAGCAACTACGGAGAAGAACTACTTGTGCGTTCATTAAAAGTGGCCATGGCTGGATCACAGAGGGCTTTGGTTAGTCTGAATAGCTCTCAAACGGAGATAGCCAAATATACGAACCTCGCGGCAGCCACGAAATTCCGGCAAAGGAGTGGTGATTCGGAGATCATCACAGGTAATGAGCGGAGGCTAGGCGAAGGTTAGCGAAACGAAGTAATACAAGGATTACAAACAGACCGATGCAGTTATTATAGACGACTGGTAAACCAGGAATATCTACTATAATTAGCATGAATAGGATGCGGACGGGACGTAGGACATACCGTTCCCCACCAGCACCGCCTGCATGCATCGAAACAATCGGTCGGCGACTTTTGCGTGTGTAAAGAGAGGTCCATGGCCATAGTCAGGGCTTGATTTGCCCTGATACGCATCTTTGCGATGTTTCGCCGCTGACAGCATTCGTACATGCTGAGAAGCCCCAGGGCCAGGACTGGCTCCATCTTTCGAGGAATGCCGGGATGTAAGGTACTCTGCGGGCCCTTGGCCAGATCAATCGGCGAGGATGACTCGAGGGAATCCTCGGAAGATTCCAGGGCAGAGCGCGCATACAAATCAGCATAAGAGCGTCGTAATGTGACAGCTTCACCGTCCGCCGCATGCACGTCTCCAGGCGGGGGAATCAGAGCAAGCATCGCCGCCAGGGCCAAGCCCAATGATGAAGTAGGCCAATAAGGAAGACGAGAAGCATTTGCATCGGGTGAACGAATACGCAGTTTCTCAAATCGATCTTCATACTGGGGCAATGCCGGTGGAGGTAGCAAGGGAAAATACGGGTGAATGAAGACATAGTACGCGTTGATCCTGGCAAGTGGAGGGAAGTGGGTCAGTCTCACCCTCAGACGGTCATTCCACAAGATCGACATACAGATCTTGATCACATCGATACGCCCGGAGGCTCCTTGCGGGAAGCTCTCCAATTCCCAGAAGCTCCTGAGTTTCAGTAATGCCACTGAGTGGTGACGGAAGGCCTGTGCCACTATCCTCAAGGGCTCTACCGAACCGCCGAGGTCCACTTTCGATCGATGACGGTGACAAGAGCGATACGGGCACGGTCGTATCGGTCTGCAAGTGAGGATGATAGGCTTCACTATCCACATCCAAGGCATCGGCATGAGTTTTCATCCTACTCTCATTTAGCAACCGTTCTGCCCTTTTCATGGCCAGTTCCTCAGCGGCAGCGGCGCCTCGCCTCGCGCCTCCTCGTCGACTGGGGCGATATCGGCATTCTTGTTGGTGATTCAAGCACTAGCTCAATCAGCTGATCTTTGTCGAAATTATTCTGAAGATAATGCCTACGTTGGTGCACGGATTCTGGCCGTCACAGCGGGTTTTGGAGGCGCGGCTGTTGTCAATCATTCATTCATCGCTGTCAGTGGTGGCGCTTTGCATCAATTTTGAAGAGATCTGCCACTCACCAGGCCAGACAGGCCAGCTTCACTGGTCGAGACGTAAGGGGCATTCTTCCTGTCTGCTTCTTTCCTCTCCAGCCCTTTGTTTGAGTCCACCTTTCCTCTGGATTGGAGTGAGGAATAAAGATGATGTAAAAGAAAGACAAAGTGGAGATTCGGCGTTCGACTCGGCGTTCGAAAGTGGGGCTTGGCGGACTACAGTGGCAGAAACAATCCATACCCTAACATTGACTTTTCTCTTTGTTTCTTAACTATGCTAGGTTCTTTATGAATTGAGTTGATATAAGTTACCTTTTTACGGATGGAGTTCCCATATTGTCTATGGTAATTTGTGATGTTCTCGTTTTCAAAGGGCCAAAATATCGCTCATTGCGCCACCTTTGCAGGGATGGTCGCACGGCCCACTTCCCCTCTTTTGATAAGATAAGCCGTCCCCCCGTAGTTATATAAACCCTAAGGCGAGCATCCAGCGTGGCCTCTCGTATTCTGCACAACACCCCTCACCTTGGCATACTTCTTTGTTCAGAGCTCCATCGTCTTCAGAAACACCACGATGGCACAAGGAACAGTCTCTCCCATCCCAGCCAGCGCTGAATACTACGACCTGGGTTCGTTTGGCCACACCATCACCACCACCAGTCCTGACACCCAGACGTGGTTCAACCGGGGCCTGACATGGGTGTACGCGTTCAACCACGTGGAAGGAGCCTACTGCTTCGAACAGGCAATTGCAAACGATCCGTCATGCGCAATGGCATACTGGGGCCTCGCCTATGCGGTAGGTCCCAATTACAACAAGCCATGGGAGAAGTTCGATCAGAGAGACCTGCATTCCTGCGTGCAACGAGGCTATGATGCCGCGCAAAAGGCAAAGGAGCATGCAGCCAATGCTAGTCCTCTTGAACGAGCTCTCATCGAGGCAATCCAATCCAGATTTCTGACCAGCCACCCTGCGGATGACTACCCCGCCCTCAATAAAACCTACGCTGGCGCCATGAAGCCGGTCTACGAGGCATTTGGTCATGACCTGGATGTTGCCACCCTTTATGCTGATTCCTTGATGAATATGACACCATGGGCTCTGTGGGATCTCTTCACTGGCAAGCCGAACCCCAACGCCGCCACCATGGAGGTGAAAGCCGTACTGGAACGAGCGCTCGCGCAGGAGCAGGACGGTTCAACCAAACACCCCGGTCTGCTCCATCTATACATCCATTTCATCGAGATGTCCCCTACCCCCGAGCTAGGCATTAACCCAGCCGATCACTTGCGCAACCTTGTCCCTGATGCCGGTCACGTTCACCATATGCCCACTCACTTGGATATTCTCATTGGTGATTGGCGGCGGTCTATTGTCTCCAACTACAATTCGACCATTGCAGATGACAAGTACTTTCGCAAATCGGGAGCCAAAAACTTTTATACCTTCTACCGCATGCATAACTATCACTCCCTAGTCTACGCCGCCATGTTTGCCGGTCAATCCAAGACTGCTCTCGAGGCTGTCACTCGTATGGAAGCAACCGTGCCCGAGGAGGTCCTGCGGATCCAGTCTCCACCCATGGCCGACTGGCTGGAGCAGTTCATGCCTATTCGTCTGCATGTCATGGTGCGCTTCGGCATGTGGGAGGAACTCAAACGCAAGGAGCTGCCCCACGATCAGACGCTATATGCAGCTACCACCGCAGTTGCGCACTATGCCCGAGGCGTTGCCTTTGCCGCAACTGGGGACGTCCCCACTGCTAAGAAGGAACAGGACCTCTTCCACAAAGCGTGGGCTCGGGTTCCTGAGACTCGCCTGGCCTACAATGGCAAAATGGTCGACGTACTCCAGGTGGCCGCGGCCATGTTAGAGGGTGAGATTGAATATCGCTGCGCCAACTACGATAAAGCCTTTGAGGCTCTCCGCCGTTCGATCGAGATCGAAGATAAGTTGCCGTACAGTGAGCCTTGGTCGTGGATGCAGCCAGCCCGTCATGCATACGCTGCCCTTCTGATGGAACAGGGCCACCTTGAAGAAGCAGCACTCACCTACCGCGCCGACCTCGGTCTGGACAACACTCTTATCCGTCCCCGCCGACACCCCAACAATGTCTGGTCGCTGCAGGGATACCATGAGTGTCTGGTTCGCCTGGGGAGGCTGGATGAAGCGGCTGTTATCGAAGGGCCGGCTAAGTTGGCCCTTGCTGTGGCAGATATTCCGATCAAGGCGTCATGCTTCTGTCGCTTGGATACTTCTCAAGCTCCGCAGGTCCTGGACGGGTGCTGTTCCAAGTGAACGAGCTGCTAGGATTGCTGCGTTTATCTGTTGGGCCTTGGACAAAAGCGTTCTGTTCGTCTGTGTCCTCTTCTTGTATAGTATGGCTTTGTTGCTTCTCTTTATCAAGTTGACTATTATTGTCACTTGCGTTGAATGCAATTGGTTGAATGGATAATCCTTTCTGGGGTTAGCTTACATATGTAGTAACTCCATTAGTCCCGATCTCGCTGTCGATTCACCACTTGACTCCACGGACCTCTATGCTTCGTCACGTCTCCCTTTTGTGACTTGGAACCTTCATCAGTAGAACGATAAACGCCTAGAATAGCTAACAAAACAAAGTCCAGGGAATGATCCGTCGTCAATTATCTCGGCACCTACGAACCAGTATCATCTCCGTAACCGGGGAGCTCCTGTGGAGCAAATTGGGAAGGCATCAGCGAATCGGATGTCCACCTCAAGCCCGAGGATAGGGCAAGTTGGGATTTGCCTACATCCAACCATGCACGACCCCGCAGTTTTCACGTGCGAGTGCTTACATTTACACTCACAAGGTAAACCTGGGGGAGAAAGCATTAATAATGTCGACGGTTTATTAATGCCGGCCCCATATGCAGAGATTAAACGTTCGTATCCAACTCCGCGGTGAACACCTCGAGAAATATAGAGCAGTCCAGCCCATCACTGACAACTACGACTGTATCATTGCCTCATACCTTACGCAAAGGTCCCATTTCACCACTCTCCATAGCCCTTCTGACCCAATCAATCATCACAATGGGCGCCAACACCTCCGCCGAATACCCCACCACCAGCACCTTCTCCCAACGCGGCCAAAAAGCCGTTGAGAAAGGTACCCATCACACCGTGTGGGACATCCTCAGCAACCTCTGGGATCCAGAGACCAACCCATCCGGAATCCTCTCCGTCGGGGTAGCCGAGAGCACACTCCTCCACGACACCCTCGTCGAATACATCAACGCCAACATCCATCTCTCCACCAAACACCTCACCTACAACAACGGCAGCATGGGATCCAACGCCCTCCGCGCATCAATCTCCCACTTCCTCAACCGCCACTTCAACCCCATCCAACCAGTCGAACCGGGACACATCCTCGTCACAAACGGCTGCTCATCCGCCCTCGAACACCTAAGCTGGACATTCCTCAACCCGGGCGACGCCATCCTCCTCAGCAAACCATACTACAGCGCCTTCAAGACCGATTTCTCCCTCCGTCCTGAAGCGGTCGTTATCCCCGTGTCTATGGGGGACATCGAGTCCCTAAGTCCAGAGTCTATCTCCGCGTATGAGACCGCAGCAATCGATTACGAAAAACGCACTGGGAAACGTGTTCGCGCTGTCCTGCTCTGTAACCCGCATAACCCGCTCGGGAAATGCTATCCCCGTGACATCATCATCACTCTCATGCAATTCTGTCAATCACGTCAAATGCATCTCATCAGTAATGAGATTTATGCTTTATCCGTATGGGACAACCTTGTCGACACCAACAATGAAACACCACCCACCCCCTTCGAATCCCTGCTCTCCATCGACCCCACAAACCTCATCTCCCCCTCCCTCATCCACATAATCTGGGGCATCTGCCTAACCTCCCGTCCTTCACAGGTACAGTTGATGATGTTGACCCTGCTATGCTATGTCTCCTAACACGGAATAAGAGTATTATTCATCACCGGGGGGGGGGGCGCAGTCTCTTGCGCCTCGCCTTAAACCCCCAACGCCACGCTGCAAGTGAGGCGACAGGACCAGACGATTCTTGGATTTCCCGGACAACAATAAGGCCTCAGAGAATCGCGTTTAGCCTTAGGACTTGGGATGCTGATTTGATGACAGACTCGTCCTTCTGCACATCCGGACTTTCTGGACCTTCTCCGATGTCTCGTCTCTGGAAGTCTGATCGTACTGGGGGGCTTACCTACTCAATTCTGTCTTAGTATTGGCACTAACTCGGGTTCAAAATTTCATCCACACCTCTCCTCTTCTTTCCCTCCCACCCTGAATGCTTTGCTCACCTGTCTTCCCTCCCTCCGAACCCTGTCCTCCTCGACTTCTCGCCTCTTTGCATAATAACCCGGGATTAGACGCCTCGACAAGATAGACACTCATTTTGCGACAGTGGCGAGCTACCCTTTGTAGATGGTGGACCTAATCAACTCTCACAATCGATCGGAGTATGGTAGGATGGCGGCTATCTCTCCTCATCTCATCTCGGGTGTCTCTGGTTTCTAATCATTCGATTCCACCAGGCTCCAACCATAATGTGGCTAGGATACAGCCTCAGCTTTCCGGCCAACCACGGCCTTCCCTATACCGGCGTCTCCTGCGAAAGTCGACTAAGCTCCTAAATATTCGACAACACGGACAACAGCTCAACACTGGCATCGTGCCGCCTGGTCCTGTCGAGGCTCCCATCGAGCACGTCGCAACAAGGAACAGATTCAAGCCCCAGGGCTTCTTGACCCCTGGAAGGAGGGCCAAGATACCCGCTATATTCTCCTTGGATACCGGGGCAGGTGTCAGCACTATGCGGCGAAGTATCTATGAGCAACTGCATCTTCCGTTAGAATCATTCTCGGGCCATCTACGGCCAGTCCAGAGCAGATCGGACAAGAACACTATCAAACCCTATGGGATAGTCCGACAGGTTTCGTGGCATTTTGCTCAAAGAGCCAGGACCTACACTGCAGACTTTTACGTGATTGACGATGATGAATTCGATGTCATTATCGGTCGGCCGGAAATTGAAAAGTATGCGCTTCTACAACCCAGTGCAGACATCGGCCCTTTTGTCGTGCGGGACCTGTCCTGAGTTGTTCAAGCAGCCGGACAGTTTATTCCATGCATGAATGTATATGTACGGATAGGTTGCTCTGTTGACGTGTTGGTGCATGTTGATAGTAGGAACCACGTGTGCAGAGTCCTGCATTGACTGCAGTCTGTAGTAGGCTGTCTTCGCCCAATTTTGATTCACTATGCACAAGGGCTTGGAAGGCGTTGATGGATTACTGGTATTAGATGAGTCATGCATTTGGGTAGATGGCGGGAGTTTAAAATGCATCCTGTGAAATTTATGCCAGCAATTTATTGATCTATTGTCTGATTTTTCAGCTCCGGGGTAGTAGCCATCCACGTTCCTTCCTATCCTCCCGAACTCCCACCTACATGCATTAGACAACCCCCCCAATTCTTTCTCCGAGATGTCGGCCTGCCAGCCCAATCATGCACGGCATGCACATCTTGATTGACAAACCACCAGTTCTTGCAGCTGCGCAGGAGTGTGTCACGAATTGATAGGATAACCATCATCTAGTCGTTCGCGCTCAGCCTTATGTTGAGTTCTCGATCTATGCTACACTTCCTCCACGTTGAGGATGCAAGCAAGTCGTGCATGCGGCTCTTACAATTGTCCTCATGCCGCCTTCAAGATATGAACCCGGGTGATTTCTCCGTTTGAAGTCACAACGGCACAGCTACAGTCTTCTAGGAGACTGCGAATTAAGGAGTGAAGCACATCGAGAAAATGGTACGATGACACCCACGGCAAGCCTGAAGCTTTTCAGATGCAAACTCCCTCAATCTGACATTGCCCATCTCCCCAATAGGCACATCCACACCTCATGAGAATTTATTGCACCGGTCCGAATGAGGGATGTATCGGTCTTAAAGCGGCTATCATGACCGATTTAGATATCAATATCCTCACCCCCCACGGTCACAGGGATCTTGCCAACTTTCCCATCAGAGAGGGCGGCGAGTTCTCGGTACAGGCCTCTACGGAGGATGTCTTCACTGTTAGGAATTGTGTCCATCTGCATATCTGGACAGACGAATCTACGAGGCTGGAACTGGTAATCTTCTACATCCCTACGGACGACAGTCCGATCCTCCAGACCCCCCCAGATGTGCACGTCATTCTAGGGAGGAATTCCATCCTCGCTGCTAAGGAGCTTGGTGGTCGGCTACCTTCCATAGCCCCCCTACGGCTAGGCCGTGAAAGTCAAAGTACACCACTCGATCCTTGTTGTATAAGGCTAGATGAACTGACTCTTGCGTAGGTCAGGCCGAAGAGCGAGAGAGAACCCGCGACTCGAGGAGGCAGCAGGCTGCGAAAGTCCAGGAGGCCAGAATTGAGCGGGAAGCGCAACAGTCTAAGGCTGAGGAAGAGAAAAGACGTCAAGCTCGGAGGTCATAGCCTGGTGCTGATGGGGAGCAACCACGGGGAGTGCGACCATCAGATATTAGCTGAATGAACACGTTCGTTATCTCATCCATGCAATAATATAGTGAGCCAATCACATACTTGTATACAGCTGCGCCGCATATTGCCCTAGCCCGAGTTACCAATCACCTTCGGCCACTTATCAGCAATCGGGACAGTGTTGAGATGATAGGTAGGATTGCGGTGTGCCCGGCTGAGACGGAATTGCTTTTTCATCCCTGCTTTCCCCGTGCCCCGTGACATTAATTTCCGGTGACTGCCGCGTATTCCGCATCATTGCCACTAGTATTCCATACAGTCATGTATTGCCAGAATCCACCTGCAAGGCTGGCCGGTGGCGTGAACGAAACACCTGCAATCAGCCAGAAGGGATGTCGCGAGGGCATAAGGACATCATAACTACGTTACCTTACGCAATGACTTCTTGTCATGGCCATGATAAAGCCAGTCCGAGACACCGATGTATCATGACCGTTGATTGCCTATTCCTTTACATGAGCCGGGCGCGGACGTGGGGGCGTTGTTCAACATTGATTCGTCCCGACGCTCATCCCTTTCAACCAATGGGTAGCCTAACTCCGGATATGCGGGAGGCTGAGTGACGCCTCGCCGGAGCCCTCATAAGGCTCTTCCATCCGCCCGCTGATAGCCAATCCTTGGTGCACATGTCAAAATGTCCTGGTCTAATTCCAGTAAGTCGACAGTCACCCCATGCATTATCGCGTTTGGATGATGAACACGCTAACAAGGCCGGCGATGAAGGGCTTTTGAGGGATCATGGTGGCCACGAAAGTGAGCATCTAACACATCATAGCAAGTTTCACACCACTGAGAATGTAATTAAGGCTGCAGCTTTAATCTCGAATAGGTGGCCATGAGGCTGACTTGTTTAAGAAGCCATTTCCGCACTCCTCATCCATGGACCCCCAGAGACCCAAAATGCGCGTCTGGTTTATCTGGGAAATTTTGGCTTCGGCACTGCGTTGTTCCACTTTCCCTCTTTCTCAATATGTCAAGCGTCAAACTCACACCCAAGGTCACTCTGTTTCCAGAGTGGGAATATCACCTGTGCGTGAGCAACAGCAAACGCAACCGGAACACCAAGCGCAAGAAAAGAATGATCCATCAACGGAATCGCCCCTGGAAGCCGGGACCAGCCATGAACTCGACTGTCCGGATAGAAGCGCAGGATTGAGCGAACTGCTAGACCCTGTTGTCTCGGAAAAGGAACCATCGCAGACACCCCAACCGCTCGAACATCTGGACCAGTGCAACTTTGTCTACGACGTCATGGTGTGCCCATCCGGTAAAGCCGAGCTTCAGCGCCGGATGATGCTCAGTTTTTATTCGGATGTTAACATCATGTCCGATGAGGTGTCCCGCAAACTCGACACAGACCTGGAGCCTTACTATGGGGAACCGATCCCAGTTGTGGGTCACCCCGACCGCAACCCTCTTGGAACCGTCAAAGCTCGATGGACCTTCTGTGGACGGGCGAAACCCTACCGGACTTTTTTCTACGTTGTCTCGAACGTGGAGTATGATCTTCTCATCGGGAGACCTTCGATGCGGCAGCAGGAGCTTTACAAAGCGGATCCAAACATTGCGAAGAGACTGAATGCGTCGTTTCGGGGTGACCAAGATCGGCACTAATCTCATCGACGGGATCCCAAAAGGAATCAACTGGAAGCTGATTTTGACATTCACTTTTTTCTTCGTGCAGCCGGGTTCCCCTGCATTTTGCCAAGTGTCATTTTCTGGGTGGAACCTTTGGACTTCATTGGTGGTTGGGCTGCAATCATGCAGGTGCATGATTGCCAACACACCTGGCTGGCGTACTCGGGTTTTCGGTATCTTTGCTCACGGTGATTGGAGTGATCGGGTTCGAGCTGCATGGCTCCCCTCTTGTTTTTGCCTCCCAATTTCCTCTCCTTTTCAGCTATACATGTACATCCTGTAGTCAATCAGGGCTAACCTGAACTGACTTATGTGTCAAATCAGCCTCGTAAACTCCGAAAAGGATGTACTAACAATCAAGCTTCGACACAGCTCGACTAGCGCACCTCATCAGCTCTGTAGCACTCTAGACTCTCACCTTCACCGCATACTAAACACCACTCTAGGCTTGAGCCCCAGAGCTGCGCCCCACTGGCACCTGATGATACATCTAGCCTCATCTTACAGCAATTGCCCCACTCTCCTTCAAACCTAGTATCATTATAAACCCGATCTCTCCACTACACGACCCCCATCTTTCCCTAACCAACCTATCCCATCACCACATAGATCACCAACCCTAACCAATCCAAAATGTCACACCCCGAACTCGACGGCTACGACAAAGTAGCCTCAGCAATGGCCCTAGAATTCGGCTCTGCTATATTCCGCCGCTTTACCAAACTCAACCTCACCTATCTACTCTACCTCCAAGGCGAGCTGACCTACATCGAACGAGACCTAAAAGCTATAATCAAAGAATCGAAAAAATCAGAATGTCCGGAGAAATGGAGCTATTTCTTTTCTGTAGCTGCGATGAAGAATTCGGAGTACTCGGCGCAATGGGAGAAGGTGCTTGAGGGGAGGAGGTTGTTGAGGGAGTATAGTATGTTTTCTTCTTTTCATTTCATTTCTTTGATATAATTCGGTACTACTTAAAGTGTATCTCATTCCTTCATCAACCACCCCCTAAACCTAACCCCAATAATCCAAACAAGATAATAACCACCAAACAGACAGCACACTCCTCCAACTATCCCAAATGACACAATTCAACAAACCCCCCAAAACCGACCTCGAGATCTTTCGCGAATTCCTCGATCGAGAAGAACACGCCAAAGGTACGATGATCGATCCGATAGATCAATGGGGGGAAGACAACGAAGACGGTTTGATCTGCGTGGGTAGTCCCCACGATACATCGGATCGGTTCACCCGATGGGTGAATACGACTTTCGTTTCGTGGTTTCATGATAGGTGGGGGGTTAGGGATAGTGTATGTTCTCTACCCGCTTCCTTCCTATCCAAATCTCTTCATTATTATCCCCCTTGAAGGATAATTATTAATAAAAGTAATCAGCAACGCCAAGACCTCGAAGCCGGCCTATACATCTACAACCACCAACGGATAAAATCCCACACCTACCTGATCAGTCTAATCATCTTGGGATTGTTACCCGCGACGTCGATGATCGTGTTATATTTTCTCACCAACACGGCGGCAAAATTGGTCACTATATTTGTGTATAATATGCTGTTTGTGATGGTTATGGGGTTGATGTCTAAGGCGGGTCGGGTGGAGATTTTTGCGGCTGCTACGGCGTGAGTTATTCCTTGTGTTTGCTCCTGGGGTTGGATGGTGTGTGCTAATGGGTGTAGGTTTGCTTCGGTGCAGGTTGCTATGATTACGACGGGGAATTTGAAGTCGTGAGTTGGGGTGTGGGTTTATTATAGGGGTGGGGTAGATTGGGGGTGTATTGGATTGTTTGGTATAGAGGTTGGTGTGTTAGATGGCGTAATGGGGGTTAGGGGTAAAATGGCTTTATGGGACTATAACAGAGGGATTGTTCTAAGGGGTATCTACACACACACACACAACTCATTAACGCCCGGCGGCTCAGCCGAAAGGGCAACTATCACTAATCTATCAACACGAAATCTAGCGTACATCTGCAGTATCTTCTTCAAACCCATACATAGATCCTTTCAGTATATATTCTCTCAGCTGCCAGTATCTTAGGAATCCCTGTACGTTAGTAGTTTTATTAATAGACTGGCTTGAAGGCGCTTCTTCAAGTATTTAACATCCTATCTTCAGCAGTTAAAGCGCGTCTATCATCTGTGGCACAAGATGGTTGGTGTAGGTTAGTTAGAAAAAGGGTGTCATTGTCTTGGTTAATATGGTTAGATAGCGTCAAGTCGGCCTGTAGCAATGGTAAATCATATTGAGGCTCGTACTGTCTCTAAGTTTGGCGTCCATTGCTGATCATCAGAAGGTGATTTCCCGCCTAGACAGAGAGAGAGATTGCCCTGCTGAGTTTGAGTATATTATAGCAGTGCGATCCGTTACATGGTCCACTTCTGATATTAGAAGAGAAAATACTCTATAGTTTTTCTTACTTATCTATATACATACTAGTCTGTCTGCGTGACATTGATCTAGTAAAGATATCTATTTAATCTTGCCATACTAGTCTAGAGTTAAGCCAGCACGGTTATTTCTTTCTATAATAATCTATTATACAGCTGCCAGATATGCTTTTCTAAGAGTACTATATTTACTTATTTAATATATCTCTATATATTCTCTAGCAAGGCTTTTATGACAACTGCTTGGGACTGTGCAAGATTCAAGATTATTAACTTCATTCTGGAAACCTGTGCTTATAGGATAGTGTTCTCATGGATCACAGTCCTAGCCTGCTTCTTAGCTAGACCTAGTAATTTGTTATCTTCACTGGTAGAGACCTAAAGAATCTTGATATGGTTTTCTTTTCTCCGTAGTCTGTTCATCAGCTTGTATATCTAACAGATAAACTCCTGGTCTGACTGTTATTAAGGGTTCCATATTGTAAGGGCCGCTGCTTTATTGCTTGTAAGCAGCCTGAGTCTGAAACCTTTCAGTCTTACTAGTCTGTTTAATATATAAGCTATAGCCGCTAGCTCTGCAGAGAATGGATTTTATTTTAATCTTATACTCAGTATTATGGAGAAGGTCTCTAATTTTAGTTTTCAATATTAAGATAGTCATTTTTTAATTATTATTCTAAATCCTATATATCTGTTCCGTGCTGAGCTGCTAATCATGATCTGTATTAATCTATCCAGTGCAGACTATAGGTCTAGCATGGCTTTACCATTAATCTGCATACATGTCTCCCATGGTACTAATATAAACAGATTAATAGTCTTTAATATATCTACTATCTGGTATAGCAGCGAACAGTAAAACCTTTTAAATTTCCTAATCTGAGCTGTAGTTCAGTAGAGTAGATTAATATCTAGAAATATATAGAGATTAGTCTATATTTTCATAGCCTGTCTCTAAGACTAGTATTATACTGTAATAATATGAGCCTCTATCTCTATAATACTGATTATAATAATAAGAAATATTCTAATAATTACCTGCACTCTTACTCTTTGGACTTAATTAATCAGCCCCGTGGCCGTATTTTTAAATGTATATATCCAAATATTAGAAATATAGTCTATCATAGGAGCCACTGTTAATATAAATAGCTATTATACTGTTAATAAAAATAGATCTTAAAGTTATTAAAGCTTTATCACTGTCTTAAGGCCTTTAGATGCTGCTCTTATAATATGTTTCTTATATTTAAGACTTGTATCCATCAGGACGCCCAGAATCTTGATATAATCTTTATGTTCAACTATTTGTTTCTTAATAATAAAGAATCCTTAGTCTGATTTGTAAGCCTTAGAAGTAAAGTAGATAATGATTATCTTATCTGCTTTAAAAGTCATGCTGCTTCTCTTCTCTCAGTTAAGTACTTTATTAATAATAGCTTTAATATTTTTCCAATTATTCTGCATACTTAGTCCGGTCACCCACGCGGTAAAATCATCTATAAATACAATCACACCTTCCTGGCTGTTGTTACGGACCCCTGCTAGCTGAACAACTAGTGAGGCGGACTCGTCAGGCAGAAGGCCACGTCCAGACAGACAAGAACTCTTATCGAGTAGAATCCTGATCTGAGTAACCGATACCTGGAATGGCTACACAGCACGTGACCACGATGAACATGTCACCGACAAGCTATAACATGTCAGCGCTACAACAGGACATGGCAGCAATATAAGATAATATATCAGTGGTATGACATATCATGGCAACGCTATACGGAGGATAGGATATATAAGGACACTCTTTCATGTACTCAGCTAGTTCTGTTCTTCATGCTTAATAACACTGTCTTTAAGTAACCATATGTTTAGAAAGCTTAGCAACAATACTCATCTGTACTCACTTACAGATAGTTGCATGGCACTATCTGGCCTTACTTCTCTTCTCTTATTCAAGACTAGTTATTCTTAGATAGTCATTAGTCTGACACTACCTCGATTCAGTTCGAAGGTACGTATATCAGTGAAGCTAAGCTAACAGGAACAGGGAGAAGCGATCCTAGGGTTTGACAGCTGTCGATTTATCATTGTACGAGGTCTGTGTTGAAGAAGAGGAACAGGATTAGGGATAGTGGCAAGCCTTGTAACAGTCTAGCCTGTGGCAGGCTATAAATCTTAGATAGTTGTCCATTTATTTAAATAGTTGTTGTTTATTCCGAGCAGAATATCTCAATCTATTAAAATAGATTCTCTGATATATCTTATACTTTTATTCTTTAAAATAATCTTTCTTTACATATTCTATTATAAGCTTTCTTAACATTGAAACTGATCAAGCTTATTGTCAAACCCTAGGATCGCTTCCCTGTCCCGGTTAGCTTAGCTTCACTGGTATACGTACCGTCGAACTGAGTCGAGGAGGTATCAGGCTGATGACTATCTAGGAACAACTGGTCTTGGACAAGAGAAGAGAAGTAAGGCCGAATAGTGCCGCGCAGCTATCTGTAAGTAAGTACAGACGAGTGTTGTCACTAAGCTTCCAAGCATATGGTTTACTTAAAGACAGTATTAAGAATTGGATTGAGCACGAAGAACAGAACTAACTAAATACATGAAAGAGTGTCCTTATATATCCTATCCTTCATATACCATATCATATACCATCAGATCTGTCATATACCAGTATGGTAGCCATAGACCATGATAGTATGCCGTATACCATGAGCTTGTTTATATACCGTAGTCACGTAGTGTATGGCCTTTCCGGGCGTTGGTTACTCGAACCAAGATTCTACTCGATAAGAATCGCTGATTGCCCGAGTGCTGCCTTTATCAGCGCTTTCTGCCTGGCGAGTCCGCCTTACTAGTAGGTTAACTAGCAGGGGTCCGTAACACTTATAACCTATCAGCCATACTATATTATATAGATTTACTTCTATAAAAGTATGAGTACTTGTTCTATAAATCACTACTTTCAGGTACTGAAGTAGCTGGTTAAGAGTAAATCATAAGTCTTTATTATATATAAGATCCTTTCTACTACTACAGATTCCAGTATCTTATCTAGTATTATAAGAAGTAAAATCAGTTTTCATACTTTAATAATAGTATAGTTCTCTTTATTTAGCTTTTTAAGTAGTATAATCTTTATATATCTTTATTATTTTAGTAATATGTCTTCTTCCAGCAATACCTGGAAGAGATCCCGGACTCTGTACTTGACTATAGACTAAGTCATCTTCCAGATTATTACTGGTAGACTATCTCTACTGAATATCTTCCAAGACTTTATCATCATTAACTATCATTCAATCTCCTCTATTATAATAATAGATATCTTAACTAATGCTCTTTATAATCAAGTCTCTTTATTATTAATATTATTTAGCAGAGGCAGAAAGGTGTTACAGACCCCTGCTAGCTGAACGACTAGTAAGGCGGGTACGTCAGGCAGAAGGCAACGCCCGGATGAACGACCACTCTCATCGGGTAACGTATTCCACAAGCGAGTCGGCACCACAAGCGAGTCGGCACCACAAGCGAGTCGGCACCCCAACGCGTTTTCACCGCGATCAAAAACCTCACTCAATTCAACCACCAACCATGCCTCCAAAAGCGCGTCAAAAATCAAGAAATTCAGCCGAGCAGGAGGGGAGAATTTTATTAGCAATCTCTGCTATAGAAAATAAACAAATTACCCAAATTGCTAAAGCTGCATGTTATTATAATGTGCCTCGTTTTACTCTACAAGATCGACTATGCGGAAAAACAAATCGCTCAGAAACACATTTTAATAGTTATAAAATGACTCAAAATAAAGAGGAATTGCTTGTATAATGGATTCTATTACTAAATTAATGTAGAGCGCCTCCCCGACCATCTCATATATGAGAAATGGCTAATATTTTTCTTGTTACGCGTGATATTACCCCAGTTTAATCAGTTAGAAAGAACTGGGTCTTTAACTTTATTAAATAACAAGATTACTTGAAAACTTGCTATACTCAATACTATGATTATCAGCATGCTAAATGTGAAGACCCTAAGATTATCAGAGAGTGGTTTAATCATGTATAAATCATTATAATATAATATGGGATTGCACAGGAAGATATCTATAATTTTGATAAGACTAGCTTTGCTATAGGCTTAGTAGCTACTACTCAAGTAGTTACTAAAGCTGACTATTATAGAAAGGCCTCTCTTGTATAGCCAGGTAATTGAGAATAGATTACTTTAATTAAGTATATTAACTTTACCGGTTGGGCGCTTCCTCTATATATGATCTTTAAAGGCAAGGTCTATATAGAGGATTGGTATCAAGATATCAAACTCCCATGC